TAGTTGAAGATATGCATTGTATACATCATTATTTCCTTATAGAGCTTAAAGAGATTTGTATTCTCATGCTGCTGGGGTTCACTGGAATGAGTTCATGATATGATGGTTTTACAAACACATTCACACCCTCCCTTGCTCTCTCTTTCTCTCTCTCTCGCTCTCTCTCCGCCTCTGGTGCGTCTCTCTCACCCGGTTTCCCTCCTGCTTTCTGTGCATATAATCATGAGTGGCAGGCAAATATCGACCACAGCCATTGTTGGCCCAAGTGTCTATCTGCTCTCTAGAAAAGACTCATTATGTTACAACAGATTGATATCCCTGCCCCCGAGGACTTTAATCTCATCTCAAATGGAGAAAGAAACAATCATAGCTGCTGCTGCTGCTGCTGCTGCTGCTGCTGGGGGAAGAGAGGGAGGAAGGGGGGAGGGCGTTTTAGCAATATAACATGTTTGCCGCTTTTTCACCTCCCTCCCAAAACAGCCAAGTGACCTTGGCAGGTGCAGTCAGAAACGGGATGCGCCCGCTTTGAAAGATGACAGACAAGCTTTAACAACACGCCACTCTGTCATCTTTTCCTCACGACGTCTGCTCCCTTTGGTGGAGATGGATGAGCTTCATCTCACAGTGTGACTGCAAACAGTTTGTGCAGAATAACATCAGACCTAATGCAGGATCTGAGGTGAGAGGGGGACAACAACCAGGTCTTTAAGAAACGGGGTGTCACAACAGTTAAAAAGCAGCACTGAGAAGGTAAATGAATGTTTACCCGCAGCTTAATTGTTCACTTGAATCCATAAAGCTCACAATCGCAATGCAATTATGGTTATGCTTGTCATAAATCTCATTAGCGCTCAGTGCAAATGCGATGAGGTCTATGTGGGGGCTAATGCATGCTCACGTGGATGACATCTGATTAGCTGCAAAGCACCATCACTTAGCGCTCTTTTTATTAGTGCACAATCTTAGAGGTGAAGCATGAGGATTTATCATTCAAACCGACGCTGCAGTTGTGCCTTAACTTTAAGTCAAACAACAGGACAGCTGAGCTGAAAACCGAGCTCTTCAGCGTGTCAAATGTGAAATATGTTCCTTTTATGCAGATTATAACTTCATACATTATGTATTCTTATTGTATGATACGTACATTTAATTTGACATCACTTTTTATAAATAATCCAGACATAAACAAACAATTATCACATTTGCAAAATGGATTAGTCTTACTGATACTGGCTTCACTATAAAAGCACCAACATGTAAATGAGGGGAGTAAAGGCACTATACAGTAAATATACATCAGATATATGCATTCAGATTTGTAGCTGTTCACATTTATGCACAAACTAACAGACCAAATTATCATGGATGATTTTTCCCTTATAAAGCATTTTGTCAGGCTTTTATTTTGGTATTTCTCTGCCCTGTATTTGTGTTATTTTATTTTCTTACACTGTTAAAGGTTGCTTTTATTCTCAACTGCGCTACCTCCAGTTGACACTGAGTAACAGAACTGAAAGAAAACTGTCAAAAGAGCGCTTAGAAAGTCTTAAAGTTAAACTGATTTGTAACCCAGAGAGGAATAAACGTCAAGGATTGTGATTTTGCTTATTTTGATTTTGCTCTATTCGGTGAAAAAACATCATAACCGGATCAATAAAAGTATCTCTGCCCCTGGCGAGTTTCTTTTTAGTGTGTAGTGACACTGGGATTGACCCCTTTGAATTTCCCACATTGCTGGGTTGAAACGGTAACAATCTGACCTCTGAACTTTACCCCCTGTCAGGCGGGTCAGCTGGCTGGGGTCATGATTGGATTCCTCTGATTCACATCGACTGGCAGGGCTGCGCTGATCAATGCTGCGAGCGTCCGCTCTGGAGGAGGTGGTTCACATGTTTGGAGAAGTGAAGTTCATTATTGGAAGAAGAAAAACTTGACTTTTCAACCCGACCCATCCACCCAGCACTTAATGTTAAATAAATACGGTAATAAAGAGAATCTGATAAGTTGTGATCCATCTCTAGTTATTAACGCCAGCTAATGCCTGTGAGGAACATGTTTTGTTAATGGGGGTGTGCATCATTAGATCATCAGAGGACTATCTGTTTACTTTATGGCTTATTTGCTCACATCAGTTCTGCTCGTTTCATGCGGAGCAAACCATATCTTAAAAAATTACTGCAGAAAACACAAGACTTGAAAAGGATTCAGTGCTGTGACACAGAGGATTCATCACCATGGTGAATGATTAGTGCCTCTCCTCCTCCTCCTCCTCCTCCTCCTCCTCTCCTCCACACACACACTGCTCTGCTCACACTCCGTCATCTTGAATAATAGTGAATCTGAATAATTGTGTTTTGCCACCATCGTTGTAACACATATCTCTGCCATTATCCATATGCTGGTGACACCGTGATCCATATGCTGGAGCTGCCTGAGTACAGATGGTCGTGTAATTGCGAGCACATTGTAGTGATCGTCCTGCTTTGTGATCGGATTCACGGTAATCTTTTATGCATGTAGATGCTTCCAGATCATTTCCACATCAGATGCCACAGGAGTCTCATGTAGAGGAGACTACAGTGTATGATAATGAGCTGCAGCTAGTGGGGTTTACACAGCTCCAGGTCCTCTTTATTGAGTGCTGACAGGTTGTCCTGAGAGGTCCTTCACTCTCATTTGCATCCCCTCAGTTTGATGGTTTGCTCTCTGAAGCAACTAAAATATAAAACATATGGAGGTTTTCCCACCGTGGAAACAAACCTGACACGGTAGTTTAGAAATCATGTTTGTATTTTATGCATCAGCCCATTTAACCTCTGCATCCTCAGCTCAGGTTGTTTGACATGCTGCAAAACCTTATTGCTTAGTTGTGTGTTGACAGTGTCTTTCTCATTCCTAGTTTGATAAACCTGTGCAGCAATAATGCAAAGGCTGCAGCACTTATTATTGATTTAAGCTTTTACTCTGACGTACTTTGATTTTTTTTTTGTTGTACCTGCAGATCCCTGTAATTCACATGCCTGTGCGAGTAAAAATGAGAGTGTGAAAGGAAATGTTTTATCGTACTTTTCCTATATATTCAAAAAGTCAAGTCAGCTGTTTTCATGTGGCCCGAAATCACAAACCACATGTTTTTCCTTAGCTGTGCAAGAGCCATCGTCAGTGGTACGGAAGAAACCTCAGCGAGAGCAGGAGAGCACAGATCCCTGATGTATGCAGCGGGCAAATAGAGCGAAAAACTGTGAAATTACAGTTTGAGATTCATTTATTTGTCATTCTCTGACACAGAGTTGTGTATTCAAATTGTATTCCCCATTTTCTATTCACACACAAATTAAAAACAAACAAATGATTATTTATGAAGTACTGGGAGAGAGTTGGGGAGTCCTACAGCCTGAGGAGAAAGAAGCTGCTCTGATACCACAGAGGATACTTCTGTGTTGTTGCCAGATGTTTGAATTATTGGGTAAAATTAAGTCTGCGCTCTCATGGACAATCGTTTTAATGAAATCATCCCTAAAGGTCAGCTGTTCGAACTCCTTTAAACTAACATCTACATTTGAAACACGTCAAGAGGCCCCAAACAGACGCTGGTTTTCACTGTAAAAGCCTTCTTCAGAAACTAAAAGGAGAACTGGGTCTAAATTTTCTCTTTTCATTGTAACTTCAACACAGAGCGATGATTATTTTTCTTTAAGTGCAATCTTTTTGGTGCATTTTCAAGGTTTTATTATTTACTGGAAAATAAATACAAAATGTAAAATATGCTTTTGTGCAATATAAACAATTTCCTGTGATAATACCTTATTTTGTTTGCTTGGTATATCATAATCTGTGATAAATCTATCTTTTGGTAAATAAAACATAATATCTTGTGCATTTTCCATTACTTTATGCGCAATATACATCGTGCTCAGAGCTAAATATATCATCATACATGAATTTTTTTGCATTTGACATAATATTCTTTGCAATATACATCATGTTCATTGAAATTATGTAAATTTCCCTGCAAAATATAAATTCCTCCATGCAAATTTTATTCCTTTCTGTGCAAAACATATATCGTGTGAATCATATGCGATATTTTATGCATTCAGCATTAGTTTCTCTGCAATATACATTATGTTTGGAGGAATACAGATAATCTTATGTGCAGATGAATCATGCATATGTTTTTTTTAAGCAATTTACACAATTTTATGTGCAAATAATGTTATTTATGATGAAAACATAAAACAAATTATATTACCTTTACTGCAAATTATATATATTTTAAGATATTTTGTGCATTATATATTATTTTCTGTGTAATATGCATTATTTTAGTGCAATACTCATAATTTCTATGCTAATTACATTAGTATCAATACAATATTCATTATTTTTTCTTACATTATTATTTGAGATCATTTGAAGCATGAATCTCGTCACATAATGAACCATCCACTGTGAATTTATCTATTTAGTACAGCTGGAAGATCAAGTGCTTCATATTTTGTACTTTAAAACCACCTGATTAATTGCTGTGAAGGTCAAATTCCAGCTCAAAGTTCAGTCAGGAGGAGCAACATCATAACAACAACAACGTCGTGTGCAGCACAGCATTAAAAACACGGCTGGAGTGGAAATTGTGCCCTCTGTTGGTTTAAAAATAAAGCACAGGCTCCCAATGTTGCAGAAAATACAGCCGTAAATACTCTAATATTTATCCCCAGAGGAACACTTGTTTTTATACGTACTTGTGCTTCCGTTACTTTCTTCTTCTTTTGCTTTAAATCGTGAGAAAAAAAGACGGCAGGCGCGAGGCCACACAGCTGCACGCTCGAGCGCAGCAGTGAGAGAAGAAGGGGAGTGATGGAGGGTGAGGGAGCTGCAGTTGTCATGGAAACACTCGGAGGGGGTGGGGGGGCGGGGCGTTGGGAAGTGGCACCCGTTTGTTTTGTTATTGAAGGTCACGTGGCGCCGCGAAGCTCCTCCCCCCTCCCCCCGTTACCACCGATTCAACCGTCTCGAGCTGCTGCTCCGGTCAGTTACTACAAAATGGCTGCAGAGGCTCCGCCGCCGACGAGAACCTCTTGAACGTTTCACGGTAGGTTTTTTTAAATTTGACGTTTTCGGGCGGTTAGGACGACATTTCTGCTCCTTGTCGCCTCTAACCGTCGGTAAAATCGCGGCATTCCGGAGTGAAAAATGGCAGCTGTGGCAGGAATGAGAATATTTCCAGCTCAGCCCACTTTGACATCAATGTTTTCTTCGCTCCGAGCAGTTTAACGTCCGCGTTTTTTACTTTCTGCTAACCCTAAACGCGGATTTGATACGCTTTCTCGACGCTAACTGTGACTTTTTAGCGTACTAGCTTTTGAATTGAAGTGATTGAAGGGCACCCTGGTTGGTTTTCGGTTGTTGTAGTTGTAGCAGGCAGCAAGCAGCAGGCTTCGGCTCTCTAACGGCTGCTGTTGCATCGGTGTGAAGGAGAGTTGACATGAATATTTCTGCTGAACATGTACCGAGCTGCAGAGCCTCTAACATGCATCACCTGGTGGATAAACGCATTAGCAAACACGGATGAATTACTGATTTAATAGCCGCACTAGGTTTCCTTTATTTAGAGTGGTTGTTGCATATGCATTATCATCCCTACAGCCATTTACTCACTTTAAAGTAGATGTTTTCCACGTCAAATGCAGCTGTCTGTAGTCAAAACTTCTCCTTTAATGGATGTATTGCTTTTGGACTCTGTCACATAATCTGCATTTGTTGGATTACAGCTCCTCAGCCTTGGTTGCAGCAGAAGGGAGCTGTGTAAACCTTGAGATAAGATGCATCAGTGATTGCTTCCTGTATTTCCCTCACCATAGAGACAGCCCTCATTGCCCCGGGTTCCTGCTGCAGCTTGATATCCTGCAGTGTCACACACACACACACTCCTGATGGAGCAGGCGGTGTGTACAGACTGGGTATGCCCACACTCATGCATGCAGAGGGCCGGCTGACGTCAGCGCAGAGGCCTGCTGCTTTTACTAATGTGTAAATAGAGTCCCTAATTTGGGACTGGGACTGGCAAGGGATGAAGGGATAGTTGGGGTGAAGGGAAGGGGGTCTTTTCTGTCCCCGGCCGGGTCAGGGGCCCCAGTCAGCACCCAAGCCCCTGAAAGAGGCAGTGTGTTCACAAAGAGGCGCCAAAGGGGGCTTGATAACAAAAACAGGCCACTAAATACTGTGATTACTTTAAGGCTCAGGTCGTAGCCTCACTTTGAGTTTAAAACTTTTGGTGGCTGTTTTCAGACTTGGACACGAGGTCTGGGGGGGCAGGTTGCCAGATTGTGGCATTTAGTCTGGTGTCAGTGATTAGGTACTTAGCTGGAGCTCTCTGTAAAGATGATGAGCATGTATTGTGTACAAAGGAGTTTATTACTGTAACAGAACAAGTTTTGAAGCGGTCTTGTTTTCACAGTTGCTCCAATCCTGAGCCGGATTTCTTGCACAGATTATTTTAAGGGCTGTTAACAGTTTACATAACATTTTAAAGACTGAACAAACTCTCTAGTAGGAGCTGTCTGATGTAAAAATTCAACAATCGCTCAGAGTTATGCAAACTGCCTCAAGTTCAGGTCGATACTTCATCAAGAAGCTTCATTTCTTCTCATTTATAGAGACAAATGTGTACTGCTTTAGAAAGGTACACGCTTGGAGTTTAATAAGACAGATTTTAAAGATGTCCTGTGATTGATTGGACTCATAAATAGTCAGGGAAGCTTGTGAAAAGTGTTCAATAGTTTTAGAGCGTAAAACTGACACAGGGACTGGAGGCTGTGCTTTTTGGAGCACGTCCATACAAGTTATTTTAGGGCCGGTTCAGAGTGCCAGGAGTGCAGCAGCATACGTTTCTCTCTTCCTTGTCGTCAGGCCGGGTCAGAAAGCATTAACATGACCACACTGAGAATAGCTTCAAGTACTTTAGCGAGTGCAATCCTCTTTACAGAGTACAAGGACTTTGTTAGTGCTTACCAAGCAGTTTTTAAACCCTCGCACAATTAGAAAGGTGGACGGACCAACTTGGTTGTTTGGGAAATCTGCTGAACAATGTGTTACATGGAATATTTTTCAGGGGCTACACAAAAGCGGGGACTGCGCAGAAGAGCAGAGGGGGCTGCATGCTCTGCCGTAGCTGTGGCGGCTGCTGCTGCTGCTGCTGTGGTTGCTAGTGAGCGCCTTCCCAAGGGTTCGCCGTGCTCTTGTTTGGCTTGCAGCGATGGCATTCCTGGCTCTGTGCCCAGCGACTGCCGTCTAGCACCCCTTCCCCCATCCCTCTCACACACACACACACATAACCAGCCCTGCTGTCGTAGCCCCCTCTTCATCACTCCAATGTGGGCCAGCTCCACATTTACATATGCACAATTCACCTTGCACACTTTGACTCTCTCTCCTCTCCATCGCCACTCGATTCTCTTCAGATTTTACACCTGCTTTTATTAGGCTGTCCTTGGTCTCTTTCCAGCCGGACTTTGTTTTCCTTTTTTCCTTTTTTTTTTCGCCTCCTTTGTCGGCGGAGCGAGTGTGTGGTTTAAAAAAGGACACCAGGCTTTAATCCTGTTGTTCTGACAGGAGGGTGTAATTCCACAACAGAGCTGAGCTTATTGACCTGCGTCCTTCATATCGACACGAGGTGTGCTGCAAACAGCTGCCAATGATGGAGCTCAGCCCACTATAAGTAAATAAGCAAATTAGTGATTGGGATTTGGTTATTTATACAGATTGCCGCATCGTTTGTTCGATAAAAACGGAGCCTCGGGATTGGATTAATTTGAAAATCCTTGTTCCCACAAAAGGGAGTCCATATTTTGAATACCTGTGTGCTATTTGCATACATCCAAACAGAGTAGATGTATCATTGTTGCATCCTCTCCCTTTCACCATCAGTCAGCGCTCTTGAGTTCAGGGGAATCACATCTGTCCAAGCCAGGCAGATGTTTGGAAATGAACCAGCAACTCTCATTGAGACTCTCCGTCCTGCTAGGGGACCAAATGTTTCTTAAACTGTAATCATTTTGACACTTTGCTCGACACTCGCTCTCGTCATCTGCGTTGGAGGCCGACAGCGGCTCACATTAACTGGAGCATCTCTCTTATCCTCTGATCCTACATGACACAAGCCCCACTGATGCCTTTGAAAGGAGCAGCACCAGCTATATTTAGCATGGCAGCTGCACCAGCAGGTTCTCTTTCCAGCCTCTTGGAGGTGAAAATAAGTTAATGATGCGAATTGGTAGCTATGTTTAAGACGGCTGTGCGTTTTTGTGTCGGAGTGAATTCCAACGACCTAATCTCGGACTTGTAATCTGGACTAAGATCCGGTTAGAAAGCAGCTCTGTTTGTCGTGCAGCTCGCAGCTTTTAAGCAGCAGGCCTGTTGAGCAGCAGGAGTCAGCTTTCAGCCTCTGCAAACATTGAAGGCATGTGGTGAACAAGCCAGAAGGCCCAGTGTGCAAGTGAGTGATAAAGTCTAAAAATAAGGTTTGGATTATTGGCTCTTTTGTGCGGTGTCTTTTTCTTAAATTTCCGTTTCTGATTTAGTTGCTCTGTTTGTATTAAATAAATGTGTCTATCTACTGAAAGTGTCCAAAAAGAGGTGCGCTCAGGTCTCACTTGAAGGAACAGTAGCGGCGCTCCGGTTTTATTTCGGACTTACTGGATTATGTGTGTTGACAACAATGTGACACAGCTGGGGAGGGTAAAAAGAGCAGAAGAGACTGTCATGGGGTCTGATCTTCACCATGACGTGACGCTTCCCTCCGTTGACCCTTTAACACCTGTCTGCGAGCCGCTCAGTCTGAGAGCAGAGGTGGCCGTGGCCTCTGAGACACGAGGGCAGCAGCTGCTGTCATCCGGTTCACGAGGCACGGCTGAGAAATCTGACAGATAAGATTGGGGTGAAAACTCATCTGCACGGTCCGGGGTGAAGTTTTGCTCAAAGTGATCACTGTGTCAGTCAGATAAGTAGATTATGGTTTTATAAATCCTTCTTAGCTGAGGTACATGACAGTTTACACGCTGGTGAGCTGTTACCTGTGTCCACGTACCAAGATGAGATGCAAAGGGACTTTTACTTATGTACAAATCCTGATGTGCATATCCTATAAACAAAATAACTGTAAAATCGATCAGTCGGGCAGCATTGTAGATCTTTCACTCACAACATTTCGAGTGTTGCTGCCCCCCCGTCCTCTGCCTACACTGATTAAGCGCCTGTACAATCACTGTGACATGGCGTAGCCTGAACCTGGAACTTATTATTATGATTGATGACTAATGTATTTTGGGACTCTCTCCGCCAACACAGCTGTAAAGTTTTGCCAAGTTAGTCAGTCAGTCAGTCAGGCAGGCTGCAGGCTTGAATGTCTCGTGGATATTAACAGTAAAAGTTCAGCACGACATAATCCAACACTGCAGAGGCCAAACTGTTCCACTGATGGGCTAAATTAGGTGGATTTGGATGCAGATGTGTGAAGAGCAGGACTAAGAGATTGATTGATCAGATATCAGCTAAAAGACATCTGATCAAACCTCAGCCTCTGTTTACGGTTTCCCAAATCGAAGTCTTGGAAAACGTGTCAGCTTTTAAAGTGTTTTAGTTTGAGCCTGAAATCGTAGAGAAATCTGTAGTTCTTTATAACATGAATAAATAAAAGCTTCATGAAGTTCTGTGTTCAAAAATACTGTCTCCACTTTTTTTATGTTCTTTCAGTCATTCTCAAGTTAAAAAAAGGAGCAACAAGAGCAGGAAAAAGACAAAGTATTCCTTTATTTATTTGTTTTCATGTTTCTGACAGTCAAACCGTTCTTGTTAAGCCACGCTCCCGGCTCTTGAACACACAGTCTCTTCATTTTACACTTGTTATTTGCCGTTTTTGATACTTTTAAAAGTTAGTCTCCTTTGTTTTATTTCGGATCCTGTTGTTTCAACTCCAACCAAAGTGATATCAGCACAGAGCTTCAGGGCGCTGCCTGCCTGTCTCCACCTGACTGCTAACCAGGGCCGCAGGGAGAGCTTGTTGCCAGGCAATGGCACACACCACCATCGCCTGCAGCAGCATCGGCATGGCATGGGAACAGACTGATGGTTTATGTTCAGTTAAACATCTGAGATTCAAGAAACTTCATACCAATTTTTGTTTCTTTCTGTAAGGCCGTTTCCTCTTCCTTGAATCTTTGCTTGAGCTTTTGTGTTTTTGTTTTCCTACATGGAGGATTGGGTTGGATAAAGAGTAACTCATAACATGAAACAATGGGGCATTGTGAGGCTGTTTGGAACTACTTTGTGTGTCTGTTGTGATCAGTTCTCTCTGGACTTGTTAGAGAAGCTGTAGGCAAACTGTGAACAGGATTAGAGACTTTGTCAAGGTACATAAAGTTGTGTACGGCCCACAATGCAGTCTTGACTGTTGTATGTGGTCTCACAGCCAATCAGTGGTGTCAGAGTCCATTTCCTTTGGCTTGGTGTGTAAACTAAAGAGCAGCAGACTCGTCTCATTGGCCCTCACCAGTAAGACCTCCCTAATAGTTTCCAGAGTCGACCCCAAAGACTACCAAAACATCCCACTCTGTAATGTCGTGCTGCTAAACAAACCCACAGTCTTCAAACACTACCACACTTGTGATTTGTGTCACTTCAGCCGTGAATGACAACAGTGACGTCACCTCAGACAGCGGGAATGGAGCGTACAGCTCGATACATGAAAATAATCGACTTATTTTAACACGCTCAGTGGTCTACCTTTCTCCTTATGGCAGTCTGTCTCTTTTGTCTGTGTCCCCTTTCGTATCCCAGCTGTGAGAAGGAGCAAAAAACACGAGAAGAGAACCATTTGATGGAAGATAAGAAAAAGAAAAAGCAAGACGACAAGAAAAAGAAAGAAGCTGCTCAGAAAAAGGTGAACACACAGACACACACGTACATTTATTTCAGCTTAAAGTCACCCTAATTTCAATAAAATCTGGGGCTGTCAGAATCACTGCTTTAATTACGACCTGATTAAGGTCTGAAATCAATGTTTTAAGTTTTTCAATTGTGCTGTTTGCACACTGTAGTCAAACCGCTGGATTGTCTTCCTGCCACTGTACTTTTACACGTCTCAAAGCTCCCCAGCAGCTCAGTCGTCACGTCCAAAGAAGTGTGAACTTTATCACTGACAGAAATAAAACATCACTAAAGTACTTTAAGTTTGAGCTTAGCATACAGGGGCATCTAAACAGACAGATGTTAGCAAGCAGAAGCTAACAGAGAGCTAATTTAGAGTGTAAAGAAACAGAGCAGGTGGCCAAACTGAAACTCCTGAAAAATACAAATACTGTCGCACTAACTAGGAATTATTATTGTCAGTGGGTAAACAGAATTACCTGAGAATAAATGCATATCATATTGACACTCATTCACACATTCCTACATATTTCTGAATGTGCAACAATATTATCCTTACTGGAACTCCAAAAAAATATAAAAAGCTGTTGCATTAACTTGGATTATTTGATGATACTTTGCAATCATAGTTATCTGAGAATATGAAAGAACTACTATTATATTAGTACATGCATTCCCCAGATCCTCAAACATAAAACAAAGAGCAGTGCAGCTTTCATCTGAATAATAATCTAAGAAAACCATGAAGTACATTTTATTGCATTAACTTGATCCCCGAATCAAAAGCTTCACATTGTCAACATGAACTTTAAACAGTTTGGAAAATTCTGTTTTGATATTTGAAATTCTGTTATTAATCGGAGTTAAGAAAGTGTTAATCATCCGACTGTCCTTATATGATTAAACCGACATGGAGCGGTCCCAAATCCAGAGTTCAGCGCTGGTTCTTCTGCGGCCGGGCAGCCGTCTCCAGCAGTGAGGTTATTGGCTTGTTCTTCTATTTTCCGAAGCCAATCTAGTGTAACTGAATCTGTTCCACCACTTTTCCTGTATGCTCAGGTGTTTTTTCTGCCGTTACATCACATCAGTCACATGCACACGATGAGCACACGCTTTTTATCATGTGCATCCTCAGGAAGCATTTTCCAGAACTTCATGTAGTTGTCATACTTCTCCTCCTCCTCCTTACTTTTACCTTCAATGGGTCATCTGTTTTCAGTGTTAACAGGTTAGCCTGTCTGCTCCTCTCACCGGTACATGTGTGGATCCTCGGTCCTAACTTTGCAGTGCTGGTAAAAGTATTCTTAACGTATGAGAGGAGCATTTGTTTTATCTATTTTAACCTCCAGCCCAATGAACCCGTTCACCCTGTGGAGCCATAGGAATGAACATGAACCTCTTAGCATTTCAATAGATGAGCAGAAACAGCCTCTGAACATTTTGTTCTGACTGCCCCGGCTAGTCGCTCCTGCACTGCTGTGCAGCTGGCGCGTGCGACTCAGATGTTGATGGAGCATTTACATTGAGACCCACAGCTTACACACACATATAAGTGGAATGTGATTGTCTCCTCATAATAAGTTTTTCTGATTGTTTTCTCTGTTGTTGATTTATGTTTTTCTCTTTATTTCAGGCCACAGAACAGATAACCAAAGGTGAGTTAAATCAACTTTTCTTAAACTTATTTACTTTGTTCTCTGGTGCATTAATTTTCCTGCAAAGCTGAATTTATCTTAGCTTTCTAAAACAAAACGCTGCAAAGGGAGATTTATGCAAATGTACCTCTCATGAACTTTGCCGTAATTTCACGATGTTATGGACACAGTCCCCCTCCAGCAGTAGGGGGACTTAATGTGTGGGGGTGTAAAGTGTTTATCTTCATAATCAGACGGATAGCTCATGATCAGGTTTGCTGTTTTGCCTCAAAGCCTCAATTTGCCCTCTCTTCTCTGCGGGGCAGTGTGGATAAGAAGAATTAGCTTTCATTATTGTAAAACATCTTGAGCTGAAGCAGCCAGGTGGTCCAATCTACCTGAGCCAAAATGGATGCCATATTGCTCATACAGGACTAATAAGGAGCACAGGGATGGCGCAGCTGCTCCTGAGGCCTCCCCACGGGCTCCTCGGGCGTACCTGGGAGGGTAAAGGTGAAGGGGAAATCTCAGAAGGAGGAAAAAAATCCCACAAAACAAAAGACAGAAACTTTCCCCACTCCTGTAGGAAAAGTTTGAACTCTTACTCACAGTTTCTACCTCAGCCTGAGTCCGTAATGGCGAGGGGGACGCGGGTAGGCAGTGTCGGGCCGCCAGTTAGCCCAGGAGCAGATAACTCCAGGCAAGGCAGATGGGGGAGGGAGTTAATGCCTCACAAGGGATGGGCAGGGGCAAAATCTGATTAGAACTTCTGCTAGACTTTGGCGGTGTGGCCTTAACAGCAGCGGGAGAATACTCACCTCATTACAGCGCGATTGTGTTTGTGTTAAAGCGCCCAGAGCTGTGTTCAAACCGAACGTGTTTGTGAAAGTTTGGTGGCTGAATTTTGTTTGGATCACCGAAGACGAGGACGTGTGCTCGCCCCTCGTGGTCGCATATGAATGTGAGCGCTCAAATCATCAAGGGTCAGCGCCTTGACCTCCCACTCTCCCCCTGAAGGATGAGTTAATGAGACTGTAATGTCACTGAGGTGCCCCCCCTCCCTCCTCCACCCACCCACTCCTTTTTCCCCTGGTCTGACTCACCCTCAGCGCCTCACAGTTTGCAGCTCTAATGAATGTGATCTGGGTTAGCTGTGTTGGTATTCTCTTTCTGTCTTTCTGCAGCGTTCACATATTTAATGCACTTTTTTCTCGGCTGCTCAGAACAGCAGCACGCCATGACACACTTTTATCACTTTTTATCACCTCCTGTTGTGCACTCGTTCAGTCAGTGTCAATATTTTCAATTCGATTCAACAAATGCGACTTTAATTGTCACAGCAGGGATTCATTTATTCAATCTCATTTCAAATTTAATAGCGTTTATAAATATTTCTGTCGCCTCAGTTGTTTTCTTTTTCTGGACTTCTCACTCCGATAAGTCCAATAAATCGACAAAAAGATGCAGATTGTCTGTGGTACTAATGCAGGGTACACTGGGAGCTAATTAGGAGAACATGGCTTGTGCGGAGGCTGATAAAACACAGGAGATCTCCGGTAAGACCCCAAGCACCATAGTAACACTACACCACCTCCTGTCTGGTCTAGCAGAGAGGCCCACCCAGGGACCAGCAGGAGGGAAAAGCAAGCAGAAGAAGGTTTGCTGTGAGGAAAGAGAGAGAGAGAGAATGAATTGTTTTTGTAACATTTGTGTAAAGTGTAGGGAGGCGTCTGCTGGAACACGGTGCCTTTGGTTGTTTGAGAAGTCTAGAAAATAAAGCTTGAAAGCCGAGAGCAGAAGAAACAGACGGAGCCATGTGAAACTGTGAGAATGCACGGCAGTTTCCTGTTTGCCGGCACAGCTGAGGGGGCCCTTTGCAGGATAATTCTACTGGCTCACGTCTCTGACACACACACACACACACACACACACACACACACACACACACACACACACACACACACACACACACACTCACTCACTCACTCTCGCTCTAACAGTCCCCTTATGTGACACCAGCAGCATATGTACATTGTGTGCTTTGGCAAATGCACACATGGTTTTACTCATATAGTTCTATATTACCACCAGAAATACTACACAGACCTCTCTGCCTCACAGGGAGTGTTTTGAACCGGCACATGTCGCACATTCACAACAAGCTACCAAAGATAAAACACTTTCACCCCCAAATTTTTTTCACTCCGAATAATCTCTGGTCTGCAGACGAGACGCACAGACTGAGGTTCAAATCTGGATCTGGTGCAGCTTGTTGTGGTTTGGAAACAGATTCATGAAAGTAGAAAAGTGATTTAAACACGAATTTAACAACAAAGGCAAAATTTCATTCATTTGACTCCACGTAAAGATGGATGTTTATTTGTGCAGATGATTGGCAGCCGAGGCGACCTGTGCATGTGTTTGATATCCCCCGTTTAAAGGGATATTCCGGGGTAAAATTAATTTAGGATCAAACACATTATAACACCAACAATTTATGATCATTTCCTTGAAGTAATAATCATCATATTAATCCTTTTGCTCTGCAGACGCTGTAGTTCTTTGGCCTTAGTGTCTCGGTCTGATTGCATTTCCATAAAGAAATGTTCTTCCTTGAGCTGCGACTCCCCGCTGCAGTCTGTAATGGACTGGCCTGAGGTCTCGCTATAAACAAGCGGCTGCTGGAAGAGAGTAGGTGAGTTGTGTTTAGTCTCTTTGCTGAAGAAATTAGTCAAAGTTAAAAAGATGTTTGGTGGCTGGGACCTTATATGTCCTGTTGATGAAGTTAGGTGCTGTTCTGAGCATTATTTGTGGCTATAGAGTGGTGTTTTCGTTGAGCGCATGGCTCTCTATATCGCGATTGTGCAGTCGTTACTAAAGTTGGTATAACTAGAGAAGCAAGTGGTCGGCAACATTCATCTCTGGAGGGGGTGTCTAACTCTGTGTTACGGTGTGTTTGACCCTATATAATTGTACGCCGGAATATCCCTTTAAGACCCCAAGATACAGATCCTTATATTGCAACAACCACGGCTCAAGCTTTGTGTTTTCTTCTCGACTATTTATCTGCTCGTCTAACTTTTCTCAGCAACACTTTCAGGGGCGGTTAAATTTGGCACAAACACCCCATCGGGCTCATGAGATGAAGTGATAACATTTTGGCGGTCAGAGTGCGGAGGTTCTGAAAGTTTTTGGGCCAGAATCAACGTTTGAATAAATAGTCTCCTTGGCATGATTTCTGTCTCGTTCCAAAGCACTCCTGGATGAAATATGGTCATCTTTGAGAGTTGGTGTTCAAAAGTCACCGGGGTACCGGGATCTCTGCAAATGCATGAGGAGAATTAGCGGATTTGTCCGACTTTTGTGTGTCCTTGCCCTCTTAAATGTTAAATGTAGGCCAGCTTCTGCCCCTGTTTTTTAATAGGATATCATCCCCATCCTCTGAGTCTGTACCTGTAAGTTCTTACCTCTCCATATTAACCATCAGAGAAGCATGTAACTGTCAAACATGTTTCCTCCTCCTCTTTACTCCGCCGTATGATGACAGAGGCCTCCTCCCTGTGCTATAATTCATATCAAAGGGTTAATAAGCTTCGATTCACGCTCTGCATTTTAATCCTTATCAGGGAGCAGAGCACAACATACGTGCACATCAGACGCACTTTTACACGGTGCAATAAAAGATAACATTATTATACGTTGGTGTCGCGGCGGTAATTTGGTAACAAATTAATTTGCCGTTTCTCGTTCGCTTAATTACACCCAGCTCTTTGTGCTGGAGTGTCATAAATTGTGGTGTGATCAGGGGGGAATTTATACCAGTGTGCCTCTTGTCACCCTCCCCGCCCCTTTGCATGTCATCTCTCAAGGAGCGCGATTTAATGGACGCCGCGAAAAAGAGGTAGCCCTGGATTCTGCCGCCGCCGAGTGCGGGATGATACATAAATTGTGCGTACGTGCTCATTGTATTTTCAATGAGTGTCTTAAGTCGTATGAATCACAATTAGCACGGCGTCTGGATGGACCCGGTTGAAGCGTGCAGTCTCCTCAGGGTGAGGTTTTAGCCTTGAGAGCAGCACAAGTGTATGTAAAATAATTCAGGTGCATTTGGAATAACAGACATTGTTTATTCTTTTCATGGAGGTCAGCAGGTCAGGGAAGTCAGTGTGTTGATGCTATTTAAAGTGCTCAGGATCGAGATATTATTGTTACCATATATCTGCTATTATTGTTGCCTAATTGAATCTAATAATCATCATATCCTATAGTGTCTCTCATTGCATCGTATCCCATTGGACTGGATCGCGTCACATTGATCATATGGTGTAACTTGTGAGCCATTATGCAATTTTCTTAGTGCAAGAAAAGTTAATAATGCAGCCAGACAGCAGGTGCAGCCCGGCCCAGGTCAGGATAGGAGGATAGGACGTTCCTCTCTTTCACACATCACTTCCTCTAAATCATAACAGACAGAGGAATCTGGTCTGTCTGCAGCTGTTGGCACAATAAGACCAGGGACAGACCAGGGAGACGAGTCCAGGAGTCTCTGCGCTCCACATGTCTTCTGAGAACAGGAATAGTTTTTGCACAGGCTGGGTTTTCCTCTCTGTTGTACACTTTACTGCTCAGGTGTGATGATTTTATATTACACCATTCAGAAACCTTGTTGCCGTTGAATAAATGCTCTGACCTATATAGCCTTACGTACTTCACACAGAGCTGTCAGACATTAAGTGCCCTTAAAGTGCGTTTTTGTCTGTGTTGAATGTGCCGAGCGAGCGAGGGAGGGTTTTCCCTTCTTAACTACAGTGTCATATTTATTCACTTCTAATTAAGCCCTTTAATCTCCTCTCTTGCGAGACTCACGGCTCACATTTTAAAGCCCACAGGAAGGAAACGACGGAGAACCCTGAAGACGTGCCTCCAATCCTCGCTCACGATTCTCTGATACTTTCCGCTGCTGCTGCCTCTTCATTAGACATTTGATAAGATTTTAGAAATGTGTATTTATACTTTTCCAGGTGTTGTTCAACCATGTACTACTTTCACACAGAGAGACATCATGGAGAAGTTAAAAATACACATATGGATTTAACAATATGGATGTTTAGGGTCAGGATCAGCTGATAAACACCTGACATACACAAAGGTGTCGGTATACGATAATTCAAGCCATGAATTTCAGCTGCTTGCAAATAATGGCAGCTTATATTCCATAAATGGTCGGTCTGTCTTCATGACTGTTTAGTTTAGAAGAATTCAAGGCAGGTTTATTTGTATAGCACCATTCATACACGAGGCAATTCAAAGTGGGATAAACAGACTGTTAACAGCTTTCTAGACAGAAATTGCAATTAAAACAAGAATAAATCACTTCATTATACGGCAGTATTGTCAAATGTTGCTCTCTGCAGCTGTAAAATCAGGAATATGAGTGGCAGAGGAATATAAAGTACAGTCCTTTCTTTCGTTTTTCTCTATCTCAAACTCTAAGAACAACAAAATACAACTAAAACAAAAACACAGAGCAAAATAATACATATGTACACCAAACAACTGTGCATGACAAAGATAAATTTACGCTAACATGTTTGTCAAAAACAGTCTGAGGAGGAACAGAATGAAGGAAAGAGCTTCTCTAGTCCTGCCCCTTCTTTCACTTCACTTCACTTCAACTGTATTATGTCCCAAAAATGAGCAAATGGGTTGCAGCAGGCACAGGCATTTTAAACACTGCCGTACATCATTAAAAAATAATAATAAAATAAAATACAATGACATAAAAAAACAGTTCAGGAGGTAAAAAGCATTAAAGATGAAGGTAAAAAGAAAGTACCAGTATTTTTGCATGAACAGAGTGCATGAAATGCAGAAACAAAGTGCAATGTGCAGTTTGCGTACCAATAAAAGACACCTAGATGAAGCTTGATCTATACAATAACAATAATACACACCATCTAATATCAGAAACAGTTATCTCCTCCTGCAGGAATCATTCAGGGCTCTGATAGAGCCTGGGATGAAGAATTTTTATGCCTGTTTTTTGTGGCTGTAGGAACTCGCAGCCGATGGCCAGAAGGTAACAGATTGTATTCTGAGATGAGAGGAAGGTCACTATGAGACCGAATTCTTTGCAAATCAGAGCCAATAATGAATGGAAAAGAGAAAATCTAATTGTAAAAAAAAAAAAAATCTAATTCTGTTTTAAGAGAAAAATGAGCTGAAAGGTAAAAAGATGTCCGTTGTATTCAACAATGTGCACTTTCTCTGCAGATGTGTAGCTCGCTCAGTACCACCTGTTAACTCTGCCCACCAACCAAACACAGATGATGAGCTTCGGCTCGTGCCATCTCCCTCTGCTGGTCACTTGTTGTCTCTGAGCCTGTAACACTGTTCTCTATTAATGCTTGATTATGGTCCTAAACATTCAAAGTGATGCTGCCGGTCTGGTTTGTCCTGCCGTTTATCCGGCTTTATTGCTCAGCAAAGTGTCTGTATCCTTTGGGTAAAAGACCATCCTCTCAAATCTCTCTCTGCATTTTAATATATCACTCTTTGAGCTTTTTGCATGACAAAAAATATTTAAAAAGTGTGTTGTATTCACCAAATTTTAAGTTCAAATAGTAATCTTTTGTTTTAACTAATGTAATTTCCATCTTCTTGTTTATTCTTGACTGTGCTGCCTTTCTTTGAAACCAACCGCATGTCTGTAATGTTATTTGAAAGATAAGAGGCAGCTGAGCGGCCTGCGAGAGTAAAGGCATGCATCCTGCTGTACATTGAGCAACAGAAACATTGTTTATAGGAACAAGAAGTTCTTGAGGTGGTTTATACAACCTCCGTGTAGGCCTTAACTCGGCCGATTAAAGGCTCAGCTATGGAAAGCTTATAATCGCTAACAAACAGAACTTTTGCATGCAAAACCATGAGCACGCCGATCCTCTCAGATGAGCGGCAGGCAGAGTCAGCAGGTCGTTTTTTTTACCAGACAGGCAGGAAGAATTGAACCGATACCAACAGAGTTTAAACCTGCAGCCGCTGTAAACCTCCCAACAGATTAAAGCTGTGACTTAGATGTTAAAATGCTCAATGAATTCATTATGAGACACTTACTGCTGCAGAAATTCAAAGAACGAGGGAGAATCAGGAGTTTGCAAATCAAAACTTTTGCAATGCATTTACTGCAGGTGCCTGAAATATGTCAATAAATGAGTGATTTATCGTGCAGCCCTCCTTCTATTGTAAATACAAGCTTCTCGGTGAAGTCCTGTGCAGTTTTAATCTGAAGGCCTCTCCTCGTAAAACTCTCCCACAGAGGAATCCTTTATCTTCAAGGTCATGTGGCCTCCGAGGGAGTATCAGTCCCTCCACCCCCATCTTCAACACCACCTACCTTCAACTCTCTGATATCTTTCCGCACACCCCCTCAACCTCGGGGTCTTAAACAGTTAGGTGAGCACGCTATCATTACTTCTCTCAGAAAATTAGGACCCCTTTAAAGTGTAAAAGGGATGTCTTCCTCTCCACCAAGAGCACACATCCCCCAGGCCACATTTTGATGTGCATCTTTGATGAACTGGGAATTCTTCTTCGCTCCCACACAGCTGAGGACTGTGTTTTTGCAAATAGGCTGTCAGAGCCAGTGGCTGTGAACTCGTTTTTACTGCATTTCACTTTTTCTCTGTAAAGCATATCCTTGTGAGACTTACACTAAACGAACCACACCTTGTTGATGCCAGAGGTTTGTTTGTTTTTGTCTCCTGATCCCCTTCCAGAGCCAGATTCAGTCTCTGATTTTCAACACAAACATAATCAGGAATGACAGAACCTTTGGCTCTGATGCCTCCGTCTTTTCGGCGTTACTAAACATGCAGGACGTGTGTCACTCCTTTGGCGAACTATAGCCAAATGGGGCTCTAATTGTAAGTGGATTTAGATCTGAGCTGGTTTCAGGCAGCGAGACTCGGGCTCACAGTAGCGCGCGAGGGGGAGGAGACTGTCTTACACACACACACTATTCTCTTTATCACTTACCCTCTCTGCTCTGCTTCCCTCTCCCTCCTTCTCTCTCTCCTCTGATTGGCCGACAAAGCAGCGAGCCAGCGCTCCCCTTCCCCCATCCTTCATGAGAATCTACGTCACACATCAGAGAGTCCCAACTGTATAACGATCGCCTCCATAACTCCCCTCATAACGCCGTATCACAACCACAAAGTCTGCTGTTTTGGGCGGAAATCACTCCTCAAAATCGGTGCGAAGGTTGACCGTGTCACTGTGACGCCCCTAATGCAGGAATATTGACAAAAGGATCAGAGTAGATCACCGCAAATGAAGGGGAAAGAGAGGGGAGATCACAGGAAGGTGGGGAGGAATGAAGCACGGGGATGGAGAGGAAATGGAGCAGATGTAGAGAAATCCGATGAGAGGCGAAGTCAAGCTCTCCAGCTTCCTCCCTGAGCTCCGAGGCTGCAGGGAGAGGGAGACACACAGGCAGAAACGGGTGAAACTGGATCCAAATGTGCACTCGGTGGCCGAAGGGGTACTTGGGGCAAAAATAACAGAGGAATCCCAACACACACACACGCACACACACACACACACACACACACATATGCAGGACAGACATAAACATACACAGGAAGACGAGGATGAGGAGAAGGTGGTTGTTGTATGTGAGTGAACATGTCTGTCAGCGGGCTGAGTGGATGTATATTCCCTGACACATCCCGTCCTCTCCCCTCCGTGTGGGCCTCAGCATTACATAACTCTTTGTTTTTGTGTGTGTCGGGCTGGCCGCATGTGTGCGAGTTATTCATTGCTTCACTGCACACACTGGGGATGGCAGCCAGTGGTGAAGCGTGGCTCTTTATAACTCATTTAGGTTTTCTTTTTGGTTTAGGCTTTCTTTCCTCCTCTCGTATTTTATTATGAGCAGAAGCTGAAATTCACTGTTGGCCGAGCATGTGCACGTTCCCTCTGATCAGCTGATGCTTGTATTTGTGCTTGTAGAGCGTGCGCGTGAGGCTTTAAACACATTTTTTGCATCCTGTTTACATTCTAGTTTACCAGCTTATTGTATTATGTAATGAAATGTACTGAGGCGATTATCCCGCGTGCTTTGTGTCCTATAATGCATCTCAGCCAGCAGCCGCTCGCTGACCTCGCGCTGATCATCCTGTTTGACTTAGCGGAGACCCTTAACCTTGCATTTCCACGTTCAGCTGCAGCATATTAGCCCGCTCAACATTTAACACATCATCGCAGAGAGAAGCAAAGACAGGCAGTGAGATTTCTCGTTCACCTGCAGCGTCCCTTTTAGCTGATTGTTTCTTATTGTTCAGCTGCATGACCTCCAAACTTAACCGCCCTTTTGTGCTGGAATTCTCTGAATGTTTAAAGATTTTATGGGCTGTAGACGATGAAATCCACTCATTTTTGGAGATTGAGTGCTGAGCAACTTTATCCTGAAATTAGGGCTGCACGATTAATTGATTTTAAATCGTAATCAGATTGATTGTGACGATGTTAAAAAAATTAAAATCCTCAAATTGATTTTCCTCCCTATCATGTCTCGTGCCTCCAGGCCACCGTAGGCTCCCCAGTTCCCACACACACCAGTGTAAACAAACATGGCGTTTGCAGAAGAAGGCGATAATTTCATAGCTAAATAAAACAAGAGCAAGTCAGTCTGGGATTGGTACAGCTTCACAGTTTCGGATGAAGAGCAAACCACTCCCCGCTGCAAAGTCTGTCTGAAGGCGGTATCAACCCGTTCATACAGATACAAATTCAGAAGTAAACTTTTTGTCATATCGGCGTTTCATCCACACGGAAACGGCGTTTTAGGTGACTGTAAACAGTACTTCTTCAAAATGGGTCAGAGAGTGTATAAATCCGTAAACAACAATCTCTATACACACGCTCTGTACTCTTCTTCTGTCTTTTGTGCATTTCCTGTGCTGCGTTACAGCGCCACTCACTGGCTCGGCATATGCACTACATCGTTTTTAGAGATGATAGAAAAACTTTTTATTATTAAAGTGAAGTTAAGTTTGTTTTTAAAAAAAAGTTATTTAAAAAATCAAAATTGAAACTTAAGTTTTAAGAGAAAAAAATTGGGGTTTTATTTTTGGCCAAAAAATACCCGACCTGAAACCGTTGAACTGTTTGCCTCTCTTATGATGGACTCAGCCTCTCTGCACTTTGCACGCTCAGTTATGTCAGTGGACTGTTGTAAATATGATTACTTGTTTTTTTAAGTATCACACAGTTTTTCTGGGGTTTGTTGTCTCTGTCTGAGCGCATATTGTTGGCCCCAACCAAATCTAGAGTTCATATTGTTGTAACTCATCCAAATCTGTTTTTATCAACTTGTACAGCTGTGTTTAAAAGTTAAAGATAAGTGTGAGGACTCTCAGGTTTTTCTAGCAGAGAGACGATAAAGGTCAAGGTTTAACTGTAGTATTATGCCTTAAGTGGTGAGAAACAGAGTTAAAACTAGAGTGAAACAGAGTTGGTGTGGAATAAAAAGTTTCCTTGTGGGCAGAAATATTGTCACCCAGAAAACAATAACATGCCAGAGTTATATTTACACCACCTTCTTTCTGCTGCCCCTTAGTGGCCAGAAAAAGCTGTCAGTGCAGGTTAAAGAAAGTCGAGCACAAACCAGTTAAATGGCTAATTGGCTGAAAGGTTGCACAACACAACTCTAGCTGGTCACAAACAACAGGAGACAGCATGCCAGGGCAAAGGTGTGCATCTGTGTAAGTGTGTGTGTGTGTGAGAGTGAATGCTAGAGAATCTCACTCTGTTGCTACGGTTACTAAAGCTAGCAGGACACGAGCACTTTGCTTCAGCAGCTGCACAAGCAGTTAATAACTAACGGCACTTAGAGGTGATCATTTCAGGGGACACAAGCTGCCACAGACCATGAGCAGGGTCCGCTGACAGGACCGAGCGCTCTTTACTCTGCTGTCCTGCAGGAGACCACAATAATGCAGCAGGCACATCTAAGTCCATTATCTGCTACTTGACCTCCTCATCACTTCTAATCTGTGTCTTGGCCATCCCTGGAGGCTGAGGGTTTATATCAGTACCACCCTGAGATTACTACAGCTCTCCAGTTCTCTAAAGTGCAGCCATGTGTTCAGACCGACCGCTGCCGACAGCGGAGCTCCGGGCGGCCGCGCACATTTATAGACATCTCCTCATTTGCCTTTCTGAATTTAACGTTCAAGTTCTCATCCAGAAGTGACCGTGGATTTAAAAAGATGCAGCGCAGGAAATGCTCGGCCACAGCAAAACCTCCAGAAATGACTCCTGCTTGTTTTGTGTGTACGCAGCGTTTCCCACAGAATGACAGATTTTAGTCCGCTGGAAATACTGGAAAGGATTGCCCTCATTACACAACTTTAGCTCTGGTCTTTTACTGCACACGGAGGCTCCCACAGATGCTCTGTTTGTGTCGAAAAAAACACAGCTGGACTGGTATTTTGGATTTTTATACCAGAGAAGGTCCATCTGTTACTTTAGGGAGGATAAAGCGAAAAAGTGAGGGGCTTAAAACCTAATATACCTCAGGAGTATGTTACCTGTGTATGAGAAGCATCACTTTTTGTCAGGACAGGAAGGACAAGTAGTAAATGTGCTCCTAAAAATGCCGTTTAATCATCAACTTATCACACAGTTTGCACCAAAATCTCTTCTTTGCTCACGCTCTTTTTCCCTCCTTCCTCCCTGCATCTGTCTCATGACCTGTCCGCAGTGCCAGACTCTGCCAAGCCGGACCCCACCCCTCCTCTTTCCCCCGTCAACCCCAGTGCCGCCCCGTCTGTACCCCCAAGCAGTGGCAATGGCAAGCGCGCCCCCTCCGGAGGTCAACCGCAGACAGCACAGCAGCCCCAGACTCCGCTCCAGCAGCGCTACCCGCCCAGAGAGGTTCCCCCGCGCTTCCGCCAGCAGGAGCACAAGCAGCTGTTGAAGAGGGGCCAGCCTCTTCCCCCGGGGACCCTGCCTCTCACCAACACGGGACGTCCCAACACTACTGAACCTGCAGCGGGAGTAGCCATACACTCCTCTCCCTCCTGCTCTTCTTCCTCAACAGCCAGCCTGCCTACAGGTCAGCACAGACGCTCTTTTTAGCAGAGGGAGAAATTTATGTGCATTAAACTTTCTGTGTATTTCACCTGCTGCGTTCTGTAGGATCTCTTTAAAAGGTCCACGATTGTGACTTTTTATCTTTACCTGGAGCGCTGACTGAAATCCACCCGTAAATAAAGTAGTTTGTTTTCTCTGGTGGAGTGTATAGAGTCACTCTGCACAGCAATGGTTCAGTGAAAGTTCATTTAAACACAAAGATGAGAAAGGCACTGAGCAAATTTAAACTATCGCTCCAGTAATATAAACCAGTTTGTTAGTGTTTTAATAAATATAAAGAGATAGATATCATTTCTGTCATGGCAGAAATCCAACAGATCGTCCCCGACTTAAATTTCCCCTCCCCTCAAACTGCACGTCAAACAACAACAACAAACCATCTGGCGGGAACTCAGCTGATTCTAAAATTAGTTAGGAGCCAAAATCGGACTTAATCCGTACAGTGTCTGCCCAGCTTTAGACAGCAATACTAAAACATGATGTCAAAATAACAGTGTCTTTAATACGGGGTAGACTCCGTTATGTTTACACGCCATGTTTGGGTTTTAATTCACAGCTCCTCCTGAAAGCTGTTTGTCGTAGACGTTGTTGGTTTTGTTTTGCATAAACTTGCATTTGCATCCTTAAATGACACGGGCTGCGCGTGCTTTGTGTTTTTCATGTATTGCGCTGTGATTTCAGCAGCGTGGTGTACCTGTAGAGCGGTGTGAAGGTGTCACAGGTGTTGCTGAGTGTTGTTTATTTTCCCTCTGCCTCTGCCTGGCTGGGGATTAGGAGCGGGGATAGAGGAATACAGAGGGAGAGGATGGAGAGTAAACACAGCTGGCTATCTCTCCGTGTTTGTGTATTTCCTTCCTGGGGCTCTGCACGTCGCACTAAATCGGATTCTTGTGTTCCTCTCAAGTGGTAAAGGTTTATTCTCTCCTAATGAAATATCATCAACTCTTTGGAGACGGTGTTGAGACTTTTTTTTCTTCGCTAATGAAAACAAACTTCACTATAAATGAACGTCTGAGCATCGTCCAACTCCTTTGATGCTGTTTGAATGCAGCTTTGTCTCCATGGTGATTAGATGTTTATCCAATCCTCTTCACTTTCTCCTCCTCCTCCTCCTCCCTCTCATCATCTTCCTCCTCCTCCTCCTCCTCTTCATTGAGCCTTTCTGATCAGCTCAACAGTATTTCCTGTTTTATCGGAGGAGGAGCCACGCAGAGCGAGCTAGTTGGCCGCGCTCCTCAGTGGGCCTGACCTGGCGCTGATAGAGAGACTGAGAGGGAGGGAAAGAAAGAAAGAAAGAGAGAGAAAGAAAGAAGGAAGGAAGGAGAGAGCGAGCATGGCAGAGGTCCAGTACTGTGGGCTGAAGTGACTCATGGCTTACGGTAAAAGCTGCTACTTCTCTCCACCCCTCTCTGGCAGGCCTGCTCCGCTCCGCTCTGCTTTTGCTCTCTGCGAGTCTTTGAACCGACTGATTACATTAAAACGGACAAACAGGAGGACCTTCCAGAGTGAGAGACACACACACAAGTCCGCTCTGAGGTTTTTCAATGATAATAAAAATAACATTCAAATGCTCAAACGTCGGAGAGTCTTTTTCGTTGAAAACACCCACAGAGCTCCGCAGGTAAACCCACCTTCACCTCCATCCCTCCGTCCTCACAGCCCCGTCTGCTGATTGTCTCTCTCCCAGCTTTCATTTCTCACCGAAAGCTAACAGTAGAGGCACACTGGCTGCATTCATTCCCTCCTCTTCTCTCCCTTCCTCTCCATCCGCTGACTCCCCCTCGCCTCACCCCGTCTTTCATTACCCGGTCACATGTCCGCTCTGTAGAGAAGTAGTGCCGATAAACGTGGCCTGTACGTATTTGTACTTCTGTGAGTAAACACAAACTTTCTCTTTCTCTGCCTGCTGAGCCGTTTGTGCCCCTGCTCAACTTTATACTAACTTTTACTCTCCTGTAAAGCAAGCAGTCGCAGCTTTTGGCGTGTTTAAACGGTCAGGGTTCACAACAAGAGTTCAGATTTTATTGAGCATACGGAGTTAAACGACGTCGAGAAATCCAAATGTGGCTCTTTACTCCAATTAAGCACATTTATTAGTCTTTCAGTGGCAATAATGCGCTCAGCAGCCCTGGGCTTGTTAAGTTGACCTTCAGCTAATCAAGGAATAAGCTCGCCGTCCCGTATTTATTCACTGTTACTCCGCTTTTATTTGTCTAACACTCCTTTGTGAAATCTAATAAAGTTGCGACAAAGATTTTATCACCTGGAGGCATTGTACTTCCTCTCACAACAAACCGTTTCAGTGTAAACAGGCCCTGTCGGGTGCAGAAACAGTGCAGCTAATGTGCTAATAGCTTGTCTGGTGGAGAACAGAGGGAGTGTATGCATGCTCGACTTGATGCGCTCTTTAAGTCTGCTGATGATGCTGTAAAAGAGCCCTGGGAATCCCCTCAAAGAGGGCTGGGACGTCTTGTGATGTGATTAAACATCAGCTCGCTGTTAACCACAAATGTTCAGCACTCTCTCGCTTTTTTTCTTTTTTCTATCTCGCCTCGCTCCCTCGCTCTGTGCTCCTGTTCCTCTCTCGCTCTCTTTGCATCTTATTGTTTCCTGATGCACATGTGCTCAACTGGTTCACCTTTGCAGCACCAACCCTGCATCGCCGTCGGCCTCGGGGCAGCCCGGATAAGTCGGGCACACATACTAAACACACGTCTGTCAATCTCCTCCCGTTTTAACAGCCTTCTCCCCCGTGTTGCCTCTTGCTTGGCTAACAATCCGTATCCCAGGGCCCTTTCATGTAGAGCAGGCGTGAGGGAGCGGGCTATTTTAAGACTGGCATGCTGGAGAAAGCCCTTGACCTGGTTTATCCTTTGGAGAGGGGGAGGAGAAAGAGGATACTCAAAGGCAAACATGACGTCCAGATGTCTTAGTTGTGTACTTTTGAAGACTTGATTGTCTTGTTAGTTTTTTCCTTTCAAATACTGATGAGATAATAAAGCAGCTGCAGCCGAAGCTTCCTACAGACTCTTACTTACGCTCCAGATTGGAAGAGTTCACACATTAACCCCGGCAAGCAGTTTAATCCTAACAATAAACTTATTTACAACTATTACAACGATTAATAAAAAGGAATTTAAAACGTGGGAATGAAAACTGAAGACCTGCCTGCTCCTTCAAAATAAAAGTCTGTCTTGATCTATATTTAGATCCTTTTAAATAAATGCACGCCTCTCATCTAATAGTATGAAGTAACACTGCCACACTAACCCCCGATTTCCATCACATCCTAAACGGCTACAAAAAGGCTGTATCCACCGATCGTAGCTGATTGTTACCATTCAAGTTAACGTGTCAATTTCCACTGGCTTCTTTCTGTTCCGCTGCGGGTCGCCAAACAGCTGATCGCAAGAGTTCTATTTTTTCCGGACGCCAGAGCATGCCGGATAAATTCAGCACAGATTAACCTGGAAAGCTGGAAAGGAAGTCGAGCACAGACACAATATAAAACATCCGGCTTCTTTTCAAAATAAAATACTCAGTGTTTCAGGCAGATCGTACTTCACACCATGCAAACGGGCGGAGTAGAACAAGTGAAAGGTTTTTAGACGTCATTTCACCTCAATGACACCATGGATGAGGAGATGCTGATTCTAGAAGTCTAGAAGTAGATTTCCTCCTCTGGAAGGACACAATCTACTGCTTATATGTCTATGTGGCTGTCTTTATAGAGACAACTCGTTGTTGCGTGATTGAACGTGAATCCACAGGTTCTTGTGAGTTCTCACCGTTCCGGATTGTAGCGGAAATTCGGGGTAAAGGTTTGAGCTTGTGGTGGATGAAAGTCCATGACCTTAAAGCTCGTTTCTCACTCTGTCTAATCGAGCTCTTCATTGTAAAGAGTTAATAAAAAATCATACTACATGCCTCCTATTTTGCATTTTTGCTGCATTCAAGGTTCCATCAGAAGAGTTTGACTTCCAGCCAAGACTCCCAAATACCGCCAGGTTTTTCTGTCTGTGCAGGAATAAAAAAAGTGCCTCATTCTGTCATGAATTTTTCTGCTCCTAGAAATCAAATAGTGCGTGTCTATTGTTCGTAATTGTTAAACACAGATGAAGCACATTCCTGAAGAGTGTGTGTTCATGTGTTGGAGAGGTCGTTCATCTGACTGGCAGCTAGCATAGTCAGCTCTGTACCATCCAGTCGCTCTGCCCCTCTGGGACTTCATTAAGCCAGGATCAGTCCAGCTGAGGCCCCGTACAGTCCTCCTAGATTACTTCCTCCATCCATCTCTCCAAATCCATCTCTGTCCTTCATTTTCTGTCCTCGCTGCCATTGTGTTTTCATTCCTCGTGATCCATCTTTACATGATCCTCGTTTCCCCCGCCCCCTCTGTTAGTGAGGCATCAAAAGGCTTGAGCGATCAGGAAGTAGTGTGTGTGTTGTTTCTGCTCGCCCCTGTGTGTGCGTTCACACAGTCGATGCGGTGTGTGTTTACAGTGTTCATGTTAACACACAAAAGGAGCGAATGGCCATCCAGAAGCACGCCATGACCTCACAGCGCGTTAGGTCCCCTCAGAGGAGAGGCACAGCGGACTGAGCCCGCACCATAAAGGGACTCTGTTCTCCACCAAACATTGACTTATTGTGTTGTTGCGTGGGCGCCGGGATCATTTGTAAACAATACCAGCCTTGATCCAGGGGCTGCCGTCCCTCTTCTTTTCTTTCGCCCAGCTCCCGGCCTGTCTGCTGTAACTCCTCTGCAATGTTTGGGATCGGATCTCCAGACCCTAATCTCGCACTACGATCTGTAAGAGCAGGGTCACGTCACGGACTTACTGCCCTGAAAGCACCTCAAAGGGCGGCGGTTTGAAGGCTCGGCTCTGCTGCTAACTGTATAATTAAGACATTCACAGCCAGCAGGCACAGATTTAGACCAAAACAAACGTGTCATCATGTGTGGTCTGATGACGTGACTGTGCATACATAAACGTGTGTGCATGTGTGAAAAAATTGTCATTCCAGCACTGTGCGCTGTGGGTGCAGCGTGCTTTTGTGGGGTTTTTTTCTTTCGCTCTCTCTGCTATTCAAAAAGCTTTCCATTGTGGGCCGGCTGTGCTAATTGCAGATGGAGTGGTCTTGGCTAAATATTTAGTGACAGTTTTGAAAGGTTGAAAGATGTGAGGAAGAGAGAGAGAGGGGGGGGAGGTTTTGTTTTGTTTTTCCTCATGCTTCATGAGTGCATAATGAAAGTCTCCGGGCTTTATCATTCAGCTGTTAACGGAGCCCCCCCCTCTCACTTCCATCCAGGCCACCATCATCAATACACCCCCCCACATCTCTCCATTGCTCCCATCCCCTCCCCCAACCCGCCTCCTTTCAGTGCTTTTCCAGAGAGGGAGAATATCCTCCATCAGGATAGGAATAGAGCACGATATAAATAAAGCCAGAGGGAGGTAATAGATAGAAGAGGAGAGACCCAGCCAGAGCAGTGTTGGTGGGAGGGACTGTGCATGAGGGGTGAGGAAGGAAGGGAGGGAGGGAGAGAGGGAGGGGGGGTGTCTTATGCCGCGCAAGAGCTGTGCAACTTCTTGGCAGCATTTCAGAAACGAGCCTCAGAAGCTTGGCGAGCCGAGCAGACATATTGAGACAAGGATGGTTGCTGCGTCGCACAAAACCTAGCTCTTTACAGGATGGTCGGGAGGCACCTCTCCACAGGTATTTCACTACTCTGTTTCACCTCTCCACTTCTCTGCTGCTCCGGTACCCTGTTTTTTTCTCTCCTCTCTTCCTCATCTGCGTTGTTTTGGTCGCTTGTTTTTACTCACTGTGTGGATGAACAGCGAGCGCTTTCAAACGTTAAAGTGACAGTGCATCGCTGGCATGCGGTATGGAGATCTTCTGATTTGTCTGTTTTATTTCGAGGGAGACGTGCATGCTTTTACAGCAGCAGTGGTGGAGCTGCAGACGGTAGCTCAGAGCCTTTTTGGCTGTAGTTCAGGACTGAGAAAATGGCGGTCCTGCACTTCTCAGTGGAGTGACGCTACAGAACGACAGCACTGTGTGTGTCAGAAACACAGTGCCCTCTTTCCCCCTGTACTCTCTCACTGCGTCCACTCTCTCCTGTAGTTGCAAGCATTGAATTAAGCTGGAAAGCAGGGGGTGGTACACAAATGCTGATACCTCCCAAAATGCAGTTGCGACAGCGTGTGCATACAAACTACGCATGCATGTGATCGACAAACATGTAAACAACAAACCACTGCAGCGCACAGAGCAGCAGAAACGGGGCATTTAGTTGGCAGCAGGTTCATCAGTGCAGCAATCATGATCTGCAGCAGGGATTGTTTTATAACCAACATGATCCATGTGTACACAGGAACTCCTGGAGGCTAGCTCCACTCAGTCCACAGGGAGGGGAGAAAAGAGCTAAAGCGTTTCTTTTAGCCTGATGTTTAGTTTCTAACCAGGTTTTCAGAGCTAGGCTAAAGTGTTTGTGCTTCACATCAGGCAGAGGTCATAACTGCAGTGCTTAAGGGATCAGAAGTCGAAGATGACTCAGTAGCGTGACCTCTGTCATCGATGATGTCCTCCTCTGTGGTTTCTAAGTATGGCGGTCCTTAAAGGTGTCTTGTTAAAGACAAAAGAATAAATTTTATGATCAAAATGTAAAAATAAAAGATTTATTTTCATCGTCATCAGTGTTTGGTTTTAAAGGTCAGATGCACCAAATTCCTCAAGCAGAAAACAGGCCAGACGTGCCATCTGTAGATAAACTTAATAATCTTTGATTTATCACAGCCATATAAAGCAGATCATTGTTACTGCTTTTAGTCAGTATTTATTTATAAACATACAGATAAAAACTATGAAAGTGTGTAGTATTCAAAGAGAGTAAATATTCAACTTTTCAATAGTTATCGTGGTATACCTTATCTCCTCTCTATATTTGCTCTAATGCGTGGGTGGTATTTATTTTCATTAATAAAGCAATATCTATAGTCTTCTCATGAATGCATAAGAAGACACCTTACGTGTTGCCATGGTATTTAACCTTACTGAGAATGCGTGGGAGTGATGACGTACATAAATTCTGCCTCTTTGCTCGTCTTCAAGCTTACCCTCACCTAATGCCGTGTTTCTCCCTCTTACACAGAACTGCCCCCACAGAGTGGCCAAGGAGCCCAGTATGATAATCCCCTCTGGGGACACCTGCCAGCCAACAGAAGTGCCACAAGTGCTACATCTTCCACCAATTTCAGTGGCTGGGATCAACTGATCATCGACCAGAAGGACACAGAAGCTTGGCCTTCTATTACCCTCAGCCAGAGCCAGGCCCCTCAAGGAGGATGCCCTTTGGACACTGACCCTGGTCGCCGGACCAGCAGCAGCAGTAGTACTAGTAGTAGTTGTAGTACAGTGATTATGGCCACGGGGGCTAATAGCCAGACAGGCCACTTCCCTGCCAACCAACTAAGCAGCAAGGCCAACAGTGTGCCCAGCCCTGCCAATCATAGTGGAACCAGCATGCTCTCCAGCCAGGTTGCAGCCAGTCGCAGCTGGGGCTCTGGGTCTGGACCCTCCCATTGCCCCCCTCAGTCCTCAGTGGGGAGTGAAGGGAAGAGTGACAGCCCGGTGGCTGGAGGAGGCAGCAGGGGCTGGGGCTCTTCTTCGTCATCTTCCACCAACAACTTTAACTTGAACCTAAACCCCAGTGCCAACCCCTCAGCCTGGCCCATGCTGGGACACGATGGGGGCGGCACAGGGGGAGGCAGCTCAGGGGGAGCCAACACCATTTCAACTCCTCAGCCCACACCCAACCTCTCCAACCCACCTGGCCCCCCACCAGCCCAGACCAGCACCTGTACTGGAGCCAACACTAACAGCAACTCCTCTGTGATTGGCAGCGCCTGGGGTAGCATGATGGCCTCTGACACGTCAGAGCCACACCCCTCCCCGTCCACAAATGTGTCTTTCAGTTCAGAACCTCAGAACCTTAAAACTGATGGACCAAATCACACTAACAAACAGGACCCCCCCAGCCCCATTCGCAGTTTGCCTGGCTGGGGTAATGCACCTGCAGGCCTGGGTTCAATGGGCCAGTCCCAGTCAGGGGGCCCACAGGTCAATGGAGAAGATGGTAGTTCAGCATGGGGTAACAGTGGGGACTCAAAGGCACCTTCATCTAAAGAGGCACCTGGCTGGGACTCCGGCTGGGGCCACGGAGGAAGTGGAGCTGGAAACTCTGGAGGCTGGGGAGACCAGTCTAGCAGAGGCTGGGGAAAGCAGCACACTGAAGAGACACAGGGGGGCTGGGACGCCCCCAGCTCTCCCCCCCAGGATGCACAGACCAGTCCCTGGAGCAGAGCAGTTAGCACAGCTGGTGCCAGTGAGGGGAGCAGTGACAGCATGGAAGGACATCCCCAACGAAGAGACCGCTCATCCAGAGATAATCCAGCTCCTCTCCTGCCGGCTCAGGATCTGGACCCCAGGGTTTTGTGCAACACTGGCTGGGGACAAACCCCTGTTCGTCAGCATACCTCCTGGGTCATGGACGATACTACACGCAAGACTGAAGGCTCTGAGTCGTGGGGCTCTGGCCCAAGCACCCCGAGTGACAACCAAGGGCCCTCCAACACTAACCTGGGCCCCTCACAGAGGACTGACCCTGGGAGCAAAAACGATGTGCCTGGTTCTCAGGGAGCTTCAGGTTGGGGTGGAGGCGTAGCTGCTACCAACCAGCCGAGCTCTGGTTGGGGAGAGCAACCCAACAACATCAAGCCCCAAACTGGCCCAAGTGGCTGGGGGACTCCTCCGACAACAGGCCCCTCCACCATGCCCAAGAATGGGGGCCAGTCCTGGGGAGAGGAAAAGTCCACTGGATGGGATGATCCTCACGTCAAGACCACCTCCCAGGGCTGGGGAGATCAACCAAAAGCATCTCAAAGCTGGGGCAGCAGTGGAGGGAGCAATAATTCAGGGGACTGGAGAGAAGCAGAGGACTGCAAGAAGAGCCCCACAAACCCCGGTTGGGAAGGGGAACCTGGAGGTTTGAAGGAAACTCCCCGAAGTTGGGGCATACCTCCCTCTGGATCTGGAATATCTGGAACAGGAGGAAACGGGGGCTGGGGTGAGCCAGTCGGCCAACGTACCAATGGCCCTCCCCAAAGCTGGGGGCCCAGTGGAAATAGTGGAGGAGAAAGAGGAGGAGGAGGAGGAGGAGGCATGGGCTCTTGGGGGGGCTCAGGCTCAGTGAAGCAGGGCGCAGGCTGGACTGGCAGTAAGCAGGAATCCTCAGCTGAGCCCACAGGCTGGGAAGAGCCCTCCCCGCCCTCAATAAGACGTAAGATGGAGATAGATGACGGGACATCAGCCTGGGGTGACCCTGGTACCTACAACAAGGCAGTCAACCTGTGGGACAGGAACAATCCAGGGATGTCCCAGGCCAAAGTCCCACCTGGAGCCAATAACCCCCCAGGCCCCAACAACAACAACAACAACCATCCCTCTTCTCACAATCACACCTATCACGGCCCGCCTGCACCTTTACAGAACCACACTTCAAACTCCCAAAACCCAGGGCCCACGGGTGGACCCATGGATCCTGTCGTCCAACACCAGACTGGGCCGTCTCACAACCGGGGTCCCCTGATATCTCAAGGTAGGACAACCCAGTTTTCTGGTTTACATATCTTATTTTGGTACTTTCATCCCCTGCCTTTGAGGGACTTTAAGTTGGGCACAGCTTGGGGTGATGTTGGGCACTATATAACGGTATATATCACGGTATGTTTTTTGCCCCTGTAAATTCCATTAATGGCTTAAAAATAACCACACTGTCGCATTTGTTCATTTTCCTTTTATTTTTAAATTTAAATTTGTGAACAAATGCAAACAAAATGTCAGACCAGTTTGGCGATTTTTTTTATCACATGGCGTACCTCTGGTGAAAGATTCTGCCAAGTTCTTTTGTATGAGAGGAGCTGCTACAGTTTTAGTTTTTGGTGCAGCAGGTGCGTCACGCATCTTTTAGCTCTCATAATAGAGCTTGGCGTGTTTCATCTTTTGGTGGTGGAAGAGGTTGCTGGTGTTAACTCCTCCAGCAATGACAGCCACACGACACTCTTTGATAGTATTGTTTTTTTATCATTGCCGGATTTTCTACATCCAAAGAATCTCCAGACAACCGATGTTGTGGCTCGCGCTCTCTTTCGCGCCATGACCACCACCAGTGAAGCTGTTTCTTCTTCGTCAAAACTATGCCAAGCAGTCTGCTGGACACGCTGGTGATTATAGGGAGCGCACCCAAACCTTACCAATCAAACGGAGCGAACAAACTCCGCATGACACGCTGGTGAATATACGGAAGCGCACCCAAACGGAAGCGCTCCAGCTTTCCTGTTAGCCAGCGCAGACAACTACATACTGAATCAGAGAGATGCAGCAGACATCTTCTCTCTCTCTCTCTTTGGTATAAATGCAAAATTTGTACCAATAGACACCTTTATACCGTCATACCGCCCAACACTAGCTTGGGGTGTTACTTTTTACACAGCTTAGTGGAGATAAATGACCGAAGAGTCAGGTCTGTGTTAAAATATGGATCAGCATAAAGGTCTCATTTAACTGGCTTCGACTGTAGGTGAGCCGTGTTGTTAGCGTTCACATTCGTTTGATTTCAGATCTCTGACTCAGTAAAATTATGACTTTTTTCCCCTCACTGCTCAAAGCAAAGGTGTCAAACATGAAAGCTGGTCGGTCAGTGAGCGCGGCGCTCTGCTGAGCTCCAATCTGTTGATCCACTTAAAGGTAATACTTGACCTAGTTTGTCCTCTTTGGATTTACATGTAATTCACTACACAAATGAGTTAGCCAGCGCCGCCCTGTCTTCTCCATGAGGCTCCTCAGATTTCACAACACTGAACCCCTCTGTGCGGGTAACCCTGGCAACCCCTCATGGGCACTCAGAGGAAGCACAAGAATGCTGTTTACAAAGTGCCTCGTGAAAACAGCGATTCACCACAAACTGTTTGAGACGGATCGGAAGTGTGTGATTATATGGGAGCCACCATCTGTCAGTATCTGAAGGGAGGAGGTGGAGCGAGCGTTTAGGCGCTGTGAGGGGTCAGACGCCCCCTGCTGTCCCTCACTTGACCCTGCATACTGACAGTCACACTGGATATGTTTGCTGCCCAGTAAAACCTGATAGCTGACCCTTGAACTGGCACAGCTCTTCGGGAGTTTAGAGCTAAAAACAAACAGGGTGAATAATAGATATAAATTAGGCACAGCAGGAGGTGAGAATGACTTTACTTTCTTTCACATTAGATGGTAGATCGTAGTCTGCTTTTGGAGCTGCCGGCATGATCTGACCTCTCCCTGTAGAGAGAGCTAAGCTCAGCCTGGCACTGCCACTGGCCCCCAGACAGCACCGAGTCTCTGGTGCCAAGAGGGACCAGGGCTGTGCCAAATCTTAAATGGGCATCTTCTCTGTGTGTCAATGATCCTGCTAAGCAAGCCCAGGTTTCTGCACGAGTGGCACTTCACACTCCAAAAGAGAAAGATAAATGGGGTCATGATGTGTGAAAGAGGCTCTGATGGACTTGAAGGTCTGATTTATCGACAAATTAAGTACCAAAAAAAAAAAGGTTTTTGCAAGTCTGTTATTTGGATTAATTTGGATTTAAACTTTAAAATCTCAGCAGATACTAAAGGAAACAAAGAAACTGAAATCTGATCTTTACAAAGGTGGTGAAGACTGAGAATTTGTGCAGATTTCTAACGATATGTTAATATTTTTGTGTCTCCTGCAGGTTGGGGAGAGCTTTCCAGCTCCCACACCAAATCAGAGAGCTCTTGGGGGGAACCCGCTCCTGCTCCGGTCAGCGTGGACAACGGGACTTCTGCCTGGGGCAAGCCTACCGGCAGCTGTGGAGGCTGGGGAGACAACAACTCCGACAGCTACGGCAGGAGCAACTCGACGATGACAACTGCATCTTGCAAACCTGGTACACGTCTATGATTATAATATGAGACCGTCTTAACAAGATGTTTAACTTTAACAACAGCGTGTGTGCTCTTCACTGCTGGAAACAAGTTCAATAACCATCCCCTCATGTCTCAAGGACATTAATATAATAGAGGAGATGGAAGAGCTCCCACAATCCCTCACAGATATCCACACTGGCCCCTAGTGGCCATTTGATAAACTTGTTCAGAAGATGTGTGGGTAGAAAAGGAAAAGGTGTCATATTTTTAGTTTAACTGAGCAGTATTTAGTTTTTTTCAGAACTCACCTGACTGGATACTTGACTTTAACGGAAACAGAGGATTTTATATGTTGGAGTGCACGTTTATAACAGAAATAAATGCTTGCGTCGCAGTTTTCCACCTAAAGCTATTGTCTATCATGCTGCATTGTCTGAATCGACTCTTGTGATGTCTTCTCCAGCTCCCAAACCTATGCAAGATGGATGGGGAGGTGGAGGTGAAGAGCTGAACCTGTCGGGCGGTCAGTGGGATGCTGAGGAAGGGGACATGTGGAACAGCACTGCCTCCCAGGAAAGCAACTCTTCCTGCAACTCTTGGGGCAACGCATCTAAAAAAGCCCCACAGAAGGTGAACCAGGCCTGCTTCAATCAAGTAAAACCCTTTACGTCTTTGAGAAACTAGTTTAATATTATGTTTTCATAGTTTGAGTTAGTGTGGTATTAATTTTCCATCCTCATTCCTCTCAGGTGAAGGTTCCAGTGAAGCAGGAAGACGCCTGGATCATGAATCGTCTCATCAAACAGCTGACAGACATGGGCTTCCCTGTGAGTCCAGGAATAAAGACTAGGGCTTTATTTTCTTTAATGCATTTAATTTACATTTTATCAAAATAAAAATAACATTTACTCACAAAAAAACTCCAGATCCGCTCCTTGTTTTGATTTTCTGTAACCTCACTGACATTTTCCTGTCTTTCTCCAGCGGGACCCAGCAGAGGAGGCTCTGAAGAGCAACAACATGAACCTGGACCAGGCCATGAGTGCCCTGCTGGAGAAGAAGACGGAGCTAGACAAGCGGGGGATGGGGATAACCGGCCACGACTACAACAACGGGCTCATCAACAAGCCCATGAGCTGCCCTCGGCCTCCGCTTCTTTCCAAAGACCCCTCAGCAGATCCCCGCTTGCCCTTCATGGACAAGGTAAATCAGTGACGAGCTCAAAAAGAATAAAAAGATTATGAAATATTTTTGGATCTGAACGTTCAGGAAGTGTAGGAAATATTCCACTGATGCTCGATTCATAAGAGATTGATTAGGAGAGGAATTTCAGTCTGAGACTGCAGCTTTTCAGAGTTTTCATCCATCACAGTCTCCCCCTGCTGGACATTTGAAGAATACAGTTTCATGACACATTGATTCTCTCTTTATACTAACTCTTTGTGCACCAAAGAAAACCATCTGAAGTGCCTAAACCTTAGTTCCCTCTCACCTCTGCATGTTCGAAAGGACAGTTTCAGTTGTGCGATACATTTTTTCCTTCAAACACTCGAATTTTAATTTAACGATGGTCTGGATTTGTATTGGATTTATAAAGTCGAGACTTTGACTCTTTCTTTTCTGTTCCTCGTCCTCCGTCCAGCAGATGCAGAGTGGAATGTTTGGCGGTGGTGGAGCAGCACAAACCCGGGCCATGCAGCAGCCTCAGCCGCCTCCTCAGCCGCCAGTGCCGCCTCTCAGTTCCTCTCAGCCTAGTCTACGCGCTCAAGTGCCTCAGTTTCTCTCCCCTCAGGTACACACACACACTCACACACACACGCCTCGTTTTTGACTTACTACATCAACACATCTGTGAACTACTTTAATGTATGCACGATAAATATTCAGCATTCAGATATCGGCTTTAAGAAACATCTAATGTTCGGGTGGTGTTTTTTCCCCTACAGGTTCAAGCACAGCTCTTACAGTTTGCAGCAAAAAACATTGGTCTGAATCCTGCACTTTTAACCTCACCAATAAACCCTCAACATATGACCCTTCTGAATCAACTTTACCAGCTGCAACTGGTGAGTCTCAGTCAGCCCCATCTGCTTCAAACTGAACCGCATGTATGAGTTAAACTGCAGTTATCTGGGACCCCAAAACCCTCAAAGACAGAATTAAAAGTTTTATTTTATTTTATTTGGCCAAACATAAACCTCAAAAAGACCAAAAGCATGAGCGTCTCTTTTTTAATTGGACTGTAAATTTGCTCTCTCTAATATTTCCAGTACTTGTACTTCAATCCGTCAGACTCTGTTTTAAGTATTCATGAGTCCTCCAGAGTTATAGCAGCATAATTGACCTGCTAATGTTTATGTACTTGTTCCTAAAACAGGCATACCAGCGTTTACAAATTCAGCAGCAGATGTTGCAGGCGCAACGCAACGTTTCTGGCCCCATTCGACAACAAGAGCAGCAAGTAAGTATCAACCCTCCTGCACAAAAATCTACATTTATGTGAACTTTAGTTCTTATTAGTCTCACCTAAACATATTTCCTTTGTTGTCTTCCAGGTTGCACGTACAATCAATAACATGCAGCAGCAGATCCAACAGCACCAGCGTCAGCTGGCCCAGGCCCTGCTGATGAAGCAGCAGCAACAGCAGCCGCCCCCCTCCCACTCTGGCCTTCACCCTGGCGGGACTAAATCCACCCTGGACTCGTTTCCAGGTCACCCCCAGGCTCCGGGCCTCTCTGACCTGCAGACCAAAGAGCCGCAGTCATCTCCAAACACCTACAGCCCCTACTCTCTCTGTGAGTGGCACCAAACCTCTCCTCTCATGGCAGATAGATGGAGTGTGTCGTGTTCTAACGTCTCTCTGTCCCTCCAGCTGGACTGAATCAAAACATGAATGTAAACTGCATGGAGGTGGGAGGTCTGTCCATGAAGGATCCTCCTCAGCCGCAGTCGCGCCTGTCGCAGTGGACGCATCCCAACTCCATCGAGAGCCTCTCTGGAAGCTCCTCTCCTCTGGAGCCCAACCTGGGCAAACATGGTGAGAAACCCAACTGAATCCTGGGTAATTTAAAAGTGAGGGCCACCACTAGAGAAGGTACCTGTTTACCTGTTTTCCTCTTTACTTCTGTTTCTCAGGTGCCAACCTCGGCCCGCCTGGAAAGCCTCATCAGCTGGAGGACTCCTACAGCCCCTACAACCTGATGTCCAGCTCAGAGTCTCCTACCAGCCCCCTGGTCCCCCCTGACAGCTGGGGGCAGGGCAAGAGCAGCAGCGACAAGATGGCCAACGGGACCAATATCAACTGGCCACCAGGTAAAGAGCTTTTAGCTGAGGACCAGATCATCGATTAAATGATAGATGGGAGAACAGAGGAGGAAGATTGACGAGGAGGAACCAACAAACAGATCTAACCCGGGTCCTGTGTGAGGACTTGTGAGTCGTGTAGGACCTGGACTGCTCCTCCTATAAAGGATTGTAAAACTAAATGTCTCTTTTCAGAGTTCTGCCCCGGTGTCCCCTGGAAGGGTCTCCAGAATATCGACCCTGAGACCGACCCAAACGTGACCCCAGGCAGCGTCCCCAGCGGGCCCACCATCAACACCAATATCCAGGATGTCAACCGCTACCTGCTGCGGGACAGGAGCGGAGGTGAGAGCAGGGACAGGGTTCGACTGGAGGTTTCAGTGACAGCTGAAGTTTTGTCGATCTTTTAACTTCTGGGACGTTCTAGAAAAATCTTTGTTCAGTTTAAATTCTGACAGTTTCATTCCGCCGCTCCCACCAGACATCCTGCTTTTCTTCATTTTCCCTCTTTCTCGTGTAATCACTGTCTGTTCTTCTCAATCATTTTTGCACTTTTTTTCCTTTACTCCATTTCTTTCTCTCTTCTATTTTTCCTTTTTTTGTTTGTCTCTGTCTTTTCTGTTTGTGTTGACGGCCTCCGCTCAGGCTCCTCTCCCGCTTCATCTCAGAACGAGGCTCTGCCTCCCTCCTCTGATTGGCCGGTCAGTGCCTACACTAGCTCGTTCAGTCTGTCGTCCCCGGAGGCAGACGATACAGGTACACCGTTTGTCTGTAACCTCCTCCCCGCACGCTGCAGTGGCTCAATCACTGCAGGTCGACTTAATCCTCTCCCTCCTGTTACCGCAACGACCAGAACCTCAGCCAGTCTCTGCAGAACCTGGTCTCTCCTGGTCCTGATTAGATCTGATCCTCTTTAGAGATCTCTCCCTGCATATTTCCCCTGCTGTGGTGTATTTAGTGCATCCCCTCCTCTTGTCCGTGTGGCATGGGAAATATTCGCTCTGCAGGTGGAGCAGCTTCACTTCTGTCACTCAGGTCTGCAGACTGACCTCTCCTCTCCTCGCTCTTTTCTCTGCAGGTAAACTCTCCGAGATGAAATCGACGTGGTCTCCAGGCCCCATCTCTCACAGCCAGGCCCCTCTGTCCCACGAGCTGTGGAAGGTCCCACAGGGCACCCGGGGCAGCAACACGGCCCCCTCCCGCCCCCCGCCTGGTCTCACCAACACCAAGCCTTCCTCCACATGGGGGGGCAACTCCCTGGGTCTGGCCCAGGGCTGGAGCAGCTCTTACACCACAGGTAGTCCTCAAAGTGGAACCTTCAGAGAAGCTTTTAGAGTTTGTCGTGAGAGTTTGAAGGATTTAACAAACTAAAGATTAGAGGCCAAGAAATTTCTGTTTATTGATGAATTGATCTTTGCAAACATCCGTGATCGAGTATCAGTAAACTTAGAGACAACTCCCATTTCTGAGCCAGCTCTTATGACGTGAATGTGAGTCTGAGCTGCAGCGTGTGGAGGTGAACAGTGAGCAGTCTGAGTTTACTGGAAGAGCGAGCGTTGTCCTTATGTGGTAAAAACCGCAGGCTGATCTTGTAGGTTCAGAACAGACAGGATGAACGACGAGCTCTTCTTCTTCTTCTTGTGGTTGAAAAACGTCAACTGTCACTGGGTGGAGCTTTTCTGAGCAGCAGAAATCAACACCAACAGAAAAACTGACATTTCTAATTATGATGAGTTTCTGTTTCTGTGTTTCCGTCAGCCGGCACCACGTGGAGCACCGACAGCTCCAACCGGACCAGCAGCTGGCTGGTTCTGAGGAACCTGACTCCACAGGTGAGTCTTCACGTCAGCTGCTTCCTCTCACATCTGACAGGAAAAGTGACTCCACCCGGATTTAACGTTTTTTTTCTGTCTGTTCCAGATTGACGGTTCGACTCTGCGGACACTGTGCATGCAGCACGGCCCCCTCATCACATTCCACCTCAACCTGACGCAGGGCAACGCTGTGGTGCGCTACAGCTCCAAGGACGAAGCTGCCAAGGCTCAGAAGTCCCTGCACATGTACGAGACCTCGTTAGATGATTTCACCTACTGTAGTTTTCAGTATATGTTTTTTTTTTTGTCTTTCGTGACCTTTTTTACGAGCCGTTCTTCTCGTCCTCCCTCAGGTGTGTGCTCGGGAACACCACCATCCTGGCGGAGTTCGCCGGGGAAGAGGAGGTGAACCGCTTCTTTGCACAGGGCCAGCTGCTGGGCGGGACGACCAGCTGGCAGGCCACTCCAGGCACCAATCAGACGAGGATGGGCGGGACCGGGTCCGGCGCCTCCCATCCTATCGGTCACTCGCCTCACTGGAACAACAACAACGGCAGCAACAGCAGCAGCAGTAGCAGCAGCCTGGGAACGGGCGGCGCGAAGACGGGCGGAGAGTTGCTGTGGGGCGGCGTGCCGCAGTATTCCAGCCTGTGGGGACCCCCGAGCGGAGAGGAGGGACGAGTGGTGGGGAGTCCGACCCCAATCAATACGCTGCTGCCTGGAGATCTGCTCAGTGGGGAGTCCATGTAGGAAGAAACAGAAAACACCAACAGGAGCGAAAAGAAAAAACTTTGCAAATCATTGTGGAGATAATCAGTGTGGATGTGACGTGGAAAGGAGAGACGGGAGGAGGGCGGGGCCACATCCTCGCTGCTCATCCTCGCCAACCTCCTCGACTCCTTTTTCGGTTTTAAAGACATTTCATTTGCAGTTTCTTTAGCGAATCTCAGCGAGAGAGAGAGAGATCTCTCTCACAGCGTTCGGCTCTCGGAAAAACTGAAAGCGAACTTTTTACAGACCAGAACTCTGGAGAACTCGCTGCGCGTGAAACGAACACCAACTTTAGTCAAACTGACACGACGACGAGCTGCCACCTTGAAAAACTTGCGTAATCCCTCTCTGCCTTTTGAGGCAATCATACTGCACCTCAGAGATCCATTGAAAGGCATCATTCCCAAAGTCTAAGAACCTTCAATCAGAGCGGTTGTCGAACCTTTCGGCTGGTCCAGACTCAACATTTTGTTTCTCTCTCTCTCAGCACTAATATTAGCCTTAACCTCTCTCCTGCCCTGCTTTCCTCACTCACTCTGTACTTGGTGAAGAAGCGTACGGACACTTGCACACCCTTATTTCTGAGCCAGTGAAACCCTGAGTGGAGAGTACATGCTGCTGCAGATTTACATTAGCAACCACAGCTCACAAACTCCAGTGCATTTTTGCAAGCAGACCGAGTTCCCCCCACACGACGCTCAAAGGGAATGATGCAACTTTATTCCACGTGTCCAAGCCATTCGTTTTTGTAGTGGTTCTTGTTTTTGTTTTTTGATTTTTCTTCGCAAACCAAGCTAAGAACTGAAACTGAAATGTGTCTATCAATCTTACCTGGTGGGGTGAGAGTCCCGGGGGGCGTCACATGTACATTTAAAGACGGGATGGATGAAAACAAATGAACCACTGCTATTACTACCGAACTGTAAAGACAAATAACTTCAATGCACCTCAACTCATCTGCGGGGGGGGGAAGAAACCCGCAGTGTGGTCTCAAATCTCGGACCCTGTCACTGATGTTGTGGAAAACCTCAAGTTGTAAATGTTTCCCCGCCGGTGTGTAGTCAAAGATCCCCGCCTCTTTCTCCCGCTCCACCTGCAAAAACACCATTTCAAGTGACGTGCAATATAAGCCACAGACTCTACCGTCCAAGAAAAACGTACACGGGCCTCTCCGACAGAAAGAAAGAGAGGAGGAGACTATAAGGAATGATTGAACTACTCCACCCCTCCACCCCTAAAACTGCCACTACCACCCTCCTCCTCCACCTCCCCTCCACCCTCCCCCCTCCGAGAGTGTGTGAGCTCAGGAGAGTAGCAAGCTGGTCTTCAGCCACCCTCTGTCCAAAACACAAAGCACTTCTTCAGCCAGCCTACTCTCCACACGTATGCCAGTGACTAGATTTGGGGCAGACGGAGGGACAAGTGTGTTAGTGTGTGTGTGTGTTTGTGTATATGTGTGTGTACGTGTGTGTGTCGGGGAGAAGGCGTCAAACCAAAACGAGAGGAGCCTGTCGTCCCCCTTTTACCCAGAAGACCAGATCACCTTTATTTTCTCGTTTTTTTCTGCCCAAGTCTTTTTTTTTTTGCAAATGTAGAAAAGTATGAAGCAAAAGGTTTGTGAATCGGTGGTCGATCATAGCACTTAGCAAAAGAGCGCCGCGGCTCGTTTGACCCTTAATGCCAACGACTAGAAGAAAAGGAGGAGAAGTGACACTGGCGAATAAAAACTGACAAAAAAACAAAGACAAAAAAGCAATCTGCTCAGTGGCTTCTCTCGATACTTATTTTTTGACTTGATATGGATGTGAAGATACTTTTTGTTTTGTTTTGTTTTTCTTTCAAATCCTTCTTCCCTCAAGTTGGTGGGACCAGGAAGGATGTCAAACACGGTAGCAAAGTGAAGGGAAATACAAAGAACGAACTTACTCACAGACTGACGACGGGTGCGCCCGTCTCACCCTCTTTATCAGAGTAAATATCACTGTTACATTGCATACTTTGAAATCTTTAGCCTTGGTGTCTGGAAACACTCGACGTGTTCGTGTTCCACTGGGTCCAGCAGGGAGGACCGCCATCTTCTTCATCCTGTTTTTTTTTTTTTTGTTTTTATTTTGTCGTCTTTCTATTGGAGGCCCTGCCAACCTGTGTGAAAGTGTGGCCACTGAGTGCCTGCCTGCTGCCGAGCGCGGTGCTCTGCAGCAGCCTTCACCCCCCACGACTCCCACCCGCCCGCTCGCTCCTTCGCTCATTCGCTTCCTCCCTGCGGATCCCTACAAGACTGGCTTCCCTCCTCTTCCTCGCCCCCTTCCCCACCCTCGGCCTCCAGGCCCAGAGCAGCTCTTTCAGAACTGGCCCACCTGTATTAAATTTACTACTACTGCTGCGCCAGAGTCTGTCCTCACAACCTCCAACTCCACTCTGTCTCTGTCTCTCTCCTGCAAGGATCACTTTAGCCAGAGATAGAGGCATTTTTGACGTGTTTGTTTTATTTCTTTTTTTCTGGTTTTACTTATGGAATTTGCCAGTGTGCATTTTTATTTTATTGTTGTCATAAAGTTTGCTGATATTGTTGCTGTTATCATTGACGATATATATAGATAATGATTGTTTTCTGACGATGATGATGATGATTTCATGGCTTTTTTTAACATCGGTCTTTATGCAGTGTTCAGCTTCTCTCCTGCCCCCTCCCACTACCTCCGAGGCAAACGCAGAGTGTCGTTTTCAGAGGTACGCCTCAGCTGTGCAGCACGGCCACACACACACACACACACACACACGCGCGCGCGGTATAGAAGGTATAGTGGGGGGGGTTTAGAAGAGTCAAATCAAAGTGTTAAGAGAACGGTTCTCTCCTCCACCAAAGTGAGCCAGCTTCCTCTCGTCCATCTCGAGGCGCCCGACCTCTCCTAACACACACACACACACATGCGCGCGCATCCTTTGGTGTGGATGGGCCTCACTCACACTGGTGCTTTATGTTTAACTCTGGGAGCACTCAGTTACACTTAGAACCGCCTCGACTGACGACAACAGCAGCCTTCCATTTCTATGCAAAAGACAAGGAGGTGTTTGTTCACAGCCATCTAGAAAAACACAGCCATTCGCCACATCTGCCAATCTCCACCCAGCTCCTCGACCTTTACTACCAGGCAGCTCCCCTCCCTCTCTTTATCTCTCTCTCTCTCTCTTTAGTCTCCCACTGTGCGAACAGAGTTACATGATGACACTAACCTGACCTGCTGGAGGCACTATTGGTTGGCAGAGTCTTCAGTCACGTGCCAACTGATGTACAAATATCTTCTTCCACTTTTGCCATATCCTCATTTCTCTTTAGCGTGACGACGGCGACGAGACTTTAGTTTCTTTTCTTGCTGCAGGAGGCGTTAGGAGTAGACGGGCAGGACAGGTGAACGGTGCAGGTATTTATCAAACAAAGGACTGGAAATCTAGCGGAGAACCGGGCTGCGTGAGGAGGAGGAGGAGGAGGAGGGGCAGGGGCGGTCCCTGTATGTGTCTGTGCACTGTTTATGGGTCACATCGGGTACATCTCTTTAAAAACCAAAAACATCTTTTTCTTTATCATTGAGGTTTTTTTTTTTTTTTTTTTGCAAAACTAGAAACTACAAAAAAAAAAAAACGTCTGTTCCAGCTGTGCACTCCGAGGCTGTGACGCCTGTTTTTCTCTGCGCGCTGCCGCCTTCTCACCCCCCCTCGTCCGGGCTGTTTTTGGCCCCCACGCACGGGGAAGCTGTATCCAGGCGGTTCTTCAACGAGCCTCCGACCTGAAGGTGTCGCAGGTGGATTTATCACAACAGGTCATTTCTGCACATCTGGCTTCGGGGTCAGAGTCCACGCAGGGGACCCGGAGTATCAGCAGAGACGGGGACTCACCTCAAAGTTCGGTACCAAGTCTTAAAACTTTTTGCCCTCTTCCAGAGTCGCTCGAGACTCGCATCATTCAACAAAACAATCACTATTGCCTGTTGTCGTCTGATTGTGTGTTTGTTTGTTCGTTTGTTTGTTCCTGAAAACCTGCATTTACTCCACACTGGACTTGAATCAATGAACTGGCGTTGGAAGCAGGGAGGCGAACAGAGCGGGAGGGCGGGCGACGGGGTCACGGAGGTCGGGTCTCAGATGTGCCCTGGATTTCTTGGCGCAGCACCAGCACTGAGAGCACCCGGCCCCCTTCCTGCTGCGCCCGCCTCCTGCACTCCTATCTACCTGTCTAGTGTTGGAAATCAGATGCTCGCCCTTTTTTTTTTGTTGTTTTTTTTTAATTCGCACGGACTCAGAGGCAACTGGAGCTCAAGCAAAATCTGCGTCTCAATCATGGATCAGACGGGGGGGCCCTGAAAAGAGTTGAATTAGCAAATCTCTAAGGCCTGGGTTGAATATGCACATGCTAGTTCATACACAGAATACAACCAAGAGTACAGAACGGGTGTATGCGTGTGTATGACTAGATCTCTCTCTCTGTTTTCCCCTTCAGCCCTCACCCTGCGTATCCTCCTCCACATTTTATTTCCCAGAAGACAAGATCATAAACATATCAGAGTAATACAAAATAATGAAAAACAAATACTTGAATCAAAAGAAGCGCCAATAATGTAATGTGAACACTTTTTGTAGTGGTTTTTTGTCTCATTCATACACTTCAGAGATTTTTGATAGCATCGGTTCAAGCGTGAATCCAATTTGAAATACGAGTGTTGTTGAAAACAAAGATCAATATAAAGGCAAAATTTACATCTGTTGTATTTGAGTGTTTGCACAAGGCTGCTTGTACTGTATGTGGCGTGAATGAGGTTGAATTTATGCGTGAGAGCTCGTGATTACAGCGGAGGAATTTCCGCCTTGTGATTCTTTTCAATTCAGTATACTTTTAATGTTTTTTTTTTTTTCTTTTTTTTTTTCGCTTGTCAAAAAATATATTCTGATGTTAATTGTTACTAGCCTCTAGCGTTGCACTGAGTGTCAGCCTCACCCCTCATCCAGCTAAATGAACAACATGATACAAGTACTGAGGGGGGACGGGGACAGTTCATGTGTAAATGTTTACTCAAGGACTAAAAATAAGTGTGTTTTTAAAATGTAATGTTTATCTACCTTAGTGGCTTTCATTGTGGAATAATCCAAGAAAGTATGGATCATAATTGAGTATTGCACCATTTTTCAGACTGTAAACCTAAAAAAAAAAAGAAGAAAATCGAAAAAAAAATCACATATATATGAAAAAATGCAGCAAAAAAAGTATTTTGCAGACCTGTGGCCATAGATCGGGGTAGAAGGACTTCAGCTCCTCCAAAATCTGAGCAACGGAGAGCGTGAAGGACGAGACATCAGACTGAGCCTTGGCTTTAGGGCTCACTTCAGAGGTGCCTACCTTTTTGGTTTGTTAGCTTTCGTTCTGTTCACTCATGTTGTTTTATTTTGTTGTTTTTCCTGCAAGGCCACTGACAGTTTACAAAACACTTTGTTTTTTTTTGTTTTTTTGTTTTTTTTTCTGGAGTTCAGAAAAAAAATCAGCGACACAAAAGATTAAAACTATGGGAATGTTGGAAAAAGACAAAAAAAAGGACAAATGCTTCCATTTTTAAAGAAAAAGTGCAACACAACACTTCACAGAATGAAGAAAATTGTGCTACTTTCAGAACTCTGGGATTGAACAGTGTTGTCTTGTTCTGTTTAACCTTCTTTTGTTCTGTGTCGATGTTGATTTCATGGACTATCTGAAGCCTGTATGTTTTATGTTGATTATATATATTTTTCCTTTATATAAAAAAAGAGAAAAGAAAAGAAAAAAAAAAAGACATAATTGCTCACTATCTTGCACACACACGAAAAAGTGGATCTTGTCTCAGGAAGGCCAGGGTTCCAGAGTACCAACTCCACGCCATTTTAATGTACATTTTTATGATGAGTAAAAAAAAAAAAAGGATGATTTAAAAGAAACAATTCTAAGCACTGAAAGTTATGGATTTCGGAAGAAGAGAAAATACCTTTGTTTCTAAATCCGTAGCAGTTACATAATAACCAAATAATGGACTTTAAATGAAAATGGAGTGCTTTATATATAAATCTATATATTAAAACTGCTTTACATTTAAAACAAAAAAAAAAGGTCAATGATTTTGATTGTTAAAAAAAGAAAGACAGTGAATAACATGCAAAATGCTGTATGTTTGAATCTTTATTGTGTTTTCTTAATGAGGTCCCGTCCTGACTGAATCAGGAACATTGTGCATTACTCTTTCTTTCCTCTCGCTCTTTCTCTCTCTTTCTCTCATTCTCCCACAGCGGGTATTATTTTTATTTTATTATTGATAATAGAGGTAAAAAAATCAGACTTTTGTGGAAACATTTTCCACATTTTGGAGGATGTTTGTAAAACATGAGCTGGTTGTAAAGGATCATGAAACTATGCACAAGTGTTGGGGGGGGTTGGAAGATGGGGATTTTATGGCCTACTTCATAGTGGCTGGTCTATTGCAGGGGTTTTGGGGATTTATTGTTTTTATTTTGATTTCTAAGGAGGTGGAGGGGTGATTCATGTCAAGCACCCGCCACCTCCAGCTTCCTCCCCCTGATTCAGATTGACCTAGCGCTACATCGCCATGCTGTGTACTCCTAAAACCAATGAGCGTCTCACTCTTTAGCACTGTGGGATTCTAGCCTGTCACCCTCAAGGGGTTTTTCTGTTATTAAAGGTTTTCTTGGAGGGTGGGGTTGTGGGTGGGTGGGGGGGTTTAAGGGTTTAGGGCTGCTTTTTTTTTTCTTTTTTTTTTTTGCCTTTTTTGTTTTGTTTTGAAATATTAAGTAAAAATGTCTGTACTGAGATTTAATGAAAAGTCAGTGGCTTGTAATGTTTTATTTTTTCTCTCTGTATATCTCTTTCTCCTCATAGAATGTGATTGTTCAATGACATGCACCGAAACAAATCTTTTCATGAACTATGGAGCTTCTTTCAAATATTAATAAAATAGCTTTTTTCTTGGCTGTTGAAAAAAGAGCCTTTTGTTTATTTGTTGTCCGTCTCTCATCACGCTGGTTTCAGACTCGAGGGGTCAGCAGTAGCTGTCGGGGGCAGGCGTAGTAGTTGTCCTGCTGTTGCCGGATGTTAGGGTTGGCGTACACGGGGAAGTTGACATCCTCCAGGTGTGAGGGGGGATCAGGATTATTTTGGGCCGTTCTGGTGGGCGGCTCCTTCCTGGTCATTTCCTCGTAGATAGGAGATGAAGGTTGAGGTTTGTGGCGAGGCCTGACCTTCATCTAAAGCACAAAACGTAAAGATAGCTTGACTACTTGATAAATCAAAATAATAATTGAGAATAATTTGACTTTCGGCTCATTATTTTGGCAATGCAACAAAAAAAAGGAGAAAATGGACACATCGAACTTAAAAAGCTTTAAAACAAGGAGACGGTCAGAGCACGCGCTCCATACATTAACGAGCTGTTTGAGCATTTACTGGATTTTACTGATAATAGACGACAGTGTCCTGCACTGTGAGTCTTTGCTAGAACAAGTTGTCTTGTTGAATCCTAAAATCTTCACTAATTAAGTAGTGAACAAAAATAAAAATATAATTGTATAGTATGATAAGAAAAATATCATAGTATAGTATGATAAAAAATTTCAGAGTATAGTATAATAAAAATATCATAGTGTAGTAAGATAAAAGAAATCATAGTATAGTATGATAAAAATGTCATATTTTAATGTGAAAATGTAAAATTTTATAATGATAAAAAGTCATAGCATAGAATGATGAAAATAGCATAGTCAGTATGACAAAAATGTTATCTTTTATTCTGAAAAAAAAATATTTTAAGTATGATAAAAAGGTTATAGTATAGTATGATGAAAATTTCATATTTTAAGTATGATAAAAAGGTCATCGTATAGTATGATGAAAATTTTACTTTTCACCCTGAAAAAAAATTCAAATTTTAAGCATAGTGAGTATGACAAAAATGTTATCTTTTATTCTGAAAAAAAATTATTTTAAGTATGATAAAAAGGTCATAGTATAGTATGATGAAAATTTAATATTTTAAGTATGATAAAAAGGTCATCGTATAGTATGACAAAAATCGCATAGTATAGTATGATGAAAATTTCATATTTCACTCTGAAAAAAAAATTCAAATTTTAAGTATGATAAAAAGGTTATAGTATAGTATGACAAAAATGGCATAGTATAGTATGATGAAAATTTTATATTTCACTCTGGAAAAAATTTCAAATTTAAAGTATGATAAAAAGGTCATAGTATAGTATGACAAAAATGGCATAGTATAGTATGTTGAAAATTTCAAATTTTAAGTATGATAATAAGGTCATAGTATAGTATGACAAAAATCGCATAGTATAGTATGATGAAAATGTTATATTTCACCCTGAAAAAAAATTCAAATTTTAAGTATGATAAAAAGGTCATAGTATAGTATGACAAAAATCGCATAGTATAGTATGATGAAAATTTCATATTTCAATCTAAAAAAAAAATTCAAATTTTAAGTTTGATAAAAAGGTCATAGTATAGTAAGACAAAAATCGCATAGTATAGTATGATGAAAATTTTATATTTTAAGTATGATAAAAAGGTCATCGTATAGTATGACAAAAATCGCATAGTATACTATGATGAAAATTTTATATTTCACCCTGAAAAAAAGAATTCAAATTTTAAGTATGATAAAAAGGTCATAGTATAGTATGACAAAAATCGCATAGTATAGTATGATGAAAATTTTATATTTTAAGTATGATAAAAAGGTCATTGTATAGTATGACAAAAATCGCATAGTATACTATGATGAAAATTTTATATTTCACCCTGAAAAAAAGAATTCAAATTTTAAGTATGATAAAAAGGTCATAGTATAGTATGACAAAAATCACATAGTATTGTATGATGAAAATTTTATATTTTAAGTATGATAAAAAGGTTATAGTATAGTATGACAAAAATGGCATGGTATAGTATGATGAAAATTTTATATTTCACTCTGGAAAAAATTTCAAATTTAAAGTATGATAAAAAGGTCATAGTATAGTATGACAAAAATCGCATAGTATAGTATGATGAAAATTTTATATTTCACTCTGGAAAAAATTTCAAATTTAAAGTATGATAAAAAGGTCATAGTATAGTATGACAAAAATCGCATAGTATAGTATGATGAAAATTTCATATTTCACCCTGAAAAAAAAATTCAAATTTTAAGTATGATAAAAAGGTCATAGTATAGTATGACAAAAATCGCATAGTATAGTATGATGAAAATTTCATATTTCACTCTAAAAAAAAAATTCAAATTTTAAGTTTGATAAAAAGGTCATAGTATAGTATGACAAAAATCACATAGTATTGTATGATGAAAATTTTATATTTTAAGTATGATAAAAAGGTCATAGTATAGTATGACAAAAATCGCATAGTATTGTATGATGAAAATTTCATATTTCACTCTGAAAAAAAAAATCAAATTTTAAGTATGATAAAAAGGTCATAGTATAGTATGACAAAAATCGCATAGTATTGTATGATGAAAATTTCATATTTCACTCTGAAAAAAAAAATCAAATTTTAAGTATGATAAAAAGGTCATAGTATAGTATGACAAAAATCGCATAGTATAGTATGATGAAAATTTCATAATTCACTCTGAAAAAAAAATTCTAATTTTAAGTATGATAAAAAGGTCATAGTATAGTATGACAAAAATGGTATAGTATAGTATGATGAAAATTTTATATTTCACTCTGGAAAAAATTTCAAATTTTAAGTATGATAAAAAGGTCATAGTGTAGTATGACAAAAATGGCATAGTATAGTATGTTGAAAATTTCAAATTTTAAGTATGATAAAAAGGTCATAGTGTAGTATGACAAAAATCGCATAGTATAGTATGATGAAAATTTCATATTTCACTCTGAAAAAAATTCAAATTTTAAGTATGATAAAAAGGTCATAGTGTAGTATGACAAAAATCCCATAGTATAGTATGATGAAAATTTCATATTTCACTCTGAAAAAAAAAATTCAAATGTTAAGTATGATAAAAAGGTCATAGTATAGTATGACAAAAATCGCATAGTATAGTATGATGAAAATTTAATATTTCACTCTGAAAAAAAAATTCAAATTTTATGTATGATAAAAAGGTCATAGTATAGTATGACAAAAATGGCATAGTATAGTATGTTGAAAATTTCATATAAATTTCATAGTATAGTATGTGAAAAATTTCATATTTTATTGTGAATATTTTTTTTATTTTAGTATGGAAAAAATGACATTCTATAGTATGCCAAAAGTTTAATATTTAATGCGAAAAAGAAATTATATTTTAGTGCAATTTTTTGTTTTATATTTTAGTATGATAAAAATGTTATAGTTTTGTGTCAAATATTTCATATTATATTGTGAAAAAAGTCATATTTCTGTATGAAAATTTTTTTTATAGTATAGTATGATTAAAAAAAAAGATGTAACTAACTGTGACTTCTAGTTTAATTATATCAGTTCTTTGTTTTTGATTTTGTGACCAAGAATTTTCACAGAGTCAGATGTTTGTTTTTAGGCTTCCACTGAAGCTAACGCATCAGTTTCTATTTGAGTCAGTCATTAGCGCATTTATGACTCACTCGTCTGTCTTCGTAATTCGTTTTTAGTCATTTGCTGCCAGGCGGTGATACAGTCAGAACAGGTAACTGATGTGACAGAAACAACAACGATTCCGCAATTTAAAAAAAAAGAGCATCCCTGCACAACAGTCCTCCAAAATGACCCCATGATTTTATCTTAGTCTCTTTTTGGTTACGTCTTAGGAGAAGTGTAAATACTCACACATTTCTGCACAGCCATCCAGCTGAGTGTGAGCAGAAGAAGACCTGCTACTGTTAAAATGGTCAGGAACAGAGGAGGAGAACTGGGAGAGCATTGACAGGATCCTCCTGATATAAAAACACAACAATTCATCAATGTCTGAGCAGGGCTGTGGTAGTTTTCTCTTTACTCTCATTACTTTTACACTGACACATTTCCCAAAAGTGTAACCAGTGTTACACCACAAAGATATACTCTCCAGTTGATCAAATTGTAGAAATATGTGCTTGTTAATTTGATTAAATATGTCAAAACCACACACCTGTCCCTTCTACCAACAGGACAACCTTCTGCGTGCTGATGAAGACCTGCTCTGAGCTGTTCCTACTCAAGTAGCTCTGCTCCAACAGATACAGTCCTGTATCACTTGACTGTAAATGACTGATGGTGATGTTGACTTGCAGTGACTTCAGTCCTCCACTGAGCTGCAGACGTCCTCTCAGCACAGGGTCGACCTTGAGCTCTCTGCCCTCTGACATGGACAGCAGGGTGGTCTGAGCGCTGGAGCCACGGTGGTAAAGATGGAGACCTGTGAGGAGTCTGTGATCCTGTTGAGGGGAGCAGGAGAGCTGCAGGGACTGAGACCCTGACAGGTGTCTGAAGATCAGCTCTGCGTGGGCTGGGAGAGGAAGAAAGAGTTCAAGATGGCAATGAAGGTTAGTCCAACTGATCTTTCTTGGCCTCCATCACCACTGGGTGGAAGGCTGTAGCAGGGGTGAGGATGAGTCCTTTAAATTTGAGCTAAACAGACTCCTGAACGAGCTGCAGACCGAGCAGCTCAAGAAAAAACCCAGACATGTACAAGAAGACGAACCATGGGTGGAGGTCTTTCCTTTCCTGATTAACTTCAAAGTGCAAAACATGATACTTGACATGTTACATAACTAAGAAAATTCTGGCTGTTATAGATTATGGAGTCATATTTTATGTACAAATAAAACTTGGTTTTTTTTACCTTCTAAAAGCTGAATGAAGATGAACACACTCGCAGCTCTCGTCTTCATGGTCGTCTCAGTCATAAAAACACGACAGCTCGGTCATAATCTTCTCCGTCTGTTTCCTTCAGCGCTGTGACACCTTGTGCTCAGCCTCTCTGTATTTATTGTTCTCTCTCTCTGCAGGAAGACGAATTCAAAACAAGAACTACCGCTGTAAAGCTGCGGCTCACCTCCTGCTGTCTGAGGTCGTCTCACACGTAACTGTACGTTTTACCAAGGAGCCACCCACCGCATGCTCACCTCTTACACCTCAAATTCACCATTTTATTCATAAAACGAACAAAAAATCTCCCTCAGGTCAAGATATTATGACGTACGAGGAAAAGGAAGGAAGCTGTAGGTGTGGATATTTCAGGAGTGTAATATCAGTCTGTGAAGGAGGACTGATAACATGTAGTGGTTTTAAATGAACTCAACAGTGTGGCGGATATTTTTGAGACAGTGTGGTCTGTTGTGGTTTCCTGTCAGCGTGCATGTACGATAGCTGCAGCAGATGTCACCTCTGCAGTTTAGATGAAGTGAAAGCTTTTGTTTCGTTGCTTATCTTGCTGTGCACGTGCTTTAAGTTGTGTTTTCTGAATCTGACTGGTTTTGCAGAAAATTAAAAGAAAGAGCCGTGGCAAGAATCTGAGATACTTTACACAAAGATTTTAAATTAACCTTTTTTTAATGGAACAGGATTAACCTTCAGTTCTTGAACACACTAAGTTTGTGAGTATTTTGGTAACTAAAACTATAAAAATGCTGTTTTTAACTATTTTTCTCTACTTTAGAGTGAATGTCTGATGAAACCCTTGTGTCTTTGTGTGCTCTGAATCAGCTGATGAGCAGGTGATGAGTCTCAGGTGTGCGGTCCTGCTCATATGAGGCTGATTGTCTTCATTAAGGCCAAAGCTCCCCTCCGCTCAGGCTGGTTTGCTGTCTTGTGGATCAGACTGTTTTCCCTCCACATCCATGGAGACCTTTTATTTCTGGGTTAACCTCCTCCTCGGACTCTTGTCGTCAGAAATCTGCCTCAGATCCTCTTTTGCATTTCCACAAACATTTTACTCCCAGCATGCTTCACCTCAGAGACCTGAGCTCACGGAGGGCTCTGAGCACACGGATCAGGAGCTACAAAAAGCTCCGTCTGAGGATCCAGAGCTGGTGAACACGGTCAGAGTGAGCTGCTATCCCGACTCTCTGGACATCATCATCAAAGCGGACATGTTCGGAGTCGGCGCTCCTGTTAATAGCGACGATATCCGCCTTGGAGTGGAGCATGATGTTTTCTGTACGGCTGCACCGTCTTCAGTAGACGAGTACAGGATCACTGTTGGACTGTCAGAGTGCGGCACCAAACACTGGGTAACTTTAAAATCAAGACGCTTATTTTGACCTTTTGACCCCCTGATCTAAAAATCTCTCGCTCCACAGATGACTGAGGACTCTCTGGTCTACACAAACCTCCTCATCTACTCTCCCGAGGCCTCTCCTGATGGGCTCATCCGAATGGAAGAGGCTGTGGTTCCAATCGAGTGTCATTATGAAAGGTCAGTCTGCCTTTTTACCGTCATTTTAAAGCTCTTGTCTTTTATAACTCTCATTTTCTTCCTCTTTAGGAAATACAGTCTGTCCAGTTTATCAATCGCACCCACCTGGATCCCCTACATGTCCACTCAGGCTGCCGTGGAGACTCTGGAGTTTGACCTGAGAATCATGACGAGTATGTTCAATCCCCTTCTTACTTTTGATTTTACATCTTTTGTCAGCGCTTTCTAATGTCACTTCTGCGCAGACGACTGGACGTATGAAAGAAGCTCAAAAGTCTTTCACCTCGGGGAGCCGATCAGTATCGAGGCCTCGGTCAGGATCGGACACCACATGGGGCTGAGGGTGTTTGTGAGCAGCTGTGTGGCCACGCTGAGCCCGGATATCTACTCTGTTCCAAGATACATCTTCATCGAAAACGGGTGAGCGTTCCTGCAGCTTGGTGACAGTCTTTCTGGAAACAATGGAAACTGTATCGTCCAACGATAGGACTCTGTAGTTGGAGTCGGGGCATGGGCTTAATATCACTTGTTTGTGAACTGTCCTGAGGTCTGATGAATCAAAATCTAACCCTTTCGACGTAGAACCTGAAATCATAGCCTCCTGACTATGATTTCCCCTTCACATGATACCAAATGTGAAGGGGTGGAGCTTCAGTACCTTTCTCTTCCTCACTCAGAAAAAATGGCTGCCATCAGTGCATGCACATTTTATGGGAAGAGGAAAAGTACTGAAGCCCCACACCTTCACATTTGGTATCATTGAGAAGCTCTAAATGTCCTCCATAGAAACCAAAATGAGTTAATTCAGTAGTATGCAGTGGGTGGGAGATATTGAGGTTTACAATGGTCCTCCACAGAAGACAATTTGAACTACTGGTAGTCAGGAGGATAGATGCCGCATCCCCAGTCTTAAAGAGTAGGACTACATGGCGTCCCTGATGGTTTGGGGATCATCAGAATCCATGTCTTTAGTATCTTCCTCATCTGTGAATGCTTCATTAATGCTTAATAATATCTACAGGTTTAGGAGCAACATCTGCTGCCGTCTAGACGATGACTTTTTCAGAGAAGATCTCAGTGTATTGACAGATTTAGGACTCTCTCTCTCTGATCTTCTCCCTCCTTTTTATCTCTCTGTAGATGTTTGGTTGACTCTCAGCTTCCAGGTTCAAAGTCTCACTTCTTACCTCGAATTCAGGATGATAAGCTTCACCTGGTCATCGACGCCTTCAGGTTTCATAATGAAGATAGAGGAGAGGTGAGGGTTAAACTTGCCTTAAATGATGGTTTTTAAACGTGTCTGAATGACTTCTTCTTTCCGTCAGCTGTACGTCACATGTCACATGAACGCCGTACCAACGCACGACACAGAGGCGCTGAATAAGGCGTGCACATTTGTAAATGGAAGGTAAGAGTGATCCAGTCCTGAAATTTGTCCCGTTAAGAGTGAAAACTTGATGTGAAACAGCGCACTCCTTTTATCAGGTGGAGGTCAGCTGATGGTAACGACTACCTCTGTGGACAATGTCAAAACCAAAATGAGGTCTCCAGTAAATCCAGCAGTGCGGGTACGTTCGGTCCACGAGGGTTCAAGAAGCTGCATAAGTCTGAATCCTGGAAGAGCGCGGTGAAAAACAACATTGGTGAGTGCTCAGCCCATCTGATTTTCGGCTGATCATTTCGATAAAATGTTTTCACTCTCAGATGTCAGACTTAGCTCAAATAACAATAATCGTGTTTGTGTTTAGTGTGGGAACAAGAAGCCAAACTGGGTCCAGTGCTGGTGCTGCCTGGGAAGATGAAAAGTGGACCTCTACCTGAGGACGAGCTCCCCCCTGTTCTCGGTAAGATCAGCAGACCTGCTCTGTACGGCAGCCAGTGGAGGAGCGGACTGAACAACAGGAGAGTTGGTGAGATTAAAAACACACGATGATGAAGAAGATCTCTGCTGCAAGTGAAGATGAAATAAGCTGAAAGTTCAGATGCTAAGAAGAATTTTCAACCTCAGAAATGGAGAAGGGGCTGACTCCTGATCCGTCAGAGGATGACTACGATGAGGAGGAGGAGGAAGAAGAGGAGGATCAGACTTTAGATTCTGAGCTGAAGGAAGACCTCACTACTGGAGCAGATCTGAAAGGTAAAACCTAAAAGACTTTTAAAAACATCACCGACCAGAAATTTTAAACATTAATCCTGAAATTACAGGTGATGACGAGGGTGAAGAAGCTGCTCCTGCAGAGAAGGTGGATCCTGCTGATGATGAAGAAAGTGAAGATGCTGCCACTGTAGAGAAGGTGGACCCTGTGCTGACTCTGAAGTCAAAGGCTAAAGAGATCCAAACAAACAGCACAGCAGCTCCGAGCGACGTCAGTCTCACAGTTCAGTCCACGACAGGAGTGACGATACGGACCAACGGCACCGAGACGGGACCTGCACCCACACGAACGAGTGACCCGAAGAGATGAGAATAAAAGATTAAAACACTTTATCTTACTGCGTGTTGTCATACTTTTGAGCGTTTCTCTTCCACATTGTCAAAGTACTGGGATTTTGGGGGGATCAGTTTTGAAGGGGTACATGTCCTCCTTATGAGTAATGTCAGTGGTGATCAGGCTCAGAAACACAATCCAGGGATCTTTAAGGATCTAATGATCCAGAATGACCTCTAGAATCTGAAACAACCTTGTCCCAAAAAGTGGGTATCATCGTTTAGAGCCAGATTACTCAAACATCCATCTACGAGCAAATAATTGAGCATCTGAAGTCTCAATTTTCAGACTGATGTGAAAAGTTCTTTTCCTCCTAATATGACAAAGTGAGTAAGTGAGGACTTTCATAGGTCAGATAAACAAGTGCATCTCAAAAAATGTAGAGAAAAAAAACTAATGAAAGGGTTAATTTCATCTATACTAACTTAGAATATTGTATTCATTTCAATAGCACCAATGAAACCGATGCTTTAGGGTGATTAAAATAAAAGAATCAAAGAGACATGAGGCACGTCTTTAAAAGACGGCACAACTTCATATATATATGGGCTGAATAATATAATAAAATAGAAAGTACAAAATTATTCATCTATTCAATGTCGAGTAACATATTTAGAACCCCTGTATTCTGAATTTTGATGATTTTGACTCATGATAATCAGAATATATCCTGATTTCAATCAAAGTCTGAATATTTACAAACTTTAAACCCTGTTGGGGCAGAAATTACTGCAATTACATCAGACATAAAGCACATCATTTTCATCCTTGAATAGCAGATCTAACTTTAAAGACCGAGTAAACCCAGACTGAGATAAACTCCTCTGCCCGGTTAATGTTCTTCTAGAGGAGCTGATTTGTTTCTACAAGGGTTTTGGATCATCATAGATTCTTGTACAATGTCGGATTTCTATCAATAGATCTTTTGATTGTTGTACCAGTTTAGCCTTTCCAGTTTACAGTCATCTCACTGATTAACTTTCTGCAGAATTTGCTGCACAACCTTACAAGGGTCTTTTCTTCCTGAAAGGGTCTTTTCTCCTTCTGTGCACTAACTACTAAACTAGGAGAGAGATTAGATTCTGGATTTCCACCTGTTCACTGTGGACCAATCACATGCATGTTTCTTCAGTGATTGCTCACAGCTGTGCTCTGCATACGACTCCATTAGTCTGGACTGAGAGGAGAGGATTGTTTCTCCTCCATCTTATCAAAATAGACTCTATATTGTTATTTTCCCTCTTGGACTGAGCAGGAATCTTTTCCGTGTTTCCTAAAATCTCTCCTGCTGTGATGAAAAGAGAGTAAAATGTGGAGTACAGCTCACTCAGCCTCTCTTCTGCTCCCGTTTGTGGTGATATTTGTCGTTTCAGACGCCATCCGGCTTCTGAAGGAGGGACCCATGATCGATGCTGAAGGGCGGGAGTACAAAGGTTTGAGGGTCAGTGCAGAAGACTTTAGTGAGCCTCCACCCAGTGATGAACCCACGGTCCGTGTGCAGTGTACAGAAACCTCCATGATTGTCCTGGTGAAGGCCGACCTGTTCAGGACTGGTCGTCTGGTTTCTGCAGAGGAGCTGTTTTTAGGAGCTGATCCGTCCCAGAGTCGGTGCAGAGCTGCTGCTGCTGCAGGTGACTCAGAGTTTGTGATTGAAGCTGGTCTGCAGGACTGCGGCTCCAGGCTGACTGTAGGTTCATCAAAACACAGAAACTTTAATGATCTGTAATCAGAGACGTATCCTGCTGTTTCCATCAGGTTTTAAAGTGTTTTTAAACTCTCACAGGTCTCTGAGGACTCTGTGATCTACTCAAACATGCTGATCGTCTCACCTGTTGTCAGGTATCACGGCATCACGAGGACGGCTCCTGCTGTAGTCCCTGTTTCCTGTCACTATCAAAGGTAAAACATTTAAATCTTGAGTCTCTAACAGAGAAAAACTGTCAGACTGACTTTCACTCTCTCTGACAGGACACACTTGGTGAGCAGTAACACTCAGCCGTCGTCTCTGACTCCCCCTTCTCCAACACAGGACTCTGCTTTCTCTCTCACACTCATGAACGGTATGTTGGGAAAATTGAGTGTTTGGATCTGTCAGGGTTAGAGCTTTTAGTCTCTTGTTGGGCCTTTACATGGTCGGTGTACTTTAAACACAGCTTTCAGTATCAGAAAACAGAACTAATCACAGATGTAAGCATAGAATCAAATATAAAACTGAATATAACAACAAACTGCTCACAGACGAGGGTTTTTGGAGGTGATTTTGACCCTAAGCAGTGATTTCCACTGCAGAGTCGTGTCTCTTTAACGCAGAAACACCTCAAGGCTCTGATTTGTGTTGAATCCATTATTAACAACTTCCAAAAAAAGCTCAAACACGAGGATAAGTCCTTGTTTGCCTGCAGACGACTGGACACAATCGACTTCCTCCAGATCCTTCTACCTGGGTGACCTCCTGCACCTGCAGGCGTCTTACTCCGCTCCTGATTCGGCACACAGACAGCTGTTCATCGACGGCTGTGTGGCCACTCTGTCACCTGATGTCACATCAGTGCCCAGATACTACTTTATCGAAAACAACGGGTAAGACTACGAGTACGATCAGAACACGAAGATCTAGAAACGTAGACCTGTACCTGATCCACAGGTTCTATAAATAATTCCAGGTGCCTCGCTACAGCGAGAGACGGAGGAACAAACTCGGCTTTCCTACCCAGAACGAGAGCTGATTCCCTTCAGCTGCAGATGGATGTTTTCCTGTTTCAGCAGGACTCCAGAAACTCAGTGAGACACCCTCACCCTTCTCAGCATCATTTAAAAGTCTAGAAGAATCTGAATGATTTCATGACTGTCGTGTTCTTGTTTTCTCAGGTATTCATCACCTGTTGGCTGAAAGCTTCCACCGACATGTGGAGGAGCAGCCCTGTTAGCAAGTCCTGCAACTACATGCAGTCAAGGTGATTTATTTTTACTTTCATAACCTCTTAATTTAATGTTCAAACAGGATTGCATGAAACATAAATTATCAAATCAGCAGATAAAGGGTTTAGATGTAGATGGTATCAACACTAAATTTATATTTCAGCAACAAATCAAGTGTTCTGAAGTTTAAATATGATTTAAAAAAGTGTTTGTTTCCTCTCCAGGTGGACAAATGTGGACGGTGGTGATGACGTGTGCAGATGCTGCGACAGTACCTGTAACAGACCCTTTACTAACTGGAGAGGAGCCTCACATGCAAAACCTCCGACATCTGAAGGTGAGAGAGAAACAGTTTCATCATTAGTCTCTTTTTTTTCTTGTCCAGAGTTTAAACTAAACTTTCTTCTGTTTACATGTTTAATGTTTCAGATCTAACAGCTTGCGTAACTCTCGGCCCTTTGGCGGTTTACCCCAGGAAGTAGACCAAGAACTTCATCCAGACAATAATGTTGTAAATGTCACTTTAATTTTCTGCGCAAATAAAAGAAACAAAGCTGGGCTGAGAAAGTGTTTCTGTTTTAGTGTTGACTGTCCTTCCTGTAAGTTTATCAAATTTAACAGCATCTCTTAAATCTTTACCATCTTCATGTCTCCATCTCTGTAAAATAAGACTGTTTATAAAGAAAACACAGAGACATATCAAGGTTCAATAAGCTGCTTTATTAAGGGAAAAGCAAACATTGAAAATCAGATTCAAATGTCTAAAATAAAACCTGATTTCAGAGACAGATCAAAACTGACGATTAGACTCGACTTCAGAGCAGAAAAGTGTTTCGTACAAACCTCGAGAGCTTCAGAGGAATAATGAAACAAACATGAACAGAAGAAAATAAGGACCATTTTTGTATTTAACAGATTTGGAGACTTATTGAGGAGCATCATACCCTCTAATGTTGAGAGAAAACGAAGAAACGGTGAGTATGAGCCAAAGAGGCTGTTAACTCAAGCTGAGCTTTAAATCAAGGGTTGATGGTGAACTCTGCAACTTAAACTTTGTTGAGATGATCACATTAGTCAGAATTAGTAGAAATGTGTTGAAACTTTAACCCAATCATGTACTGCAAACCAGCTGGAGACCTGGAGTGGAAGCTGGGTTATCGACCATCACAGACGGGGTCAGAGAGAGCGCGTCGATTTAACAAACCGACCAAAGCACAGAGAAAAAAGGACGAATCTGACGATAAGAATGACCTGAATGAGAAACTGAAGGTGTGTAAACCGTGAGCCCATGAATCTGCTGTTGTCAGGAGTGGAACTTCAACAGAGCCTTTGGGATCTGTAAATCCGAGGATACCTGTGGCTCGCTTACAGCTGAAGTCTGCATCATGCAGTTTCTTTAACACTCAAGTTAAATCAGACGGAGGTGCGTCTACTGAGATGGTGCTTTGTCAGCTGATGAAGAAGAAGACTAATCTCTGTTTCAGCCGGGTCGTCTTAAACAGTTGGTGCTTCAAATTACGTCAAAACTGAGATCAAATTCACTATTTATCAGGAACCTACAATAGACCCATTTAGCTGATTATTTCAGAGCAGACAGAAGAACATGGATCTGTGCTTATTGATTGCAAACAGCTGATTTTGTTTACAGAGAGACGACCCCGTCTGCAGCAGCTGATAGTGTGGCTTCCAGTCCAGTTCTCAGGAGGAGCCGAGCTGTCGGCGACACACTGCCGACAAGAACCTCATGTCAAAAGAACCAAACTTTACCTGGTTGTGTGAGCAGGTCAAACACATAAATCTCATGACTTGTAGAAACCAAAAGCACAGGACAGAAATAAAAATGGAGGCCGAGGTACTTACAGCTTGAACTGACCTGTTACTGGCTGAGATTCTCCTTCATGTAAGAAGTAAAACTCAAATGATCAAGTGACGCCAGCTGATAAAACAAACAGGATTGAGTGGTAAAGCTGTTTTACAAACATATGACAGTAAAGTGTTCATCAGAAACCCCCAAACAGACACTGAGGCTGATTTTGTCTGTGTGCGGGGCTCCGATCAATGATTGCCATCAATTATTTTAAACTGTGAGATTCTTTCATAAAAGGACAGCACAGTATTTTCATTTAATAACTCCAATAAAAAGTTATTAAATGAAACCAGAGCTTCCTGTTGCTCCCACCAGTAGAGAATGCAGTAAACAGGTCAGGTGGCACAAAGCAGCTTAACAATCATGACTAAATTCACATGAGTAAACATGCCTGGGAAAAAAAAAACGGCACCTAAACGCAACAACACAAACAAGGGCCTTCACCAAACTTGCTGCAAGTTTGGGGACATTGACATCCAACAGCGTTGCTCGCTGTGAGGGCCCCTGGTAATGAATGAGAGACAGAAAACAGTGAGACTTGCCTCAGGCTGAACAGGGCTACACTGAGACTCGGCCTCAGCCAGTCCCCCATGGCATCGCTACAGGGAGAGAGAAATCTGAGTTTTAGCACTACAGCCGCAAGTTTTTCAGCCGTTCACTCAGAGTTACAGGCTTACATGTCAGGTACAGAACAGCAGCAGATTAACCAAAGAAAACATTTAATACGTTACATTTGATTACAGTGCAACCAAACATTTAAAGCACAGATGCAGACGTTTAAAATCTGTTCATCTTCGAGACATCAAAACAAAGTCAGCCTTTAAGTTTCTCACTGGAGTACAAACCTGCAGTGACGTCTCTTTCCCCACAAACGTCCCAAAGAAGAGGCTTACATTTTCACCACATTTTATTACAATACAGGTTTACAACATACAGTTAGCATTTCTTTTAGTGCTTCATCTTTTTTTAGACTTTAGGGAGTGTTAATGGACAGCAAACAGAGAGAAAACATAGATAGATGAAGCCCTCACCAAACAAAGTTGGGGACGCAAAGTCCAACAGCACAGCGTGCTGTGAAGGCCTCACTCTTAATCTAAGAACAGAAGAGGAGTCACAGAAAACTTGCCTTGATAAAGGGTGGATACTGCCCATGTAAGTCCAGCGCCTTCACAACACTACGAACCAAATCTACTACACTTCTACACACCTGAATGAAACATGAGAAAAAAGCCACAGAACAGAGAGGGTTTGAAACAACAGTTATGGTCGTGGTTAAGTACAGAGTAAATATTCCTCATGCCCTCTGTGATGCTCTTATAGCTCATCTGTTTGCTGTGTATTCAGAGTCCTCATAGCTGTGCACTTAACAGTCACTGTGGTACAAGAACACCATTACTGGTTTGTCTACTAGCAGCTGAGGACATTAGAAAAGGGTTGAGCGTCCAAACCTATTGCAGAGATGAAGGTGGTTTTCAGTAGCGGCCTTCAGGAGACATGACAGGGGGCCTCATACCTATGAGGGGCCGCGGGGGAGCTCCCTGGTACCCTGGGGGACCCACAGGAGGGGCCTGTCCGTACGGAGGTATTCCTCCTGGTATGAAGCCTGGCATTCCCTGAGGTGGATACTGACCTGGAGAGAGGAAAGTTTGACGGCTTTAAGTCAAATATCTTCAACTGAGTCTTAAAGTTTCTATTTTATTATAAAACGAGCAGAACTGAAGCTGAACTGGTGACTCTGTGAGGCTGAGGTTACTGCCACATTCATGTGATAATGAGGGGATGGAAAAGACCGGGAGGATGGATCTTTGTTAGATTTCTATAACTTTGATGAAGACTCTTCAACACAAACTGTGAGAAACAAAACAGCAACTAGTGGAGCAACAGCCAGCGCATAATGAAGGGCCAGTGTGGGAACAAACAGAGCTGTGTAAAAAGTAACACCCACAGGTTGTGTCTTTCTTTATATCAGTGGAAAAGCAGCAAATAGGAAGCTGTTCAGGCAGAGGCTGAGCAGCGCTGACATGAGATGAGGTTTTGAACTGCACATCATGCAACGCCACCTACAGGTGTCCGAGACTGACAAATAAAGGTGACAATGAGTAAAACAGGAGTCCTTTAAACTTCGATTTGATGATGGTGATTTTAAAAAAACTCAGGATCAACCAAAGTCGCAAGGAATTATTCTTAGTTTTTTTTTTTTTCGAGACAGGTCAAAAAGGACGATGCCGACTTTCGAGCCTTGGTGCTTGAAGTACACCTCAAAACTGTTAACTTGAAGCACTATATGAAAAATTCACATCACTAAAACTTAAACTAAAAGCTGAGTTTAAGTACCAGGTACAGGCTGCCTCATGCCGGGCTGCTGAGGAGACATCATGCCACCCACAGGACCCACTGACGGGGCAGCAGTGGACTGGGCCTGGCGGGGAATATTGCGCTGATATCTGGGCAGCTGAGCTCGCAACTCTTCCTGCAGGACACAGAGACAAAAAAAACAGAAAAATTACTCTGTGAAAGTGTTTAGTCGTGCAAGAAAAGATGCATTAAAAGCCTGTTTTTACCTTATTCTATGATTGATTTTTCTGATATGAAACTTACTGTAAAATATATGAGTGTATGTAAAACGAAGAGTTGAAACTGGACTACTCACCAGTGAGATATCCTCATCAGGGTGGATCAACTTACTGGTTGCACTGGAGGTGGTGAGGGTGGCGGGCTTACTGGTCACAGCAGAGGGAGGTTTGGAGACCGTGCTGCTGCCGGCGTTCGGGCTGGACACGGCGACAGCGGCCTGAGTGTAGGCCGGGAATGTGGGCTTTGAGGGGTCAGAGGAGGTGGAGGGGGGAGGGTGGGGGGACCCTGATAGTGTCTGCTGAGTCTGAGGGGGGAGACAGGAGAACATATTAGAAAGACTGAGCTCAAAAGAGTCATTTTCACAGGAGGAGGGAACTTTAAGTCATATCTTAAGGGAACTGCTGCGACTAAAGCGGCCTGTTTAACGCTTGGCGTGTTCGTTGTGATCATTAAAACCAGAAAATGTCGTTTCTAAAGTTACCCTGAGGCTGAACGTTCACGGTTCAGTCTCAGGGTTTATTTTTCATGGTGGAAAATAAACCCACTCAGGTTAAGACACACACTTATATATGTGCACGTACTGGAAAACTTTCAGTGAAGTTTTGTTTGAAAACTCTTACATACTGTCGTCGAGGTCAGAGTGTAAGACGTAGACTTTAAATATAAAACACACTTATCATCTCACTGACATGACGACAAAGCTGAACATGCTGAAGTTTTGTAGAAGTATAATTTATGGTGCTTCTGTTAGATTGGATTAAATTAGATTACAGAGGTTGTCATAATATCTTGACTGATTGTTCTATATTTATATTTCAGTTGTCTGCATCATGCAGCATGTTGCCATGGTGATGTCAGACACTGTATCACTTGAAGCAGGTGCAATCAGCAAATAAAAGCACCGAAGTTCAAGAATCAGCTCATAGTTTTACTCTTACAGCGCGAGAAGATGCATCAGCCGACTAAACTTTCTGACATGACAAAAATTCATCCAACTGGCTGATGGATTGGGGTTTGATCAGTGTTTATGCCTCTGAGCTCATTGGGCGGCAAATGCAGTGAAAACTTAGACATGTGGTTTGAAAACGTGGTCAGAATCAGCCTCAGTTTTACACACTAATGCTTGTAGATTTAATAACTACAAGCACAGTAATTATTAAAGGCGTCTCCATGAGCATGTTGACGTTTAAAAAATTCTGTTTTCCCCTCCCTTAGTTATGAACACCATGTAGTTAATGTTAGGGGGTCATACTTTGATTTTAATACTGTACCAGATTGTATTTCTGATGCAAAGACATTCTCCTGTTTTCTTTAAAATATGACTCAAACAAAGCCTGCAAAGTCAAGCCAGCCAAAAAAGAGCAGACTGAGCTTAATTAACCTCAAAATAAGAAGCACACTTTACAAAATCTGCACAGCGCTCCATTTTTCCATTTTGATCAGGAGAATAATCCAATTTTCTGGAATATTCAATGAATTCAATGCAGATCTTAAGCAGAGAAAAAGCAAATCAATGCATGTCGCTAAACAACAAAAACATCCCAAAATATTTTTTTCTGCCCACAGAAATAGTCAGATTTCATTATCAGCTTAAGCAAATAAAGCAGAATTAATCCCCTCCGCTATACACCACAGCCAAACTATACACAACTGTGTGCATGCCAGTTGTAAAGCAGCAGGTTGTCAGAGTAGAGCAGGCAGACAGCTGCGTACTTGTGGTGTGACAGAGAGTAGAGCTTTAGGGGAGGAGGACTGAGAGTCTGCACATGATGAACCAGCAGTTGTACTTGCAGCACAACTGCCCATCTGCAGCACAGGGAAAGAGTTAAAATGTGAAAGTTTCCTTCATATTAACCCGTATGAGCCCACAAAACTACCCCAACATCTCTTCTTCAAGGTGAAATTCTTTGAAGGGAGACAGGAGGTGGGGAAAGTTGTGAAGATTGTACCTGTCCAGCGATGGGGAAAAGAGGCTTTGTGACATCAGGCTGGGCTGAGGGGGAAGTAGCAGCAGGAACAGCAGGTTGAGTCAGCACGTTTGCAGCAGCAGCAACCTGAGCCATGTGAGTGAGGCCTGGACGGTGGGCAACAGGAGGAGGCATGCCTGACAACAGCAGAGAAAAACCAGTAAATACAAGAACATGTACAGCAGTACATTATCTACCTAGAAAACACTCTGGTTGGACATTACCTGGTGGCACGCCTGGTATCATCGGCGGTATCCCTGGGCCTGGAGGCATCATCCCGCCCATCGGTATCATCCTAAATACAGAATAAAAATGTTTGAATTTAAAGGACAGCAGTAATAAAAATCTGACAGTCTTGACTTTAGCATCCTGAACGTTACCCTGGAGGCATCCCAGGAAGCACAGGGGGCATTCCTGGCATCATAGGTGGGACACCTGGCATCATGGGGGGAATTCCTGAAACAAAAGGAGGAATTGAAGAAATTTAACATCAGAATTTTATGTAGATTGACTGTTGTCATTGTGCTTAAAAATATAGATGCCTTATCATGAGAGGCAGATAATATCTAGCTCTGAAGCTCACTGATGAATGAAATGCTGATCATGTTACACATCCCTACTTGTAAACATCCGTTGTTAATCTTGTCTTACCTGAGTAGCTGCCTGGAGGTATCCCAGCCGCACCTGAGCCAGGAAGCATGCCAGGCTGAGTCATTGGGGGGATGAAACCCGCCTGTGGCTGAACTGCGGCGGGCTGCTGGAAGGAAGGACCGGGTTCATCGTCATCATCGTACTCATCAGAGTCGTCCTGGTTCTGCTTTTTCTTTTGAGTGTCTGAAAATAGAAAACATATGATAAACCTCTTGAATAACAAACAAGAGTGAACAGTGAGGTTATTATTTTTCAGTGGTCATACCTTGATTCTTTTGTTCTAACACTCGTCTCCTCTCTTCCATGTCTTTTTCTGGAATACCCTCCATGCCATAGATTTCCAACTCTATATCTGTTCGTCCAGGTATTGCATTAGGAACTCCATCGATAGTTTCTTTGTGTACCTATAAAAAAAGAGCAAACATGTAACTATTTCATCATTCAGACATGTCATTTTTAGGGAGATAATCTGCTCCATGTAGTTTCCTTACCTGCATACAGTGGATTGCGAGCCCCGGGCCGGTGTAGAGCTTTTTATGACAGATGTGACACTTGAAATGTTTGGCCTTTTGATGCTGAATGAGGATCTTTTCATCGTCAAAGTCTCTGTTACAGTACCTGAGGTCACTGTTTAGGAGGCTCACTGCAATGTTTAATGCTTTTAACAGATATTCATGCTGAGTCTTAGAGTAACTTGCTAAAACAAACTGTCATTTACAAGGTTTGGGGTGTTAAAGGTGAATTAATTAACAACTTCTAATTCTCTTAGAGGTCACAGAGCAGATTTCCTCGAATATAAATCGTCTTGTGAACATCTAAAACATTTTAAACATGTCAAAATATCAAATAAATTATATTATCTGTCTATAAGGATAACAGACGGTCTTGGATAAATACAGAGGGCTTATTAAAAGTCTAAGACCGTTATATGGGGTAACCGTTAATACACTGTAACCGTTAGCTTGATAAACGGCGTCTACTACAGACACAGAGCGAGGTAATATTAGTGTAATTGTGATAAAAGGATACCAGCACCAAGGCTTCATTTGCTTTTTCTTCTTTCTTCCCATATTTGTGTTAGTTTAAAATCCAAAATAACAACAAAGATGACGGCACCGAGAGCAGCTCTGGACTGAAGAAAGTAAAGATGGCGTCGACTCTTCGGCCTTTTACGAGGGAGTGGCGCCCTCTGGTGGTCCGAAACGATGACTACTCCTACCACCTCCTTCAATATATAGATAGACATATAAACGCTAGATGGCTTACGCACGCTGTTAGTCGATGGAGATCGACGTCTGCGCGTATAACGGCCATCTTGCTACGGGCAGCTTGACCACTCATAACATTATAGTCTACGGTGTATATACATTTAAATAACCATAAATTGATTAGTTTTTAATCGATTTTCAAACGGTTTGGTGTGTAACAAACCTCAGAGTTTTAGTTATGTTCCTGCATACTCAAGAATAATTTTAACCATGGATTTTCATGAATAAACATTAAGCAAATAGGTAGAGCAATTGCTGTCATACAAGCAATGAAAATCTCGATTGTGGCCTGCCTTGTTAACTTACTCAAAGCGACTCAAAGTTAGCCATTGTAGGCAAATAGCTGTAAACAACTGAGCTTCATGATTAAGCCTTTTTTTCCTCAAAGAAAATCTGCCATTATAATATGTCCAAACATCATGACTCATAGCCACGTTATTAAGGTCTGTAATAAACACAACCATTTGTACATCTGTCAAGATTTCAGCGAGTTAAGAGTATTTTGATCATGCAGATTACTCACCTCCCGTCAGCTACCATGGAGAGTACCAGAATGGTATACTGGAGTAAGATGGCTGCCGTAGAGGGACGCCGGTGACTCCGCCTCGAGACATCTAGCCTTTCTTATATATATCTATGCCTCCTTCTACCTCCTACTTATTTGGTTTGTTTTCTTCTTCTTCTGGTTTTTGTTTACTTACTTTGATTTGTTCACATGAACCAAGAAACATAAAACAAGATAAGTTTTACAAATTTTAATAAGTCAAAGTTCACTCGATTGGAAAGTGATTGGAATTAGGCGGTAACGTCCGTCCCCGGAACTGGAATGAAAATCAATATCACAGTCGGACATTGTTGTTGAGACGCACAGAGGAACTGCGGGCATGCGCAGAAGGAATGTAAACGCTAACAGTGATACCTGCAGCTTTGCATTTTAAATCCAAACCAGGCATAACATTAACAATAAATACTTTTCTACAAAGTTAGCACGGCAAAAACACTCTTCAAACGCCTCGTTCTCCTCGACCTTAGCCGGCTGCTAGCTCTCACCGCGCAGCTGTAGGACCATGTTTACCTCCCAGACCTCGTCCTTCCAGGACTCTATTGACGTGGAGGAGAGGGATGACTTTGACAGTGAGGAGATAGCAGGATACAGCCAGAAAACACAGCTTAACTGCTACTACACCATCTATCTTTATCAAGGCACAAGGTAAGGCCACATATTAACTGACCCAACAACGGCTCTGATACAGTTTATGTCAATACTGAAGCTCTTAATGTCAATACAGCAGCTCTACAGGAGACTCATCACTGTATACTTGAAGCAAAACTACTGTTCTTTATCCCTCATATAATCAAGTCCTGGTTTTATGTATGTTTCCTTCACTGTTTCATGGATATGCTGTCCATGATCCTGAGAGGACTTGTGAGTTAGTGTTGCACCTTGTTCCTCAGTCTTGTTTCATCAGTGGCACTCATCCAGAAAAAAAGCAGCTTTCTTCATTACAGACTAACCAGGTGATAAGTGAACTGTCAATATTCGTAGATCTGAGTCCTCTGGGGAAAGTGGGGCATGGAGCCAGAGACGAGCAGACTCCACAACCAGTCAGGATGACTTTAGGTAACAAAAGAGTCATCCGCCTACCTCCTCCTACCTCCTCCTCCTCCTCCTTCTTCTTCTTGCTTTCAGTGGTCGTTTCTCTTTGGCTTTCACTGTTGTCTGTCGGTGTATCCACGTGCTGCTGCAGGACATCCAATCAACATGGAATCAACGCTGTTTTCATTCCTGATTTTGCTCTGATTGGTCATTGCTGATTGCTGCTGAGTTACATGGACTTTTGCTTCCTCCCATTCTGAATCCTACTTCCATGTGCTTCAAAATGAATGAGATTCTTGTCTGAGTGCGGGTTTGAAACAAAAGGACAAAATACATTCAGTCTCACTGGGTTTGTGGTTTTGACACCCAGTTGCAGCTGTGTGACTCTGTTGTGTGTCGTGTTGGTTGTGGCTAATGATCATCAGCTTTCTCCATCTGTTTTCCATCAACTTCAATGGCTTCTTTTGTTCCTCGTGGCTTTAAACGGCTGCACGACCCCATGTTAACTTTCTGTCCCGCCCACAGCCTGACACTGGTCGACAGCAGCCTGCCATCAGAGGCAGAACCTGAGCTTAGGACCTATATTTCAAGGAGGCTGAGCAAAGGAGCTCTGCTGGGAGGCATGGGCAACATTGCGACCGTGGAACTCAGGTGATAATTTAACGTATTTAAAGTGTCTTACACACTACAAAGAGGGACACAAAATAGAGTAAAAACGAAAATGATGAGGCTGGTAAATATAAATGTGTTGATTTTTCCCTGTTCCTAGTATCCCTGAACAGGCAGTGGGCTGCTACTGCTGTCTCCTGGAGCAGGAAAGATCTCCTGAGCAGCCTGATGCTGATGGAAATGGATACGTCATCTGCTTTATGGGCGGCTCTGAAAAAGGACTGAACCTATATCCTTTGTGTGAAGTTTATTATACACTGTCCCCACAAGAATTTTACACATAATCTTTGACATTTTTAGTAGTTTTTTCTCTTCATAAAAAGAAACAAGTAATATTTCAACTCCTTGACCCTCCAAACATTTCGACTAGAGCTTGATAAATACGTCCAAGGCCTGCAAAGCAGCTTGCAAACTCCAGAGGTATGAGAACTTACAGACTACCATTAAAGTATAAATATTAGTGATCACATTTTTATGTGTGTGTGCGCACTAGCTGCAGAACCTTGAATCAGAGGTGCGTCCCTATCTGAGCCGATGGTACGAGGAGTCTGTGATGCACATATACCGGGTGGTGCAGCTGGTCCAGAACAACATGAGCTTCTTACTTCATGCAGTAAGTCTTTTTAAACCTTCTGTTTGCATCCACTCACCAGTGGAGGTTTGTAGAGGATGTGTGTAATAAAGACGGCATCCCTACACTCTGATCTGTACAATGCTCCAAGCATTACTTATGCAAAAATAGGCATGCTTAGGTGTTCTTTATATTATTTTGTGTCTAGGATTATTCAACTTAACTGTGACTTTAATCCCTTTTTTTGACAGCAGCTTATTCAAAGACCTTTTGACTTTGTTGTTTTGCAAAGTAAAAAAACAAACGAGACCATCTGCAACAAGGCTGATAATTTCAATGTTGTCATTTTTACTCCTAAAACTGCTGCAAGGGGATACGTGTTAGAGCAACCTGGTTCTTGTCTGAAAACACCTTTCACATGTAGTAGTAATGCTAGTAATTACTAGTAGTAATGCTTTGTCAGCAGGGGGTGGGGGCACCAAGATCAACACAAACAGAAAGCTGCAGCTTTAAAAATGCTGTTTGAAATCATTTTCTCAGCATCTCAATTTAACATTTTTCACTGTTTGTGATTTGTGTTTTAAACTTCACTTTTCTGTCACAGGCTCTGAGTCATACTCATGTGGAGGTCACTAATTCAGACGAGAGGACAAAGGCTGATGTGACCAGGTGAGATAGATGACAGTCTCTGCAGCTACAAAAACACAACAAACTTGAAGTGTTGCACTGTGTTTTTACGATTTATTATTTAACTCTTAAATGTTTTTGTTCTCTGTCAGGTTCATCAAAGCAGCCAGTCTGCAGGGTCTGTCCCAACAAGACACCACCACAGCCTCTCTATGTAAGGCCATCTCAGAGGACACACACTCTGACCTGATCATAGACTGCTCCACCAGCCCGCCCACGCTCTCTAATGGTGGTAAGTCAGACCCCATAATGTATCCTTCACAGGAGAAGAGATTGTAAATCATTGTTGAAGGACGAGCTCTAATTTAGATGTTCCCCTTCTCCAGTCAGTAATCGTTTCTGTGATGACTGGATTCAGGCCTTTTTGAACGCGGCAGAGCGATGTAACCCTTTCCTGCTCAGACAGATTCTGGAGAACTTCAAACTTAAGGTAAGAAAACAGATTTTATTATTCTCCATGTTTACTTTGAAAATGCTTTTATTACTCAATCATTGGAAGTCACAGTGAAACTCACAAAAACTCACAAACCCAAAGTCAATATTACTTCAACACAAACTTTTCAAACCACAATATGGACGGTAGTGCTAGTTCCTCTTGGTTTATACACTGTTGTTCAGCTTTCATCCTGATCTCTTCCCCTTTTTTAACTTTCTTCCTCTCTTTCAACCACCTCCCTCCCTCCGCAGGCGATCCAGGACATGAACAGCCTGAAGCGCTACGTGCGACAGGCAGAGATGAGTCACTACGCCCTGTTCCGCTGCTGCCAGTTCCTGCAGGGCTGCGGTAACGGGGATGTGCTGCTGCAAAATGCCAGAGCGGAGCACAGCGACCTTCCTGAAGCCTGTAGCATCATTTCTGTCCTGGAGGAGTTCCTCAGGGAACAATCCCAGGCCCAGGCATGATCATATCAACTGCTTCTCCAGCCACAAAGCAGATAACCTGGTACAGTTTAAACACAGCTCCACGTCCTATATTCAACATCACTTTGATATTAGAGAAACTTCAAATTCACCTAATTCTGAAGATTTGAAACAAGTTATAAATCAAACATTTCCAGTGCTGGAATTACAACCACTTGTCATTTAAAAGAGCAGTGGTCAGAACTCAAATAAGTACTGTAAAACACTCATAACCTTCTTCAACAAACAGGCTTTTTTATGCCTGATTATGGTTGATTGACTTCACACTATCGCTACATCTTAATGAGTAAGTTTGTTTCTTTTATTTTGGGATTATACTAAAAAAGAATAGACTGGTTATAACATCAGTCAAGGTAGTTAAAAAGAAAATATCAGTGTAATTATTGAGTGGCACTTTCCTCCTATTCTTACCTTGTGGTATTTTGTTCTGTGTATCAACTTTATGAACCAAATATTCGTACTACTTTTTGCAAACTGACAATGATCACGATAAAGAACGAATCTAAGCTAAAGATACTACTTTTGAGGGGTGTACCACGAAGTGAGATGAGAGGGTCACAGGCCGGTCTTAGCTTAAACATTCCTAACCTCTCCTGAACCAAACTGACACTGATTGCTCCTGTTTATGAGAAATGAGCATTGAATAACACATTTAAATGTGACACCTTCAAATGTGAGCTTTGTGATTCCCATATCTCTACCTGGAGCTGCAGACTTTACTCAAATAAAGCCTGAGTATGCTGTGCCTGTTTTGTGGTACACCCTCCTTTGAAGTGGAATTATGTATTCCTTATTTGGTGTAAAAATATCTCTTAATTGTTTTGTATCATATTTTGTTGTACTTATTCTTTTGAGATGGAACATATTAAGAATGCACAAATCACTTTAATGCTTGTTACATACGCTGTGCTGTTAATATTTCAAATGAACATGTGCTCTGTTGTGGGTTTTTTTCTCATGAATGAGAAATGTACAGTTGTCTACTGGGTGATATCTAATGTGATTGTGATGCAGTGGTGTAGTTTTAAGGTGTAATTTTTGTTTGCAAAAATCTTACCAGCATTCACCAGCTCCAAAAAAACACAGAGTATCTTGCTCATTTCTACCACTATGATCACAATTCCTGCAGTTATGACACACACAGACATGATCTAAATACATGTTCAAATATAGGCAGCGAGGGCTCACAGAGAATATTAGCATGAGTTTTAATGTTCTTTCACATCTGCAGCTTAGAGAAGGTTACAGAACTGACTTTACCTATACCCAAAGTGTGTTAACGTAGCAATATTAATGTTGGCGGTGTATACCTGAAAGCTGTGGAGGAGGTGACATTTAATAAGGCATTTATTCCTGTGAAACATAATGTGACCCTGTCTGTATAATGTAGTCATTTCTGTACAGTGTTCTCTAACATGAACGTCCTCTAATAATAAATGTCTATGTGGTTCTTTGTTGTGCAAAAAGAGGAGCTAAAATAAATACTAAAATAAAATCTGCCTCTTGTGGTCATAAATAATGTTCCTAACACCGAAGCAGAGCAACGGTAACAACAATATCACACTGTAATTTTTTTTTTTGTACACCTGAGAGAGAGTTAAGCTTAAATATGCTGATATTAAACAGTAAAAAAAAAAAAACTCATAAGAAGAGACTGACTTGACTTCATATCCTCCAGTAAGCTTCTGCTGACAGCTGCTCCTCTGCAACCACAAAAAAAGGAAAAGGGTGTTAATAAAATCAGATATTTTGGGATAAAAGGGATAAAAATCCCCACTTTTAAAGACATGTTAATAAAAACCCATTGAGAACAGGACTGGGACGGACAAAGACGACAAACACCTTCTTCCAAAGTTGGGACGTGACTGTTTAAGTTTTAAAAATGGCGCCGCCTGTGGAATCCAGTTTCACATTAATACCGTGCGTTAATATGTAACTGACAGTGTGTAGCTAGCTTAAATAGCAAACGTCTTCAGGAGCGCAGATAATACGACGTAGTTTAACGTTCGCCATGTAACCAACATGAACGATTACAATATAAAATTATGATAATTAACGTTGTCGTGTTGAGTATGTCGATTTTACTCTTTAATTTTACGATCTGTAGATTTATCAACAACAATAACGGTTGATTTTTTTGGCGTCCGTGATGCCGTTGCTGAACAGGTTTCATTGACCACTCGAACCAAGAGTACCCAGATGCAGCGCCAAGATGGCGGACCCAAAGATAAAAAACCACATTTACAAAACGCAATAAGTTTCCGCATTACCTCCGATTGGCGGACCCAAAACATGAACTTTGAACTTCTGCTTTGCGATGCCAGAACAGTAGGTGGCGGTATGTACCTACACTTTCTGACGGCAAAATTTACAGAAGAAGAAGAACTCTCAGGAAGTTTGAAAAGAAGCAAGCCGTCCGCATTCATTCAATCTCACCTCCGACCACTCAAACTAACCCTAACCCTGCATTCCATTGTTTCCATCATGGGAAATCTAAGTGACGCTCTCAAATTAACAGGAACATTGCGCAGAAGATATGTCCTGGGCAATGGACTGAGAAAACGGGCAGAGATTTGGAGGTATTTGTGCATGCTCTATATTACAGTTGAAAAGTGTATAACAGCTTTCCAATGCTGTTACTTGTGGCGAACACCTTTTTGCTTGAGTTGATGCGTGCCCGCAGGTGGAATAATGTCACATGTCACACACATTTTCTGTTGTTTTGATTTATTTACTCATTCATCATTTTATGTGCGCACCTCTCCTAATCAACCCACCCATTAAATAGACGGGCACAATAGCACCATCTGCTGGCACAAAAAATACATAACAATAAACTGCAAAACCCCAATCTGGCTCCTACAAAGTGTATGTGACAAGATGATTAACGTTTGCTTTTGTTAAATCAGGGCTTCCCCAGCCAGGACTTCGGCTCAGACTGTGGCATATTCATGTTGATGGTAGGTCATAACGAGCTGTAATGCACAAATATTGTATCTAGAATAACTTTCCAACATGGACTTTTTTAAAGTTATCTCACATGTTGTCTCATAATTTTTTTTTAAAGTCTGCCATGTACATCGTTATGGAGTCACAGTTTGACTACTCAGTTGTAAGTACTTTTCAACACGCAGTGTCATCCTCAAGATTGTATTTTGTATTGTGCACTAAAATGAAATACAAACAACAATTTCAGCATGACATGCCTGTTTGGCGGCGATGGTGGTGCCTGTTGCTCCTGGAGAACAATTCTTTGAACAGGTAGACAGTTTAAGTAAACTAGATGTCCTAATTAACTGGAAGACAATCAATATATTGTACTTAAAGACATATTGTCATTACAGTTGTGGGAAAATCTTCGCCCACTGGACCAAAGAATGTCAAGAGCTCATTGCTGGAAAGCATACTCCGGTCTTCAGTCTAAAGAGGAAGGCAGAGCAGCAGGACACAGAGGTTAGGAAATTGCCTTGTAAAAACAGTATTATCTCAGTGGGAGTCCTTCAAAATGCACACAGTTGTATGGATCAACATTGTCTCGATGTATTTGGTAATTGATGTTACTTTTCAAATTGCCTTGTCAAGGAAACCATGACGCAGACGGTATCGGATGTCCAAAGAATGTGCATGGCAGATTCAATGCAATTCTGTGTCTACCAGACATCGAACAACACAGGAGAGAGGTGTGTTGCAGACTCAATTTAATAAATGCAATTATCGGGGCCTATTCAGTGATTTTCCATGAAGTGACCACTTTTACATATAGTTTAAATGCACGAATCATGCAGGAAAATTATTTATACATTCAAATGTGCTGCAGAGGTATAATCAATTGGACAGCGTGTTTGTTTGATATTATGTTTGTCTCTCATTTGATCAGATTGCTTTACCCTGAGGTAAACGTCATAAAATGGGTCCAGTGCAAGACGTGCAGGGGCTGGCTGCATCAGGATTGTGCTGGGATTGAAATGGAGCCGTTTGACTGCGGGTGCGAGGACTCCATTGAGCATCCTCGGTATAACATAATTTATCAAGGAAACATAGTATCAGTCAAAAATACGAGGCTCAAAGGATGAAAAAATGAGGGCTTGCTCTTTTCTTATTTCTCTGCAGGATCAAGGATGCTGTTGACAGTTGAGGAATTCATGCTGTCTTTTCTAAGACACAGATCAAGGTTGCTTTTGAATGCACTATCAGTTGTTAAAGCCACTGTTTCTTTTTCAGATGATTACATTTTTGTCTCTTGCTCTTTGGTTTCAGACATTACACGATGATCTACTGTCTGGAAAGATCCGCTCCAACAGAATGTTCCTTTGGAGGAATCCCGCCACCTCACTCCGACTAAAGCAGCATCTTAAGATAAGGACACTAAGTTGGAGTGAGCAGCGCGTAAGTAAAAATGCCATCCATCATGAGTATTTTTACTCTCAGGGGTGTTACATTTGAAAGGTGTTTACTTTCTGTGTTTTTCTTCAATAGATGTTCGAGCTCCTGCGGTTCATTGAGGTGGCAACAAACATTTCTAAAAAAATAAAGAGAGGCGAGATTCATCTGCTTGATTTCGTTTTTGACGTCATGCTCCCAGAGGTGAGTAGATCAAACTATATAGCTTGCTTTGAAAAATGATGATATTGTTAAGAGGTTGTTCTTATTCATTTGGAAAGCTCAAGAACAACAATTAACCCATACTGCATAACTTCAATTGTTCACATTATTTGACTGTTTTTCAGCTTTTGATCAAAGCACTGAAGGAGCATGGCATCAACCGGTTCAGAGCAGAGCTGATGATGGCCTGTGGCAACGTGTTTTAAGCCCCCCACCACACCGACGGCAGTGCTGAATTTTGTATATATATATTTTTTTTTACTGTTCACAATTTTGTTTGGAAAAAATTAAAGAAATCTTCAAAGCAGTTGTATGACAATTTCCCATTTCTTTACACAGTCTGTAATGATATCGCTATTCAATTGTTTTTGCTATATGGCTCTTCTGAACCTTAAAGAGATCATGTGACTTGTGTCTCTACAACTATTGTATACTTGGATTTTGCACAGTCAAGCAATCCTGAAGAGGTTCACCAGGAAGCACACCATTTCATAAATTATGTCCCTGGTTACACAATGTTACTAAAGGATGGGGGGAGTAAATTTGTGCAGCAACATAAGCACTCTCATAAAACATAATTATGAACAACAGAAAATATGTGAGGGTCAGGGCAACATTGTTGACATTAAACGAGGTCCTAATAGGAGTGGAGAAACAAGGTCACAGAGAAGTTAAGAAACATTGATGTGCTGTGTAATAAAGCTATTGGAGAGAAAAGTTAGAAAACACTGTTATATGATGTGTAACGAGAGGTTAAAACAGTCCATACTTGTAGCAAACTCTTACAAAAGAATTTGAGTAAGATGATAACTTCTACATACATTTACCTATTCTGACAAATTATCAGAATATGAGGACATCAGGCTATATATACATATTACTGTAAACTTCAGAATTAAATCAGAACAAAACAGTAGTCATAATTAATACATAAACGTTTTATTTTGATTTTTAGCTCAATAATAAATTTAATTCGATTCTTATGGAATGAACGGAGCAAAAAAAAAAGGATCCGGCGACTAAATCCGACTACCTGAAGTATTTCGGCGCCGGAAGTCCGCCAACGAGAAAGCCTTTCCACCGGAAGTAATTGTTTTGGGTCCGCCAATCGGAGGAACTTATTGCGTTTTGTAAATGTGGTTTTCTATCTTTGGGTCCGCCATCTTGCGCTGCATCTGGTCACCTCTCACTCGAACAGCAAACCTTTTATTCACACGATTACAGGACAGGACTTCACGATTTTACTAGTCTAGGGCAGGAAATTAAAAAGCATTAAAGCTTAATTTAAATATTTTAGGAACAACTGGAAACTAGTGTAAGCAAGCTGCTGAGGATACTCTGATTTTACACTTGAGTTGTAGTTCTTATATCAAATGACAAACATATCCTACCAATAACTTATCCAGTCTAATCTAGTAACCAAAGTTTATCAAACTGTTGTACAATCGTGACCTAGAAACCGTAAAAACAACAAAAACCACAGTAAAAGGGTGAAATTTCAGAGAAGCTTTATGGTTAACCAAAGCTGCACGACTTCCGGTCTCTTCCTCTAATTTGTACTTGCATTGAAGCTGCGTTCATACTTTATAAAAGTCCAGTATTTTTAGCATAGACTGCTTTGTTTTATTGAACTAAGTAGTTCTACTTAGGAGCTGACAGGATACATGAGGAGAATTTACCTGGAGAGTAATCAGACACCTTCCTCAGTAAAGAGCTTGGGACATCATAGATGTTTTCTGTAAAATTTAATGTGGAAGAAAAAAATAATTTCATAAATATCAGGTAGATCCAACAGAGCTACTGCTGTTATAATAATGATTAACTTTACCTGTATCCTCATCAGTCCGTCTACTGGAAGTAGGAACATCATACACACTCTCCTCTGTCTCAGTTACACGGCTGACTTCACACACCGCTGAAGAGACAAAGCATAATACATGCTCAGGCCAGTTTGGATATTTAACTTTTATCAGGCTGTGTTTGATACTACAAGAAATTAAGATGATATACTTACGTTTTCTAATTGGTAAAACGTCATAGTCTCCTTCTGGTTTTGCTCCTGCATTGCTGAATTGCTGCATTGTCCCATCTGACCACTGAGGACTGGGACTGTCACCTGAAAACAGATGTTGACTTTATGCAAGGTGCAGCACAATTCAGATTATTTACAACTCTAAAAACCAATGAATGTTTACCTGTTTGTTTCTGAAAGCTGCAGGTTAGCTGAAAATTTTGGTACGTTGGCTCTTCATTGTCAGGGTTCTCAGGGAGGCAGGCTGGGGGGGTGATGCTCCTGATGTCATGGTGGATGTGGACTGGTGGTGCAGAGAGGGGCCGAGGAGGCAGAGAATCCATCATACTCTCACTTGTGCTGACAGGGACGATGCTATTCATCCTATCTCGATAATACTCATCAAGACTGGAGGAGCTAAAACAAAATCAGTTAAAAACCTCCAAAGAGTCAGAATCCAGCAGACCAAAATGTAGATAAAGAAAATCCAAGTTCAGATCTGTCATTAAAGGAAAATCCTGTTACTCACTGCGTGTTTCTGGAGTCTGAGAACCCTGACGTAGACAGCTGCATGGCTTGCCAGAGATGATCTAACCACTCTTGCCTGAGAGCTGCTGTCTCAGCGGCCTGCACATGCCCACACACATTAATAGGTTAGGGTGCATGATTGACAGACCCTGCAACAATCTGAGCCTGCAAATGTAAACTGGCAAACTTGAAAACCACATCCCTGACTCACCAACATTTTTCTTTTTCCGTTCGTCATGATGATCTCAAACATGAAGCGCTTGCTTTCCTCCCTCTGGACCTCTCGTATTGACTGAACCTGATCCAACAGGTGGATAAACAGATACACACCTGCTTTAATCAATGATCTTTAGTCAGTAGTAATTTCTTTCCATGGAAATAGATGTGACAGTACAACAGTAAGGTATTTTATTACTTTATGTCCATTACTAATGCTATTCAAAATGGTCATTTCAGAGTATATTTCCTTAAATGTAAAGGCTGTTGCATAGATGCACGTATCAGAATGAAAACCCAAACTAAATGTATGGGATCATTTTTTCCTGTACCATACAGACAATGCAGGGAAGAACACGAAGTGATTCAGAACTGGCACCGTGACTTATTTTCACTTCCAGGTTAAAACTCTATTCTATAATGATTAAACACAGTCTAAAAGAATTTATCTGCTGTTGTTTTCTGCATTATTATATAAATAAATGCAAATATCAATTTGTTTACATACACACACATATATTTATATATATATATTTTTTCTTTTGTTATAACTCCTCATTGTTCTCTGTTCTCCAAATCATCGCTCTTTGCCTATCAGGCAGGTGGCATTTCCTCTAAACTCAATGAGAAATACTGAACTGTCTATCTTTCATGCAACTGTCCCCGTTCTTCAGCCCCTTCCTGTTAACTTCAGAAATATCTTTGTCACAAGCAACCAAACAACAGCGAAGACCTGTGACCTGCTTTCAGAAACTTCAAGAACCTGCCTGAGCATATGTGGACACCTTTAACCTTTGACCCAGAGACAGACCATTTAGGGCATTTCTAGTTATCAGCATCTGCATCTTCCCACAATCTGATATGACTGATATGTTGTCTAAGTTTATTAAAAATCATGTCAAACATGTTACCAGATAAGATAACCATGAATACTTGGGACTGATGTGTACATGTACGTCCTCTGTGGTGAATTTAAAAAGTAATTTGTAGGTATAACTTGGTGTATCAGGAAATGTCCTTGGGTTAAAAGTTTAAGAGGGAGTCTGGTTAATAATTGTTGAATAATGGTTTAACAATTACAGGTAAAAATATGTAACATAAAAAAGTGAAAAATAACATTAATCCAGATCACAGTGTTTATGCTGTCTGTTTGTGAGAGCTTAACTTACATAAAGAATTGCTGCAACTCTTAACTTGTCCAATCATGTTTAAACTTTTGTTTTCATCTCATCTTCTCTTTGGGAGATGACGGTCTGTATTATTGATTTTTAAAAGTCAATTTTTACACATTTTTTATGTCCTTTATTTCCATTTCTCCTAGGATTTCCTACATAACTAAACTTGCCTCTTGTATGAGTCTAACAGGTCCGGCTGTGATAAGCATTAAAGGAGGATTGGAGCTAAAAAATATGATAAATTAAACTATTTCCTCAGAGATGAAGAAGAGTCGAAGGAAAAAACTACAGATTTAGGATAATTGAGTCCAGTTACCTCAGTCCACACAGGTATTCAGATATTTTTCATACTTTAGAAATAATAAAAGGTAGAGAACTCACTGTGTAGATGTAGTAATATCCTCTTAGGTGTGACTGTAAAGAGAAAAAACATGGATTTAACCTTCTAAGAGTTATGTAAACCATCCTTTAGCGGACTGTTTCAGAGCAGAGAATGAAACTTTGGAGTGTTCACTCACAGCACTGCAGTTTTCCTTCGTATAGAAGAATAAGGTCGTGTTTTGGAGCCTGAACCAATAAGTCGTCCACCTGATTTTCTAAGAATTAAAAAAATTAATCAACCAAAAACTCTTTTACTGCAAAACTGAATGAAATGAAAGCTGCAGAAACACAACTCACCATTGTATCTTTTCTTTTCTGCAGAAAGCCCTCGAACAATAACTTTGACCCGTTTATAGACATGCTGCTCCTCGGTGGTATTTTCACTCTGTGGCTAGACTGATCACCTGCATGTGTGTGTGTAAGAGTGAGAGACTTCCTCCTCACTCAACCAGTATCACTCACTGCCACATAATTTACTCACTTCTCTGTTCAGCTTCAGGAAAGTCTCAGCGGTTCAAAAAAACCGTTCAGCGTTCACTTCTCATTTTTTTCTGTTTTTAAATGAGCGGCGACACAAAGACAATGACATCAGCGGGTGTAAAGTCGTTTATTACAGATTTTAAAATCATTTTCATCCTCCTTGTTGCTGTTAAATCGTCATTTCACCCACTCAAACTCGGCTGAGCCAGATCGTACATTTTTTATTGTAAATGCTGAAAAAAAAAAAAAACAGTAAATTGAGAAGAAACACTTTGATAGTTTTAAGGTGGGAGAGGTGCGCTGAATGGCTGTTGTTAATAGCTTTAAGTCTGTCTCTATGGTGCCTCTAACTTCATAAAAATATAATATGAGGGGCAAAGCTCTATATGAAAACCAGAAAATTAACAAAATGATGAATCTTAAGGACAAGCTTTGATAATACTAAATACAAAAATACATGGAAAATGTCAATCCCTCCATCTGTTTCATGCAGTGCACTCAAACAGACATGAAAACAAAGAAACAGGTTAATAAATAAACACTCAAAATAAACAAGTGAATGACTCCTCTAGTGTTAGATGGATAGACCTCATGTGGGTGATGTCTCAGGCTTGTGTTTCTGTCTAAGAGTCCGATCCTAAAAGTTCTGAATACATACATAATATACTGCATATACACATCTATGAACAGAGTCCAGTCCCTTTGTGGTGTGACCGTATGGCTGATTCTCTCTGATCTCCAACCAGCTCATGAATCAATGAATGAATGAATAATACTGACCTGAGGAAATGAAAAACAAAAAGGGCTGGATCAGCTGGAAACATCCAGAGACTCCTACAGTCTGACCCGGACTAGACTAGACCAGCAGATCACAGATGTCAGTTTTACCGTAGACTGTAGATAAAGATGGACCAGCCCACCCCAGCTGGCATCTCATAAAGCCCGCTTTCTCCATGGGAACAGATGGGACATGAGGCAAAGTTTAAAATTAAATTGCGATGGTAAATTTTCATCACGCTGATTTATGACGAGCTCAAACTTGTGAGTGAGCATCAGCAACCCATCTCAAACTAGAAGGCAAAAACAGTTCGACCTTTAGTGAGTGCAACATGATAGTTTCACTAGTGGTACCAGTGAAGCTGCGTTTAATACTACGAACATGATACGAAGGCTGCAGATGCAACAAACTCTGGACTTTGAAAGGAGGAATAAACGCCGTTAAGAGAGCGAGAAAGGCCAAATGAGAGGGTCCAATTCATCTCTCCCCGATCGCTGAGGTAGAGGATTCAGGTTTTGCCATGTCCTTCCATGCTTAGTGTGTTTACATGTAAAAAAAAAAATCGATTTATAGTCCCAGTCAGACTGAAACTGAACTTTTAAAAACCATGTAAACACATTAGTCCGACTAAATCGTGCTAAATCAAACTTCTCATAGTCGGACAAATGAACCTGGATCATGCATACAGCTCAAACAGACTGAAACTGGACCACATGTTCTGCCTGAGCCCGGAGTTTGCATGCACATCGATTTTGAGGATCTCAATGCAGAGCATGCAAGTCCAGTAGATGCTGTGCAGATCTGTCATCCAGGTGAACACATGCATCAGGATCAGGACCCTATCAGTGGATACTGAAGACTGAAAAAACAGAGGGACCATGACTCTGTAGACCTATGAGGCTCCTGCAGCGCTGTAGGTGCTGGATCAGCAGAGAGGACGAGGACTAGTGAGAGGAACCGTGACAAATTCTCACAAGAGTCACGAAACTTTGGATGCCAGTGTGTATCAGTTTCAAACTGACTCAAGAATCTGTTCTGCTCCGGACTCTACCTCCCTGAAGGATCATGGACTTTTGATCGTCTGCTGGGGGAGTTTTGGGAAGCAGAAGTGGTGAGTCCTGAACACTCAGCCTCCAGTGCCTGCAGCATAGCAGGGGTAGTCTGGCTTCACTCCTGCACAACAGGCAGGAGGTCCATCTTTATTGACAGTCAGTGAGTCTGACCTGGACCAGGACTAGACCAGACCATCAGTGTCAGGATGAACTCGTGAATAAGTGATGTTTTAAACCCGCCTGTTTCCCTGCAACATAAACAGTAAACCACACACCTTGTTTTGAATGCATAAAAAAATGTACCTAGGGTTTTGCTCATTTGCGTCTAGCCCGTGTTGCATTGTGGGAAGGGGATGAGGTGTCAGTGTGGTCTTTAGGATACCGCCCAGGTTGGTTGGTCAGTCTTTTTTTTCTTTTTGAGTCTTTAGGTAGGAGAAAAAAGGGGACAGAGTCACCGAGAGAGGGACCGGGAGGGACAGCTGTCTGATCACCGCTGTTTGAGAAGCGCTCTGTACATGGCGAAGCCCAGCACGGCGCACACTGTGGCGCCGACGCTCGCTCTCAGCCAGAAGGTGGAGTTCTTCAGATCCGCCTGAGCCATGTGCCTGAGAGGGGATAGAAGAGAGAAGAGAGTTTGTGAGGAGAGAAAGGAGGGATCGTCTTCAGTTTCACTCAACACCACAGACGGATTAGTCACCAAATGACAAAACAAAGTCACGTGTTCGCTCGCCACTGCGTACTTCCTGAATCAGGATTGTAAACGGCAGAATCAGTGGCCTGTTTCCAGGTTCAAACAGGAACACACGCTTTGTCTTGACATTCAGTTCAGTTTAGGGGAACAGGAGGAGACAATAAAGCCACTGAGGGAGGAAAAAAAGAGAGCGCTGCTGCGATTCTCACCTGGACACAGAAAACTATGAAAAAAGTTCATTTTTATAAAGTTAAGACAGAACCGGCAGGAAGTAGGCCAACTTTATGACAGAGAGCGACAGCAAACAGAGGTGAAGATACTTCCTAGTGCTCTGTTTAAGCCCCTCTAAACTCCACTGTAAATAAATATACAGAAAGCAGCCTGTTCGCCAAGCTTAGCGTGAAAACTGGAACAACCGCTGGATGTCAATAAAGTTAGTGACTTCCATTTTTTCTGAGATTACAGCATGAAAACAACAAAAACACAGGCAGAGACGGACTTTAACCTCTTTGGGATTTCATAAACCAAACAAATGTTCATCAACAACCTTCTTCTATTTCTGGACACTAAACCCGATCCACTTTTTCCCCGCCGTACGTCTGATCTGTCTGCGAAAACACAAGCGGTGCATTCACACGCCTCCCTGAACTAGTTAAGGTCACCTGTGTGTAACCAGAATACCACAAGTACAAACCTTCACGACCTTAATGTGTCTTTCCCATTTTCACTTCAGTTTGACGTTTGCTGAAGATTTTGACTCTTGTTTAGCGACAGACTGAGGAGCAGATTCAGGAGATTTCACAGTTTTAGGATGAAGCTGAAAGTAAACATCTGATATGACTTTGAATTGATCTTCTTTGGCTCTCCACCTGGAATAAAATCTGCACATTCTGCTGGGGCGCCCGATTGGCTTACTTGGTAAATCACACATATGAACAGAGACTGTGGGACAGGGTTCAAACTCTCCTAAGGTCTTTTGTCCCACGTCATCACTGACCTCTTTCGTAAATCTCTAAAAATAAAAAATAAAAAAACATATTTTTTGCTAGCAGGTCCGTTTATCCCGCTAAACTTAGAGCCAGCATCATTCCCTCCCTCTTTTTCTCTCTCTCTCTCTCTCTTCAGGTGTTTCTTCCTTTACCTGTCTGGGGGGATCAGCTGCCCGGCAGAGGCCTCCACAAAGACGGACCCCTCCAGGTTGGAGACGGCTGAAACCTGCTGTGTCAGCCTGAAACCCTCTTCTAACAGCAGGCAGCCCCCCACAGCCTCCACCCAGCCCAGGAGCCTCCCATACCACACAAACACACACATAGAAACACACAACACCAGGTCACATGGTTGCCCAGGTGTGTGCAAGTAGGTAGAGCTGGGAGACACCGACAGAATCATGTGGTCGTGTTTAGCCTGAATTGAGACTTTGTTTTGCTTCATCTTTCGTGTCGTCTGAGGGCGAATTTAGGGACGGGTGGTGTTTATTACTTTAGCCTAAAAATGCTGAAGTATGTGGCGTCTGTTCCCTCTCTTCATACTTCTCCCTATGCAGACAGTTTGTCACTTTTTTATTGTTTTTGTTCGGGTTGAATGACTCCATCATCCACTGAATTTCTGTATTTACCCCGATCACCCAGCTCTACCTGGCCTCATAAAAACCAAACTCCCCTCCCCACCAAAAAAACCACGAATGCATAAGCTCAACCATGAATGCAGATATATCCAAATACCACCACACACTCCAAACAATGCAAAAAAAAAATAGAAACAGTGAAAAGCCTCAAATACCAACTGAACACACCGCATGGCAGCCATTGAATCAAGTCTAAATCTAAGTTTTAGATGTTTGAGGGTCAAAAAAAAGTCAGAATAATCTCATTAAAGAGTTTAACATGTACTTTTTCTAATACTGCTCTGCTCCATCCCTCCATCTGTTTGGCTCAGATCTCCTTCTCTCTCTTTTCTCTGTATCACGTCAAAGTTTAAATATATTATATATCACCACAGACTCAAAATACTAAAGAAAACTTTGGGTTGATCTTTTGCAAACTCAGATGCTATTTCAAGATTCGCACGCCGCTCACTGACTCGGGTTAGGATGAAGTCATACGGTGCAAAACGAGTCAACTGACCCACTTCTCAGCTAACGCCTTTAATGTGATGTGTGGGACCCTTAAGCTGTCAGGGCTGACCTGCACAAGTGTCATGCTATTAATAGTGTAGAGAACTTCAGCACGAGAGGTTAGTTTCAGATAAAACACTTCAGAACAAAAGCTGCGTCTGAGCAGACGACCAAACCGAACCTAAACACGCCATGAACAGCCACTCGAACCCGGTTAATACTTGGATAACCCCCCATGTCTGACTCCAAACACCAAGCTCTCTTTACTGCAGAGGTAGATAGATGAGAACTTTAATCTTTCAAGGACAGAGGCATGCCTTTAGTTAACCAGAGAGGTAGAGAGCAGGTGAGACATGCAGCACAGCAGCATGCAGATGATCAGAGGGTGAAAACATGCAGGAGGAAGAGGAAGAAGGGCAGCCAAAAACACGGGTCTGAACACCTAAAGGGTGGGAGGAAAAACATAAAGACAGGACGTACGAGACAGGGGGGGAGAAACAGGATGAAATGACAACTGACAAAACAATACATCAATTAAAACATCAGAAAAAACACAAGTTGAATTTCTAACATCAGCTGGTTCAGTTGAAGCGGTCTTAACCTACAGGAGAGCGCACAAGTGTCACTTTTAGGGCTTATTTTTAGTCAAACACAAAGAGATGCGGCTTGAGCGAATAAGACGGTGAGGAGAAAGAAGGAAGGGGGGAGTATTTAACTCCTGTGCTCACCCCTCCTGCTTGTCAAGTAACAGTGGCCTAGAAGGACAAGAAGCTGCTGTGATGCAGAATGAATATATGATCATCTATTTGTTTTTACTGAAGTTTTTAACAAACACCCTCATCTACCTCTTTCAACAAATGCATCTGCACCTTTAACTCATCCCACTCATGTATATTTAGCGTCTTTCCTGAGGTATGTTCAGGGATACAACCTCGACCCACTCTTCCACTGAGCCTCAACTAACACTCGAGTATCTCAAGTACTGAATATCGACAAATGAGTCAAGTCTCGGTCTGAAGCAGCACCTGAGCTCTGCAGAATAAAGCGTCTCCTGTAGGTTTAGACTTCGAGGTGAAGGATGGCGACGAGGACAAAGCATGACTGAAAACATCATTCACAGATCCTGAACGACCAAAGAGAGAAAAACTTAAAAAGTTTGAGAAGTTTGAAAAAAACGCTACTGTGCAGCTTTTACAGAATTTAATCATGCAGACTACAATGAGGTTTTCAGTTCAGCACGAGTCAAAAAGTCAAAGTCTTCATCAGATTACACTCTTGTTAGTTCAGATTTATGCATATCCACTGCAGGACGACACGACACGTTTAGTGTTTAACCCTCGGTGACTAGTCCTGTAGTTCTGTGCACCCTCGTTAAATTAACTCTGCAGACTGTTAGTCAGTTTCATGGTTAAAATTAATCCATGCATTTTTATTCCCACACTTCATCCGACACACGGTCACCTTCCTGGCTAGCAGTCGGGGTGTTAGCCGGCACAGCAGGGTCACACTGCGCTGTGTCAAAGTGTACAGAGAGCTGGAGGGCCGGGTGGAGCTGGAGCAGAGACCAACACAACTAACATGACTGGTGCGGAAAAATAAAATAAATAAATCAGCTTCATTTGGAGATTTCAGCTACTTTTCTGGACCTTTTATACTTCTTTTAGAGCCAAAAATCTCAAAACAAGGACATAAAACCAGAATCCAAATGCTGATCGAGACCCTTCAGACCTACAGACTTTCCCCCTCATATTCAGCCTCTCTTACACTCCTGGTTTCCTTCCTGCAGTGGATAATCAACATAAATCGAAAAGACTGGAGCAAAACGGGAGGAAAGCAGAGGAGCTGTCACCGCCACGGTGTTAGAGAGCTTGGGTGAGGAAGGAGCCTCTCTGTGCCCCTCCCCTCCTGGAGGTCAGCAGACACAGAGAGGAGGAGGAGGAGGAAGGAGTCTATGTTAAAACACCGGACTAGTCTTGGTATGAACCTGTTGAAAACGACCCTGCGGAGTTGGGCCTTAATATTTCGCAGCAGCTCCGACTTGAGGAGGTTCTGACACAGGCAATAGGTGCACCTGTTGCAGGTACACATGCAGCGGAGTCGGGCGTGGCTGCAAAAAGATACACAACAAAAATGCGAGTGTTCACCACCGTATCAAAACAACACACAAAAGGAAGAAGAGGAGGAGGAAGAGGAGGAAGAGGAGGCCGACCACGAGGCTAAATTACAGGATCTGAGTTACAAGAACAAAAACCTGCACCAGGTCAACTCTCAACTCAAAGGAGGCAAAATGACAAGGAAGGAGGACTTTAGATAAATATCCAAGGAGGAATAAAGAGGAAATGGGACAAATTTTAACACAGTACAGACTCAGAGGGGGTTTCAGTTTCATGATAGAGTCCTAAATATGTCACAGATTTAAATATTCATCCAGGAGAGACAAGAACGGTGTCACACAGAGTTCATTAGAAAGGTTCAGTACTCACGGATACATGGCCATGGTGGTGAGTCTGGTGTAGATGTCTTTGTTGACCGCCTCGGTCGTGTTGCACGTGAACGGCTGAGGTGGGTGGAGCTTGTGTTTCCGGCAGAAGTCCTGCGGCGAGAGGCTGTAGTGCTGCCGTACTTCGTGCAGGTCGGACTTGGCGGCGATCACCACACACGGCGTCTTACTGTCGATGAAGTATTGCTGCAAAACACACAGTCGAAGGTTTCTTCTGTTAGACCTTTACGTGGTGAACCGGGTCAGAAACACTTTATCAGAACTAGAACTCAGTTTTTTTTTTTCAATTTGAGCTCCAGTGGTTCTCTGATGGATCGAGACGGCCTTCACTTCTCACATTCATCACTGAGTCTCGGCCCTCGACTGTCTCAACTTCACCAGTTTTACTTCCCCAGTCCACTTTAAGTAGGTACTTACCAGTGCAGACCGGGAATACCCTGAGCAGTTCTGATGACACTCAGACCCACTTACAGCATCACCGTCTGACCTTCGTTAAATTCATCACATCCTCATTCTTGATTTACCTTGTAGACTTTGGCGCAGTATTCAAAAGAGCGAGGATTGTTGACGTCATACACCAGGCAGACCACGTCGCAGGCGAGGTCGGCCTCCGACAGGAAGTCAAAGTCTGGCATCACCTCATGGAGCTTGAGAGACAGAGCGTGCAGATGGAGGGATTAAAGTTTCTGCCGATGCACAATTAAATCTAACATACACAGATTATGTAACGGTAATCCGGACAGCAGAAGAGGAGTCGATGTTTCTCACCAGCAGGTACTTCTCCTGACCGTAAACGTAGGTCGTGTTGATGGCGTAGAAGGACTTGTGGTCTTCTCTAATTCGCCTCTGTCGCTGTGGAGGAAAACAAACCCGTTCACCTTCGAGGCGATTTACAAACTCATGAACTAGTTTCAATTGACAGAGTGATTTACTCGACCTCTGAGGTTAAAGCAAAGAAGAAAAATCTGATAAAAACTGCTGATTTAGGCTCCTAGAAATTCACTTTCTGCTTATTTTACAGTAGATCAAGTTGAACTGGTTCCTTTTTTAAAGGGCGACACAATCACGACAAGAACAGACAGATTTTTTAAAAACAGGTGACAGAAGCAGCACACTTTAATTTTCCTTCAGTTTCACCACAAAGTTTCTGCAAAAATAAACTCTGCTTTTTCTTCCTTGAGCCCCGAACCAAAGACCAGATGTTCTGCAGAGTTTAATTCCACTGACCTGCAGGTTTTTTCCCAGAAAAGCCTGAAGGAAGCCGCTCTTCCCGCTGCCTCTGGTGCCCAGGACGTTACAGCGGAAGACGCTGCGTTGTGTCTGTTTCTTCTGCAGATCGATGCGCTTGTTACGTGTCACTGCAAGAACAGAAAATTACACACATCAAGAAAAGAAAACCTCAAACACACACTGCAGGTACTAACCAGGTGTAATGTTCTTTGATTTCCAAAAATAGGTCAATAAATAATCATGAATTCTTCTGTTTGGATCAGTTTTAACAGCACAGACAGTGTACAGCAGCTGAACTGAATGATAATCTCTTACCTGTGATGGCAGCTGCTTGGGACTCCTGTTCATAGATGATAGAGTAACCAAGGTAACCTAAATACTCCAAACTACGCTGTACATCTAAATATGTTGTTAAGCTGCAGCAGGAAACACACAAACCATCATGAGTGGATATAAACAGAAACAACAACCAGAAAAACACTTGTATAATATTCTGTAAAATGACGTGTGAGTGTGTGTCTGTGTCTGCGTTCGTGTGTATTAATAGGTTTGTTCCACACTCACGTCCACTGCGAGAGATATCCCTGGTATGTGATCCATCCCTGGTCGTTAGTGCACACGGTGTTGTTGACATCCGGACCCCACGGCATGTAGGGAAACACTTTGAACAAGTCCTTCACCTCCTCTGGCGACAGCGCACAATCTCTGTCCTGGATTGTGTCGAGCACACAGACAGAGACGTGTTAAAATACATGTCGGAGAGACTTGAGGTTTTCTGTGAATAAAGCATCAGTGTTCAGACCGCTCACCTTGTCGTGTTTGTCGAAGACACTCTGGAGGAAGAGGTACGCGTTGTGGTTCAGCTCTGTGGTGCAGTCAGGAGGGATTTTGATCCTGAAGGAGAGACAAACATGAACGATCATTTTAATGACAGATCTGAAGCATCAGCAGATGTTTAATCCTGTGTGTACTGAGGAGTTTATTAGGAGAGAAGAAGAGAGTATCAGCTCTTTTATGATAAAAAGGAAAGTAAGAAGCTTTCACTCTTTTCTAACATCTTAAAGACAAAACAGTTCAGCGGGGGGTCAGGACAGTTCTGCAGATTTGACCGAGAGAGGAACAGCTGCAAATTAACGTTTCAAACTTCTAATGCTCGTCTATCTGGAGAAGCACCAAAGATGTGGTTAACTCTACTGAAATCATGTGCTGCAGGGAGGGGTGGGGGTGCGGTGGTTAGAGCTGTTGCCTTGGCTGAGGCCTTTCAGAGTTTGCATGCAAGGTTTTTCTGGCTTCCTTCCACAGTTTAGAGAGATGCTTGCTGGGTCGACTGATTAGTCAAAATTGCCCACAGGCACGTGTGTGTGTTAATGTGTGTGAGTGTGTGTGTGTTAGTGTGTGTGAATGCTCAGCTATGTTGGCTCTGTAATCGGCTGTGTAGGGTGTACAATGTCTGATGACAGTAGAAAGACCTCAAACAGGATCATAGAGGTAAAGGAAGCAGGGATCATCATAGATAATGAAGGTAGAAGCTGATCTACACGATCTTCTTCTTTCCTGCCTCCTCTTTGTCTTTATATGAACCAAATCAAGCATTAAACCAGCACTAACAGGGGAAACAGGTACTCCTGCGTGAGCTCCAGGTCATCGTCATAACCAAACCGCCTCAGAACAGTCCAGGTGGTCTCGTGTCGACCTCGCTGTATGAAGAGCGTGTGCAGGAACAGGAAGCCTGTGATACAGAAACGAGGAGAGGGTGTGGTCAGCGCTCTGTGATGTTGATAAAGGTAAATGAAGACAGAAGAGCGCCTGACCTTTCAGCGTGAGGCCGTTGTCCTTCACTCCATCCGTCATGTTCCTCCTGACCACGTTTTTTACATCCTCTAAGGCCTGAGGCGCCAGCGGTGTGTTAAAACACGTCCTCTGCAAACATGCCAAACACGAAACGCTTTGTTATGCTGCAGATTTTTTCAGGCTCATGCTGAAACCTGCCCTCTGACACCAGCTAAGCCGTTTGGCACAGAGCGGCCTGGCGTGGCGACCAGATTGTTGAAGTCGTGATGATCTAAAACAGAAAATATTACCTGGAAGAAGTTGAGCTCGTTGTCGTTGAGGACGCCGTCGTTGTCAAGGTCAGAGACTTTGAAGATTCGAGTTAAAGCCTTTATGCAAGACGGTTTCAACTGTAGTGAAGAAGAAACATCATCGTGAAGCTGCTTATCTGAACTAAGAGATCACAGTAATCAACAGAAATCATAGACACATCACTCAGGGAGGCCATGATCATTTCTTAAACTCTGTATCTAAACTTGATACCTGTGCTTTTTCTATTATGACTAAATTTAAAAACAGTCATGTCTACTTTTGCTGGTTCTTGGCACAAATATGAGGCAGTGTGTCACCTCTGTTGGCGCTCTGAGAAAGTGAGTCTATGCCTGTTTTAAGGACTGATAATATCCACTAAAAATATCCATGAAGACAGAGTTTAAGACCGTGAAGTTCTCACCTCCTTCTCCTCCGGGCAGTACAGGGGTCCGGTCGGGTGGAGGACAGCCTTCTGGGCGTAGTAAAACAGCTCAGAGATGTTCTTCAGATTTTTGGCAGAGCACTGAGGAAGCAGAAGAAATAAAAAAAGAGGGTCACATGTGTTTGTGAGTGTTAATGCCCAGAGGGAGAGAAACTGCTATCTAACTGATCTGCAGAGACCTGAACAGCCGCGGGTTTCTTTAATTTCTGTTAAACTTCAACTCAGTAATTTCCAAGAAAAGCACAGTGAAGTTTGCATCATTAAAGGGCCTGTTTTGTTGAAATAAATCAGTCTTAATGCGCTCTCTCTCATCACTGAAACTGAATATGAAAATGAAATGTAATCCATTTAGAGAATTAGGCCGACCAGCCCGACACTGAGCCAGCAGCGCGACATTAGGTCACATCTTTCATACCGGCTGACTCTGGATGTGCCGTCTCTCACGTCCGCCTCACATCCCTTTTTTTAACTTTGTAAATAATCCCCCTGAGGAGGGCATGACCGAGCGTCTCGTGCTACAGAGGGAAATTTGAATTCAGCTCAAACGCAGACGGAGGAAAGCTTCTCTTCTCAACACACTCACACAGTCCATCAGTCAGCAGGACGGCCTCAGAGCGAGAGCTCGCTGATATAAATCTATTAATGACTCTGAGTCTGAGAGAGAGAGTAAAAGGCAGGGCTGCAGCCTTTTACTCTCAAGTGTTTCATTCAGCCTTCAGATGGTTTGTATGCACTGATCTCTCACCTCTACGCAGGTCTCGATGTCCTGGTACTGGTTCATGATGGGCAGGATGGTCTCCATGCTGCTGTGTTCCACCAGGTCGGACTTGTTTCCTACTAGAATCAGTGGAACCCTGCAAAACAGCGAGTCATGCATGGATCACGGAGCTGCAACAGTTCACCAACAGATGGGTTACTTTAAAACACAGACGACACAAACAGAGACAAAAACGCACAAATGCTTCTGCAGATTCTGCTCGTTTAGTTCGATTGTAGGTTATTTTAACAGGCTGAACAAGGAGAGATGTCAGAAGTACTCTTAAAAACTGTGCTGACCATACAATACTTTGTTTTCTGCAGATTCTGCAAAGATATATTTTTAAAATAGTCTGCTGTGGAGGCTGTGAGACAAATACTCTGGAGTTGCAGCCACACTTAGTTATGTTTTCGTATCTTTAGGACAAAATCAAAACCCAATACCCAGCCCATAGTAATGGATAATATGATAATATGATGGTTCTGCATGGTGATAATGAATAAATCTTAAAACAGAGCATCATACACTCAAATATCGACATAAATCAATCCCTAAAATCAAATACAAAACAGCCCCACAAGGTGAAGTTAAAGATTAATCTTGAGCGTCATTAGGATGAGTCATGAAACAGGAACTCTAAATCAATTAAATCAAAACTCTAATAATTGGCCTGAAGGATTATGGTTCTTATTCAGTCTGGATAACAATTTACATCCAGATATTTAATCACACCTAAATTAAGTATTAGCTTAATAATGTTTATCTCTTTTTTTCATGATTTCGAGCAGCTTAAACTCGTCTCTAGTTCCCTGAACTTCGACTGCACACACTCCAGTAAAATGCTTCCTGAACTGCTGACCCTCAGCTTAAAAATAATCATCACAACATTTCAAAGTAATTGCAGGTTGCAGACGCCAGCAGCTGCAAAACAACCCTGAAAAAAATCCACACTTTTCCAACGATATTTCGCTGTTTTTTAGGGTCGAAGATGCAGCAGAGGAAGAAATCTTTTCAGGACAAAAACATGTTCATGTGGACTGAGCCAAATATCTGAGTGGGTCAAAGTAAAAGCCAAATCAGCTGCTGCAAATTAAGCCACTCCAGACACACGAACACAAACACACATATCTGTTTGAGTCACATGAACACACCTGCTATCTTTGTCCGTCCTGTCGTTTATGAGCGGGATCCAGTGACTCGTCACCTGGAGGAGTAAAGCACAACATCAAACACTCACATACAGTCTGTGCGGTGTCGTGTTTCAAACACTAACGTGTATTTAATGAGAATCACACTCACCTTTTCAATGGACTTCTTATTGTTGACTGAATAAACTATGCAGATGACATTAGCCTGTACAGACAAAAAGGGGGAATATTTGCATCAGGTTTACGTTAGAAACACACGAGGTGAAGGTGAGAACTAAAACAAAGTCAGACCTACCTTCGATATTTCCTGGTACAGCTGCTCGTCTGATTGTTCAGCTTCTGGAGGCGTAAGAAAGCGACATATGTTCAGAGTTTCACAGCTCATCAGGTCATGCTGTTGTAAAGCTAACCTGCTCTTTTAAGTATGGAGATAATGAGATCAGTGTATAGGCGCCGTACATCCAATATGAGTCATTTAAAGTGAGTGATGAGGTTTCTCAGGGCTCTATTGTCTCCGAGTAAAACAGGAAAGACAGGCAGGAGAACAACAAGAGGGATTAGACTTTCAAACATTCAGGTTTTACGTTCACAGAGCGTAAATGTAATTTTTTGATTGGAGAAAATAATCACAAAAACCTAAATAGAGCTACTTCTCTTCTTAAGTCAATGCTATCCTTCCAGAGAAACCACTGCTGCTGCTGCTGCTTCTTACAGATGCCAGAGAAAACCTCCAACAGATGAGCTTTCTCAAACATCTGATTTATGAAGAAATAACATTTATGATGCCACTGATCCAACTGTTTCATCATCTGAAAGGCATTTCACTGAGAAACGGCCTCAAAATAACCCTGCTACAGCTCTTACAGACTCTCTGTTTGAGTAGTGGGTGGAGGGTTTACCTGAGTAGTCCACTATGTGCGTGGGCACCCTCTCTGGGGTGACATCAGCTGGGATGGTGATCTCTTCTGCACGAAGAGGAACCTGGCAGGCGATAAAAATCACAATCACCATTTCATTTGCATATAACTCCGCAAGCAGACAGTCAAATCCACTTCAACATAGATGATCCAGATAAGAGTGTAAACTTTAAGTCTACAAGGATGATTTCATGATACACACCTCATCAGGAAACTCCTCGCTGACCAGAGACATTATCAGAGAGGTCTTCCCCACCTTGGCTGTAAAGGAAAAGGAGAATCTGATCTTTACAGAGCAGTCCAGGGAGTGTATGTGGTGACGGGGCACAGACAGATAAGAGCAGCAAAGGGCAAAGATTCTCAATTAGCTTTCGAGAATTACAAACAGCAGCACAAAGAGGAAAAACATGATCCTAAGTTCAGCCCAGAGATTACATGAGAAGCTGCACTATCGCTCAAAGGTGACTAAAATACATTTCTGATACATTTATATTTATAATTCTTTTCATGTAGCTCATTGAGGAGCTTAAAGACTAAATTTTAAGAGATTTGAGAAGCTGTAATGTCAAATATTCTCTTTTTTAAATCATAAAAGTCTATTTTACATGTTTTGTATTTCTGTCATTTTAATATTTTGGGGTTTTGGACATTTGTTATGATGCAGACTGCGATGTGAGGACATGAAGCTCTTCTTTTTAGTTTAAAGAGTTGAAAAGCCAAACTTCGAAATACAGAAATGAAATCATCTTCAGTCGTAAACAAAATCCCTGAACCCTCAGTGTTCTTCTCACAGGCTGCCTGTGTGACCCCACAAACATGAACCCTCCTGAACTTCACGACGGTGAAGCAGGCACGTAGCATTTTGGCTGCATGTCTCTCTGGGACAGTTGGTACCTACTCCCCCTAATGTGGCAATGTAGGCCACCCTGTACAGCCACAACTGAATATAAATAGTACCCACAACGCATAAGCTTTACAGGAAACAAACAGACCAGGTCAAAGCCAACATAGGACTGTGGGATCTGTTTCACCGTATATTGTTCTCGCTTCAATCCTAGGGCTGTGGAAAGAGCCAAAAGGTCTCATGACCACTGACTGGCCTGTAGTCGCAATCTTATAAATAATTTTAAGATTTTATTGATTACTTTTAAAGCACTCGAAGGACTCGCTCCAAGATACATTACAGAGCTTTTAATACCTTATGAGTAAAACTCGCAGCCTCAGATCCTCTGGCGAAGGCCTCCTGGTCGTTCCAAAGTCAAGGCTCAAACTAAAGGTGATTGATCTTTCTCCATCAGAGCTCCTCGACTTTGGAACGACCTGCCAGAGGTAATAAGGCGAACAGCAGAGAAAGTCGATCTTTCAAGTCAAATTTAAAGACTCAGTTCTACAGACCCGCTTTAATGTGATGCTGTCTTTTCTCATGTTTCTCTCTTACCTCTCTTATTTCGACTTACTGTCTTTTTAGCCGTTGTTTTACTTCTAATCTTTTCCTATTTAACCTTTTAGGCCTTTTATTTATCTTATTGTTTTTTCCCGCTCATTTTTGTTATTCCATTTTATCATTACTATAACCATCAATATTATTTTGTTATGATTTTCTCATCATTATTAATATTGTCTTTTTACATTTACCATCCTGTTTCCTGCTTTCTATCCCCCTTTTTTATTATTTGTTCTTCTCACCTATTTTATGTTTTTATTTTGGTCCTCATGTTCTCATTTATTGTCTGGGTCTCTTATGACATTTATTTAATGTGGACATCACAATTACATTGGACAAACCAGATGTATTGTGTGAGTGTTTTAGCACAATTCTAATTCGCAACACTTGTCCACCAGCGGCTTTTGAAGTAATAAGAAAATAAAAAGGAAAGAAAAGAAAAAGGGATAAGGTGTACAACAACATTACGATAGTAAAAGAGAGAGAGTTTTTCTGATTAAATACATACATAAGCTACAAAGCAAAGGCAAAAGCAAAGACAACACGGTTCTTTGCTTTTTTGTTTTTCTGTTGCAATGTACAACACTTTGGCTACCCCTGTGGTTCTTATAAATGTGCTATAGAAATAAAGTTGACTGATTGATACAGTTGTCAATAATTAAGAGATGATATTTTTGCTTGTCCTGATTGAAATTTTATGATATTCTGTGAAATACTAATAACCTTTTTAGACAGGTGTCTGTTAACATGGTTCATCCAGTTGTTCTTTTAGTCCAAAACAAAACGTCTACAATACTTGATTTGGTTTTAAAGGAACGTTTCACCCACTTATAAACTGTTATTTTACTATTTGTAATATGGACTATCCCCAAATTATGTGCAGTTATCAGAGGCTATGTAACACATAAATATAGGACAGTTCTGCTTGTGTTTGGGTGTTAACTTCCAAACTGTTATTATCTCAGCTCTACTGTCTTGTGTCATTTTGTGGTCAGGATTCAAGGTGTATTCAACCTGTACTTTACTGCAGGAAACAGCAGGTTTGAAGGGTAAACAGATTGCATCACCCCTTTGAAAACCGCTCCGTCTTCTGTTATAATGTAAAGGACAATTTGAGAGTATATTAATCCAGAGTCAGATATAACTCTGGGCTGATTTATCCCAGTCTGGAGCAGATTTTCCGGTTATTCCAACACCACGTGAATGAAGCTTTACCCGAATATTGGCGCAAAATGGAAGATAAAACCAAGCATATTAGGAGGAATTAAACACTTAGACTCCTTTAAGTGACTTGACTTTGTATTTATATTTAATAAACACTTAAAGAGACAGTGGTTAATTCAGTTTGGTTCGGTTCTTGATTCATAGTGAGCATCTGCTAACTTAGCTGTTAGCCTTTAGCTCCTGTCAGCACAACCTTCAGCCGCTCGGGATAAAACACCTTCACTACTTACGTTCCCCCACAAGAAGTATCCTCACGTCCTTCCTCATGTTTAATCTCTTTTCCCTCTCTTGAAAATATCACTCTTTATTGTTTCATGGAGTCCTCCTTCTCCTGCCGCCGTCCTCCTCTGGCAGTTTATCTAACGTTGCGCCTGCGCAGTAGAGGCCAGCCGCTGTCAAACTCTCCGCGCCTTTGTAGGACAAAACGGACGGACTGTTTTCGGGCTTCTTTTGCGTTTTTAAGAGTCTCTTCCGAACGCGAGACTTATCAGCTCAACGGAGGTGATATTTGAAAAGAAGTCCGTGGCACATTTCGTTGTCGTTTCGCGTAAATCACAGTCTTTTCGGCGGTTGCATAGTCTTTCGCAGTGTCTGTTTGGCGAGCATGCCCGACCTCCGGTACCCGGCGACTACAGCAAACCGTAAAGGACAATCTTAATATCAATTCTGAAAACGCTTCGAGCTGACCCCTAGCGTCCATGTGAGGAACTGCAAGTGTTTAAACGTAGATAGATAGATAGATAGATAGATAGATAGATAGATAGATAGATAGATAGATAGATAGATAGATAGATAGATAGATAGATAGATAGATAGATAGATAGATAGATAGATAGATAGAATTTTATTGGATTTCAATATCAAATTATGTGATTCAAATTTAATTTTTCATTTCAATTATTAAGTTTAGAAACTCAAATTCAAATATAAATAATTCAAATTTCGTTTCTGGTGGCACATATTTCAGCCCATATTCTTGTACGTTGAGTAAAGCAGGGGTGGCCAACTATGTGCCATGGAGAGCCGAGAGGCAGCAGGTTATCTTTCCAACCCAAAACTCCACCTGTTGATTTCACTGATTACCTTTCACTGATTAGAGCAGGGACTAATCAGTGAAATCACCTGGTGGAGTTTTGGGTTGGAAAGAACACCTGCAGCCTCTCGGCTCTCCATGGCACATAGTTGGCCTACCCTGGAGTAAAGTTAACCTTTTTAATATTATTTTTAAAATGATGCTAATCCGTTTATTCTCAAATTGAGTAAATTGACATTTTATTATATGTGATTGAATAACTCATTTTTTGGATGACATGTTTTGCATCAAAGCTACTGCTAGTTTTTTTTTCACGCTTTAAAAAATGTCAGAAATAAACAGTGATGCCTCTTTATGATCTACAAAAGTCGGTAAAAATATCAGCACAAAGAGGCTTTTTCTATTTCGTTATTTTATTTTCTGAAACCACTTTAGGGGTGTAAGTGTCTGACGGTACAGTTCAATACAAAATATGCAATGAAATTAACATCAACCAAGTCACTTTCAAATGCTGAACTCTATAAGTTCCACTGAACACAATGTTAAGTTTTTCACAGCAACAATAAAAATATGTATGCTTATTTATAAAAGTGGTCAAAGAAAGAAAGAGAAATAAAATATTTACATCATGGTGATCTGCACTTTCTTTGTCACAATATCTGAATGTATGTTCGTTCACATGACTTTATTCTACATGATGCAGTGTTTTTTATTAAGTCCCGAGCTTTGCACAACATGCAGTGTCAATAGTAGTCCACACCACGGCAATGATGACGTTCAGAGTTCATCATGTTTTACTACGCCAGCAGATCTTCTGTGCTGCAGGAATCTGTCACTTGCGTTTTCAAGCTGCAGTTTTCTCTCCACGCCGGTCTGAAGCTCATCTTTTATACTTGCTGTTGGCCTCAACTGGGAAAAAAAGAAACAGCAGGGTCACACAGAGGAATAATGAAAAAAGTGATTTATTACAGTTCTCTGCAGTGGCATCTGCAGGTTTGTGAGGATATCAGTTTGTTTAATCATGGATCGTATTTGTGTCATTTGTGCACTGAGGATATAAGCATTTTATATCATTGGATTAAAAACCTGTTTTTTTACTCTAAATGAAATCATCAGGCCCTGCCTCTCACAGTCTCTGTGTAGAAACCCCTGAGCGGAGGCTTTTCAAGGGTTGATTTTTCACTCAGGAACTAAATTTAGACTTGAGTTCCTGTGGTCAAAAGTTAGAGTTCCTGGGGAAGACCCCTAGTTCCTACACTGAGCACCTAAAAGCACTTAAACTGGGTTTTGCTCTTGTTCTAACGTTCGTTTTGTTGCTTCGTGTAGTTCCACTTTGAAATTAAACACCTTTAATGTTAAAAACAAGAGCTTTTATGGTGTGTAAATCATAATCATCTCTCTCTTGGAGTGAACACCTGATAGACTTAAAATTAAAATAAAGCGACATAAACACAGGTCTGACATTTAGCAGACTGTGACTATCAGAAAGTACAAACATTTTTAAGATACGATACTCGTTCATTTTTCCTACAAGAGGAAAATTTTGTGTATTTCCTTACTTGAAAAATCCTGCGGCGACATAGGTCTGGACAGGACCTGTCTCAGAGCATCCAGCCACTCCTTCTGCTCTCTCTCCTGCTCACACGTGAAGACAAACTGTCGGTCGGGCGTCCCCACCACAATGCCGTGGTCCCACTTGTTCCCCCGAGCGTTCTTTGGGACACAGTCCATCACGGAGTACCCTTTGTTCTCAGTGCCGATGAAAATGACTCCTAACTCCTCTGCATCCTGTGTTGGAGTCAGAGAGAGATTATGATGACAGTGGTGCACAAGACGGGGTTTGATGGAGAAAATGTGTTTTTTCTCTCACCAGCGGGCTTTTGTAGTAGAAAAGCTTTCTGTTCTGAGAGTCCAAAACGAACCACCTCTTCTTGAACGACTCCTTTTGCTGTAAAAACATGTTTAATGTTAAAAGTTTGGACACATTTCTGGTCTGAGCTCAGTCCGTCCTTCTCCTTCTCTCATTTAGCTATGTGAGGAACAGAAACAGACTCTAAATGCACTGGTTGGACTACTTTAAGTGGCTTGTTGATTTACCGGAGAAAGCATTCAGGAAAGTGCTGACAAAATCACACAACAGTTAAAAAATAAAAACATGTGTAAAAGCCAAATCCTCTTACCAGAGGCCCCGTCTTTTCCATGTACCCCTCTTTGAGGTAGTCTCTTGTTATCTTTGGGATCAGCTGACAAAAAGATGCAAAAGTACATGAGCGTTAAGTCTCAAAACACACGAGTTTCTGTTCTTATTACTGTTGACTCTTCTGAAAGTGAAAGTGTTTCGCATTAGCTGTAAATAAGCTGCTATAATGAGTGTGAGTGTTTCGAGTGAAGCATTTGTGGCTTATTAACAGGAATAATATTCACCTCTATGATGAACTAGAGCGAGACGTTTCATACAATGATCACATAATATTCGAACTGATCAAACCAAGATTTGATGCTTACTTCTTCGTCAGTCCCAGTCGGGTACGCCGTCTTCAGGTAGAAGTAGCGAGCAGCACGGAGAGCGTTGTACCACGCCACTATTTCCTAGAGCAGGAGAGATCGTGAGTTTTCTCCACAGCCTCAAAGATGCTGTTATTTATCATCAACCTGATCATTTAATCCCACCTCTGAGCTCTCGTGGTAAACGAAGAGGTTCCTGGTGTGATCGGCCTCTTGGTAGGTGATCTGCAGCCCGTGAGGATGACCGATCTTCTCCGGTTGGAAGTTGGCGTTCAGGTCTTTGATGGCAATGACAGCTTTAGGGCCTTTGGACTCCTAGATTACAAATACTTCAGAGTTGGAACAAGAAATGCAAAAACTTGTGTGTAAAAAGTAAGCATGTTTAGTAAGGCTAAAACATATTTTAGAAAGTATGTTTCAGCCATGCATGATCTCCAGAAGTAGAGTACAACCTAAACATGGGATCTTTAGTCTATGGTGATAGCATTTCACTCGAGGTTATGCCTCTGTAAGCTTTAACAGTGAAGTCAATTCATATATTTCTGTTGACTATTACAGTTAACTGTCTTTAAGTGATGCCAAAAAAACTGTGTTTATAGAATTCATACAGAGAACTATTCACAAAGTGTTGGCAGGTTCATATTCACATATTTACAAGTATAAATGCTTTTTTCTGCAGCTGTTTGTGAGGGTTAGCAGATTATGCAGAATGTGTTTCTGAGGTTTATCCACATTTACTTTGAGTTCAGGAAATTGTCCAGGATGTTACGTTTTGGGTTATGTTGTGGGATTGACATAATGGCTGCAAAGTAAAAGTGCGGCTAAGAAAGTTATCCTGCTCTTTCTCATCATTAGAATTATCCAACCACCTTACATCAAACCTTCACGTTACACTTACTCCACAGAGCTGCTGTCTTTGTAAAGCAGAGAATAGAGAAGAGATTTAATTAATTTACAGTTTGTTAAACTGTCTAAGGTAAAGGAGTTACTAATGCACAAGCCTTTGCATCACATATGTCACAAATATTCATTCTTCTGTCTCGTATTAGTTGGAAAACATCATTAATGTTTTTTCAGTGAGCCGTGTCACAGGTGCAGTAAACTCACATTTTCTTTGTTGTAGTAAATCAGAGTGAATTCCCTCTCTGACAGGACGAACTTCCTCTTTAGAAACTGTGTGTTATCTTTTCCTTTTTTCCACAGAAACCCCTCATAGAAACCTGTTGATATTAGAGGCATATCTAATCAGAGATGCTTCGATACGACACAGAATTATAAATCCAGCTTGTGGTCTCTGTATATTTAGGTTACATTGATATTCTTTTTTTTTTTTTTTAGCACGGTTCTGCGTATGAATGAGGAACCACACAGGCCATATGAGACTTTAACACACACACATAAAGACTCTGAGAGCATACCGGTTGTGTATGGCACCGGTGGATACTTGATTTCTCCTGAAAACTCCATCCTTTCATATTTCGCCCGTATCCACTGCTCCCTTAAGATGCTGCAGAAAGAGCATAAAGGAAAAATCCCCGCTCAGCAGAAGTCATTCAGCATACAGTAGAAAACATGAGTCACTAGTTTTGATCTTGCAGCAGAAGTCAATCTATCTAAACTCTCACAGACAGTAGTTGCACTTCTCTCTATTTTCTGCGGCACTGCTCTGTCAGCAGTTTGTGATTGCTCGTGCACAGAAGGAGGCGTAGCCGAACAGTTCAGTATGAAGGCATCAGAGGGACACAGGCAGTTTAAAAAGTCACATCTTGTATCAAAAGCAATTCTCAAGGACAGCGGTCATGAAAAAGATGGAAATTAAAGGGACAAAGATTAAAATGTACTTACAGAGAGTCATTTTCTTGAGGCCGATAGTAGTACGCAGGAACAACCTTCTCATACTCTTCTCGAACCCTCTCATTGCCGTTGGATTTCATAAACTATCCACATCCCCAACAAGACAAATTAAAAGTTAAACGTCATGCACACATAGATTACTCATGCACAGTAATATCAGATCTTCACCTCCACCAGCTCATCCTCCCAGAAGTCCAGTTTTATGGATTTGACCCGACTGGACAGGCTGCGATGGATGCCGGAGCAGTTCAGACACACAAACACACCCAGTTTGTAGGACGCCCATTCTGGATCTGAGGAGGGATTCAAAGTAGAAGTAGCAGCATAGAAAAGGTCCAAACAGGAATACAAACAACTCTAAAACAAACCGAAATGAAAACAGAGCTCAGTTAGAGTGAATTCAACGGTCAAAGCAGACGTGCTATAATTAGAAAATAGGTCAAGGTGTGGTTTATAACCAGAGGAGGAGGGCGGGAAAAGCAAGTTCTGGTTATCCTTCGGTCACTTTTTCATTGGAGAAATGAATCACTGATGTAGCAAACAACTCATTTTGTGAGACGTCTCAGAGTCAGTACGTTTCAATATAAGCAGGAAAGTTTCTGTTTTGGAAACCTCTCTGTTCCCCCAGACTACTCAGTTTAAGAATTATCTCTGTGTGGTCCCATTATTGTAGCTTAAAAAGCACACTTCTATATACACTTCACATCCTGATTGTAAGTCCAGTACTTACCGTGCGCTCCGCAGTCCGCGCACCTGCTGTTTCCCGGCTGCTTCACCAGCTCCAGCAGGATCTTCTTGTTGCGCTCTCGGTTTGCCATTCCGGTAAAAACTCTGTAACCCTCCTCTCAAACGACGATGAATCCCGCTGGTTTCTGGCTCTAAACATGGTGGTCACATCGTTTCACATGTGGCGAAACACATCTGATTTAAAAACTGGAACTTGTAGTTTTGGATGTCACAACTCAATGCGGACCTCCCCCTCCTCTTCAAGAGCGCGTCCAGCCGCACTGACGGAAACAATGACCTGTGTCTGTCTGTCTGTCTGTCTGTCTGTCACTGAGGGTTGTTCCTGTTTTACCAACCACTCCTGAGCTCTGCTTACAAATGTGAAAGCTAATGAGGCTCAGATTCATACCTGAAACCAGTTTACCCGGTGCGTAAAGTATTCACAAACACACCTGACAGCATGACTAAACACTTTTACCTGGATGAAGATGGACTTTCCTGTAAATGAAGCACAAAAACAGTTAAACAGTCAAGTAATTTGGGAGTAATTAACCGTAAATAGGTCACAACAAATTTCACTGACCAAATTAAAGGGTCAGTGAATTTCTTAACTGATAATTAAAAAAAAACATGAGAACTACTTTTGTTTTAATGATCCACAAAATAATTCTAGTTATTTTTAAGTCTGAAACCACGAACAAGTAGGGTTCCGATAACAGCATGCAACAAAAACAGACTTAAAAGATTTTCCATTGTGGTATTTATGAAAAAGGATGCTTTTGACCTTTAAAAAGAGAGCAGAATTAGTTTGTGATTTAGAGAAGCGATATGAGGTATCACTTTGTCCACCGGGGCACCAAATCTGTCACAACCAAAAGTTTCTCCTGGAGGCTTTAAAATTAATAAAATATGTAAATAAATACAAAATAACGAATGACATAAAGGGGATATAAAAGCTAAAATAACTAGTGAGAATGAAAAGATGAATCCTAGGAGCAGAGGCAAACTTTTTTATATGTTTATGACCCATAAATCACCAATGAAATTAATGACACTCTTCTTCTTGACCAAAAAAGCTATAGAAACACAAATAATATCAATAAATCATCAATATATATAATCAAGCTGTCCTATTTTGGTTCCACTATTGCAATCAAGGATCTTTTTTTCTTTTTGTTTCTTTTTCTTGACCAACTTCTTTTCTTTTAACTTTGATAAAATGTTTTTTTTTCTAGTTCTAATGAGACCAAACTGAGGCGCCATCATTGTTGATTGTTTTATGTGTATTTCTTGTCTGTGCCAAACACTGTAGATTAAAAAAAGAGGGACCTGGCCGCATTTGTGTGGGTTGCATGCATGCAGAGTCCTGTATACACTTTCACACACATATTTTTAACCCTGCTTGGTCTCAGAGCAAGAAAACAAAACTTCATTACCCGGGTCGAAAGATGCTTCACCACATCCTGCAAACAGCTAAAACCAAGACCTGATGATGTAGATCCACAACAACAAAAAAACCTCCATTTGACTTAGTCCTGCTCTGTAAGAGATTCTGATCTGAAGATGGTTTACAGAGATGACCGACTGTGGAGCAGCTGCAACTCCGTCTTTGGGAGAAGCTAAAATAATTAAAACATCATGTATATGAACACTGATTACTGACATTATTACAATTCAACTAACCTCACATACCCTCCATTAGCACCATGATTCTGCTTTATACAGATGTTACCTTGTATACTACAGTTATGCTGTAGATTTAAGTCTTGACCTGCTGTATTTCAGCCTGTATCAAAGAAGGTAATCAGCTTAAACTTTTCAATTCAAAAGGCTTTATTGAATATGTTAAAATTAATAATAATAGAGATGCAATAAAATACCCATTAAGTTTAATATTGTAACAGTTTTTTGAAAAGTTTTTGAGTTAATTCAGTCCAGCCAATTAGAGAACTCCTCTGATTCTCTCAGGGCACCGCCTCGTAGCGAGTCCGTCTCCTGTAAAGGTCAAATGTTGAACATTTTGGATGTGTTTGAAGGCGGGGTTTGGAGTTGATTGGCTCCTCCTCCGATGGGAGGGGTTTTTGTCTGAGGAGATCAGGGGTCATGAAAAAGGGGAGCAAGGGGCCGTCCTCTGGCTTTTCCATACGGCAAGGGGCAGGGGCCAGCTGCAGCCTGTCCTGCAACACCTGGCTGATCAGCTGATCCTCCTGAACATCCACGCTGACCAATGAGGTGAAGAGAACCTGAGAGCGAGAGACATTCACCTCTGGAGAGAAGAGAGAGAGATGTAAGGACGTAGACACATTCAGAAAAAAGAGGCAAACAGACAAATATCATATGATCTGTATTTCTAATAATATAAATGATCAATATTGATAATGATAATCAAAACCAATAATAAGGATCTTTAAATTCTGTGGTTTTACCTTCAGTCGCGCGGGTGTTGATCAAGTGTTTGGTCCTCTGTGAGCGCTGTAACGTCTCCTGAACAGCCTTCTGGGTGTTAAACCCCGCCTCCTGCAGGACAACGCATCTGTTATTGTAATAACTCTCTGCTGACCATCTGTTAATCAATCAATCAGTATGATCATGTATTAATAATGATTCAAAATCAACAAACCTGCAGAGACTCGAGCTCCGCCTTTAGAGCCAGAGTGGTGTTTAGCTCCGCCCTCTCAAGACAGCCTGGATCTTGATTGGATGCTGCAGCAGGTGGTTCTGCACACTTTGGAGGAGCTTCACAAATCAACAAGGCAGATTTTTATATTTATGATTGGTCAATTTTCTGATCGAAAGCTTCTGAAAAAATTAATTGAATTGTTGTTTTGAAAGGAGACATGAACAGACCAAGTCTCATGTCTGAAAATAAATTACCAGATATTTCTCTTATTATAAAAATTATCAGTTTACCGCGGTGACGTCCTTTGCTCCTCCTCTGACCTCTGGTTGGCTGCTGTGGTGGCGTCTCCTTCGCTGTGACGTGAGGTTCTGGTGTAACAGTGATGACCAGCGGCTCTTCAAATCTCACCTGAAGGGGACCACACACAAGATAACGTCACAAACACACATACAGAGAAAACTGAAACATGAAGGTGGTCATGAATGTGGTTAACCCTCCAACCTGATGTGAAAGTACATCCCTCAGCCACTCTACACACACACACACATGCAGAGTGTGTAACAACCTGTGTGTCCCTCTTTCTTTCTGTCTGTCTTGGTGGGCGGGGCTTTGGCTGTGACCGGTCACTCTGCTGCTTCATCTTCCGTTGACAGGAGTTTGGTTGTTTATGGCACATTTTGGGGGCGGGACTGAGTGTGACGGACAGGTCAAGTTCAGGACAGAGAGCCATGGGGGAGGTGGGGAGGGGCAGAGGGGCAGGGATAGGCGAGGGGGGAGGAGAGAGGAGGGAGACTGAGCTCTTCATCCTGAAAGGAAACAACAGAGAGAGACATGGTGGTGAATTTCAGAGTAGAGGTCCTTTACAGAAAAGCTCTGTGATGTAAACAACTGATCTATAACTCAAACATATTAACCCTCAGGGGTTCTAAAAAAAAGTTACGTTTAGGTCCTTAGATGGATAAAAATGTCCATCGCCTAAAGGTGCTATAATTTAAATGCCAGTTTGACTATAAAACAAATAACAAAAGTATAAAAGTTCAAAAGTATGAAAACATCAACAGTGACAGGAGGAAGAAACAGAACATAGTCTGAAAAAGGTTGAAAATGTTAACCAACGATGGAAAAAGATGTAGAAGAAAGTAATGAGGGAAACAAACAAACGGTCGTTACCATAGAAACGTTAACCGTAAAGCCAGCTGAGCTAACGTCATTTTCTACTCACTAAACTCTGACACAAACCTGACATTAGATCAATTTATGGCTCAGGTGTTAGAGCTTTTTGTGATCGTTTTATTAAATTTGACTCAAGAGTCCACAGTAAACACATTAGCCGGTAATGCTAACACGTACCTTGATGACGTCTTCTTACCTGTTTAGCGCGCTCAAAGACACTCAAAAGCACGAGCTCATCTTCTCCGTAATAAACTTCAACCAGAAAACGACCTAAAAATCAGAGTTAAACAAAGTTTTCAACACCAAAACAAACTCATCCTCTTTCAAAATTTCCCTCTTCCTCCTCGTCTCCGTTTTAACTTCTTCTTCTGTTTTATTGCGGGTAGCAGCAGCACTTAATAGATTCACACCGCCCCCTGCTGTACAGGAGTACGCAGTGTGAGATATTACAATACACTGTTATAGATACACCAACTTTATCAGTAATTTAATAATTATGCATTACAGCTTTGGAGTAATGTAATCTGATATTTAATCCTGCATCCCCTCTTTATTTTAACATTACTTTGGAACATGGATCACCCACTTCACAACACCTTAAAGGGCCAATGGTGGTGGACGGCTCCTCACTCTTCGCTGCAGGACAGAAAGATTCAGAAGATCTTTTGTACCCACAGCCATTAGACTTTACAACTCTTCTGTAAATAGTAGATAACTTTTAGAGACATGACAAATTAGACGACAGACAATTGAATTTCCCTTCGGGGATCAATAATGTTCTTCTTATTCCTTACTGACTCTTTTTCCTTTCGTATACTGTAAGATGAACATGAACATATCATCCAAAATATTATACAATACTACAGTAACAGTAAAATCCTTTAATATTTTTAGTGCTGTCTTCTATTTTTGTCACTTTGGTGTAAATTGAAAAGCATACATTTATAGATGCTAGTTGTTTTTATTTGTCTGTGTGGGCTTACCTCATAAATAGGTGGTTTATTCGTCCCCGAACTTTGTCTATTTTGTTAGATTTTTTCATGCATTCAAAATCTTCTGCATCTCTGATAGTCCCACATGTCAATCCAGCATTTATCCTTTCGAAAGCAGAACCTACAAAGGGTTTTTCATGCAACTGTAACCACATTTGTAGCAGCAATGAATGTCTTGAATATTGAGCGTAATAAATAAAAAAAAACACAGCAGTTGAAAATAATAAAATTTAATGATGTTCAGATTTAAGAACATTAAAATCTTTTCTGACCGATGAGTCATTATTTGTGCTTTTTATCGTTTTAGGAGCTACTGTTGGTGGTGATGCAGAAACGAACAGCAGCTTTTTAAAGATGCAGCTGGGGAACACAAACTGTCCAACATGTCCACCGTTTCACTTTAAACTTTTGTGATAGTAGGTAAAAAAAAAGTGCTGCACGTCAATCAGAGGCTGATTAAATCAGAGCCCCTCCACCTGACCCCCACCTGCAGACAGTGACAGAGTTAATGACATGTCTCTATGACAGAACACCTCCAGTACAGTCATTAAAGCATCATGACTGTACTGCCATACACAGACAAAAATAAACCTACAATTAGAAACTTACAGTTCCTTCATAACAGTAATAAACGTAGAGTTATAAATGTGCATTTATAACTTTAGATTTATTACTGTCCAGTTGACTATCATGTCTTTATAAATGTCTGATAAAAATGACACTGGGATGTGAAAGTGTAAACAAGCTGATCTGAGATGTTCAGTCCACCTCCAACAAAAAAACAGCCGGTATTTGAAGTCTGTAGTCCATCCTCGGTAATCAGAATATCTGCTTGTTCAGGCGAGTCGATGGGATTTGTAGTCCGGTGAGGTTTCTAAAAATGGCTGCTGTAATCCATGATGGCTTGTGAAACCCAGATAATCCGTTTCCTCGGAATGTGGCGGCGGAAATACTTCAATGAGTACACAATAAACTACCATGCAAGAACCACACAGACACCCTGAACATGTGCACTGTTCAAACACACACAGAGACATCTAAACACACGGGTAGCATTTGGTAGCAACGATGGAGCTCAGAGAAGCTAATTAGGGAGAAACTGTGGGGAGTGTTTCGTTTTTAAGTGCTAAAAAATCAGATAAACCGGGGTCAGAGTTTGTTTTAGTGTGATGGGACTTCTTATCGACTAATGTGGGAGCTTTAAATGACACTGTTTGGAAAAGAATAACTGTTTATCAGAGCTAATATTAGATCAGGCATTGCATCACTGACGTCACACGTTAACATTGTCGCTGTTACACTTCAGCTGATTTTCTCTAACTGGTCAATCCGACACAGATGAAGTGCTTGAACATAAAAATCCTCGGTTTGGTCGGCTCCCAAACTCAATTTAAGGCTTTTCTGCCAGATTTGATTGCTTCAAAAAGTTACCCGTGTAACAACGCCTCCAAGCTTCAGCCCCCGCCCCCCATAACAGCCCCCCACAGTAAAACATTATAACAAAAGTACATTTTTCATTACCGCAACAGTAAACCTCTTTCAACAAGCAACCTCGTTCATAGTTCTTGATTGCCAAACAGGATTTTGATCCCATTAGAAAGGTTTGATTCCCTTTGTGATTGAAACCTCCGTCCTCTTCGTCCATCTGCTCATTCAGTCTCTGTGGATTTGGTCTTTTGCTTTTATCCTTTCAGCGTTTTTAGTTCCAATCTCCTGGAAAAAACAAGAAAAATATCAACAGTGTAATCAGAAATACTGAAAAAAGGAAGAAAATCTCCATGAAAACAGATGCAAATGATCTCATTTCATGGCCAATAAAAACTCACATCAGCAAAAACAAACCTTTAAAAGAGGAGTGAGTTAAAACGTCTTCAGGGGAAGCTGAAAACTGTGACAAACTTTCCATTTACACACATGAAAACATAATGTACTGATGGAAATGATCGGTGCCAGAGCCGGCCCAAGGCATAAGTGAGCTTAGCGCCTGCTTAGGGCCCTACGGCCAATAGGGGGCCCCCAAGAGCAATCAAAAATAAATAAATATATATATATATTTTTTTTTTGCATGTATGAGTGATGCTCTCCATATGATCAAATATATATATTATTGTAAAAATAAAATAAAATAAAGTAAAAAGATTTTAGTGCTGCTGCTGATGTAGGCCTGTGATTCTTACTGCTGATATGTCAAAACTCCACAACTGTTATGTGTTTCCTGCTGTGCAGTGTGCACTGAGCATCCAAAGTTAAGGTAGCTGAAGGACAAAACAATGACGCAAAAAAGGAGCAGAGAAAAGAAAGAGGAAGAAGAGAAAAAAACGCCAAGATAAAGGTATGTTCGTCATGGAATGTTAATCAAAGAGATTTGTGAAGGTGTGTGAATGATCAAAAATCAATATTATTGGCAGAAATTGAGGGCCCCAAAATCAAATGTTGCTTAGGGCCCCATTGAGGCTCTGATTGGTGCTTATTTCCACACCTTTAAAGTCAGCCAATGGCCTCTAGTGGCCGAAGTTTGTACTAAACTAAAAAGTCATACAGTTCAGGGCCAATTCTTCTACAGTGGATAATAAAGACTCTGGATATGAGAAATAAGAGAGATTTTTATTGGTTTCCAAACTTTCCTGCAGTTTTGAGTCTGGCTGTTCGGTGGTGGATAATTCCTGGATGACTAAACTGCATGTTTATGACTGTGGGTTCACCTGTTAGAGTGGTTCAGGGTAGGCCTGTCTGGGGTCAAAGGTCATGTCAGGGATGTAGGGCTCGTGCATGTCAGGGTCTAGTGGCAGGGTGTCCAGAGGAAGGTCAGCATATCCGTAGGCGGGGTAGGAACCGTCTAATTCTGAAACACAGAGAAGGAACATAAAGATGAAAACAGAGCCGACTGAGACATGATGATCAATTTAATATGATTATTACTATTATTATTATCGAGTATTTACTTGTTTTATATATGAAGTGTTTTCAAACTGTGACAGGAAACATCTTGAACTAGCGAACGCACTTTGAATGAACTGAATCACGAGTTCATTTGGGCGCTACGCCTTCACCACGAGGAGCTCCTTCAACTGACCTCCATAACAGCATGACAGCGCAGCGTGTGTGTGTGTGTGTGTGTGTGTGTGTGTACTGAAGTGGAATAATCCTCTGAAAAAAATGACACATTGAGATCCCAGCTTTAAATAGAACCAATACCCTCCTAAATCACTCACTCGCACACACTTGGGATGAAGAACATTAATTAAAGATGGAGAGATGAAGGGATTTCAGAGCTCACGGAGGAAATGAGAGAAGAAGAACGATGACGGAGAGGAGACTCGTCTTTTGTTTTCGTCACCTCTCCTCCCTTATCTCCTTCTCTTCTTTTTTTCTCTCTCCGTCACTCGCACGTCTTTTTCAGCGTTCACCTTCCTCATTGTCTTCCTCTCCTCTTGTTTTCTGACAATGACTCTTTTTGGGTTAATAAGGAAAAGTTTGGATGTCGAAAGCCTGAGTTTGATTTATGAAGAGGTGATTATCGATCATCAGTTTAATTTGATGTTATTAAATGAAGCTCCTGAATCTTAATCCTGCACGGATGATTGGGTCAGACTTCTTTAAAGATGAGCTGAATTACTCAGTCTGGTGGTGATTTCTCTGTCGTAGGACTAACTTTCCACGATGATGATGATGGCACAGCTGAGGTCGATGTCCAGCGATCTCTGGTTACTTTCCAGGAGTTTCAGTTTGGTCGCTTTCTCTGCAGACACAAAACTCCTGTTCCCCAGTAAAGATAATCACAGCATGCCAACCTGCGGATGTCTGGCCTGCAGTCAGTCTCCACCCCTTTAACAAGTGCAATAATTAACTCCTTTTCATCCACAGGTCTGGGCCGATCCACACACTCCGCCTGCTTCCATCTGATAAGCTGCAGCTGTTTGTTTAGCTCCTGTGTGTTAGCTTCGCGCTAAAGTGAGGTTTTAATTCAATTTGTGACAAAAAGACGGGAAGCGGAGTCGTGGGGTTACATTTTCCATCACAGCAACCCAGAGAGTGAGAAAATAAGGACATAAAAAACCTGTTAATGCAGACAGCTCTGGTTAAAAGTGAACGTGTCAGTATGCGATCGATCGGCTTTATTGAAATCCAATTGTGGTAGTTAAATTAAGCGAAAAGAGTCAGGCACAAGCCGATAACTTCAGGGATTTTCCTCGTTTTTCATCTCCTCACAGATTATTAATCCAAACCAGCTAAAACATGATTGGAAAAGCTGCACATGTATGTTGTCTAATGTGGCAGTAAGTCTGTCTCGTTTTGTGGTGAGTTTGCACCGATGCTTTTGCACAAACAAAGTTCATAAAGAATAGAAAGTTTTGAGTTTTTTTTTAGTGCAAGGACTTCTGACACCCAAAATTTGTACATGAGAATATTTGTTAGAGTGATTTTAATCTGACATTGAAGCCCAAATATAAAACTGTGTTGAAAGAGTAATATCTGTCGATCAGGTTACTCACCATCAGCCAGGTATGCAGCCTCCAGAGGTACAGCAGAGTGAGCCTGAAACACAGACACACAAATAAACACAACTTTTATAACCGTTTACAGCCGTGTCCTTTAAGTTTTGGAGTAAATTAGGATCAGAGGATGTTTAAGAAATCGACTCTTTATCAATATGCTCATCCTCTAAATCGTTTGAGGGAAAAACCAGACACACTCAGTGGTTTCACTTAAAGACTGGACTCAGATGGACTCAGGACAGAGCTCTGAGCGTTAAAATAAGTCCAGGACTGAGACTTGGAAACACAACACAGTTTTTAAAACCGGTGCTCAGCAGCACAACAGAAAGTGCTGACATTCAGGAAAACACAGAGTTTCTTTTCCTAATTTCTTAAGAGATCATTAACATTTAAACAACTTCACTTTTATGCAGAATCCAAAACCAGAGCAGAACTTTTTTAATGAGGAACCTTCGCCGGGGAAGACGACACGCAGATGAGTTTTCTCTGATTACTGCAGAGACCTGCAGGCAGGAAACCGCTCTTTGGCGAATAATATTGTCAAAACACGAGGAAAACCTTTTTTAATTATTGTGCATGTAAATAAAGTGTTTTCAAACACACACACACGCGCAGACACACACACACTCACCATGTCCCAGGCTGCAGGGTCGTGTTTGAAGAGCGAGTGTGTGAGCTCCACCGAGACTCTCTTCCTGTAGTCTGAACTTTTGTCCTCTGAGATTCTGAACAGCACGGCGGCGGCGTATGTGGCTGACAAAACATCACAACATTCATATGTTTGCGTGAAGAACTCATAAAAATAACCAGTAATTAAAATGTATTTTATCTAAATTTATGTCAAGAAAAATAATCCAACTTTAAAGCTAGACGTGTGACTTTATTCAAAACAATCATGCAAACATTAGGAGAAAAAGGCACATTTTCTTAAACTTGATATGCTTTTTTAATGAGACACACCAGGTTTTCTGTTTTCTACAAAAACAGAAAATGTTGCTGTGATTTTGGATCAAGTTGTAACGCTCAGAGCGAGGACAGACGTACCGATCCCCTCGTTGTTGGAGTGCAGCAGCTCCATGAGCGGAGCCGACGCCCCCTCTGCATCGATCAGCTCTGCGGACTGTTTATCCAGAGCGAGCTCGCACAAGACGCCGGCTGAAACACGCTTCACGTTTTCTACGTACGAGTACAGCAGCTGCACAAACACAAACACCACAAAAAAAAATCCATGCACAGAGACGCACATCAGTCCAAGTTCCTGTGATGATGATGAAGGGCTGTAAGTGAGTGAATTTGTGACAGGATTATTGAGAATAATGTAATAAAGGTGTGGTCACCTGGACAAACAGAGGAATGGTCTGCATGCTGGAGATCTCTCCTCTGTTTATCGGATCTCTGGCAAGGATGTGAAGAGCTCCTGTGCAACCTTCGACTATCTCCTCCATACGAACACCATCCTGAGGACAGAAGGAGAGAGGAGGTAGGGACAAAGAGCAGACGAGTGTTAACGGACAAATGAACCAGCTGTGAGGTTCTTGGTCCAGAGATTTGAGTATCAGTATGAGTATGAGTGTGTATCGGCACACCTGGTACGTCTGCTGAGCGGAGGAGGCGTGTCTCTGCGTGTCCTGGTGAGCCTTCAGCAGCAGGTTGACCAACCGTGGGATAGCTCCCGCCTCCCTCAGCGGCGCCTGATTGGCTGGGCACAGCGCCAAGTTTCGGATCAGTCCAACTGTAGCCTGATGGAGGTCAAAGGTCATATTTTTATTAGAAAATCTCTGAGAACAAAATATTTGAAGGGAAAAAATCAACGTCTTTTACTGTCAATAAGAAGGCGAAGGTCTTTGCTGTTGCTCTCCCTGCCTTAGTTTTTCAGGTATACAGGTGTGAGGTGTGCTCTCCAGACCGCAGGGTTTGGCATGACAGATATCTATCAGGAAGGGCAGGTAGCTCTCTTACTGCGTACAAACTCATTATCTCTCTCTCACCTTCACTACAGGCCAGTAGTGCGGTTGTGACAGCAGTTTGACGACAGCAGGGATCCCGTAGTGAAGCCGAACGGCATTCTGGGCCAGCTCTGCGTCTTGGTGGCGGGAGGTCAGGTGACGAAGGGCGCAGACAGCCGGTTCGGCGACGTCCTCCTTCTCTCCAGCGCGGAGCACGGCGTGAATTAACGCCTCCACGCCGCCAAACTGAGTCACCAGAGTCTGATGAGGAGAGAGTTTGAGTCAACATGAGTTTGAAAACAGTCGAAGTCATAAGGAGCCGAGGCCGTTTCATTCAGACCTAAAATATCTGTTCAGTTTTATGAATAAACATTTTCCCTCAGAGAAACATGTTCTGGATTGATCTTTCCTGGTCATGTACAGTAGATCATTATAAAAAAGGGAGAAAATGCAGTTATGTACTGTAGTTTTGACTGAAACTAATCTAATCTAATCTAATCTGATCCAATCTAATCCAATGTTATATAATCAATCAATCTAATGTTATCAAATCAAATCTAATCTTATCTAGTCCAGTGTAATATAATGCAATGTAAAGTAATGTAATCTAATTTAATCCAGTGTAAAATAATGTTAAATAATCTAGACCAATCTAATCCAGTTTAATCTAATGTGATCCAATCCATCTAATGTAATCAAATCTGATCTAATGTACTATAATCTAATCTAATGTAATTTTATCTAATCTAAATTTATCAGATCCAGTCCAATCTAATCCAGTGAAATGTAATCTAATGTGATGTAATCTAATCTAATCCAGTCTAATCTAATCCAATTATATCTCATCTAATCTAATCCAGTGTAATGTAATCTATTTTAGTCTAATCTCATTCAATTTGATCTAATCTATTCTAGTTTAATCTAATCTAATCTAATTTAATCCAGTTTTATCTACAGTTATATAATCTAGTCCAATCTGATCCAGTTTAATCTAATCCAATCTAATTTTATCTAATGTAATTTAATCCATTCCTATCTAATTCAATGTAATTTTATCTAATCTAATCTAATCCAACCTAATCTAAAATATCTAATCTAATCTAATCTAATCTGATCCAATTCAATTAAATGTTATCTAATCTAATTCAATTTAATCTAATTTAATCTGATCTAATCTAATCTAATCCCATCTAATCTAATCTAATTTAATTTAATTTAATTTAATTTAATTTATCTAATCTAATCTAATCCGATTTAATCTAATCTAATCTAATCAAATCTTATCAAATCTAATCTAATCTAATCTAACACCACTCCCGGTCACCTTGTTGCGTGCGTTGTTACAGGTGAGGTTGGACAGGATCCCGGTCGCACACGTCAGCATGTTGACATCATCAGAGCCAAGCTGGGTGACCAGGATCTGCAGCAGACCGTCCAGACCGTCCTACAGACACACACACCAGTTACAGACCAGTTACAGACCAGTTAGAGACCAGAACAACAACACTCAAGGCCGAATTCAAACACCCACCCAGAATAAAACAAACACATAAAGACCATTAAACCTTAAAGTCTCTTCGAACCGTCTGTGGTGGTTTCTCGTACCTGTTTGGTCGCAGCGTCTGACAGGTTGCGGAGCGTCCACAGACAGTTCTGGATCAGACGCTGACTGGAGCCTGTGAGGTGTTGGCCCAGAGCCTGCATCCCACCTGCACAGGTGAGAGGAACAGTGACATCCTGAACAGCAAGTCTTCTATGTTTATTAATAATAATCAATAAATAACCAATAATGATCAGCACTGTGTCTGTCCAGGTGTTTTCTCTTACCAGCCTCTACGATGGCGGGCTTGTTGCTAGGACACACTGACAGCACTTTCAGGACCCGGCTGGTGGTCCACAGCAGCTTCTCATAGTTGTAGTTTCTCATGATGAACACCAAACCGTCTGGGCCCCCGTTGGCGAGGATGATCAGCTGACAGGAAACAGGAAAGAGCAGGTGAGTCTCTGGATTCTTAGTGAGAAAACATGAGCAGGATGTGCTGAAGCAGACCGCCCTCACTTTGCTCTCCTGGTTCCCGTAGGACAGCAGCTGCAGACAGTCGGTGGTGATGGCGAGGAACTTGGGGTTGCTCTTCTTCAAGAGAGGGACCATCCTCTGCAGCCCGTCAGCCAGACGCACCGCCATCTTGGATCCTTCCTGATGCAGCAGCAGGTTGTGGAGGGTGGTGATGGCGTAGAACAGGACGGACTCGACCGGAGAGCTGCAGGAAACATGGAAATGTGAAAACCTCAGAGCTCTACAGAAGAGGGGTCTGCTCACCTCATGATCATCGAACCAGCCGACAACAACATGACCACACACACACACACACACACACACACACACACACACACACACACACACACACACACACACACACACACACACGGCTCTGCTCTCTGAGAAGCTCTTTTAGTTTTTATTCAATTTTATTCATTTCGTGTTTGAATGAATCAATTATGAGCCTGAATTATCCTTGTGTGTTAATCCTCAGTGTGGAGGATTAACTCTGTGTGTGTGTGTGTTTGTGCGCGTGTGTGTGAGTGTTTCTGTGGGGGGATTTAGTGCTCAAATTCAGATTTCTGTTGGCCTCTGGTCAGAGTATTACTGAGTGTTTGTCCTTTCTTAGAATCAGGAAAAATTAAACTGTAAATATTAAAAACTGAGGAAGCATTCAGAGTTTATAAACTTTATTAGTTTCTGTTAAAATGTTTGTTTTGGGCAGATGAGTTGAATATGGAAATAATGTATGAGAATAGGGGAAGAATGTCTACGAAATGTACAAACGTGTTCAGTTAACGCCAGGCACATCCTAATACAGTATGAAGTGCAACAGAAAAACGACATAAATAAGCTCTTGGTAATTCCGCGTTTTTTCTCCACTTCCTGAAACCAACATTGCGCAGTAGCATTGTAAGCATTCGGCAGGAGAGTCGCTGTGATGACGCTCAACTCAAACAACGAATCACTGGTGAGCTACGAAATCCTCGTACGCCCATAGGCTGTATCAGGTGTCAATCATAGAAAACATGAACCCCCAATAACTTTTAAAATTGGAGCTGTACAGAAAAAAGAGGATTTGAGCACAAACCAGTCTGACAGTAACTACATGTCAACATCACAACCAGGGGGGAGAAACATTTACATTCTGTGTCATTAATTTCTAAAGTTTGTCCACAGCTCCATAGGGATTGCTGGAGGAGGCGAGATTTATGACCTATACTGCAGCCCGTCACCAGAGGATGCTGTTCTCAGAGTGGTTTTACCCAGCGAGGAGGCAGACTGCGTCCATTCTATATACAGTCTATGATAGTTATCTAAAAATGAAACAACTGCAGCGCCCCCTACAGTGCAGTGTTAGAATCTGATCGTTGTAGTCTAAGTATCTGTACCTGAGCATGCGGACCAGCGCCGGGATCCCTCCTGATTTGAAGATGACGGTTAGCCCCTCCTTCTGATGTGACAAGCTGTGCAGCACGCTAGCTGTGCACCGCGCCGTCTCCATGTCGACCGCCGTCGTCATGGCGCGCACCACGGCGCCCACTACAGATGGAGACTGGATCAAGACTCTGCGGCTGGCCTCTTTTCGGGTCAGCTGGTTGACGATCATGGCCGCCTTGTTCACCACAACCTGCAGAGGGGGCACACGTTTTTTAACAGTTAGGGCCTGTTTCCACTGACAGTTCTTTTGCGCCTGATGTTTTTTTTCGCTGGACTCTGAGCGCTTTTATTTGGGACATCACCCTGCCTGTTAAGGTCAACAGTCGCTGCTAAGGTGGGTAGAGGTGCAGCAGAACAAGAAACGCCGTCAATGGACACAGGCCCTAAAAGATTAATCTGCCATGTGACCAGAAAACATCTTAAACACAAGCGTTCAAAAGTTAAATTTCGATTTTTTGGCGAAGTAATTCCTCATACGAAGCGCCAGAAATCTCTGTGTCAGAATTATTGATCTCACCGGGTCGTCGTCGCCCAGCAGCTTAGTTAGCTCTGGCACCGCCCTGGTGGCGAGCTCGGCGTCATCCTGGTAGTTAATCAGGTGGACGATCGCCGTCTTTAACAGCTGGGAGGGTTCAGCCAATCGCTGCACGTTGCTCTGCTGCGTGGGATCCGATTGGACGGGCATCGCCGCCTCCCCTTCCACCAGCGTCTCTGGGAACATGGCCGCTCTGACACGCTGGGCCCGTGTGAGCGAGAACTGAGCGTCTAAATCTGAAACAGAGAGAAGACTCAGGATTCACAATAAAAACGATTGAAAAATTTGGATTAAGAAATGAAGATTAAAGTCAGAGAAATTGTCTCACCTGAGGGACTCTCTGCTCCACACCCCGCTGAGTCTCCGCCCCCCGCCGTCGCAGCAGCAGCAGGCCCTGAAGCGCTGTTCGCTGTACTTCCTGAGTACTTCTTACGGCCGCTGTATTCAGTGCTGCTCTCGTCGTCTCGGACCGTCGTCGCTCCGGACTGGATCCCCGAATCTGAGGAGTAGTAAGTCTGCTGCCACTCTGCCACCTTCACCACGCTGTCCGCTTCACTCACTGCAGAGATAACACAGTCCTGCATCAAAAACCGCGTTAGAGGTTTCATGCTCCTGACTTCAGATAACAGCCACAGCCGCAGAGAGCGAGATGGAAATATTGATAAACGCGAGATACACGCTCGACCTCATCTCAAATCTGATTCGAGATACAATGAAGTTTTCTGGTCGCAGCGAGAATAATTTCGGTGTCGATTTGGGCTCAAATTGAAGCTTTTGATCTTTGCAGGTTTTATGCAGTAAGTGAGACTGAGATTTTCTATAAAATCTGCTGTGAAACTATCAGCTGAACAGAGCAGGGGAGATTTTAGGCTTTTTGAAGGTGATGGTGACGAGAAACAGACGGAAACAGATACTGGTGCCTCTTTAAGACCTTCAAAAGCAAACGAGACCAACAGCAACAAGACTGATCATTTCTCAGACCAGATGATTGACAGCAGACTGAAGAGACAGCAAACACTCCCATGAAGTGATTTATTTCCCACTGAGCAATAGACGGTTGTAAGTCGGACTCGTTTCCAGTGAGAGTTATACTCCGCCTAGACCAAAAAATGTTAAGTGGGTTCTTTCCTAGAGGATGACAGGAAGAGGTTTTTGTCTGAAAACACTTCTTGCACATGCACAGGACAAGAAAAGAAAGGTATCTCTTTGTCCACAGGGGGCAGCAAAATCAACACAAACTAAAATATCCTCACAGCATCAAGCTCTTGGGTCATTTTTTTTTCAGGACAGCTCCAGTCAAATTTCGCTCTTTTAAGTCTGCAAATCGACTCAGTTTCAAAGACGTAAAAGAAAGCTGCGTTATTCACACATCTAATCCCTGCATCAGGTGACTTTTTATCCGTGCAGCTTTGGTACTTTTGCATGTGCATGGGCAATAATCCTGCATATCTAAAGCATTTTTCAGTAACAGGTGTCTAGGGCCCCTGAGACCAAGTGGCCCCCAGTTGGATATGGTTGTTTTCATCTTGTGATGTCCCAGGGTATCATCAACAGGAAATATAAGTGAAGAAAACAGAGTACAAAACATCCCAAAGGGTTGACTCGTCTCCTTTTCTACTGCCAAAGACAGTATGTGGTATGAAACAGTACATTAAAGGTAGTAGATGTGTTGATATGTAATTTGTGCAAATGTAAACAGGTATAAAGAGAACTCTTACTCTGCATGGACATCATATCTGTCCACTGATGGTGCTGCCTTCACTGACCTCTGGCCTGCAGGGAAACAGAGCAAACAGGATTAGGGTTTGTTTTTAATTCTAATCTGAGTTTCATAAAATTAGTTATCTTGAAATGAAAAGAAATGCATCAAGATGAGGCGTCATCTGGGGGTTTATAAATGATAAAAGAGCCACAGTCTGAAATAAGACCATGTTCGTCACCTTTAGGACGTACAGAGTTTAATTCAAGGACAAACGACCAAACTGACTTCATGATTTCACAGCAAACGTGGCGCATATGTTAAAGTTTTTAGCCTCTAGCTCACAGATTTGTTCACTGACCCCTCTCTTGTCATCATCAGCTGTTAAAACGAATTCACTCTGATAAACTGCAGACAGTGAGTGAGGAAGCTGAGGAGGAGGAGGAGGAGGAGGAGGAAGAAGAGATGAAACCCGAGCAGATTGTCAGTGTCAGAGGCGCTCTCACAACTTGGAGTACTGTGTTCTGTTAAGGCGATGAAGATAGGTCCAGTGTGGGAGGAAGAGGAGCGATCAGAGACGGCTTCTGATTCTGTTTAAAGATCACTACGAGATGGAGAGCGTTCCCAGAATCAAAGAGAAGAAAATATATAATAACAGTAGGAACTCTGCTACAGATGAACAATGTCAGCGCCTCGCCCACTCACAGCTTACAGTGAATGTTTCAGATTTTTACCTGCCGCTGCTTTCAGACATCGACTTCCTCCTGTCGACGTCAAGAAGACTTTTAACCAGAGGGCTCGACAGAAAAGGTCACCTCCGAGTCTAGGAGAGCAGCATGTCAGAGGTTTGTGTTCCCACATGAGGTCTGAAGGTGTGAAATCTCATCCTGACTGAACAGCAAAAGAAATCAGGGCGAGTTTTTCACATTTTCGGGTTAATAATTCAGGGTCAAATCAAGACAAGTTTTTTTCCTTTCTACACGTTTCTGAGAACAAAAGAATCTATCTCTGTCAGCTTGAAGTTTTCTTCCTCTGATGTTAAAATTTAAGAGGTCGCGAGGAAATAGGCCCCGCCCCCTGACCTAAAACTGTCACGGGTTTGATCCCACTGAGCGGTCAAAGAGCGGACACCAGTGCTGACTTCACCATAAACATCCCAAGACGCAGAGATGTCCTGACCACAGAGGGAAGAGCGTTTCCTCTTAACGGCTCAAACATGAAGATTTAAACGTCTCTTCTATGAACACGGTCATTTGTGTTTCTGTGTTTTCATGGTTAAAGTAAAGATGAAGATGAAGATGAAGATGAAGATGAAGATAAGGCGATACTCAGTTAGGTTCCCCTTCTGTTCTTCTGAAAGACTCTGTTTTAGTTTCAGATCATCAGGAGGTCACCAGACAGACTGAATGACGTCTGAGGAAATCTGTATTCAAATCATGAGACTGATAAAATAAGACAAAGTGACACAGTTAGGGTGAGACAAGGTGAGGCGAAAGGGCATTGTAGGAAAGCGTAAGGTAGAATATGAGAGAGTAAATCACAGTGAAAGAGTAAAAAGGGTGAAAAAAGAGAACTTAAAAGGGAGGGCATGAGAGAGTGAGACAGGGTGAGACAAAGAAACAAGTTTAGACAGAGAAAATGGGACAGGGTGAGTCAAGGTCAAGCAATTGAGAGTGAGACAGAGTGAGACGGAGAGCTTCAGACAAAGTCATACAGAGTAAAAACATGGAAAGAAGACCGAGTGAGCGGGATTAAGACTAACAGAGTAAGAAAGAGGAAGACTTGGTGGGACAAGGTGAGACAGAGTGAGATGAAAAGTGTGAGACAAAGTCACTCAGAGTGAAATGGTTTGATACTGAAAAGCAGGAGTAAAAGTAAGAGAGAGTGACAAAATAGGGTGAGACAAAAAGTGGTAAAGTGAGACAATAAAGAGAAAAAGATGAGATAGGATAAGTGGAATGGGGTGAGACAAAGTGAGACTGAGTGAGTGAGGGTGAGCTGGACAAGATGAGACAGAATAAAACGGAGTGTGACAGCCACAGTGAGTCAGAGTGAGACTGAGTGTGATCTATAGAAACAGGCGAACAGGATGACACAGGATGTGAGAGACAGAGTGAGAGACAGCGAGTAAAGAGTGTGATTGTAAGAAAGAGAGAGATAAAGTTTGTAGAGAGAGTGAGACTGACTGAACGAAGAGGGATAAGGCAGACAGGGTGAGAGAGAGTGAGAAGGACAGTGAGAGGGAACAAGTAGAGTGAGATTATGTGTGGCAGAGTGAGAGTAAAGCACCGAAGAGGTTACTGTAAAAAGACTGAGACAGCGAGGCTGACATGAAGTTTAAGAGTGAGTGTGATACTGATGTGTGAGTCGGAGTGAGACGAACATGGTTTTAACAGAGTGAGAAAAAATAAGGCATAAAAGGTGTGACATTAAAAAGTGAGACAGACGTGCTCAGATGGAGTTAAAGTGAAAAAAGGGTGAGAGAGGGGTGAAAGAGGGTGAGATAGAGTGAAGTGTAAATGGATGATTTCTCTTTTCCTCAGCTTTTTCATCTTCACGAGCGGAGAGGACACTTTAAAATCAGATTTACTTATAACAGTCAGATTTTCAGATGGGAGCTGCCCTCACAGGTAATCTGACAGATCTCAGGTTTCAGGACGTTGACGAGTCTGAGATTAAATCCAAATATTTAAAATCCTTCCTGTTTGACAAAATTAAACCTCCAATCAGACGTCCCTGCAGACGAGCAAACACGAGGATCTCTGAAACCCGAGGCTGATAATTGTTATTCTGTCAGGCTGGTTACACTGCAGACTCTAATGCTTCAAAAGATAATATGAAATATATATTAAAAGCACTAACTGCTTTACTCCCTGTCCTCTTTTCCTCTCTCTCTGCAGGTTTTATGCTCACTCTGCTTTTCCCTACACAATTACTGTAATCCCCTCTCCATTCGTCTCGCCTCCTCTCCTCCTTCCTCCTTTTGATCTCTTCATCTTTCCTCCTCTTCCTCCCTCTTAATCTGCTCATCTTCTTCCTGTCTTTCCTCCTCCTCCTCCTCTTCCTCCACGCCAACACGTCTCCTTTTAAACGACGGCGAAGCTCCTGATGGTTTTATTTCCCCCCTCAGTCTGCCTCTGCGTACATCACGTTAAATAAACGTCCCTCCACGTTTCTCCTTCTGATGTTAAATTTGACTCCTGGCAGAAGAATAAAAGTGATGAGCAGACAGGGGAGGTGTGTGAGGATGAAGATTAAACCCAGAGAGAGGGGGCAGGAAAGGAGACGAGGAAGGAAAGGAGAGTAGGAGGGAGGGAAGGAGGCGGCGGGGGGATACAAAAAACATCAAAGGTTGTGGAGAAGATGAAGCTGGAGCCTCCAGCGTGTTTGTTTCTCCTCTTATCTGAGTTTATTTAACACACACACACACACACACACACACACACACTCACACACACAGGATGGATCTGCAGAGTCTAAAATAAAAAAAAGAACACTCGAGAAAATTTCCAGACAGCCCACCCTGAAATTTTCCTAATCTGATTTTCACACTTCACTTTTCGCCCTCACAACATGAATTTTTCCGTGTCAGACAGACGGACGGGGCGGCGGCGGAGTCTCAGGAGGTGAATCATGACAGGGAGAGGATGCTGCAGGAGTCTCAGGGTGTGTAACGCTAACAAGATACCAGAGATGGAGGGTGAAGCAGAACTGGGTCCTGATGCGTTTTTTTTTAGTCTTTCTGTTACTGCGGCAAAAGGAAAAACCTGTGGAAAAGTAGCCGAACAAAACGCATGGCTTTGATTCTGGCCAATCAGATTTAAAGGAGGGCGCTTGCCACTTTTCCAGACACACCTCTGCATCTGTAACCATGGTAACTGCACAAAACACAGCTGCTAATGCTGTAAAGTAAAAACTATTTTAATTAAAAAGATTAAAAAGGTTATTTTAGGGGGCGGATCCCAACCCGACTTAGAGGTTACAGTCCTCGTTTTAGCGGTCGTTGGTTCAACTCAAAGCCACACCCCCTTTCCAGACCCCGATAAAGTCAAAATAAATCTCCAAAACACAACTTCAAAAATCACAATTTAATAAAAGAGAAATTAGAAATTAAATCTCTGATATGAACCAGCTTATAAAGATGTTGTATGAAGTTCAGGGTCACACCCGAGGTCATGTAATCAACTCTGACCCCCTTAAGATTTAACGCAGGACTGCTGCTGCTGACTGTGCATTGTTACCATGGAAACGGGTCAACTGGGCAGGTCACACACACACATGCACACACACAAGAGAGGAGAAAATGTCAGAGCAGGAAGTGAGGGGAAAAAAAAGAGGAGAATGAAAGCTGACAGAGTAAATCAGGAGAAATCAAGAAAAAGAAGAAGAAGAAGAAGAAGAAAGGGAGGAGGAGTTTGGAGAATGAGAGCAGAGAGATGTGACGAAGAGGAAGAGAAGAACAAACTGAGAGGAGCTGAGTGTTTGATGATGAAGAGAGGAGACAAGCTTTCAGTCCACACACACACACACTCAGCTGTGTGATCTGCTCTCACATCACAGCACATCTCTTTCTCTCTCTCTCTCTCCGTCTACAACCATCTCATCATGAAGCTCGCTCTATCGCTTCTTCTTCATCTCAGCAGCAGACATCATCATCCCTCCCTCCTCTCTCTCTCTCTCTCTCTCTCAGAAAGATCTCATTTTATCTCGTCAGTTGAAAACCTGAAAAAACTAAAAATAAAAACCCTCCACGAAAACACTTTGATCTGATCGGACGGACATAAACTTTGACTAAACATCCTGTCGGTTTCTATATCGTCACCTGGACTCTGGCACAGCTGACTTCACCCTCCTCCTCCTCCTCCTCCTCCTCCCCCTCCTCCTCCTCCATGAAGTGTGTCAGGATGAACTTTCCCGCTGCCTCCAGCTCTCCGAGCCTGACCAGTGCTCAGTTTGATGACCTGTTAGGAGGATTTCTCTGACGGATGCCGACTGCTAGTGTTCTCTTTCAGCTGTCAAGCATCTGTCCGTCTGTCTCTGCTGAGTCTCGGTTTCTCTGTGTCCTTCAAGTCACACTGAAGTGAACTCAAGTCTGGTTTACTTTGGCGCCATGAACCCAAAACTGTCAGTTTTACCGAGATTTATCAAGAACGATTTCAAAAAAGTTAGGACGCTGAGTAAAAAGTTACGAAAACATTATGGGATAGTTTGATAATTATTGAAATTCATACTTCATAAAAAAGATTAAACATTATTGGCCCAGGTTCATGTTTACCATTGTGTTGCATCAACTCTTGGACCAGTATCTAGAGTTTTTAAAGCGCAATGTTGACCTATTAGAGCCTTTAAAGGGTTTTTCAGGGTCTCCTTTGTTTCATTTTTCATTATGCACCAAATCAGTACGTTTGCATGTTGTTACAAAATCTGTTTATGGTGTTATGGTGCGTTCCAGTTGTTGTTTGTAAGAGTAAAATACTGTTTTATGTGTAACGACTCCAAAGACCAACCTTGTCGCTTGTGAGGAAAGTTGTGGGTCCAGTATTTGTCCGACACGCTATCGCAGACAAGCAAGAGGCTTAGAATGAACTTCACAGCGTTTAATGAAACATCTGCTAGTACAGTCACGCACACGGGACTCCTTCTGATATACAGCAGGAACAAACAAAGGGCAAACGAAAGCAAAGCGATGCTAGGCTATATGATGTGATGCGATGCGGTCAACAAAAATCACAGCGACCCCGCTCCCCTCTCGCCACCTGACTGCAGGTAAGCCACGTCTTTTCAAAGCTACCCGGCATTCACCTCTTGTGGCCCCTGTACATTACCACAGCAACCACAAACACCCCATAACACATACAGACCTATTACCTTACGGCTCCTAAATTATGCATGGTTTACAACTGGTATAGCTAACAACAACTAACAACAGCTAACAACAGCTAACAACCGCTAACGACAGCAAAAAATGGCTAACAGTAGGCATCCATCTTGGTTTCCCATCAACTCCGGTCTAACGTCATCCCCAGCTCCGACATCTGACTTCCAAGGTAACTAGAACGCAGCATAAGTCTGACTTAAACTGGAATTTTAAAAGACGTGTGACCATGTTTGTCCTGCTACATTGAAATTCTGTTGTAAACTCCAATCTTGAAAAATTAAAGGCTAAAAACTGCAGTTCCCTGAGTGTCCACTTGAGGCTGGCTGCAGAGGCACTAGAAACCACATACACACCCATTCAAAAAAAGCCAATTTAGTCATTCTAATAATCATTTTGTATTGCAGGTAGATTAGACAGTATAATTTTAAGATATGGTTAACATTATCTCATTTCAGAGTTGTTCAAAACATTATATTTTTAATTATTATTTTTTCAATTAAAAGTGTCACCAGGGTTTCTGGATCATGTTTATTCATATTTCCCTTTTTGCACATTACTTCGATGTTTCTCATTTTGTATGTGTGTGCACTATTTTGGATTAAACAAAGGGTTCACTGTTTTTTATCAGTATTTTGCACAGCGTTCTGACTGTTTTGGAAATGGGTAATTTTCTAATTTGGTCGAAAAGACGCAGAGATATCGACATCATGCTGCAGCGTTGCAAAAGTTCCACGTTTGTCAGGCGTGTCAGTCTGCAGAAAAACAAGCTGATGGAGTTTTTTGAGACCATTTCTGATGCAACTCAAGGACGTCAGCACAATCTGAACAATGATAAGACCTAAAACCGCAAGACTGTGTGGATGAAATCACTCTAGCTGTGTAAATATGTGTGTTTGTGCGTGTTTGTGTGTTTTTGTTGAATGAACAGCATCATGTTTGATTCACTGAGGGATAATTGAGACAAACTCCCTCAAAAATTCCAGGTGTGACGAGGAATAAGTCACACACACGAGAGTTTTGAGTGTGTGTGTGTGTGTGTGTGTCTGTTTGCGTTGGGGGAAGCTCGTTGTTGCTGAGCTGCTGCATTTCCAGGCTTTGTCAAGATTATTTCTTTACACTTGGCTTCCCATCCCAACACTAAACACACACTCACAGACACATACACACACACAGACACAGACACATACACACACACACACACACACACACACACACAGCCCGCCGGCTATCTTTCTCTTTCCTCAGCCTTTCTTCATCTCTATTCCCCCTTCAACTCCTCCTCTCTTTCACTCCCCCTCCTCTCTCCTCCTTTTCTCCTCCTCGGTCGCCATGGCTGCTTTTATAAACACACACACGCACACACACATGCACACGCGCACACACACACACAGTGTAAGTAGAGGCAGAGATAATGACTGAATGAAAGAGAGAGGTGGACTGTGGTTGGCCGGTGGGTTGGCACGGAAACAGAAAATGTAGTGTAGACCTCTTTGACACGCACAAACACACACATGCACTCACACACAAAAATGCACAAACACACTCCCATAAAGCATCCCACACCCTCAGTAACTAGTGTGCAATCAGCAGGAATGTTGTGAGTGTATAGAAATGCCTGTGTGTGTGTGTGTGTGTGTGTGTGTGTCTGTGTGTGTGTCTGCAGCCTGTTACTGACCAACAACAAGAGAGTACAGGAACCTTAAAGGCTCAAACATGAAGTGGAACAAAAACTGCAGTTCTTCAAAAGTTCACTAGAGGCCGGGTCCAAAGGCGAGTCAATCCCCATACAGCAGCAGCAGAAGTGTGTTCTAACCTTTCTAAACTCCATCCTGATTAACTCGTAGAAAACTCTTTTTATCCCTGAGGCAGTTCAGAGGAAAAACACCATCATCAGTAAGATAGCAAACTTATCTGATTATTTATAAATCATATTCAATAAAGAGTTGATTTTTTGAAAAACTGACAGCCTTAATTTGTTTCACACATTCAAACTCTCTTCATCAGTCTGACTGTTTAGTTATCAGACATAAGCAGCCTCCAACAGTTTCTATCCTTAACTTGTATTCATGACCTTGTCCTTTCACAATCTGCATGAACTAATACCGCTGCTATCCCTACCATTTTATTTAATAAATACTTATTCCTGTTTATTTATCACTGTGTTTCTGTTTTTTTGTGTTACTGTGTCTTTTATATTGTGTCTTTTTTCTCTTATTTCTTTATGTTGAACTGTTAGGAGCTGCAAACTAAACTTCATGGTTTGTGGTGCAATGACAAATAAGATGTTCTATTCTATTCTATCCCATTTTATTCTATTCACTCTATTGTATCCTATTCCATTTTAGTCTATTCTATTCTATTCTATTCTATACTTTACTATTCTTTTCTATTCTATTTCAGTAGTTCTATTTAATTCTATTTGATCTGATTCTATTCTATGCCATTTCAGTCTGATCTATTCAATTTCCTTTCTAGTCTATTGTATTATATTCTCTTCAACTCCATTCTATTCTATTCAACCGTATACTATTTCAGTCTGTTCTATGTCATTTCATGTCATTCTTTTCCTGTCCCATCTATTCTATTCATTTCTGTTTTTTTCTTCTTTATTCTTTAAATCAAGACGTTGACTTTGTGATGGACTCTATAGAGGTAGCATCTGTTTCTTTGTGGACATGCTGCCACCAGGAACACACGAGTCGCTGTTGGAGTCGCCTTCTTACTATTTCTATGTCAAACAGAAGTTTATGTTCGGTTCTTCCCTCTCATCAAAAATCAACGAAGAAGAATTTTTCTGCTGCATTTGTTGAGAAAACTGGAAAATCTGAGAGTGTTCAGGTCCAACTGTTTTCTCTGTGCTGCTGTGTTGATCAGTAAATGAAAGTTAAACAAACAGGTCTGTTAATGTTCTGAACTTTTATCCTGGATATGAAAGTGTTGACTCTGAATAAAGATCATTTCACTTTTAACTACCAAACAGGGAAAAACATCTCACAATCAGCCTGATATTGTTGTTTTTATTTGGCTTTAATGATGTCTTTATTTGTCAGATATCTACACCTTAAACAGGCCATAAAGCTGCTTTATTATGTTACCTCGGGTGTTAACTGTCACCTCTGCTGAATCCGTCACTAAACTTCACCTTTCAGCAGCGATAGTGCCGTTCAACACACTCTCACTGACAATCAGAGGAGCTCTGACTGCTGCAGGTTTAAAGGTGGAACGTCAAACTCAATTCCACCTTAAACCTTTAGTATAGGATGTTGGAGTTTTGTGTGTGTGTGAGTGTGTGAGAGAGTGGGTTTCTGCTGTCTAATAGCTCATTATCATGCAGACTGATGACTGGTGTAAAGCTCTGCTGCCCTCTCCGTTTCTCTGTCAAACACACACACGTGCACGCACACACACACACACACTTATACCTGCAGCTCAGACCTGCACAGGTTCACCATGGCAACAAGAAGAGGAACCTCTCAGCTGTTCAGGTTTTTTTTTTTTAGTATTACAGAAACATTTTTTCGTCCGTCAGCAGCGTCGCGGGTTCGATGCCCTCTGAGCGTGGACGTGGCGAGGCTGATTTGCTGACTGTGCTCGTTAAGGTTTCACGTTTTGTCTCCTACCTGAGCAGGTGACCATCAGCGGGTGTTAATAGACCACCTGAACAACACCTGAACAGTGTGTCACCTTAGAGGAAATGATCATCAACGCCCGGTCAGGGGTTAAAAAACCAAGCCCACTGACTATCGTGTTAAAAGTTTTTAACAAGCTGTTCCCATGGCAACACCTGGGGGTTTAACACAGGAATCCATCCTATAATGTTCTCATACGATGCAGACATTATACTCCAGGAGATAGGCTCAGTCTACTGTAAAACCAGAAATCTTTTCCACCTCACTTACGCCTCTTTTTCCCTAAAATTGTCCAGAAATCTCAGGAGCTCTGCCCTCGAACACGTTCCTCACAAACTGAAATCTTTCCTGTCAGACAAGAGGGTTCGGATTAGTCTAGGGAGGTGGGACGTGAAGTCAGAAAAACGTGCGAAAGCCTCAGAGTGATGCTAAGGTTTCATTCTTCATCATCCCGTTACATGTCACACTTCCACTCCTGCTGCCCTCTTACTTCACGTTGATATTCACTAAAAAAACTCCAGGTGAGATCAGACTGAAACTTTCATCTCTTTGTGTTCAAACATGCAGCAGCTCACCCTGCAGTTTTCAGGCTCTTTCTGGGAGTCTTTTGCATGCATGAATGCAGCTTCAGTTGGTGAAATGTTCAACTATCAAGAGAGCCAACACTACCAGAGCGACTTCGTTTCTCCTCCTCATCTTTTACTCTCACTTTCCCGGGATAAATGTCTGCAGCCTGCGAGAAAAGGGGGCTTCTGAAAACGTGGGCTTCTCGTTACTGTTCCTCTCTGTATTGATTCAAGACGATGAAAAGAAAAGGTCTGTATGTATCAGTATTAATGAGAGTGAAAATACCGGTGTATTGGATAGCTGCAAAACTCTATTATTGTGCATCTATAATAAATGCATCGACTCTATTGCGAATCATATGCAGTAAATCCCGAAGAAAGTCAGTGTTCCTGCAGTGGTGCAGGGCGATGGGAGAGGAAATATTCAAGGAATAAATAGGGCTGGGCGATATGTCCTCAAATCAATATCACGATATATTGATCAGTTCACCTACATAACGATTAATTGACGATAACTACTCCACAAGCTGCTCACCTCCTCCCACGTTAAATTCGTCTACTTCAGCCGCTCCAACTTTTGAACCGTCCTCCATCTCCTCACCTGGAGTCACGTTTCTGATGGAGAACAGCGTCTTAAAGGGACATGAGACCATAGTCTACCTACACACATCCAAAACCTAATATACCGATATGGGCAAAAGGACGTTGGTTATTTTCGTAAATTTCAGTATTTGTAAATTTTCAGTTTATCGCCGAGCCCTAATACGTACATTAGATTAAACCATTATGTTCTTGTAACTTTGACAATAATGATAAAAGCACAACATGTTGATTAATGCCATTAAACACTCAAATATATGGTGTTTCTTTTCCTCCGTTCAGGTCATTTTGTTTGCTTCAATTCTTGACCACATTATGATCAATATCTCATCTTAAAGCTCCTGTGGGGAACTTCTAATCCGTCCTGACTTTAGAAAAAACATTTCCCAGCTTTCTGTCTCTTTTTATTGAATCAGTTTGAGTCTGTTTACCCGCTGAGACATCACATAATGAAGACCTGAGGTCCTCAGGTGAGGCCCTGTGAGGCGCTGGTTACTCACAGCCTCGGCTTTCCTGATTCTGTCTTTAAACCGACTGAAACTCAGTGAAGTAAAAACCGTCGACACTTCAGGTCCGCATGTTCATCAGAGTCTCTTTCCTGGTCGCTCATATCGATGTTTTAATCTGGCAGCAGAACAGAGGGATTAACTGAAGTTACACACAGATTACATCGACTGTTGGTTCAGGTTGTTTGGATGGACAGGCTCCTGACAGACAGAACTCAGGGCTGAAAAACTCTCTAAAGCATTTGCATTTAAGAATATGGAATAGAATCAAAGTGATCATAGAAGGATGTCAGAAAACAGCTGCATAGAGGTGACAGGAATTCTCCATAGTGGTTTAAAAAGATCATTTAAGGGTAAATCAATATTATTAATTATGACTTCTCAATTTGAGCTGCTTCTGTCAGAAAAGATACACAGATTTAAGGACAGTATCTGTACAGTGATATTATCATTGGGTTCCCACCCTAATCATGACAAAGCATCTCTGCCATCATTGATGAATTGCATGATTTAAATTACATCACGTTCAAACGATGGCGTCCCTGAGGATCAGCGGTTAGAGTCATGATCACAGCGTTCATTATTCCTGGTTTGGATTCCCAGTGTGTGTGTGTGTGTTTATGTGTGTGTGTGTGTATGTGTGTGTGTGGGCGGGCGGAGGTCTTGCTGAGTGAGGTCTGCATGTTTGCATGTTCTCCCCGTACATGCATGAATTCTCCAGCTTCCTCCCACAGTCCAAACACCTGCTCCTCGGGTTAATTGGTGACTCTAAATAGCCTGTAGGTCTGAGTGTGTCGTTCGTGTGTCAGTTAGATGGACCGCTGACCTGTTAAGGGTGGACCCGCCTCTAACTCAGTGATGGATATGATAAGCTACACCCTCTCCATGACCCTTAATGGTGAAACAGTAAAGACAAAGGAAGGATGGATGAAGGTTTGAACCACCACCGATGAGCTAAGGACACCAGACTTAACAAGTCAACGAGCAACAGCATCACAAAAATGCTGTTGGAGCTTGATTTTGGATCACGACATTCATCACAAGTGAAACTAAATCACTACTGACTGCAGACCAGTCAACATTTTAAGGAGCCTCGGATCAGAACCAACAGTTTCATGAATCCAGAGCCAGAACTAGTCCAGTGGTCACTGGACGTCATGCACGGACATGCAAACAGTGGGTTTTCTGGAAGCCCTGAGCGATTCAGGCCACAACCCTATTTTGAATTGTTTACGTTGCTCCTGCAGTCTGCCTCAAGTGGACACTTAAGGAAGTGCAGATTTTAGCTATTCTGCGCCGGCTTCATTTCTCAAGACTGGATGTTACCGCTTGACGCCACCATGAGGAGTCATGATGTGGTTACCCCCAATTTTCACCGCATCCGGAACGGCAGCGATTTTCGCCTCCGCCAATTCCTACTGGATCCGTTTTCATGGCGGATTACGGACATCACAGAACCCACAAGAACCCGCTGATTCACGTACAATCGCACGATAACGAGTTGTCTCTATAAAGACAGCCACATAGACATATAAGCAATAGATTGTGTCCTTCCAGAGGAGGAAATCTACTTCTAGACTTCTAGAATCAGCAGCTCCTCATCCACGGTGTAATCGGGGTGAAATGACGTCTATAAACCTTTCACTTGTTCGTCTTCGCCCGTTTGCATGGTGTGAAATACGATCCTCCTGAAACACAGAGTGTTTTATTTTGAAAAGAAGCCGGATGTTTTATTTTGTGTCTGTGCCCGACTTCCTTTCCAGCACAGGTTAAGGTCCTTTCACACCGGGACGTTTTTTTTTTTGTGCGATTATTTTGGACATCAATAGTTTTTTTTCAAACCCGTATCCTCTCAATACAAGCGTTCACATCAGCGACGTTTTCCTGTCCTGCGATATTGCGGCATGTTATTTTTTCAGATCACGGTCGATTTTTCTAAAGTATCGCATACTGTGTGTCCACTTCTGACCAATCAGATTTCGTGTTGTTGCGACGTCAGATTCAACGGTATATCCAACATGGCCAACCGGCTGATCGTTTACGTGTCGGAGAACAGAGTGATTTTTGATAAAAGACACAAATATTACAAAGATAACGACCTGAAGGACAACTTGTGGAGAGTTATAGCGTCGGATTTCTCATATGACGATGGTTTGTGAGCTTTAACAGTTTGATAAACGTCTTTGTTTTAACTTTCATCTATGCTAAGTAACTTTAGCTCGTAAGCTAACCTGTTCAGATACAACATACCATATGTATTTTCACTGTAAACTCAAACTCAATCACAGCGTTGCTGTCAAAGCACCATTAGGTCTCGGTTGTTACCTTACGTTTATGGATTATAGTTTAATGTGTTTATCTGGTACTGACCCCAACTCAGTACATGCTATCATGACAGACAGACATCTCAACACTAGAGTCTAATCAGAACTGAAAACAGTCAGTCTGCTGTTGGCTCAGTCTTCTCGCTTCCCCCGGAAAGTCGCCAAATCGCATCGCGCTTGATGTGTATAGTCAGGCACGTCAAAATTCGCCTCCCGCGTTTATATTTGCGTCGTTCCTGGTGTGTAAGGACCTTAAATCTGTGCTGAATTTATCCGACATGCTCCAGCGTCCGTAAAATATAGAACTCTTTTGATCAGCTGTGGAGTCTGACGATCTGCAGTGGAACGGAAAGAAGTGGAAATTGACACATTATCTTGAATGGTTACGATCAGCTGCGATCGGCGGATATGGCCTTTTCGTAGCCATTCAGGATGCAGTGGAAATTGGGGGATAGACGGTGAGTCTTGGAGGGTCGTGATGTTGAATCACCTCGATGTCAGATTTCAGTTTAATGTCGAAAGAACCAAGAATACAAATCTGGAACAGCTGAACCAAAACAGAGAGAAAACAGGTGTACTGAAGAGGTCCAACACAGGTGAGAGGTCAAACTAGACAGCAGGGCTCACACACACACACGTACATTCCACTGTGTACAGATGTCGACACGCACACACACACACACATCTGAACCCAGAAACATTTAGATTAAAAACACACACAGTCAAATATTGAGCAAGCAGAGGGAGCACCACCCAATCACACGCACCGATGCTCACACACACTTGGCGAGCCATCAGCTGCTACACCCACTGTCACTGCCAGAGAATGTGCGTGCGTGTGTGTGCGTGCGTGTGTCTGTGTGTGTTTGTCCTGAAGGACTGTCTCCACCACAGATTCATTTCACAGCTTCACCAAAAACATCTGCTGGGAGTGACACACACACACACACACACACACACACACACACACACACACACACACACACACAGCCCTGAGCAATGAATCTCTCTCTCTCTCTCTCTCTCTCTCTCTCTCTCTCTCTCTCTCTCTCTCTCTCTCTCACACACACACACACACACACACACACACACACACACACACACACACATCTCTCTTTTAAACACAGCAATCATCTTCATCATCATCATCTCCCTTAATTTCACCTCCAGCCTCGTGCACACTCTGTTCTATTCTGCAGGTAAATCCCCAAATTTCAAGGTGTGTAAGTGTACGTGCGTGCGTGTGTGTGTGTTGGTGTTTGAGTGTGTGTGTGCATGTGTGTTTCAGGTGTGTTCTGGTTGTAGTTAAAGGCAGGCTGCAGCTCTCAGTGTGTCTGCTGGTGATGATGATGACTGTGGTCAGTCTTCATCACTGCACACCGAGCTCGTGCTGTGGTCACGTGCACGCGGTCTCACCTGGTTCTCCTGACAGCGGTTCTCCCCGTCTCTCTCTTCCCCGGTGGTGGGTCCTCCGCAGCTAATCCGCCTCCGAGTGTCTGTCTGCCGGGGAACTCTCGCTGCTCCGCGCGGTGTTGATCCGCCTCACGGAGCTGAGACAGCGGAGTGAGGGAGAGGTGGAGGGAGAGAAGGAGGAGGAGGAGGTGGGGGAGGAGGAGGGGGAGGAGGAGAAGAACCGGCAGAGGCTCCGCTACAGCGTCACAGACCAGAGGGAGCAGGAGGGAGAGAAGAGGTCTCACTCTGATCGAAAAAGAGGAGACGAATCTGTCAGGACATTTTGTTTCTATCTCTTAATACTTTAATTTTAATGTTTTATTTTAATAAACATTAATCTGCCAATGTTCAGATGATGGATCTTTATGTCCATGATAATAAAAAAATGTTAATAAGAGTTATTAAATGTTAATAACACTGACTTATATGAGCAGTCTGTAGCTACGGTGGCCGAAAACTGCCACTGCTGCAAATTAAAAAAAAAAAAAAAACCCGGTCGATTTTTCTAAAGTTTCGCATACTGTGTGTCCACTTCTGACCAATCAGATTGCGTGTTGTTGCGACGTCAGATTCACCGGTTTATCCAACATGGCCGACCGGCTGCTTGTTTACGTGTCGCAGAACAGAGTGATTTTTGATAAAAGACACAAATATTACAAAGATAACGACCTGAAGGACAACTTGTGGAGAGTCATAGCGTCGGATTTCTTGTATGATGATGATCTTTTTTTTTTAAAATTTGCGGCAGGCCTCGGTTTCATTTTTCTGTATCTGTTACTTCTGTTGTGACTTCTTTTTTTTTTTTTTTTTGCAGCAGTAGCGGTTCTCAGCCACCATATCCTGGAACACTCCCACTGCCATGTAGTAAGAAAACTTGTCAGTGCTCTGCAGAAAATGCAATGCGCTCTGTGTGTGTGTGTGTGTGTGTGTGTGTGTGTGTGTGTGTGTGTGTGCTTACCTCCCCTACTTCTGCAACACCTTCACGCTGGAATTCTACCAGATCTGTCTCAGTGCTGATTCAGCTCCGTGCCCCCTCATCTGTCATCACTCATCAGCCGTGTTTTCAGATTGCAACACAGACCAGCAGCGCCACACACTCAGACATGCACAAACGCATAATAACACTGGTCCCACAGCTGGCTTTAAAGGGATATTCCGGCATAAAATTAAGTTAGTTAGAGTTAGACACCCCCTCGAGAAATGAATGTTGCAGACTGCTTGTTTCACTAGTTATACCAACTTTTGCGGTCGTTACTAAAGTTGGTGTAACTAGAGAAGCAAGCAATCGGCAACATTCATCTCTTGAGGGGGGGTATCTAACTCTGACTTAATTAATTCTACGCCGGAATATCCCTTTAAGGCAACACCTAACCACCACCTTCTCCCTAAAAGCCTCTGATACAACCTTTGAGGGAGGACCACAAACTTTGCACCGCCATTACTCCTCCACTGTTTTCACAGTGCAGAAAATAAGGGAGCAAATATCTTGCCCTGAAACAGTCGTATGTAAGAGCAAAGTGGTGTTGAAGTTTTTTTAACAGAGACAGAAATCATCACGAAAAGTGCATTTAAATTTTATTTAGAAGCTGTTTTCTTAAGCTATCATACACACTCACATTTGAGCTGTTGAACTGAACATCATTTAAATTCTGAATATTAGAGTTTTTCCAGCTAAAACTGATAAAAGTTTTAAAGTGTATGATAAGAGATAAAAATAAAGAGTTTTAATGTCTAAAACATTTCCCTCTAAAATATAAAACAGCCTGATAAAGTCTGTTTCTCTGTTTCCCCTCAGAGTGAGCCCTCCTGTCGGACATAGAGGATCTGTGTGGGCAGCAGTGCGCAGACTCCATGCTGAGAGAGCAGACACACACAGTTGAGATTATCGATGATTGACTGTTTTCAATTAGCTGTTTCTGTGCAGAGGAATGTGAAACACGCAAACTTACACAACACACACACTCAGCTGGAAGCACTGCCATACTGTAATGTTAATTAAGTTACAGCCACGCCTTATTTCTTCTTCTTCTCTTAGATTTAAACTGTGTGAATCAGACATAAACTTTCAAACTTTATAATCTGAGTTTGGTTAATCTGGACCGTGTCTGTCTCCATCTGAGCTCTCTGAGATTTACACTCTCCATCTGCATCTCTGACTCTGTAAAAGATGAACAGCACAGTCACTCCCCTAAAGTGAGGGTGAAATCTAAAGAGAGCTCCCCCTGGTGGTCAGAGCCTGCCTCTTCCATATAAACAGAAAGGACAATAATGTAACTAGATAATCAGAAATCACGCCAAATTACACCTGAGCGCTCACCTGTCGAAGACTCAATTTGAGAAGATGTTAATCGGGTATTTAAAAGTCATTTTTTGGGGATGAGGATTATAATCAGTCCTCCTGAAGTAGATTATGTGCAGATTAAATCCGTATCATGGAGTAAAACCTCCAACAGGCAGCTGATTGGCTGAGAGGTCGCACCTGAATATTCACCTGGAGTCTCTATCAGTGAGAAGATCAGAGATAAGGACCAGCTCCTCTTCCTCATGTTGTCACGGTAACAGACTCCCTGATTAGGGTCTGTGTGTGAGTGTGTGTGTGTACTTGTGTGTGTCTGTCCTCTGAATGTTCCTGAAACAAACCCATTATGACCCTCCGCTGTTCTGATTGACTGTCATTATTACACGCTGAGCAGGTGTGGGTGTGTGAGCGAATGTGTGGTTTTTTTTTTTGAAGACGGTTTCCATGGTAACGAAATATCCCCTCGCTGCTTTTGTCTCCTCATTGTTTCTCCATTATTTCATCATTTTCATTCATACCTTTAAAACAACGGCTGATTAAGAAAATGCGTTTCTAATTTCCCTGTTAAATCGTCCTAAACAGTCTCGGCGGCGTCATTACGGCGGCGTTCAACGTGTGTGCGTCTAAATACGCAAAGTCCTACAGACGAAGATCTTCCTCATTATTGGACATAAGTTGGCTAAACTTCATGTTTTTTATGTCTTTACAGTGGCGCAGGAAACGTCAGTGAAGACGAGCCGACAGTGTCTGAAACCAAACTCCTTTAATGAGGCTGATATCATCTCAGAGACACACACGGCAACACAAACAACAGACCGCTGTCAGTCTGCTGAACACGAGGAGGAGGCTTTATTGTCTGCTGCTGAGCTGCTGTCAGGAAATCTCTATTTAAAGGTTCCCACATAGAAATCTGTACTCTGGAGTCTGGATTATAGTGGGAGAGAAGTGCTCCAGTTTCTGTTTGTTGTACGTTTGTAGTCGGAGTACAAATCAGCAGAATATGGAGAGCAATAAGAGCAGGATGTACAGTAACTAGATCCTCAGGCCATCAGGGGAAACTCAACCCATATTAAAATTACGCACATTTCAAATTCGATGGCGACAGCATGTTTGGAGACAGATGGGACAAAACACAGATGGGAAGAGGTTAACGGCTCTGTGAGGGACTGCGTGAGCGAATATGGTATTTGATGGAGTAACAGCGCCGCAGTGAAAACTTTCTTCTAACTCCTCGTTAGAATAAAATCCTGATCAGCCAGCTGCCTGTGAGGCCCAAATGAGGAACATGGAGCATCTTGTTAAATTGGACTTGAGTTTAAGATTCGCTAAAAACAAAATAACTTAGCCTGTAAAAACATCAGCACCACGTTTAAACAAGAATCAAGACTCTGGGAAGACTGAGCAGAAAGATTGGATATGATATCTCGATTCAAAACAGCATTATGAGGCTAATCTTTGACTGAATGGACTTTATTCTCGATACAATATCACTTTAATTCTCAAAAATATGACTTTTAATCTCATAACAATAAGGTTTGAATTTCACCACATTATGACTTAGAGGTGGGGTCGGCAGGAATCCATTAAAGAAGCATCTTTTTTTGTGTTGTTCATACAAAAAAGCTTTTAATATCAGTCAATAGTTATTAGTCATTGATGATTTTGGTAATATAACGATTTTTGTTTTGTTATGCCTGTGTAGTCAACATTTTAAATCTTAACTGTCCGCTCTTTCTGAATTTAAACAAAGCCGTTCTCCGCCTCCCCCAACCTGATTGGCTCCCTCGTATTGTGAGGCATGGACCACGTCCTTGAGTAACGTTCACAAGCCCAAACAAAGTTAGCGTGCTACAATATCGGACAGTAGAAATCAACCAGAAAGTTCGGAAAACACAAGCAAGAAAACAAAGTAAATACCGGAGACTCTGGAGGAATAACGGGCGCTTAAAACAGAGGTAGACCGGACAAGAGCTAAAAAGCCGGGTCAACATAAACGATGGGGGACGCTTGGGGATCTTGGTGACCCTGAAACCTTTCTGCTGGACAGGTAAACCGCTTTAACAAAGTAAGACAAGTGTCTGTAACAGAAGTGTTTCTTGTCAAACGGACCTGCTGTAGCGTGTTGTAGCGCCATCGCTAAACTGTCCTCCCTCGGGTCCTGGACTATGTCACTTTATCCTCGTTGTAGAAGTCCTGCAAACATTGCGTTTGCTGGTAGTCTGTTGGCATCTACAGTAGCACCAATGCTTTTGACTTTCACCTTGACTGGGCAGGAGTGACTGTTTGTGGGCGGGGCTTGAGGGGAGAGGAGGAGCTGAGGGGAAAACTGGTTGGAGGGGTAGAGTTTACATTCAAGATTTCTCCTAAAAACTGGAACTAACTCAGATCCTGACTACCACACCTTTAAAGTGAATGATGTCTGTTTCTGAATCCTCCTTTAAGCTGCACCTGCTGTTTACACAATGACCATGAATATTTACACAGATACTAAATTAAACACCAGTGTACCTTTTAAGACTGACCCCCCTGTAGAGCACCTTTAGTCGGGGCACGTGCACACGCTGCAGGAGACCATCACTGCTTTCTGGATGTTTGAACATAAACATGAAACACAAGAAACTCATTACGGAGAAAATCTGACTGCAAAGCTTCGTCTTTCCTCTCCTCCTCTTTCATCTTCCTCCTCCTCCTCTACACCTCTTATCACCCCCCTCTCTCTCTCTCTCTCTCTCTTTATCTCTCTGTTTCTCTCTCTCACTGTTTGTTTCTCGCTCGGTGGTGTGAAGGATTACTCTCGGGGCTGAGCTCAGAGGATTCAAAGCAGTTTCACTTTTATTTACCCACAAACAGACGGTTTGTTCTGAAGATCCTCCAGAGAACCGGGAGAACGGTTCTCTGCGTTTAACCCTTTCCTCTCTCTCTCCACACTCTTACAGGATTCATATAAACATGAGCGCGTATACTAGGAATAACAAAACAACAATCTTTGACAGAGCGAGTGACGCAAGAATCATTTCCACAGATGACTTACAGTTTTGTTTTGGAGAGTTGCATCAGAAAGTTAAAAAAAAAAGGTTTAATTCACCAGATCCATCTCCTCTCCTCCTGACATCTTATTTTCAGCCTCTGTGTGTGTTTGATCAAGGTTCACAATAAAACTAAAACACTTTATCTCACTGTGTTTAAACTTAACATGAGACACAAATAATCTCTGGATTAAACGTTTCGATTCAGTGGGTTTCTCTTTTTTATTGACTTCAAACTATTTTCTCTGTTTCTCTCTTCTCTTTGGTTTCAACTCTGTGGGCAGTTTTTATTGGGATTACGCTCAGCTGGACTTCCTCCAGTGAAACTGTTGACGGGTTTATGGATTATCTAAAAAAACACACATTTCATTTTGTCTTTAAAGACACGCTGAGGTTTATTTTCTCAGTGTCAGTTTCTGAGGCTCGGAGAAGAAAGGAGTAATTCACCACTCAGTGTTGGTGTTGGCAGAAATTTCACTAAATAACAGAATGAAACCAAAACAGTTTTACTCTCCGGGTGAATGGAGTATTGAAGAGGATTTTGGGTGTTTAAATGTGTTTACTTCGTGTAGGTGGATGTAGTGAGGCTTGTGTTTTTAGGAGATGTTCAGTTTCATCAAAAAGCGTCAAGATAAACTTGGACTAATGTTTAAAAATAGTCGGAGGAATTACAACGCTGCAAAAAACTCGAATCAAAGTACAAAACCCAATTCCAATGAAGTTGGGAAGAACCCTTTTCAACCTATATTCAATTTCTACACTACAAAGATAAGATATTTAATGTTCAAACTCATAAAATTGATTGTTTTTGCAAATAATAATGAACTTTAGAATTTGATAGCAGCAAAGTAGTTTAGGAACGGTGGCAAAAAATACAGAGAAATTTGAGGGATGCTCATCAAACACCTATTTGGAACATCCCACAGGTGAGCAGGCTTATAGGGAACAGGTGGGCGCCTTCTTAAAGTACAATTGCAAGGAATTTAGGGATTTCAACATCTACGGTCCATAATATCATGAAAAGGATCAGAGAATCTGGAGAAATCACTGCTTGTAAGCGTCACAGCCGGAAACCAACATTGAATGCCAGTGACCTTCGATCCGTCAGGGGGCGCTGTATCAAAAACTGACATCAATGTGTAAAGGATATCACCACATGGGCTCAGGAACACTTCAGAAAAACACTGTCAGTAAATACAGTTTATCGCTACAACTGTAAGTTAAAACTCTACTATGAAAAGAGAAAGCCATTTATCAACAACATCGAGAAACGTTGCCGGCTTCTCTGGACCCGAGCTCATCTAAGATGGACTGATGCAAAGTGGAAAAGTGTTCTGTGGTCTGACGAGTCCATATTTAGAATTGTTTTTGGAAATAGTGGACGTCGATGATCCATCTGGACTGTTATCTATGCAAAGTTCAAAACCAGCATCTATGATGGTATGGGGGTGCATTAGTGCCCAAAGCATGGGTAACTCACACATCTGTGAAGGCAACATTAATGCTGAAAGGTACATACAGGTTTTGGAGTAACATATGCCGCCATTCAAGCAACGTCTTTTTCACGGACGCCCCTCCTGCTTATTTCAGTGACACAACGCCAAACCACATTCTGCATGTGTTACAACAACGTGGCTTCGTAGTAAAAGAGTGTGGGTACTCGACTGGCCTGCCTGCAGTCCAGACCTGTCTTCCATTGAAAATGTGTGGTGCATTATGAAGCGTAAAATACGACAACGGAGACCCCGGACTGTTGGACAACTGAAGCTGAACATCAAGCGAGAATGGGAAAGAATTTCACCTTCAAAGCTTCAACAATTAGTTCCTCAGTTCACAAATGTTTATTGAGTGTTGTTAAAAGGAAAGGTGATGGAACATAGTGATTAACATGCCCCTGTCCAAATTACTTTGGCCATGAAATTCTGAGTTAATTATTATTCACAAAAAATAAATAAAGTTTATGAGTTATTTACGTTTATCACAATTTCCCAACTTCAATGGAATCGGGTTTTGTAAGTGTTTTGAGTGAAAACGGTCTAGTTTACCTGAAAAGTCCAGAAAATACCTTATTTTATGATACTAATTAACAAAAATATGATGCTTTTTAATAATAATCCGCGATGGATTCTGAGGCTGTGTGTTGACCCGTATTATCCGTTAATCCTCGTTAAATATTCTCTCTGTTTTACTCGTCCTGCTCCAAGTTTTATCTCCTCATTATGTGACGAGAGATAAAATCTGTGTTTGATTTAAGAATAGACTCGGCCGAACGTCTGATCGGCTCTAACCTCCATATTTATCTGTCCTCCTTCAGTCTTCAGTCGGTTTTCTGTGAAGATGAAACGCCCTAAAATTAAATCTGCTGAGCCAGCGTTCCTTAAAAACAGGGTCATGGAGTAGAAACTTCCAGAACACCAAGCTGATCCGATTCGCACCAAATTAAACCAGTTTCAACCATGTCCGCTCTTTCCTCCTTCTTATTCTCTCCTCTGTCCTTCCTCTGTCACCTTACATCCTTTCCTTCCTTCCTTTCATCCTCAGTCTCTCCTTCACTTGTCAGGTTTTGACCTCTGAATGGATCCTTGTGTCCTTTTTAAGAAACTCACACGTACAAAGAGGAGGCAGAGATGGGGGCGCTGTGTGTGTGTGTGCGTGTGTGTGTGTTTGTGTGTGTGTGTTTGCTGTGTGTGTTAGTGTGGCCCGAGGGGAGTTGTGTTTTTGCTAAATTTATCAGCTCCAGTTCATCTCCTGAGAGATGAGGACCGAGGCTAGTGCCTTTGTTAGCTCAACCATGACTGCAGAGTTTGTGTGTGTGCGTGCGTGTGTGTGTGTGTGTGTGTGTGTGTGTGTGTGTGTGTGTGTGTGTGTAGGTCTGGAGGCTGAACTCATCACTGCAGCACCAAAGTCTCCATTTCCTCCTCTTCCCTCACTCATCCATCTTTTCCTCCTACTTTCTGTTTCCTCCTTCCTCCTCCTTTTCGCTCTCTAATCTTCCTCCTCTCTTCCTCTTCCTCCTCCTCCTCTCATTCTCTCTCTGTCCTCATCTGTCAGGGCAGAAACTTGTAGCAGTAATGTTGGGTGTTCTGCAGGAGCTGGTCCAGTTTGAGGTCTGTGTTCAGAGGGATAATCTGAGCTGCAGATTGAATTAAATCTGAGTATTTAGAGAACAGACAGAATACAGTCGGACCGTCCCTGCAGGCCTCCATTAAGGCTGCCAGAACTGAAACCGCTCTTTACAATTCAACAACAAGAGCACAGCATTGAACAGGATGGGAGTGGGAGTATAAATATACTTATATATATAAGAGGTCAAGAGGTCAGTATCCCTGTGCTGGAGGGAAAAAGGAAAGGAAACGAAAGGAAACGAAAGGAAAGGAGTAAAGGAAAGGAAAGAGATTTGAGTGATAAGGTCTGGAAAATTGGGACAAACTGTTTGTACATACTGCACAGGTAATGGCATAGATGAAAGAGACAATTACATGCAGAAGACTGAATTCGTTTTGGTCACAAAAACACGACTGCTGATGAATCACCGGGGCTGTCAGATGAGTGTTGTTGTTGTGGTTAATTGCTGTATTTTAGTAGAAGTTAAACTGCAGATTTTATCAAAAATATTCAAATTGTGAACAAGTAGAAATCTAAAAAATCACAAGGTTTTTGTGATAGTAAAAAAAAACAACAAGTTACCAACACGTTACCAACACGTTAATTTGGGACTTTAATTGTGTTGTAATTAACAAATTGAAGCTAAAAGCAAAGTGAGTAAGAAGAGAATAAAAGTATCTGTAATGAGATCACATTAAAGTTCTTTGGATGTGAAATAGTTCTCCCTGTGGATTTGGCACCACAAACCGATCAATGACTGTAAGGATGCCTAGCCCAGGTTCACACTAGAAAGAATCGAAGGTCCACACGAATGATCATTTTGACAAGCTTTACTGATTACATATCTGGGTTACAGCTTCAGCAGGCCACAAGTGTGACCAACAGTGGTCCTCTCCAAGTGTAGCAAAGAGTGACCACCCCAAGTGTAGCAAAAAGCGGTCCACCCCCAAGTGTGGCCAACATGAGTGTAGCCAAGAGTGGTCCAAGACCATTCAAGTATATATAGCGATTCACAATCCTAAACATACTGTTGGTATTTAGTTGACCCTAAGAGAAAACCATGTATGGTAAAAACAAAGGACAACATATTTCAAAAGCCTTAGATGAACATGTGGAAGGTCCCAAGAAGGAAATATCATGGCAAACATATTTTGGGGACCTACATGGTGTAAATAATGTGTACAGGGTTCCTTGCTCAGGGATGGTTGTAGGAGGCCCCCGGCTCCAGCAATCTAACACCAAAGTGTCTGGGGTATTTGAGTGACACAGCTCCACCACTCTAAAGGCTGACATGACTGGCTAAAGAAACTCATCCTAACAGTCCTCACTTTTTTTTTTTTTTTTTTTTTTTTCTTTAAACATGCCAATTGTTCATAAATAATTGCTGCTGGAACAGATGATAAATAAGACTGGTGACCAGGGTCACTTAAAACAAAAGAGTGGATTGATGAAACAAACATAAGAAGGGTCAGCCACCCAAACCAGCCCACAAAGGGCCGTCAGATTTGAGGCCACCCTCTACCCTAGATCAACAATTGAACCAGCTAAACCCTACAAAACCATGAACAAAAGCCGCGAAAACAGAACTTATCAATCCACCTGAAAGTAATCTAGGTGATAATTTTATATTGCAACTAAAGTAAAGCATGTTCTTTTAACTCAGTGGAGTGATGTATCTTGTGTCAGCTAATACGTGGTGGAGAATGATACTTTTACACTAGAATCTCTGAAATGGTGACCGACACTGTGATCACATGGGGAACATCATATATGGTCAGGATATATGCCATCCCATCGTTGGAATCTCCTGATGACTCAGATGACTCAGAATCGGAGACCCACGGTTTCCATTTGAATGGGGAAGAGATAAGGGCATACGCTGTTTGGACTGGATCCTGCACAAAAGACGTATTGACAACATCACAAACAGATTATGATTAGTGTACAGAAAATGGAAGTTCTCTGGAATCCTTGAGAGATTTGGCTGCTAAGACTAAAAATCTAGTGTAAATTTTAGCAGGCCTTATGACGAATTGGTAATTGTTAACATTTTTATCTGAGGTTTCTTCTCTTTCTTGGTCAAACCTAGCAGTTTAAGCAATCCATAAAGAGGCACATGCATCTTCCTAGTCATAGTTCTTTTGACATGAGTCATTAGCCTTTGGATTGTTTGACTATTCTACCCCCTTTTCTTCACATGTCCACCAAACGTTGAGCTGTCCTTCCAGTCCTAGAGAGAAAAACAACTCACAGATAGAGATGTCGTTAGTAACAACTGTACAAATTGCATTCGTGACACTATGAATGTAAGCTAGGAGTAAATCGTACGCTAGTTAAGGGAGCGTAATCTGTTGCCCATCATATTTTTATAATACATCAGCAACCCTGTTACACTTCTTTATCTGTTATATGTTTACTTTAAAATCAGTGGCCCGGCTTTAAAGCAAAATTAAGTCATCAACGGAAAACGGCGGCACAGAAGGTTGTATGGATGGGAACTAGGAACCAATCAAGGAGGAAATGGTGCATCAAGTGCCGCTTTTTCTTTTGCAAATTGTCTGCTAATTTTCGTTGTCTCTGGTCACTTCTTTGTCAGATAGTAAATGTGTTGTTACATTTCACAATAGCGTGTAGGATACAACATCTTAATTTTGATTATCAACAAGTGCATAACCTGCCATTGTAGGGTCTACGCGCATAACCATAAAATCATAGTTCTCCAGTGGAGTCTGTTGCATCTTAACTCTTACTCTAAATGTCGAATTGATTAAGTTCAAGCAATCTAGTGACGGAATTTCAGCCATCTCTTTGTTACCATGCAGCAATGACTTCAAGTGTATCACTAGATAAATATAAGTGACTGTTGAAAAGGGAAGTTTTGGTGTTTCAGCTAACATGCGTTTTTAGGTTCATCACCTCAGACTGATATGCTGTGTGATTATGTTGCGGTGACCAACATTCACTGTGTGTATAGCATGCTGTATTAGTGGATATCGTAACACTGTAGTCTGTGCCTATTTAAACGTAATCGCCACAGCCATCATAGCTCGCAAACATGAGACTATCATTTGAACAAGTATCGTTGGGGATTTGGAATAATAGACAACAGGTCTCAATCCTTAATCAAGCACCCTCGTCAGAACAGCAGTGGGGACTCTTGTCATCCGCCATACGAAGGTGAAAGCCCAGGTTGTACTCCGGAAATCTTGATGTTGGAGCAGTGCAGAGAAAATATTCGATACAACGAAAGACGTGTTTCATGCCATTAGTCCAGTTCATAATGTCCAGTGCATCCTAGGGCGTTGACTCTTGGAGCATAGGATCATGGACGGCATAATTACCAGCCATGCTTGACTATAGTCCACCAGACGCAGAAGGGATACCTGTTCAGGTTTGTTCTTTTTTTTTTTTTTAACATGGTCCTTCAGTGTCCTTTATGGCTGTCACACAATCAGGAGAGAGATATCTGCACCCAGCTCTCAAGATGTATTCAAGGTAGTTGACAGATTCTCAGCAGAATTGAAGCTCGGCAAGGAATGTCCTGTGACCTGTCTCGGCCAAATGTATCCATGGGGCCAAGGAATCCAGTATGAAGTCTTTTCAGTCTCTGGGTAAAGAAGCAGGTCATCCGAATACTGGAGGATACAGGATTGACATGGCAAAGTTGGATGAGACAAGTGCAAATCGACAGCTAAATAACCTGTGGCGAAATCAACAAATCCCATAGGTAGTTCTTTCCAGCCATATTATTAATTCGTGTACGTAAACGTAGAGAAATTTTGTGTCTCTTTATGTACAATGATAGAGAAATATACAGAGCATGAATTGAGTTAGTATAGAAGCTAGAATTAGAAGGTTGTGCGGTTAAAACTGAGTCAATATCAGACAATATTAAAGCAATGGATTACACTACTTTATTGAGTGACTATTTTCCTCTGTAGAAATTTGATGTTTGTCCTCACTCTTCAAAATCTCAATGTTGTTGGTTCAGATGCAGTAGACCGGATGATGTCTTAGCACTGACTATCAGTAACTGTTGCATGAAAGAGATGTTATCCTAATCAAGGCCTTGTTGGAGTGACCAGAGATACCAATAGATTGAACAGAAAAACTACTCAAATGGCCAATTCAATTTGTTCAGGATCTTGTTCCTCCTCCTGAAAACCCTTGGTTCCTTGATTGGCACCATACCCCATCCTCTAAGAATCATTCTGCAAAAAGAGATCAGAGGTTATTTGAGGCATAAAGTGAAGTTGTACTTGGTTCACATTACTTTTTTGAGGACTCCTGCTCCTTCCCACAGGAGGCTGTCCTACTACGGGTCCAGTTACATGACAGTGAAGGCATCTGTCAGTCATGACTTACTATAAGTATGGGAAATATGCCTTGAATGTGCATGCCAGGTATCCTTTTACAGTCTCACTCTGTCACTAAGGCTTTGACCTGTGTCAGATATACACTTTCTGTTAAGTCATAAATTGTATTACAATTCTGGATACATTGATGAATACATTTATCTTAAAGGATATATGTTGAAAGATTTGACCCTCCCAACATCTGAGTATAACAAGGGGACTACTTTTGTTGGCATTGGGCAGGGCTGTTCATCGTAATTTAACATGTACAAATAGTGAACTGTCATCTTCATAACTTACATACTTCACAGACGCACTAGGTAGGTTTACATGAGGAGACACTGAACCTAGGAGCTGCAAGAGGGTGTAAAAATAAGCTTGCTTCTTCATATTTTACTTGAACAGTTTCTTAAGTCATAGAGTAAACTTTTTGTTTTTCTTTTTTAAGCTTACTAAGATTCAGAGGAAACTGATGAGCCATCTAAATCTACACCTTTGTCATGTAGTCTTGATTCCATAGAAAACTATCAATGGTTATGTTATTCATTAGATACTCTCGTACAACATCTTATTTCCTTCTGTTTCTATTTTTGTTATTTTTTATACTTTCCTATCATTCTGATACTTATTAGTTTTTTTTTTTCTTTTCTCTTATTAAAACTGTTGTCCATAGAAAATCCATCGTCAGAGCACTCAGCCAAATTTATAAAAAGGTTCATCGTAATAGAACCCCAGCTTCACTTGCACCCACTCCCTGGCTGACATCTAAACTACAAACATGATTGGAACGATGTCTAACTGTGGAACAGTTTCAAGCATTTCATTGATCACTTTTCATCCTTTTCTTGGTAGATCTAGCTTTGATTTTTCTTTGTATTTATTTATTTAGCTATTTTTATTTTTATTTTTATTTTTTTACCACGTGGCTTTTCTGAATTTACTGGTCTGTGACCTCAGTGCGAGGATTATTACTTGCGATTAGTAAATCTATGGTTATTTGTGAGTATGCAAAGCGTCAAAAGGTTCGTGTGGTTCATCCATCTGTACTTTAGGTCAAATTCCATCTTTAAAAAAAAATACATCCTGAAGAATTGAGACTGGTATGGGTCGATATTATGCAATACGTAGATACATAATCACACTACAACTGCCACTGAATAAATCGGGGCCGTCAAGCGGTCAGTCCGTTCAAACAGAGACAGAAGTACCTGTTAATGACTGAATCGGGGCCGTCGTGCGGTCAGTCCGTCAGACTATTAAACAGTAACAACAATAACACAACCGCGTCGTCCAACGACGTCTTCATATAAAAAACCAGTAGTACCACTCTGCTAATGACTGAATCGGGGCCGTCGAGCGGTCAGGCCGTCAGACACTTAGACAGAAGTACCAATAACACAACCACGTCATCCAAGGACGTCTTCTTATAAAAAAACAGAGGTACCAATTCCATATTTATCAACATGTCCTCCAAGGACTTCAGTGTCTATTCTTGTCTCTCTGGACACCTATATTCACACTATCCATCTACTGCGAGTGGGCCCACCCTAATATTGATTAATATCGACACATCTCAGCAAGCAAATTCAGGGAACTATTAATGTTGTATTAAATTAAATACAGTATCCATTCAGACTATCAAAAGTTTAGAAGCCAATTGTACAAGGGCTACTAGGCATCCCATAGCAGAGGTATCTTTTTTAATGCTCAAATCAGGTAAGCAATACAATCACCAGTGGATTGAATAATTAAAGATGCTTACCTTTTTTTGGTGATTAATCCTGTTCGTGACGCCAAATTGTAAGGATGCCTAGCCCAGGTTCACACTAGAAAGAATCGAAGGTCCACACGAATGATCATTTTGACAAGCTTTACTGATTACATATCTGGGTTACAGCTTCAGCAGGCCACAAGTGTGACCAACAGTGGTCCTCTCCAAGTGTAGCAAAGAGTGACCACCCCAAGTGTAGCAAAAAGCGGTCCACCCCCAAGTGTGGCCAACATGAGTGTAGCCAAGAGTGGTCCAAGACCATTCAAGTATATATAGCGATTCACAATCCTAAACATACTGTTGGTATTTAGTTGACCCTAAGAGAAAACCATGTATGGTAAAAACAAAGGACAACATATTTCAAAAGCCTTAGATGAACATGTGGAAGGTCCCAAGAAGGAAATATCATGGCAAACATATTTTGGGGACCTACATGGTGTAAATAATGTGTACAGGGTTCCTTGCTCAGGGATGGTTGTAGGAGGCCCCCGGCTCCAGCAATCTAACACCAAAGTGTCTGGGGTATTTGAGTGACACAGCTCCACCACTCTAAAGGCTGACATGACTGGCTAAAGAAACTCATCCTAACAATGACCACAGACAGATTATGGATCAGAGACATTATTGACGGATAGTCATGGACGGTTTCAGCACCACTGACAGTTCCAGCACCACAGAGAGATTCAGCGTCACTTACACCTTCAGCACCTTGGACAGTTCCAGCACTAAAATCGGTTCCAGCACTACAGACAATATCAGAACCACAGACAGAATCAGCACCTTAGGCAGTTTCAGCACCAGATACAGATTCAGTTTCAGTATCAGGTACAGTTTCAGTACTAGTTACTGATTGAGTACCAGTTCTAGCACTACAAACTCCTCCAGCACTACGGACATCAACACCACAGACAGAATCAGCAGATTGGACAGATTCAGTACCAGTTTTGGCTTCAACACCACAGATCATATCAGCGCCATCGTCAGATTTCGCTGTCTCTGATTTTAAAGTCCAGACAGATCGTTTTATTCTGCAGCTCAATATCAAAGCAGGTGTATTTATATATAATGGAATCAGCGGCTCTGAGATTCATCCATCAGACGCTGATCCAACACCCTCAGCTCCAGCACTTTGGTGTGTGTGTTAGTGTGTGTTAGTGTGTGGTTTCACGGCCTGTTGGTCCTTCATGTCTCGTTGTTCTCTCAGTTACGTCACGTTGTGTCTGACTGTGTTTCGGTGTGTGTCAGTGTTTTGCAGAGTTTCTCTCTTCTCTCAAACTCAAACATCCTCCCTGCTCTCCTCCCTGCTCCTCTGCCACAGCAGAGAAGAAGAAGAAGATAAAACCTAAAAGCAAACCTCCCTCTGCTCTGTTCGGTTTGTTTTCTCGGTTCAGTCTCGGTTTGTTTATCTCGTGAATTCAGTGTGTGTGTGTGTGTGGTTCTGACATGTTTTTATTTTGCCTCTTAAAACACTCTGACCTTTAAACATGTTCAGTCATATAAGCTGTTTACTGTTGCCCCGCTGTTGCCCTCCAAACATATAAATAAATTAGTACACAGCGTGTGATGCATTAGGAAGTATAAATAAGCTCTTATTTTTCCTCAGACAGTTTTTCCTCCTGTTTGAAGAAACTCTGAAAAAAACAACCAGACTGTTTTCTATAGAAAGAGCTTCTTACTCTTTAGCGTTTCCATGGTAACGCTGCTAATTGGCTAATTAACCTCCAACAGAGTCTGTTGTTAGGGAGACAATAAAGTCCCTTCTAACACCCACATTAATACACACACACACACACACACATAAAGAGTTACTGAGAGATCCTCTTTGACTGAAAGACTTTTCAGCGTCTCACACAGTACTGCTGCAGGGAACACACACACACACACACACACACACACACACACACACACTAACACACACACTCATACACTTCTTCAGACTTTTCCAGGAGCTCTGCCCCTGAAATTTCCCACGGTTGTTTATTCACATGTTCTTTACCGCCTGGAGTCTTTCCTGTCAGAAAAGAGGGATGGCGGATCTGACATCCGAAACTCGCTGTAAATGCTTACAACATGTTTGTGGACAAAGTGACAGACTCTTTGCAATGATGACGTATTCCTAACAATGTTCCTGTTCTGTTTGGACCGTGGAAAATTTTGTTTTTTTCACCTTGTCTGTGTATACATGCAGCTGAGAAAATCGAATTATTGATGTGAAAGTGTCCTCCTCCCCAAAACTAGGGGGCCATATGGGTTTTTTCAGCAGCACTATTGGTAACGCTTTCTTTTACGGTACACTTATTACCAGGTATTTAACAGGTAATTACCTAGTAACAACATGAAATTATCTGGTAACTACATGATAACTACTAAGTCAATACTGTCTAGCTACCAGGTAGGTAACCTTCCATCATCATACAAATTTGAAGCCGAACTGTTTAAGAGATGTATCCTTGTAATTACTGTGTCGGACATTCATGTTCTTTTTTTAATCTCTTCTAACTTTGCGAAAAAATACCGACAACTTAAACATCTATCAGCTCCAACTTGTTTATTTCAGATATTTCTGTAACTTATGTTCTTGTTTTTCTTGGTGAAAACACATCAGCTCCCAAACAGGCACCCTGCTGTTTGAGGACGTCAGAGGACTCGGTGTTTCTGTCTGTGTGGATGGATAATAACAGGGGGAGGCCGTGGCTACTTCCTGGAACACAGTGTATCATTGCAGAAACAGTTTGACTGTTTATACAACATTAAAAAAAATAAAAACTGCACTTTTTTTTTTAAAATCCTTTGATCAAATTCACTCATGGACACAAACACACATGCACTCTCATGCTTCCTCTGTGTGTGTGTGAGTGTGTGTATTTTATTATCAGTTTTGAGTGGAGAGTTCGCAGTTATTCACACAAGTGTGATGTTTGAGATCTTACCCTTGGGGTGTGTGCATGTGCATGTGTGCATGTGTGTGTGCGTGGTGCGTGTGTGTGATAGAGAGGATGACAAAGGCAGCAGAGGAACGAGGGCATAGAGAGAGGGAGAGATGAAAGAGATGACGGGCGAGCAAAAAGCGCAGAGATAATGGACGGACCAAAAGAGAAATAAGTAGGACAGAGCGTGTGTGTGTGTGTGTGTGTGTGTGTGTGTGTGTGTGTGTGTGTGTGTGTGTGTGTGATTTGAATTACAGATACTGATGACACTCACAGACAGAGTTTTAGAGACCAGGACAGAAAAAGAGCAGTCTGGGTGATTCATGCAGGTTAAGCTGGATCATATACATTATTCATATACATTAATATATGTGTATATAACATAAAATACATACAAAATTATGATTACAATGCAGTTTTCTCTGTAAAATCTCTGTGTGATGGAAAATCCCTAATAGTCAGCAGCATGTGTGTCAGTGTGAGACTATAACGGATTTGTAATTAATAGATAAGAAACGAGCTCAAAGTGAAGAGCAAGATAAGCCTAATTGTTATTCATTAATTACATATTTTAGCATAAAACCAAATTTCAACCAAAAACCAATTCATACAACTTAATGTGATGACACAGGTGAGACTAATGAGACAGGTGAGACGAACAAGGCTGATAAGAAAGGAAAGCCAATGGCAAAAAAGAACTCACAGTGTCTGTAGAGACTAAAGTAGAGAGAAATCAGACAGGAAAGACTCGTAAAAAAGGGACATGAGATGAGAAACTATGAGGAAAGAAGACCTATAAGAAACCTGCAATAAAGGAGACAGGTGAGACTGATATGTGTTAAGATGGATGAGAGTTATAAGACGGGTGAAATTATTGAGAAAGTAATGATACAGTGATGAGATCGAAGCATATAGAATATGACACAGGTAAGGTAAATGAGACAGGTGAGACTGACAAGACTGCTAAGAAAGGAAAGCCAATGTCAAAAAAGGACTTACAGTGTCTGTAGAGACTAAGCAGAGAGCAGAGAGAAATAAGAAACTTGTGAAAAAAAAAGTGACATGAGATGAGAAACTATGAGAACACGAGAGAACTATAAATAAATAAAGCAAAGATGATACAGTGATCCCAGTAGATAGAATATGATACAGGTAAGGTACATGAGACTTACAAGACTGATGAGACAAGGCATTGACACAGAAGTGAGTCATCAAGATGATAAGACAGTCAGGACTTAAAAAGTAAATGAATGTTATAGAACACGTTAAAATAAGAACTGGCTAACACCACAGGTAAGACTAATGATGCACTGATAGGACAGGTAACACTTAAAAGAATGAGAAATGAGGAAGCTACTGAGATGACTGAGACTGATAATAAAGGTAAAACTAAGCCTAATGTTACAGGTAAGACTGATAGGACAGATGAGACTGATGAGACAGGTAAAACTGATAGGAGACTATGATATGAGACTAACAAGACAAGTGAGACTTTGAGACAAGTGAGACTTCACTCATTAAACCTTTAAGACCCTTAAGACTGATGAGACAGGTAAGACTCGGGTGACACTGATTAGACAGGTGAGACTGATAGGACAGGCAGGAATCATGAGACTATTGAGAATGATCAGAGAGATAAGAATTATGATACAGGTGAGACAGGTAAGATTAATGTAACATGAAAGACAAATGAAACTGATGAGAGACAGATGAGACTAACAAGACAAGTGAGACTTCTGAGAGAGGTGAGACTTCACTCATTAAACCTGTAAGACCCTTAAGACTGATGAGACAAACATGAGATTAGTGAGACTTGTGAGAAAGGAGAGACAAATGAGAGACAAATGAGACAGATGAGACAGTACCACCTCTTTGTTCCAGGACATACATTTAAAACAGTCTGTCAGCGTAAAGAGAATAAATCTCTGGGCTGCAGACTCTGAGTCATCATACGATTGTTGTCGGTCAGTAGTAAGAGACATCGCCATGGCGATAAGCATCTGTGACCTGTGGGGGCGGAGCTTCAGAGGGAGGGGACTTGTCTATCTGACTGCTTAAATAGGAACAGAGAGACGGAGCTGTGAGGTCAGATTAGACAGTCACTGTTCAGAGACTGAGAGAGCCTCAGAGACAAGAGAAGAAGAGGAAACAGCCCGAGGCACAACGACACACACACACACACACACAAACACACACACACACACACACACACACACCAACACAAATATGGAAAAAAGAGACACACGTGTGCAGCCATGCAGGAAGCAAAGACAGTCATACATACATTCACAAACACACACAGTCTGCAACACCGCAGGACACTCCCTGTCTGATATTCACACAGACACACACACAGACACACACACAGACACACACCAGAGACTTATGGCAGGGAGATGAAGCTTTAAAGAGGCTTTATCGCCCATGAAGATCACACTGAGATGCTGTGCAACACACACAGACACACACAGACACACACACACACACACACGGACACGGTGGTGCTGCAGGTCAGCTCTGTGTTTACTCATCCTTGAAGGGCGGCATTCCTGTGCTTCAGATGATTCTTTATCTCCTCTCTCTCTCACACACTCACTCACACTCACACACACACACACACACACACACACACACACACACACACACACACTCACACTCACACAGGTCACAGTTCCTTCAGATCATTGTGATGGTGGTTTAGATACAGGAACACATTCAAACGTGTCGCAGCCCTCGGTTCGGTGACCGCCATCTCTCAGGGTCACTATTTGCAGATTATACCTTGCACAAGATTATTTCCCATCATGCACCTGGTGGATACTCAGAAGAAATGCAATCTTATATATACAGTGTCAGCAGCTCTGACATACAGTATCATCTAAAGTAGGGTGGCTGACGAGATTCGCAACGATTGAAATTCAATTCGCCTGAAAAATGTAAAAAAACCGAACAACCACATTAACAGGAAATGAGCTGCAAATACACGGTCAATGCAAGGCCGAAAAACAAAACAAACTTCAGGCCCTTTGGTGCCAAAAGGAAACAGGTTTATAGTAGCACAGACATAAAGATAGGAAAGCAGCAGAGTTTGATATAAGAGCGTACAGCCGGGAGAGTCTGACACCAGTAATAGCGAGGATGAGATAGAAGTGGAGGGGATGTCAGGCATCGTTTCTCTTTACCTCAGGAGACCTGAGCGACCTGAGCAGGTTCACAGCCAAAAGAGCTTCGTCTCTAACATGCCCATGTCCTCGGAGCCTGAACCTGGGCAGAGTCAGCTGCCTCTACCTCGTCTAACTGAGGTCTGTAGCCGGAGGAAGCTGGAGTCAGCAGTGCAGAGGAATCCTGCAGGTTTGACTCCAAGCTTCTTCGGCTGCTACGCTAAACTGTTAAGAACCGATCCTGACAGCCTTTCTACTCGTCTCCTATCCCGACTACGCCTCCTGTCAAAGTCCAGAACAAGCTAAAGGAATGATGATATTTCTCATTTTTGGTCGTCTATTATTACTCCAACCAACTTGAACTAAATTTAAGACACTCCGGTGACTCTACCATCACACCCACTTTTCCACTCAGCACACAAGACCGTGGACCTGATAACTCAGGTTTTCTGAAGCTCCTGTGGGTGTTGGAGAAATAAACAACACCATCCTCCCAACATCTCACAGGCAGCTGCTACCTGCACAGCTAACTGTGACCTGTAGCAGACTGAAGCTGCTCTGCGTTAGTTTTCACCCATGCATTTATCTCAGACTTTTTGCACATGTTTTTGACGATGGATTATTAGGGCCAAATTAAGAACAAAAAATTAAGACTTCAAGAAAAAAAAGAGAAAAAAAAGAGTTTGAGATTAAAGTCATTAATTTACGAGAATAAGTCATTACTAATGAGAATAAAGTTGTAATAAAGTAATTACTCATAAGAATAAAGTTAGATACTACTAATGATACTACTAAAGAAAAAATAAAATTTTAAAAGTAATTCCTTATGAAATTTAAGTCCTGATAAAGTAATTACTTATGAGAATAAAGTCGTACTACAGTAATTACTTACAAGAATCCATTTGTAATCAACTACTACTCTTACACTTATGATAATGTGGTGTTGATGTGCCTAAAGACGAAGTATCTCCTTGTTTGAGAAACATATATTGAAGTACATTTTCACAAAATGATCCACGGCTCTGATTTCAACAAGTGTCATTTTAAACAGCAGGTTAGAATATAAGGACTTTATTCTGACTATATTCCCATAAGTAATAACTTTATTACGACTTTATTCTCGTTAGTAATGATTTTATTCTCTTAAGTCAATGACTTTCATCTAGAAGTCTTAATGTTTTTCTTAATGTGGCCCTGATACTTTGTCGTAGTTTTTGACTTTGCAGCATTTGTCCTTATCAGACACTGTGCGAAAACAATCACATGAAAAGACTGTATAAATTATATTTGATACAAGGAGCAGGTTAACCGTTAGGAATCTTATAAGGAGGCAAAAGGGACGAGCGTTTTAAATCTTAATATGCAATAAAATATCAAACAGGAGGATAAAAAATAAACGCATGCGGAGAGAGATTGAGTTAAAGCAGAGCTGACATAAATGCAGGGGTGGTTATTTTATTCAGCAAGATAATAACACCTCTCCAGATCATTTCTATAAATACACAAACTGGGAATGAAAGTGGGTGTGGATAATAATTCAAGCTGCAGGTACAGATGTGTGTACATGTGTGTGTGTACGTGTGCGTGTCGATGCAGGTAAAGAAGGAAACACACAGGAGTGAGCTCAAAAACCTGCTGCTTTTTTCCAGGTGAGTCCAGGACAGACTGTATGTTTCCTCCTGTCCTATTTCTCTCTCTGCAGGCTACACACACACACACACACACACACACACACACACACACACACACACACACACACACACACAGAGAGAGTCGAACATCAAACGTGGCCAAATATCATCAGCCAAAGCCGTTCTGCAGCTCCCTGCAGCTTAGCCGGAGTAAAGAGCACACAGACATTTACACTAAGTGTGTGCCTGCACTTGTGTATGTATGTGTGTGTGTGCGTGTGTGTGTGTAGGTGGGGTAATCTTTAAGACTCCAGACATTCAGGCTGTTGTTGTTCCGTCTTTGAAAAAAATAAAAGCAGAACCTTAAAGCCTGAAAATAAAAACAGAAAACATGGCGGTTCGTGAAAAGTCTCGTTTAAACTCGTCACATGATCTAATATAGTTCACGCTCTGACTACCTGTTAAATATAAACTCCTTTTTTATATTTACACGGACTCAAAGACTCAAAGTGGACTCTGCAGGGACACACTCTGATCTAACCTGACCTGCTGCAAGAAGATCTACAAACATGCATCTATATTAAACGAAGACTTCTGCTTTGAGGGCCTAACAGCTGTCACTTTCATGCATGTAACGTCATGTGACTCCTCTGAGGACGACTGCAGGATGGTACAACACACCAAGGTAAGAAAGAGAGACACTCCGGTCTGAACGGGAAATATTAACATGTCCGGTCCTTCATAAAAACTGATGTTTTCTCTGCTTTCCCATCTGCAGGCAGCCATGTTGCAAGATGTTGCACCACAGTGTTTGTTTTTATTGATTTGAAGACAGCTGGCTGAGCAAACTTAGATTCTCCTACGAAAAAAGGTTCAAAAGTTTGACGTTCCTAAAGTAAACAGACTTAAACGAAGAGGGATGATGGTAAATGAGAGATACTGTAAATTAATTTAACTTACAGTATCAGAGAATAAATCCAGCCCATATCATCACATAAGATTTCTTTACTAATGAAAACTGTTTAATGAGCCGTCAGAGGAAGGGCCTGCTGCGACTAAATGGGTGAAAAAAACGATATTAATAAAAACTAATTCTGTATTTGAATGTTTTTACGGTGCAGCAGTGACAGCGGAGTTTATACTCAAGCTGTTTAATCCTGTTTAACACAGCGTGTGTGTGGAAGTGTGTGTGTGTCAGTAATGTAGTGTGATGTTCTGACAGGATAAACTGGGTTACTGTCGTGTTTCAGTCTCTTCATGAAGCTTCACGATAATCACACTGAAAACTCATCAACATCCGCAAACACCCAGACTGTACACTCGTCTCATCCTCTTCTTCCTCCTCCTCAAAAATCCTCCTCCTCCTCTTCCCAATCTACTTCGACTTAATTGAGCGGCCTTCACTCCTCCCTCCAGAGCTTCATGGATAGATGCGATTCTTCTGACCTCTCTAAGCGCTTCTGCATTTCATGTCAGATTCACACACTGATGGTAACTATGGAAACAAAAGGTTTAGAGTTTCAGGGACTTCATGAGGCTCATTATTTTTGTTTGTTAATGAATAAGAGAGATGCTCTGATTTTTTACTCTCTGGGCTCGTTAGTGATGGGCACGGCGGTTCTTTTAGATGTACTGAATCACTAGAATCAGTTCACTAAAAAGATTCGTTCACCAAATCACCGAATCACTTGACGCTTGGCAGGAGAGGCCTGCGACCCCTTCAGCTCAACTGAAGTGAGAAACAAACGAATCACTCGAGGAAGTGATTTGGTGCAGTATGTTCACTTAAAAGATTTGGTTCTTTTTAATGAATCATTCACGAACGACACAACACTAGTGTCGAGTTTGTTTCTTATCTGAAGAGTCCATCTTTTCTCTGTTATTAAGCTCCTCTGCAGCGTCCAATCAGAGAGCGGTATTCGATCTAGGGTCAGTTTAAAGACCTCCATGATGGCTGCTCTGTTTCTCTCCTCTCTCTTCGATCCTCTCTCCCTCTGTCTCTTTAACGTGGCGTGTTTGTTACTACTCCTACTATATCTGAGAGTTTAAGAAGCACCTACACTTTACTCTTCCTCTTCCTCTTCCTCTCCTTCGTCTTCTTCTTCCTCTCCTGTAAAATCTGTTTCCTCGCGAGGAAATCGAAATTAATCCGAACATCTGTCTGAGGAAAACAAACACACCTGAGGGAAAATCTCAACTTGAGAGAGAAGAGGCTGTTGTCGTCTGTTGTTGCCATGGTTTCGGCAATGACTCTACAGTCAGATGACTGAACGCCTGTTTACCGTCTGTTTGTCTCCTCTCTGTCATCTGTTTTTTTTTTTTTCTCTACAGCTCTTCAAAGTGTTCCAGAAAATCAGCCGAGCCAAAACTGAAGATCTGTCCGTTAACCTCAGAGAGAGAAGGAGAGAGTGGTGAAGGAATGAAGGAGTGATGTTAGGGAGGAGAGGAAGAGTCTGAAGGAAGGAGAAAAAAAGAGAGAGAGAAAAACCTGGAACAGAGAAATGGAGGAGAGGAAACAAAGCTCAGGGTGGATTCATCTGTGGGGACAGAAAATAAACACACACACACACACACAGGGAAGAGTGTTTCATGGAGCCGCTGGTTGTTTTTACTGCTGCACGGGTGGAAGGCAATGATAAGAGAGACAGAGGTGTGTGTGTGTGTGTGTGTGTGTGTAGGAAGGACAGAGGAGGAGAAAAGGAGGAATAATGACAGAGAGGAGGCTGCAGGCTGGATGAGGAAACTCATATTCATCGTATTCACACAGAGAACTGTCTGCTGCAATATGCTCCACACACACACACACACACACACACACACACATAGTAACAGTGTGTATAAACTGAACGTACTGCATGGACTATTTATCTGCACTGATTGATTTTGTCTGTTAATAAAATCTAAATTATTCTCCCTCTCAGTCTCTGGAGTTAAACAGAGATTAAAACTGGATTAAGAAACACAGAAATCAGGTTTAGATTTCAAACTTAAAGTTAATATTTGTAATGCTCGCTGTCTTTAAATGTGAACTCCTAATGTGGTCAAAAATACATAAATCTAAGAAATTACAAGAAGATAACCAATACTGTTGTGGTATCTCCAACAACATCTGTGTTTTTATGAAAGCTGTTCTGACAAGATTAAAGCTCCCGTCAGGAACTTCCAGTTTGTATCAGATTTGGCGCCCCCTGTGGACATATCAGTCTTTACTTCTCAATAACCTCACTATACTGACCTCTGACACATCATATGAATCATTTATTGTGACTAAACTGCCTCCTATCCCCATCATACCAGTTAGAGCCATTAAATTTTTTTGCTTTTGGACATGATTTAAATGCATTCATATGAATTTCAGTCTATTTTACAGATGTCAAAAAACTCCTCACAGGAGCTTTAATGTTCAAATAAACGATGAGTCAGAGTTTGTGTTTAATCTGTGAAATACAGGGTTTATTTTTAGGGTTTTTTCAGGGTCTGAGGGGATGCCAGTGCTCCAGAAAACTGCTCTGATGGTTTTTGTGATGCAGCTGAATCGGTCTGTACGTCTGTGAACTGTGCCTCTCAAAAGCAGAAGGGTGTCGTTATTTCCCATCACAGCAGCAACTCTAACTTTGACGAGCAAATAGCACATAATTCAAGAGAATTAATGTTTTAATGTTGGACATTTTAACCACACTGATTAACTCTAATCGCCCGGCTAATTTTCAGTAAACTCGGCATGTTTTTGTTCGTTTTAACAAAGATGTTCATCTGGTCTGTGGTCGGTGTTTTTCATCAGGGGACTCTGTGGTCTGATTCTGATCTTTAAAGGTCAGAGAAATAACAGGATTCATCCTCTGAGGAGCGAGAATATCTGCAGAAAGACGGACTCCTGTGACTCAGTGCGGCCTTCAGATGGTTGGATTTACGTTAAGCTGATGAGAGATGAACGCGTGTGTGTGTGTGTGTGTGTGTTCAGAGGTATAAAGCCTGACTCCCTTTGACTGATCATTTGTGACTTGTCGTTTCTTTCCTCCTGACACGACCGTCTTTGTTTCCGTCTGTCTTTTTTGTCTCTCTGTCTCCTGTCAGTTTGCTGTTTTTAATCTGAAAGTTTCTGACAGACGTCCTCCCTCCTGTTTGTCTTTGAGTCTTTTTGTTCTGTGACTCTGAAACGTTCAGACAGAAGCTGCCGCTGCTGCTGTGAAATCATCTGTTTTTTATATTTCCTGATGAATCTGTTCAGTCTGTTCTGTTTCTGACACTGATAACAGCTCATCAGGGTCGGATCATTTCTACAATCCTCTATTGTCATCAGCGTGGATGTAAGATTTCACATTTGCATATTTTTATGTATATTTTAAACCCTCCTCAGAAAATCAGGGCCGCTCCTCTCCTCTGTATTTCTCGGTTTCTCGTCTCTTTCTCATTTTCAGGAACATTTTGTTCTTCGCTTCGCTCTGAAGATGATGTGCAGACGTTTCAATCTGAATGCTCCGGGTGTGATGTGAGCGTCAGTTTTAATCTGCCGTCTGCGTTCTGCTCAGCGAATCAGATCTGAGGGAAAGTTTCAGGTAAAGATCTGTGATCAGTGCCTCACAGTCCAGAGCTCAGACTGAAGACTGAGAGAAACATTTACAGACTCAGATCAATAACTCATCAGTGACAGATAACTTTGACAAAAACAGACACTTCCTCCTGGAAATTTTCTTCAGTATAACGAGCAATTAAGAACGAACCGTTCACTCGAAGGGTCACATCTAACTTTGCAGAAAACTCTCATTACTGAACTCTTAGAGGGATTTTTAGACAGAAAGTATTTTTTATTTTGAAATGAGAAGATTCAAAGATGGAAGTTTTGCTCATGTTGAATTTTATCCTTCTTTAATTATATCAGATATTAATTTAACTTTTACAAAATTCAAGTAAACACATCAAAACAGGATGTGTTAGAACGTGTCCTATCAACAAGTCAAATACAGACGGTTAACTTGACGATTATAACCTGTTAACTTGTCAAATCATGGGGCATTAATGAGGGAAAATCACGTCCAAATATGACCTGTTAACAGGTGATATTTAGCAGGTCATGTTTGAAAAAGGTCACGATGATTTGTTGATATTTAGTTGAAGAGTTTGACCCGTTAAAGGATCATTGTTTAACCTCATTGACCTGCTCACATGTCCAAAAATAAACATATTGAATCGGTCAATATTCATGTCAAACATCATCAGTCAACAAGTGAAAAAACATGACTGTAAACCTGTGAGCAGGTCAAATTAAAACGTATTGAAAAATATTATCTTATTTGTGAACACGACAAGATATGTGTAAATTTATGAAAATATCACTTGATTTTTAACTTGTTAGGAGGTTAATTTTGATTCAGTTTCAGGTTCATATTCTGACAGGTGATCTGTTGTCATATTAATGTGTTAGTGAGTAAAATTTGACATGTTAACCTAAATCTAAATAAACATCTCAAAATGTGACCTGTTAGTTTGTCTAATGAGTCACTTTTTAGTTTCAGTGTTTTCACGTTAAACTGTCAGGATACGAGCAAATAACAGTTTAGATTTTAAACAACTCTCCAGCCTGTTATCAGTCAGTGCCGCACTTAATTTCTGCAACACTGCCACCTAGTGCTCACTGCCCCTTATTACAACAAACAGTTTTCATGATTTTTTTCTGTTTTTGCTGATTTCAAATCCTTTTTTCCTTTTCCAATAATTTGAGATTCTGTATTTCTAATTTTTACGACGTTTAAGTCAAATCCATCAAAATTACAACCACAAAAAGGCTTAAATTTATTAATATTTACATCCAATGAGAAGAAAACATGAATGATAATTTACTTTTATATGATATGTTCTCATTTTTTCACGGTGTGATTAAAAACCAGCAGTGATTCGGTGTTTGGTAGGTGTGTTTTTATTTAAAACCTTGTTTTCAGGTGGGCGGGTCGGTCTCCATCATGAACAGAACAAAGAGCTGAATATCTTCACACATGTATCCTCAGACTGTAACCAAAGAGCATCAGCTGACAGAGAACACAGAGTCTGTGGATTTGTGTCGGTTCTGTAGGTGACAGACGGGGGTGGAGGTGGAAGTAGGTGGGTGGGTGGGCGGGGATGATGGTGGGGTGTTTGTGTTGACGAATGACGGCTGATCCTTCGGTCTGCGGCTGTTCCTCCTGCAGACTCCTCCTCACATGTTGGTGCTCATCCTGGTCTGACTGTTGGCTGGAGTCAACTCCCCCTGACTGCCCTCTCTGGGGGGAGACTGAGGGGGGGAGACAAGAGGGAGACATTGTCATATCAGTTCTGCTAGAATCTGTATTTAAAGCTCTTATTTCAGATGTTATTTCAACATTTCTTGATCAGGCACACCTCCCTTTCCAACAAGACACCATGTGAGACACCAGTTACAGGCAATAGAAGAAAATTTCAGTGTTTTTGACCCCAAATTTAACAAAATTTAGATTAACAAACAGCTTCTTGACAATCTGACTATTGCAGAAAAAAACAAGTCTATCAAGATCAAGTGAGGCTCTCTTTTCATTCACAATATTACCTGCTGACGTGCTGCTTCACTGCCGTCCCTCTTCCACGGACGAGCGCAGATGTTTGTCGTCATTGATAAGTAAGACGGCTGCTCTGTACAAAGTCGACTTACAGCCCCGTCTTTGTCTTTTATTTTGAGAACTTTATGCATTAAAACCCAAAATCCTTCCGTAATTTGGTGTTGCTGATTGTTCGCTGTGTTAATTTATCAGACTCAAGTGTGTATGCAATGGTCGGGTTACGATGAGGGCGCCCTCTGCTGGATCAAACGCAAACTACTTCAGACAGCCGGGTGTGATAAAAGTTTGAGTTCAAATGAAGATTAAACTTCAGATCCAGGACATCCGCTCTATCGCTCTCGTATAATTAGGAGTCTGTTGCGTACCTTGACGTGGATCTGGTTCCTCAGCACAGCGGCCCGTAGGATCATGGCTTTGGCTCGTCTCTGGAACTCTTTCCCCATCTGCAGAGATTTCTCAAACGTGGTGCTCCTCTGATCCACATCCCGAGCGTACAGGATCTACACGAACAGAGAGAGAGAGCGAGTTCACAACGATTCAAATGTGAAAAAAAAACGTACATGTTCTTGTGTGGATGTTCCTGTGTGCGGGTTTTAACACCTTGCTGTGTGAGTCTATGCGGGCGTTGATGAGTCCCTCCAGGATCAGCTGAGTGAGTTCGTCCTCCAGAGCAGCGACTGTGGTGTTAAAGGCCTGAGCCATCTTTGTCATGTCCGCTGAGACGTATGGACTAAAATACTGAACACACAGACACACAAACACGCACCCATCACAGACATGATTTAGTACAACTTATCTAAAAATACCCTGATCTATAAGGGACCCCTATAACTGTACTTTAGAGGCTCTGAGATGTCCCTCTTTCCGCTCATGTTTTCATGTAAACTAAAACCAGGTGGGTGGTCTTACCTGGATGAGGGCTCTGTTCCTGATCTGACTGTACAGAGTCTTGACGTGAGGAGCGAGGTACATGTCTAAGAGGAGGTTATCCTGCAGGAGAAGCACACAAACATGTGAGAAACTCCAGTGAGAGCTTCATAATCTCACACAGTTGCACGTAGACGTACAGGTGTGCGTCCTTACCTTCATCTCGTCCAGGAGCTTCAGACAGGACGCGTACTTTGACTCGTAAAACTTAAAGATGATGTCTCTGATCTGAGGCTCCAGCTCCAGGAATAACTTAAAGGAGCTGAGAAACAGATTTTAAAACACAGACTGACATTCATCTATAATACGTTACAGTCAGAATAAACTTATACCGCCCCCTACCTGCTGGAGATGACGTTACGCTGCAGCTCCTGTCTGTCAAATGTGGCCAGAGCACACAGACCTCCATACACAGCTACATTACTAGGAGAGAGGAGCTGCAAACACACACACACCTCACATCAGTGCACTTTAGTGTTTTTAAATGAAGGTTTTCATCAGGATTGATTTAAATAAAAGAACATATAGAGTTAAATTCTCATTAACAGTGTTTCTTTGCTGAGTTAGAGCTCAGATATAAGAACAGAATTATGGATTTAGCAGCAAACACAATGAAAAAATCCATATCCAATCCAAGTCTTAGTGATGATTGAAATTACAGAGACTCGTGAGCCTGGTGTTTAAGAGCTTTGGCTCTGAGTGAACTAAACTCTGGGCTTCATTATTGACAAAAGGCCAAACGTGCATAAAGAACAGCTCTCAGAGAGACCTGAGGAAACAATAATCAGACTGTGGTGCACCTGACTCGTAGGACTCACTTCTGGACAGTCACAGTGGTCAAAAGACGCCTGCAGGAAACATTTAGCAGCAGGTTTGTATTTCCGAGAAGCCAACTCCGCCAGGCCTGAAACGAACACACACAAGAACACACACACTTTTATTTTATCACGCACTTCATCATCCGGGTAGTCTCAGAAACACAGCAGAGTGTCTGTTGTTGTTTGATCCCCGGACTCACCTGCAGCACATTTTAACTTGGTAAGAACTGCCTGGTTTTGGCTGTCTCGTTCTCCTCTTTGCTGAACAAACAAACAAAAAAATCAGAGTCAACATCGTCTCTGTAAGAGGCTGAAAATCAAACTTCGACGCTCGCTCTCTGATCGGACGAGTGACCCCCTGACCCCTGTCCTCACCTCTGCTATCTCAGGTGTGGATTCTGCTTTGTTGACGTAGCTCAGCACATGGGACCAGTTCTGCAGGTAAACACTGACCTGAAGAAGAGACACGAGGAGATGAATAACCCCTTTAAATTAATGATAGGTGATTTTTTAAAGCTGGGGTACAATATGAGAAATACGTCATAGATGAAAAACACGCAGATGGAACAAAATGAGCGTACCTTAATGACATTCAGACACATGTTGATGACGTGTTTAGCGCTTGTGCAGTAGTCTCGGGCTCTGGAGTAACATTTGAGTGCATTGCTGAGGTCACCACAGTCCAGGTAGTGGTCACCCAAGTCGTCATGGCCTCTCCTGTGAAGCGGGTATCAATGTCAGATCAGGAGGTGTTTTTATGTCTCAGTGAACTTGACTGTACTTTGACCTTAAATTTGGATTAAAAGTAGGCCAGACTATTTACTGACTTTTTCTTCAACTTTTTACAGATTAAAGTACGTGAAATCGGAGACTTAAAACAGAGATATTAGGTTTTCCTCTCTCTCTCATACCTGATGCTTTCTTTAATGGAGTTTCCCTTGTAGTTCTTCAGGTCAGTGTCCAGTTTCTCCAGTTTGAGCAGAGCCTTTTTCCTGGTCGACTCGGCCCAGGCTGAGTCCAGAGGAGGAGGGACAGCCCCACCTTCAGGTACCGTGTCAGGTACACCCTGTGCTTCTCTACATGCAGAAACAAGCATGACAGTAATACTCTGTGTTAGATTTGTATCTCACTGCCTCGGAAAAACTGGAAAAACATCTCCCACACGTTAGAAATATCTCTGAATAAGTTGTTCAGTGACTTCACACCCACAATAAAATACAGGGCAGTAATCACACGTGGGCTTTTCTAAATCAGGGAGATTTATCTTCAAGAGTTTAACTACAGAGAGAGTAAAAATCAGGACACAACAACTGTTACAAAGACAAAAAACCAAACAATTCAATCAGCTGTGTTACCGTGTGGCCTCTGTCAGTTTGCGGTGGATTTCCTCATATGTGTCGACGTTAAAGGTTCTCTGGACGAAGGTGAGCGCCATCTTTAGAGCTTCCACTCTGAGCTGGGGACAGTGTTCGGCGATAAACTGCAGCCTCTCGATACGCATTAATCCGCTGTAGCTGGTTGCATACTGCTCCAAATCCAGTGTCGGGTTCTCCACGATGTAGTTTGTGTCTGGAGCGTTCTGCTGGTCCTCCTGAGGGTCTGCGTCGATCTGCATTGGCTCCACAGACCCCTGAGAGAAACACACAGCAGGTACACAGGTGAGCAGACGTTATGAAGATGTCTGGGTGAACGAATATCAGACAGTTTCCTTAACTCTACACCGCTGTCACTGACTCTGGTGTGGAACAGCTTTTATGTACACTGCAGCTACAATCTGGTGAGACAAACAGGCGCAATAAAAACTGTGGACAGTGTGTTTTTAAGGTCGGTAGAGAGCTTCACAACCTTTTGTTTTAATGCAGCATTCAGGTCCCACTCTTGACGTCAAATGTGACGTCGGGTAATTAAGTGGAAGTAAAAAAATCAGCTGCTTCAGTTCACTGTCATGAACATATGCTGTTCAAATATAAGACAATCCCCCTTTTTCACAAAATAAAGTCCTACACTCAGACCAGTTTGGTTGGTATTATCGAGCATTTTTCCTGTCTGACATTTTGGTTGATGATATCTTCGTCTGCCAGACAACTGCAGCTTTTGGCTCATAAATACCAGCTAACGTTTAACCCTGGACCCATCCCCAATAAGGATGACTGTATTGGAGACGCTGCACAGAGAATAAAATGTGCTACCTGAAGAAAACAAGTATTTACAGTAAGTCTTCTGTCTTGAAACACCAGATATGTGACAAATGAGTGTGTTTGATTCGTAAAGGTAGTTTAGGGTTGTTAAAATGTGGAACTTTTTCAATACAACATGCTTAAAATGATAATATATCTGTTATTTTTTCATTCATTAGTATTAGAAAGCATTGACACCTTTTAAGAAGTTTGACCATCACTCATATTTTTAACCAGAAGCTGCGGTGAGAGACTGATCAACATACAGAAATAAGTGGAGAGAGCGCTGGTGACATGAACGAGGAGGTAAATCTGAAAACGAAGACGTTATTCTCTGATGGTTTCACAGCAGTATCACGCTGAAGGACTTAAAAACATGAGAGCAGGTGCTGGATTTGGTTTGGAGGCAGCTGAAGTTATGCTCCTTTGTCTAGGTCCATACAACTCAACAGCCTCTACATCCAAATCTCACAATACTGACGTTGTGTTGAGTCCTTTAATATCTTACAAATCATGTTGTTTTAATATTGTCTGCAGAAGGAGACTATTGGGATAGTCCTGCAACAGGTTGCTGGTAGTTTCTTTTGCGTTTTAATCTAGCACATTACCTTTTGTTGGTACTTTAAATTGCAGAAAAAGACCTTAAACAGCTGTTCAGTAGGACAGGTGTTCAGCAGAGCACTCTGTCCACCAAAACTTGAAAATACGAGGAAACTCCTGCATGCTGTTGAACTGTTGTAAGTCCACTTATTGAAAATGTTTTGGTACTAAAACACTGCTGATAAAATGTTTCATTACCACCCTTAAAGCTCCTGGGAGGATGTATTAGTTTGCATCCATTTTTGAGCCCTGTGTGGACATGCCCATGTTTTCTTATTTTGTCCTTGACATGCTGAACTCATCTTCTGACAAAAAAAAATGACATCCTGTTGACTTTTGACATTTAAGTGTGTCGTTTGGTGTGAGTATTTTGTGTGTTAATTGTAAAAATAGGGTTGGTTCTTCAGCTGCTTTACTGACACCCACCCCCTCACACTGTTTTTAGACATTGAAAACTATGATTCAAACATGCTCAGTCTTGTGGCTACTAGTGTTGTTTGCTTTAATATAACATACAATGGCATCAATATGAATTTTAGCTTTCTTCATAAATGTAAAAAAAAAAAATCCTTGCAGCTGTTTTAGGGTCAGAGTGTTAGCATGCTGCTGTTCAGATTTGTAAATTAATCTGTCATTGATTTATGGAGGTAGAAAAGCTAAATAATATTAACTAGTTTTATTTCACTACACAAACATACTGTAAGCCACCCCTGCAAAAAAAAACAGCACACCTGTTGCCCCCCCCCCCCCCCCCTCAAAGTCTGGAAACGCCCCTGCTATTGGACACTTAATAACGCTAAAGCTCGTGCTGCATTAGACTGCTAACAACAGGAAGTTGGCTTGTCAGTGTTAGCTCTGGTTAGCAACCGGCTTCGAGTTATAAACAAACATTACCGATCACTCTTTAATACTTACTTTGGGTGAAAAATCTAATTGAACAGCCCTTAATCAGACGGACACTACATGTCTTTGGCGCCGATGTAGATGTTCACGTTGGACATCAAGAGGCCTCCGGTTAGCTTTTAGCCTCCAAAGCCAAACTCCATTTAAATTCGACTGTTTCATCAGGATTAACTTTACATCATTATTTACCCATTTATAAACAAAATTGAAGCTTTTAATGTTTGTTTAGTATTTTTCCCTAAATTCGGCTCAATTTAATGCGACAAGAATAAACCGTTTTACTAAATATGATAATTTCTGATGCAAGTCGCTTGATTAAATCACCAAAAAACTCTATGACGTTCGGTAAAGGCAGTACCCTTAGCGAAAAACACTGACCTTTTATCAGACTCTAAGCCTCAAATGTGCCGTTTAATCTAACAAGGTCCTGTTTAGTAAACGATCTGAAAATAAAAGCCGTTACGTGACACAAAATATATGAGTTTGTTATTAATTCATGACCCTTAACGGCAGCTAAGTTTCCAAAGCTAACCTAGCGAGTGAGCTGACAGCTAACTAGCGCAACAACAACTGACAGTGAAGATGCATCATGTTCTCTTTCCTATAACCTCCATGAGACGGCGTGAAACTTACCTGAAAGTTAAACACCTGCACAGGTAAAGGCATCTTATTTGTTTATTGGCTCCGGTGTCGTTGAAGTGAGGAAGAAATTTGTCATAAATATGTTTTTGTGTGCAGTCTGCAGACGGTACGACTTCTTACTCCTCTAACTTTGATAGCGGCTGAGAAAGCTGCTGCAGGGCGCCTTATCGCCCCCTGCTGGACAGAATTATGTAGCGTCAGGAGAAGTAAATGCACTATGATGTGCCAGTTTCTATTTATGCTATCTAAAAATAAAAGGGTCATTGGTTTCTAAATGTGCTGGATCCTAAATGTAGACCTTTATTGATAGTAGATGACCGGGTCAAATGTATTCAGCATTGTTTATACATCTGTCTGATATGTATCTGAGGAGTGTATGAATCACTTTTAATCTCTGTCTGAATCCTGTAAATGCTGAGCGGACTGTTCTGTGTCCTTCAGCTGCTACCCACAATCCTCATTATTGCAGCTATTTATAGTTAATAATCTAACAGTCATTCACTCACCGGACAAACTTACGCCGGCCCTGAAGGTGAACTGTGCAAACCTTTCATGACAGCAACAGAAGTATATCTTTACATGGACAAAAACACGTCACTAGATTAATCATTTAAGCACCCAGTTCCAAAAATACTTAAGCCTAACTGACAGAGTTGGCCCAAGCCTCAATGGGGCCCTGAAAATTTGATTTTGGGGCCCTCTATTTCTGCCAATATTATTGATTGTTGATCATTCACGCTCCTTCACAAATCTCTTTGACATGCAAACAAACCTTTATCTTGGCGTTTTTTCTCTTCTTTCTCTTTCTTTTCTCTGCTTCTGAAGGATGTGTCCTTTTTTGCGTCATTGTTTTGCCCCACAACTACCTGCGCTTTGGATGCTCAGTGCTTTGACATATCGGCAGTAAGAATCATAGGCCTACATCAGCAGCAGCACTAAAATTTTTTGGGGGGGGGGGGTTCGTCAACATTTTTTGTTTCATGATAGGCTTATGTTTTCAATGTTTTTGCATGTATAAAATCTTTCATTTTGAGAAATTTATTTAGCAATTCATGAAAACTTCTTGTGTTTTGCAAAATGTTTGTGCTTTGTGAAACAAAATAATAACAACAACAACAACAATAATAATAACTTTATTTGTATAGCACTTTTAAAAAACAGATGTTTACAAAGTGCTCTAACATGTAGTCATAGAGCACATGGAAAAAGACAAATAAAAACAAAAGGCTCAGTAAAACTGAATTGAAGACCATTTTCATATCATAAGAAACCCAGACAATACAAGAACTATGCAACATAAAATGAGAACATGAGGACCAAAATAAAAACATAAAATAGTTCAGAAAAGAGAAAATACCATAAAAAAGGGGGTTGAAAGTGGAAACAGGATAGTAAATATAAAAGGTGATATCAACAATGATAATAAAATAATTACAAGTAATACTGATAATAATAGTAATGATAAAATAGAGCAACAGAAATGAGCGAGAGATGAAACAATAAAAGGCCTAAAAGGTTCATTAAGAAAAAAGTACAAGTATAAGAGAAGCTAAAAAGACAGTACAACTGAAATAAGAGAAACGGGAAAAGAAATGTTTTGGCATTTAGTGAATTATTTCATTTGCATAGTCCCTCTTGACCTCCAGGGCCACCATATAACAGTCAGCAGCACTGATACAATAATTTAGAGACTGAAGAATATTAGAAAAACCATCACAATTAAAAGGTTTTTGTGCTTTAAACAAGTTTAGACCACAAAAACCAACAATTTTTCTCCTAAAGTCAGATATCAAATGTTGAACTCAGTAACCCTCTCTTCCTCTCTCTCTCTCTTTCTCTCTCTCTTCTCGTGAGGCAGCGTAACGTGCCGTGAGCGCGCGCTGTGGATGGTGTGGTGGTGCGTGATGCAGCAGAGACGCAGTGGAGGAGGATTCACGTGAGGAGAGAAAACGGTTACAGGCATCGTTGTTCAGTATTTGTCACCGCTGTCTGATCATTTATTGATTAATTTATCATTATCAATATTAAAATAACCTGCCGGATAGTAGCTTATGGGGCTCCTGCGCGCGCACAGATGTGTCAGACTGCGGTAAAACCGGCTGCTTCTGCACGAGCCCGTTGAGTCTGTGGATCAGCTCGTGCCAACAAGAGCATGTAACCGGCTCAGGTGGACCTGAAAGAGCCCGGAAGACCCACATCCTTCATCCACCCATCATTGGGAGAGGAGGAGGAACAGGAGGAGGAGGAGGCACGTTTCAGCTCCTCTGACCGGTCTTGGTGTGAGCAGGTCGGTCTCTGTGCAGACCGGCTCGGACCCCCCACCGGCGATCCCGGGTTTGACAGTGTTCCGCTCGGCTAAGGATCCATGTAGACCGGGTTTGTCATTCTCATGGGCGAGGACCAGGACCAGGACCGTGACCAGAAACACAACCGAGGATCCGAAGCGAACCGGGCCTGCGAAGGGGTTCTGGACCCGGAGAGGCAGAGGAAGTATGCGGAGCTGTTCAGACAGCTGGACCTGAACAATGACGGCAGGGTGGACATCAACGAGCTCCGGATCGGACTGGCGGCTCGGGGTCTGCACCGGGGGGAGGCGGAGGAGGTGAGGCACGGACAGGGCCCGGGTATAGACTCAGTTCGGACTCAGGTTAGAGCGGGTCAGACCCGGGTCAGAGCAGGACAGGCTCACACACACACAGGTTGGATTACAGTGTCATTCGGATCTGCAGTGTCAGCTGAAAGAAACCACGTGACTCACTGATCTATCACTATCAAGTCTTTACAATAAGCAATAGGGGAGACCGGGGTAAGTTGAGCCACCCCCTGTTTCTTGGAAATGGTCAAAGAAATTGATCATGTGACCAAATATTTAGGAGATGGGCATCAATTCATGGAGTCTGTGAAGGTTAGAAGCACATGCACCGTTCCCTCGCAAACCGCCGCAATGATAGGATGCTGCGATTCTTATGCACTACTTGTTACATGCTGTGTCCTTTTGTATGCAAGTTGTTGTGGTGGCAATTTAGCAGAAAAAGTTAGTTTTGTCCAACAAAATTGATTCCAGAGAGTGTAGTTCAATGCGTGATTCGTTCACCAAGTGATTCAGTTGTCGGTGCATGTGGTCCCTCGTTCGCCGGCTGCTGGCCTGGCAATGCTGTTTCTGAATCACTTGACGAACGAATCACTTGAGGAAGTGATTTGGTTCTGTATGGAGAGAGAAGGTGAGGGAGGGCTGGGGTAAGTTGACCATAGGAGACCACATTTTTTGCCATGCTATATTATCAAGACAGTTCTGTTTACACTCATTCTGTTGGTTTGCAGGGATGAACAACATCCTGAAATATATGCAGATACACTAATTAGAGACAAAACTATGACTGACTTGATGTAGTGATCCAAAATATGAAAAAATGCATCATCTTACCCCACTCTCCCCTACTGGTAGAGAAATAAAAAATCATTAGTTGTTGGTGCTTAGCAACAATTTCCTCAGTTTTCACCATCTGTGTGCCAAAGCATGTGGAGACCTTTGACCTTTTATTGAAGGAGTCACATGTGAGGGTTTCATTCACCTGTGGAGAGCTGACAGAGAAATCATTGAGACTTTTAGAATAATGTCATCTGCATTCTCACTCCTGAAAACATGAAGTCATCTGAGCAAATATATTATTAAGAGAACAAAGTTGTGAGTGTTCCTGCAACACCACAACCGTATCATTTTACCTTCTTGTAACACATTTATTCTCAACACAGCTCGACCCTCATAATATGACAACTTGGTGTAATCTTACTGCACAAAAACTTAACCCTTGAAATTCCAGTTTTCTTTCAACACAATGTGCCTCTAAAAATCCATCATGATAAACAGCTAATTAGAAAGAAAGTAAATTCCTATGCAGTTCAGTGAGGAGCCTCTCATCTGAACTTAAAGCTGATCAATAAAGAATGAGATCAGTGTGTCTTTCACTCGGTTTCTCCATTACAGCACAGCACACTGAGTCCCGAGTGATTCGCTTAAAGTCAAATCATTTCAGTGTGATGAAAAATAACACCTTTGTGATAAAAACAGAAAAGTCTTTGATGGATATTTGTAAAGTTATGAGAAGTAACGGCGCAGATTTCTGTCTTATTTTATCATTATTGAAAAGCACAGGTATGTTTGATAACATTCAAGAGTTTCTTTGTGTCATAAAAACTCTAAGTGCCTCAGGAATATCAGGACACTATTTTTTTTCAATTATAATGAAAGTCAAACTCAGTGCTTATGTTCATATATTTTTCATGTTACAGCCTATTATAAACACAGAGAAGCTTTGGCAGTCTGAAGAGAATAACCGTGAAATAATCTGACAGTCCTGTCGTCAAACAGATCATTTATCAGCCTCCTGCAGGTGTTTCTGCGTCCTCCTTCTGTCTCCATCTTAAGACCCTCCGTCCCAGTTTTAGTCTGAGTGAGTGTGAATCCCTGCGTGTGTCATTGACTGTCTTTAAATATAGACCACACACCCCTGTGTCCTCTCATAGTAAAAAAAAATGAAGCCGAGATACCCTGGAGACGGGCGCAGATGTCACACACTCGTGATGCGTCCATCAAGTAAAGCACAGATTTAACTTTTTGGTAGGTAGTTAGTTTTCCCTCCTTTGCACAGACCCCTCGCCATGGTTGTCAACATAGCTGATATCAGAAGTCCCGCCCAGTCTTGCTTTTCATTGGCCGGCTTTGGAGAAATGACACTGATAAGCTCGGCGTTTATCCAGGAGACGTCTATGTTTCCAAACTCTTTTAGCTGAGAGTGCTGCGACGAGAGCCCCTGACGCTGAGGACACTCAGCTCCGAGGACGCTGAAGTGCAGTAATTTTTTAAAAACAGTGGAAACACGCCCAAAACATTCAGACTGGCATCCAGTAATGAACTAAAAACACTCGTCTGACTGTGGAGGACTCTTATGTGACAAAAATTCAACACAAAGAAAGTCAAGAGTACAGCAGAGTTTGAGAGCAGAGACTCTAATCCACAAATTTAAAGTTTCTATGCACCAAATTTTGTATTTTTTTAAGATGCAAACAGAAAATGAAGATAAAACATCACATGCACATCTGAAACAGGAAGAGTTAAACCATAAATGATCATTCCTGCCAAAGACCAGTGACCTGAGGACAGGTTTTCACTCTTTTATGTGTTAATAAGCAACAACCTGTACTTGTTCCTCAGCTGAGGTGTATGAGTGTGTTTTCCAAGTCTTATGAGGACAGGATCTAGTGTTTTCTTCTCTCTTTCTGTCTGTGTGTCCTCATGAAAACAGGGCAGGTAATGTCTACAGGTAAGAAAGGGTTCATTCTGAATTCAACACAGAGCACTAATGTTCACTTCCTCTCCTCTTTCACCTTTTCACTCTAAGCACATCCCAAATCCTAACTAAACTCAATACCACAACACAAAGTCACCTCTACGGTAAGCCAAATGGGACATTATTCACATTTTATTTCACTTTCTTACCGTATTGTTGTGAGTAAAATCAAAGTTTTCTGTGTAGCGTTGTTGGAAATGGTCGGAACTGTTCTCTGGGTTAATGTGTGACAGTGTTGTGATGTGACCCTAAAATAAGCGAGATGTGTTTTGTTAACAGAGACGTGTTAAAATATGTTTTAATTCACTTCAGCAAGTTCTAAACATAATTAAATGAAAAGCTGACAGTGAATTATGTCCATTTCCACCTTCCATACCTGAGCACACTTCTCACCAGATCCTCCTCTTAACCTGTTTTTTCTAGCTTTACATTTTGCCCCTGCTCACTGACTGACAGGCTGATATTTTCCCCCTGCATACGGACTGACAGGCTTGCTCTTCTTCCACAGATAGTCCAGGAGAGTGACATGAACCATGATGGACTTCTGGACTTCCAGGAGTTCTCTCAGTACCTGCAGGCTCATGAGCAGAGACTGCGGCACATGTTCCACAGTCTGGACCGCAACAATGACGGTGAGGGCGGGACTTAACCCTCTGTCATCTGTTAAGACGTGTGCTACAACTACGTAGAGTCTTATCTTTGTTTTTGGTTCTGCAGGTCGGATCGATGTGGGGGAGATCCAGCACTCTCTGCACAAACTGGGAATCAAAGTCAGCATGGAGCAGGCCTCCAAAATACTCCAGAGGTACGAAGAGAGTAAAGAGACTAAACACAACTCACCTTCTCTCTTCCAGCAGCCGCTTGTTTGTAGCGAGACCTCAGGCCGGTCCATTACGGACTGCAGCGGGGTGACGCAGCTCAAGGAAGAACATTAACGATCATTTGCTAAAGAAATGAGTCAAAGTTAAAAAGATGTTTGGTGGCTGGGACCCTGTATGTCCTGTTGAAGATAAGGAGTTTATGTGTTAGCATAAGTGTGATAAAATTGTCATTGTCTCCTAGTATGGACAAAGACGGCACAATGACCATCAACTGGATTGAATGGCGCGATCACTTCCTCTTTAACCCTTTCCACAACATGGAGGAGATCGTGCACTACTGGAAACACTCTCATGTGAGTCACATGACACACAGACGGACGTGTTGTTGTTACTCTGATAACATCCTGAGTCTAATCCGGTTGTTTCTCTCAGATGTTTGATATCGGGGAACAGCTGACTGTACCTGATGAGTTCTCGGAGAAGGAGCGGCGGTCCGGTCTGGTGTGGCGGCAGCTGGTTGCTGGGGCGATGGCAGGAGCTGTGTCCAGGACAGGAACTGCTCCTCTGGACCGCCTGAAGGTCTTTCTACAGGTCAGGGATCACTCAGTCGATCAAAAAGACACATATATATGTCTGTGTTTATCCATCTGTAAAGTTGGACGGTTTAACATGAGGATCTATGGGGATTGACTCAGTTTTGGCCACAGCCTCTAGTGGACACTTGATGAACTGCAGTTTTAAGACTTCAATGTCAGTTTGACGTTTATTTATTTTAAGAGCATGAAACTCTTGATTTGCAGTTAGAGGTTGACCTGTAACTACCTAAAAAAGAGAAAGACGTTAAACAAATTGAAGATGACAGACACAAATCAAATACAAAAATACATCTCCATGTAAATCTCAGGAGTACAGTGGTAATAATGTCCCTTTAGGCTGTCCATACAAGTCAACAAAACAGGCTTCTGGGTAATTTTTGGTCCCACATCCATACCTAACATTTCATCTTCCTGGTCTGTATCTGTGTGCAGGTTCACGGCTCCTCTTCCCGGGGGGTCAACCTGTGGACTGGACTGAGGGGCATGATCAGAGAGGGGGGCGTGGCCTCACTGTGGAGAGGGAACGGCATCAACGTCTTGAAGATCGCCCCCGAATCAGCGATTAAGTTTATGGCCTACGAACAGGTCGGTGTAGTTTTGACTGTTCCTCTGTCAGGTAATGAGACTGAATCAGGATTATAGATTCTGTTTCTGTTTCTGTAGATCAAGTATGTGATCCGCGGCAGTAGGGAAGGAGGCTCCTTGAGGGTTCAGGAGAGATTCATCGCCGGTTCTCTGGCAGGAGCGACAGCACAGACCATCATCTACCCCATGGAGGTACGTTCATCCATGGAGGCCCATAACTTTATATTGTTTGTGTCGTCGTTGAATTATTCATCCTCCTCCTCTTCCTGTTTGTCCTCTCCAGGTGCTGAAGACTCGTCTGACGCTCAGGAAGACGGGTCAGTACTCAGGTATGGCTGATTGCGCCCGACAGATCCTGAGGAAGGAGGGGGTCCGAGCGTTTTACCGAGGATACCTGCCCAACACAATCGGCATCATCCCGTACGCTGGCATCGACCTGGCTGTGTACGAGGCGAGTCTGCAGGAGGGTTTTCAGTTTTCTTATCTCTTTAGTAAATGAATCAATAAGTGAATATTCGTTGGACTTCTCTCTCTCTCTCTCTCTGTCAGACTCTAAAGAACGCCTGGCTTCAGAGGTTCTGCGTGGGCTCTGCTGATCCCGGAGTTCTGGTCTTACTCGGCTGTGGGACCGTCTCCAGCACTTGTGGACAGCTGGCGTCATATCCCCTCGCTCTGATCAGGACTCGCATGCAGGCACAAGGTGAAACAGACATTTAATAGACACACATAAACACTGAGTTTTAACGCAGTAAAAGTCCTCTTTCCTGACCTTCTTTGTTCATCTGGTTCCAGCGAGTACTGAAGGTAAACCCAAGCTGACCATGGTGGGACAGTTCAGGCACATCATAGCCCACGAGGGCGTCCCGGGACTCTACAGGGGAATCACTCCGAACTTCCTCAAAGTCATTCCCGCTGTCAGCATCTCGTACGTGGTGTACGAGCACATGAAGAAGGTTCTGGGAGTCGGTCAGTAACTAACAATGAAGGAGGAGGAGGAAGGACAGAGACTTCTTATTACTGCATGAAGAAGCATTTAACAGACTGATTCTGATCCTTTTTAGACACAACAACAATCCTTAAGGTACGATCCTGGCCCAGCCTCCACTGTCCCAAAAACCAAATAATCTGTCAAAAAGGAAATTTCAGTGAAAAATAGGGATCCAAAACAAAAGTAATCCAAAAGTAGGAGACTCACCAGTCCTTGAAATGCTCCAACTCTCACCATTCCACTGTTCCCCGTCCAATATTAGGACCTGCAGCCTCAGATGTGTCCTGGGTTTCCTCACTTGGGATCAGAGGCCCGGCTTTCCTCCTGGAACCAGCCAAATCTCTCCTCAAACATTTCCTCCTGCTCCTCCATGTTTCTCCTTCTGCTCCCACCCCTCTTCACACCTCTAGTCACCTGACTGCAGCAGGTCACCTGACCAGACTGCCTGCAGCTCAACAGACCACACCCCAATCACACACAACAGTACTAAGGTGAGCTTGGGGATACCACCTTACAAAGTTTTAACCCCAAATAAGTTTATTCATGTATTAATTCTTCTTTTCTGGTCTTCTTTAATCGATGGCCTTTTTTCTGAAATAGACTTTGAGTTGTGTTTAGATAAGACAGAGACGGTGTTTTATATTAATCTTATAATTTCATAGTATTTGTTTTGTTGCAGATTCTAAGCAGCATATTTAAATAATTTTTCTCATATTTTAAGATTATAGGGATTATTGCTTCATGTGTTGTGGCCTGAGTCTCCTGCAATTAAGAATTTCTGTTGCTGCCTATTAGGAAAATAACAGAGGATGAGCATCACCATCAGCACCAAACCCCTCAGAGAAAACAGCAGATTTAAGAAGCAGTAAACAGATAGTTTTATCCCTGTGTTTAAGACGGTTTGCTTTTGATTTTTTTACTCATTTCAGTACGCTTTGATCTGGACGATTCCTCGTAATGAATTTACTGAACCGTCTGAACTCCTGACTTGCAGAACTTTTTTGAAACTTAAAGAAATTTCGACCCTTTTCCTAAACATTGTTCGCTCCACTGGAGCTTCAGCCAAAGCTCAAGTTTAGCTGCAGTGGTCCAAAAAAGAGGACTGAGAGTTTGTGCGCATGACTTTTATCATATTAAAGTTTAACTTGAATAGAAAAAACTGCACAGCAGTGGTTTGTGCGTGCGGTTTCAATGCAGCTGCATGAAAAAAACAGACTTTGAATGTCAATATTTTCATAGAATAAAAGAAATATATTGTCTATATTATAACTATCATTATGATGCTTATGGATGCTTTATCTCCTTTGCAAGTGTACTTGAAGTGATCGATGCTTGATGCCGTGCAGGCATGAAGTATTTATATTTTTTAAAGCATGAGTGCATGTTTTCCTGTACGGAGAGCCAAAAGGGACATTATACGCCGCTGTTTCTGAGTGATTTTTGCCTTTTTATCTGTAAATATCCCGCATTTCTAGACGTACATTTATATAACGTTACACCATTAAAACTGCAATTATTAAGGTGCTCAGTGAAGGAGCAATAAAACATTATTTCTTTTGGCATGTAGAGCATTTGAACTCCACATTTAACATATTAAGGGCCTTTTTGCAAGAGGAAGTATAAATACAGGGTATATTTGTCCATCTCCAACCAGTTTGACTTGGTGCAATTTCAGTCAGACTAACAGGTTTACATTTATCCTAAAAGTCCAGTCTCGATCTGACTAATGCAATACATTCAATTTTTTTTTTTACTTGCTAGGACCTAGCGGTGAATAATGTCCCTTTTGGCTTTCCGTACCCCCACCTGTCAGTCAGAACTGAACCTGCTGACCTCCGTATTTTAAGACTGAAAACTATCTTCTGTGATCTGCTTTAAACTCCGAGCAGCTGTAATATGAGTTTGTTAAAATAAGAGCTTCTAGTTTTGATAAAACTGGCTGTGAGATAAATATGTGTGTGTGTGTGGATCTTAACACACCTCTTTGAGAGAGTCGAACCTGTGACACTGGTCAGAAAGAGGACTGTAAGTGTTTATTTGTAAAACAAGTTTCATTAAAGATTTATTTGCACAGGGTCGTGTTTGAAGATGTGCTTTTTTTCATGTTTGATGACTTGGTCAGAGCTGTGTGTTATTTATTTACACCTTAAAGAGGCTTCGTGATATTGAGGAAGGGGAACATCTATTATATTTAATTATATGTAATATTAGTGTAGTTTTCAGTATCAATAAATGGACGATTTCTCATTTTTAAGCCCTATAAATCTGTATCTGAATGTTCAAACTTCTTTTCATGCAGTCTGACTGATTTTAATGAAGGAGAAAATCTCTGCAGGATCTCTGGCTGATCTGATTTCTGTTCCTCCTGCACAGTTTGAGTTTAATTTCATGGTTCAAATACATCCTCAGCTCTTATTTTTTACTGTTAAAGAGATTAAACCCCAGTTGGTAGCTCATTTTGACCTCTTACAATCAGAAACTTAACCTGTAAAGTTTTGTAGTTGTCCTGAGAAACACAGAAAGGTTGCTGCAGGATAAAACAAAAAACATTACAGTGCAACCAAACAACATTTCGTGAGATTTAGCAGCAGTTTGTGGTGCATTCAAGGACCCCTGCCAGGCTCACAAACTGTAGCAAGTGCACATTATGAATGTGTGTTTGTTTTCTCTGACAGGAAGATCGATGGTGGCATTGAGGACATCCTTGAAAGGTTTCTTGAATGTGGTTTCTTTTGTGAATTTGGTCCAGTCAGGCTCATGTAAAAGGAACAACTCATCCAGAACTAATAAATTCTTTCACAGCGGACTGCAGAGTGAAGTCATGCTGCGTTCAAGGTCTCATTACAGCTCCTGCAAACAAAACACGGATTCAAGATATAGATGTCCACCAGGTGGGGCTGTACCTTCAGAGAAGGGTCCACCCACTGACACTGCAGCAGTACTACGCATTACTCAATTAATTAAAAAATAAATGTTTGATCAAGTTGGCGTAATAATATTACATTTTTATGTTCGCATAAAGTTAAATAAGATATTTTCTGTTAGGCTACCTAAAATTGATGAGGGTCTACAGTCATCAGAAACCCTTACAGTGTGTGTTTTGTTTATTTAACAATACAATCAATATATTTATAATACATTAAAACAGCTTATCTTTTGGCTCTGTGTTCTTTATTTTTCTTTTTCATTTTATTGTAATTATTTATTCATTATTTGATTTTATTTTTGCTTAAACTTATCTCTTAATTTTACAGATGTAAAGAGCATTCACTTGAGAAAAATAAATCTTGCTCCTTTTTACTGAAATACTGTACTATAAAAATTTATTATCTCATAAATTTAGAAAAACCGGGCAGAAAATTTCTGTTTACTGTTACAAATAAAGTGATCATGTAATTCTCAGCTAATTTACTTTGTGAATTCAGGAAAACGGGCAAAAATTACGGTGGCCCTGAGGTGCAAAACATAACGGCAAACACAAAAAGAAATAACACAGTGGTAAATGTTGTTGTGTTTTCTGTCTTTGTGTTGGATTTTCTGATTTGCCGTAATATTTTGCACCTCAGGGCCACCGTAAAATAGTCAAAAACGTTATAAAAGAAATAAAAAGAAATCTCCTTTAACTTTTGTAAAATAAAAAAAAAAAAGAAAAAAAAGATTTAAACATATTTTTTTTATCAAGAGAAAATTGCCAGACATAGGAGAAAATATCTCAAATCATCTCAATCTATTTTTTCTAGTATATATGTGAATTATCATTTATTTATGTAAATTAAGAGAAAAGGAAAAGAAATAAGGAGTCACTAAGTTAGTCAAAACTTAATTTCTTTATTGATCACAGAACATGGACAGAAGGTTTTACAACAGTTAGAGCCATCTAAAATAATTACAACAATAATCATTTATTTGTCAGATCACAAGTGCAATAGTAACGTGAATAGAGGTGATAATGAAGAGTCTACAGCAGGTAATACTGACTGACTGACTGACAACAAACAGACAGGCACTGTTGTCATCACCTCCATCCCTCATATTGCTACCTAAATAAATCTTTTATTATTATTAACATGTATTATAGAATAATCAATACAAGAAACAGATACTTTACATGAGCGTACTGAACATTATCTCTGCGACATGGATGTAAAAAGATGTAAATGTCTTCATATACAGTAAATATTTATATATTAGGTTGTAGTTAAGTGAGCTGCTACACATTCCTAACACTTGTCTAAAAGCTCCATGAACATTCACAGACGTGATGAAGGTCCAACCAGTCACAGAGCGCCAGATTCAGCACTTTTACAGACAAATTCAACATGATTTATAAAAGATGTGCTGAACAGACTCAGGCTAAGGTGTTTGTGGGAGACCCTGTTTGATGGACCTGTGCTCAAAGATCAGCCGGTTAGCTACAGGGTGCTATCGAAGCTGGCATCATGGTAGGGGTGTGCGTGTGTGTGTGTGGAGATCATAATAAACATGACCTAAACTGCCTGAGCAAACTCTGTTATCCATATATCTTCATATTATTACAATTATTCACCCTGTATGTGATATGATTTCCATCATTATTCAGCCTAGCAGCTCAGCTCGCAGCCTCTTCTGACATAAGGTGACCAGATTTCTGAGCTTAAATCTGGGGACATCCAGAGCGGAGGGTGTGGGGAGGCTGAGTGATAACAGACAACATCTCTGTACAACTTTGTAGCAGCGCTCGCCCCCCATAATAACCCCCGTAATAACTGTTGTTCTAGTCTACGCGCAACATTTTTGTTCTAATTCATGAAACGCTTAAATCGAGGATGTTTCCGGGGTGCGATAATTTTTATTTGTGGGATGGTGGGACGGGGAAGATCCCGCCTCCTTCACCTCTGATTGGCTAGAAGTGCTAGGCTCCGATTGGTCATTCCTTATGGCTGTGAAACTTCATCATCTGTCGGGTTAAGGTTATGCTGCGTTCAAGTTACCTTAGAAGTCAGATGTTGGAGCTGAATATGACGTCACACCTGAGTTCCCAGCGTTTAAGTTACTAAGTTGGAAAAAAGCAAAATTGGAGGCGGAAAGTAGCCACTTTGGTAGATGTAGCCATCTTGTTTCAGGCCTCCGATTTTGCTTTTTTCCAACTTTGTAACTGGAACGCTGGGAACTCAGGTGCTAAGTCATTTTCAGCTTCGACATCTGACTTCCGAGGTAACTCGAACGCAGCATTAGGGTTAGGAGATTCAGAATTGCGATATTGTTCAGAGCCAACAGCCCGCACTCGGCTTGAGTGTGTGATGATGTTTCCAGCTTTTCTAGCCAATCAGAGGCGAAGGAGGCGGGACCTACGAAAAAAAAATAACGCTTTGGGCAATAGTTTTAGGTCATCCAATACTGGGATTGTCGTCTGGTCACCTTATTCTGACATCACGTGTCTGCGAGACAGCACCAGAGAACCACTTTATCTGCTTTTACAATTTTCTTCGACTGTGTTTTGATTATTTGAAATCTTACAAAAATTACAGAGCATCATCATGTATTATGAGTAAACACTTAAAGCAGACATTTAGCTAGCTTTGACTGATTTTACACGCACGGCTAGCACAAAACTGTTGCTGTTTCTTATCCTGACGACGTGACATTTTACAGGATCTCAGGTTTGCTTTACGTCAACCTGACTGTACAATATTGACGTGTAAGCTGTTGTTTTTCAAAGATTATACTAAAAAATTACAATAACTGTCGGTAACAGTTCGACATACTCACTGTTACATGATCTCAGGCTGGATTGGAGGCATTTCTGATATTATTACTATCAGAAAAACCTTAAAACTGCACAAATGTGCTGCAGCTGGATAAACTAAAGTCTAAATACTGTAAAGTTAGAAGGAAAAAGAGGGCTGTAGCAGTTAGCTGCTATAAGCACAGGTTCATTATAGTTGTGTTATGACTACAGTGTGCGTTTCATGTTTCTGAGATAATTTAAATGTGATTTAAACATGTTTTTTTTTTAAATTTGTGGCATTTTTGGATTCAGACAAACACATAAAGCAGTTCTGCTTCTGCTTTTGTTATTTGTTCAAACTGCATTTGATGCAGAAAGAAAAAAAACGCTGTTCAATTTCAACTATTTATATTAAAGTGAGGCATAAAAATAAAAGCATTATTTACACATTTGGGTTTAAGAATCAGGGAATCTGATATGAAGCTCTTGTTCAAGAGTAAAGTGAATGTGTTCAGACTTTTTCTAACCAGTGCTCGCTCTTATCGGAGGCAGTATAAAAATAAAAACAAAGGAAATAAAAAAAATTAAGCACATTTAAGTAACATGCAGGCACTAAATAATCTATGACATTTTTGTGGTCCGTTATCGATTCACATTTTTCTGGGCTAAAACATTTCAAGCTGGTAAAAAGTCATTCCCATAAAGAGCAACATAACAGTCAGAAGCATAACAAGGACGTTTTTAAACGGATGGCGTTTAATGACATGCAGGCTGGCATTTTATTTAGTGACCCACCATCATCACAGACCACCACAGTCAGTCTGTCAGAGTCCCAGAGTCACTGCAGTCTGTGTAACCCTGTCACAGTCCAACACAGACGCTCACGGTCGCTCAGAGTCTGGGGGATTTATCCAATTCCAGTTTTAATCACAATTTTCGCTCCTAATGATCACGAGGACAAGATCTGAGGGCTGGAAATCTCAAAGGAGCTGGATCGACAGGTGTGCGTGTTGGTAAAGCAGAGGGACGGAGTGAGTAAAAGACTCCGACAGACTCTGGCAGACTTCAGAGGACTCTCTTGGACCGTCACAGTAGACTCTGATAGGCCCCCTGAGTCCGGGGTAAGTCTAAGGTCTCGATGACGTCAGTTTATGTGCGCTTATTGAGGCTGAATATCAGACTTTGCTCTGAATAGTTAGCGAGGTTAATTAGGAGATCTTATTTACATTAATATAATAATAATAATATTGTGCTACCTGTTAAAGGAACAGACCCACATGTGCAGCCGGACCTCTTCATCAGTGGACTTCATTATCGTAGTCTACAAAAGGACCCTTTGTGACCTGTATTCTGAGGACGTCCTAACGATCGTACGGAGCTAACGAGATGATAATTGGTCAGTGTTGTTATGAAATGAATTGGTCCTTGACCTGTAAACAGCAGTGAGAGAAAGTGTGTGAATTACTGTGTGGATTGTGCTCATCATGACATGTTCGGTCTGGAGTCTCCCCCGCTTCATTCTGGATTCACTCAGGCTCATGCAGGGTCAGTCCGGGTCCTTCAGGGTCCTCTGGGGTTTATTTGTGCTGGGCCAAGACGTCGTTGAAGATGTTGAGGAACATGTGGACGTGGTACTCCTTAAAGATGAGCGCCGGACGGAAACGGATGGATTTATCTCCGCAGCCTCCCAGGAGGACACCTGTCCAACACAACCAGATATTAGACTTTAGAGTTTGAGAGCTGCAGGTCCTCGTTTACTTTCCTGTCAGAGAGAGAAATTCAAGGCTGGATTTGGGCGAGAATGACGGCGTCTTTACTGTGAAGTCCAACTGCAGGTACATACTGAGAAGCTTGGATCCTGATACTGGTTTAAAGTCAGAACAGACTTGAAAAATAAACTTTATAAGCATTTTTAAATGAGTGTATATTCATTAAAATAGAAAAAAATGTTTCTGTTGACTTGGACAAACTGGAGGGATGCACGTTTTTGTTTCAAAGGTGGGTTAGGCAGGATTTTGTTAAAGAAGCATCTTTTTTGTGGTGTTTATAAAACAAAGCTTTTAATATCAATCAGTAGCTATTAGTTATTGATGACATTTGGTAATATAACGATATCGTTGTGTTCTGTTCTGTCTGTGTAGTCAACATTTTAACATTTTTGAGCAGCCTGCTCTCTCTGACTGTAAACAAAGCTGTTCTCCACCTCCTTCAACCTGATTGGTTGTGGGGCAGACGCTGCTCCCTCGTGTTGTGAGGCGCGCTCCATGTCCTCAAATAACGTTCACGAGTCCAAACAAAGTTAGCGTGCTACAATATCGGACAGTAGAAACCAACCAGAAAGTTTGGAAAATTGTCTGAATCCTCCTTTGGCCACGACTGTCAACACAAGCAACAAAACAACGTAAATACCGGAGACTCTGGAGGAATAACGGGCGCTTAAAACGGAGGTAGACCGGACAAGAGCTAAAAAGCCGGGTCAACAAAAACGATGGGGGACGCTTGGGGATCTTGGTGACCCTGTAACCTTTCTGCTGGACAGGTAAACCGCTTTAAGTAAGACAAGTGTCTGTAACAGAAGTAAAACTGTTTGGGAGGGGTAGAGTTTACATTCAAGATTTCTCCTAAAAACAGGAACTTCCTCAGATCCTGACTACACCACCTTTAAATGAACGGCTGCAGAAATGCACAGTTTGGAAGATGAGGAAGAGAGAGGATGTTTTTGTGCACAAAATTCATTTTTGATGGTGCAAGTGGAGGATTTATACTCATCATGCACCACAGGAGGGGTAAGCAGGGGAGCCTTTGGGCCCTGTTGCACCAGCTCTGCATAAATCATGGTGTCAAATCCTCACTAAACTTTACCTTTGTTTGGTCGCACCACAAAGACCGTAGACCGTAACATCCAAAGAAACCAAAATACTGTTTTTTAATAACTACAAACATGCAAACAAAGGTCTGAGTAACCTTGAAAAATACTCTTGCTGTTAAATTCCCTCCAGGATTAGACTGGGATGACTTGATATGAGGCTGAAAATCATCATGAACGGATGAGCCTCAAAGACGTTCAGATAGAAGTATCATTTATTTCTGCGGCTGTCGTGAGCAGGAGCGAAAAAAAGGAGAGCTTATCGTTTCATCTCGCTCTATAGTCAGTTCAATAAAAGCCAGCAGCAGAGCTAGATAAGGACTTCCTAAACCACAATAGATGAATGAATCTTCCCTGACAGGAGGCGACAGATTAGTTCCTACCTTTGTCTCTGGCCTTGAGCAGGAGGCTGTTACGTGTGGCGTCGTCACAGATATCGATGGCACAGAAGGTTCCTTGTCCTCGAGCTCGGCTCAATATGCCGGGGTACTGAGCCTGCGGACACGTTCGCACACACACACATGTAGGTCACATCCACACACAGAGCAGAATCAAAACTCAATACTGTCAGACGTGAACTCTGAGCGCTGATTTAGTGATCATCGATACGCTCGTCCATCAGTGTTACTGTACCTGCAGCTCATAGAGGCCGTTCATCAGGGATTTTCCTGAGCGGGTCACCTCCTCCAGAAGGTTCTCCCTGCGGATCACGTTCAGGACTTCAGCCAGGAGCAGGTTCTTCGACGGGTCACCCATCCACGTGTTAAAGATACGGTACGGCTGGAAAAGGAAAACCGCACACTTAAAACTGTTATCAACTCCGCCGTGACCTGAAAGAGACGGCCTGACGAGAGTGTTGATGCTTCGTTTAGAGCTGCAACACATTTTTTAACAAACAGACTTCATGTTTATAAGTCCTGACACTTGCAAAATAGTTATTAACTCCCCCTTAAGCTACTTCAGGACAAAAATTCAACTTGCAAGTTTGAGATTTTACTGATTTTAGTCTGCATAAAGGAATAACTCTGAAACCTTGTCGGCCTGAAGTTCGTCTTTGTGGTAGTATCCTCCGGTCAGCAGCTTCTTGCTGAAGGAGACGATGTCTGCGGGGTCGTCCATGCCCCAGTGCTCGTGAGCCCAGAACTTTCCCGTGGCCCCGCCTCCGGTCTGAACCTCGTCCACGTGGAACGCTGCGCCGTGCTGGAGAGGAAAGGGTTAACACACTCAGGTAAATTGACCAAGAAGCAGGAAATAAGGAAGTTTGAGAATGACTGTAACTCTCCACTTTGTTTGCTGTTGATTTTTTTACGTATAGCTAATTAATTTGATGACTCAGCGGTGATTAGTGGCTCACAGACGGATTTGGCAGATTCTCTCTCCCTGAGCTGAGACTGGTTTGTGTCGGCGTGCTGCCAGGGACATGAGCCGTGTGTCTGTAAATATTTAATGAATGTCCTGCAGACATGGAAAGATGGTTGGAGCTGCTGAAGGAAATATGTCGAAGTAACAAAAGGCCGAACCACAATAACAGCGCAGGAAGTGATCTGTAAATAAGAGGAACGATCTCCACATGGTGCAGGTTTGATTTTAGACTGAAAAGCTTTAATCGGATGAGTTTCAAATGTCTCTTTTCCTGCTCAGTTCAGCAGTTCTTCCTCGGCGTTACCTTGCGTGCGATGTTGCGGAGGTTCCTGAAGAAGTCAGGGGAGGCGTGGTTATCTCCACCCTCAGCCTGGATCGGCTCGATGACGATCCCGGCGACCGGTCTGCCCTTCTGCCTCCACTTCACGATCAGGTCCTCAACCTTGAAACGATAAACCTCCAGAGTCAGTTTACCTCCTGCTACACTCATCCTCAGTTTCTTCAATCTAAGCTCTTCTCTCTGACAGATTTTTCTCCAGTCATCAGATTAATTTAAACTTCACCATGTCGCTTTTTATGATCAGGTTTCAAACTTGAGGAAGCCGTGAGCTTTAATCAGCAGATATGAAAGTTTTACGACTGGAAATAATGAGAGATATTAAGTTTTATAAGAGTCATGATGGTGGGCGGTTTCAGTTTACCACATTTTCATGGCAGAGGTTCAAATCTGTGATATTTTTGAGAGTTGAAGTAAAGACAGGTGAGTTTTTTCATTCACAAACACAACTTTTACATAAACGGGACGACAAATCGACAAAAAACAGCTTCAGAGTGTAAATTTTAAAAGTTTTAGTTCATTATTTTTTATGGTCATCCAAACCTGGGAGTTAAATCAAGATTACTCAAAGATAACTGGAGCTAAAATCCAACATCACATCTCTTAAATGATGCACACACACACAAACATTCATTCATTCACTCAGACTAACACACTCACCTCCTCAAGACAGCGCGCCTCCTCCTGAGCGTTCTCCCGGGTGAACTCCTCCAGAGGATACTGCAGGCGGGGGAACGGAGCGATCGGCCAATCAAACGAGGGGATGTCCAGTTTGTGGATGGCTTTTGAGTGTGTTGTTGCTAAGCAACCTGAAAACAATAAACACACGACGTGTTAGTCATGAAGTCTGGAATAAAAGCCTGACCTTTAATTTGAAGGATTGTTCACACAGAGCAGATTTAGGACGTGTTAGAAAGACGATTTTAGGATTTCTTTTAAAAATGATTACATCAGAAATTAATTATTATCATGATTATATCAGAAAAACTAAAGTGATTTGATCAGAAATAGATCCAAGAATGAGCTCGAAACCTTGAGAATAACTAAGACTTGTGTACAGACCCAGAGTTCGTCCGTGGAAACCGCCCATAAAAGACAAAATACTGAGATCAGGACATCCAGGACTCTGAGAAACACGAAGAGGATTTATTTTAGTGCAGTAAAGATCTGAGTCCACTTCAGCGTCGTTAAAAAAAGGATTTCTCTCTCTCACCTTGTTGATCATGCAGCTGGTGAGGTCGTCATCGACTGGAGCGGCGTTGCCTCGCTCTTTATTCTGGTAGAAACACGAAAACACAGATTAGATTTGACCCTGAGTCAGAATGAAAACAGACTCCAGGTTCAGTTTGAGGAGCTCACCCTGTACCAGATGAACATGGCTTTGTAGGCGTTCTCATTGGAGCAGGAGCCGCACGCCATCGTCTGAACGCGGGACATCCCGCTGGGCGCCACCTGATGATAAGAAACAAACATTAAAGAGACCGAAGAACGACAATAACTGCAGATTTACTGACCGTGTTTCTGTGTTACTGACCGAGAGCAGACTCTCGGTGATTTTGTCTGGAAAGTTCTCCGGCGGCAGGATTCCCAGAGCGGGTCGGTTCACCAGAGTACTCTGAAACACACACACACGTGCACAAACACACACTCCTGTTATAACTCCTTTGAAAAAACACACTAAAACACACATTTTTATAAACTTGTGTTGTCAAATTTCAAATATGAATCATCTCCTGACGACGTCTGAGGGTTGAATATGTAAATGAAACAGGTTATTAGCATGTGCTCTGTGCGTCACCTGAGCCTCGGCAGCACGGCGTTTTGTTGTGCGGCGGTAACTAACTCATGTGCGGGATAATGAATAAAAATCCGAGCAGTAATCTCAGATTATGGAGCTCCGACTGGCTGTAACAGTCTGAGATTATATTCCCCGCTCTCAGCCTCAGTGTGAGTTAAAGAGGATTATTCACTCGCTCTACAGGAGCTGCACGGCTCTGCGACTGTGAGTGTTTGTAAGTGTGTGTGTGTGTGTGTGTGTGTGTGTAAGTGTGTGTGTTAGGGTTTTGAATGAAAACTGCTCATTAAGACTTAAAGTAACTAAAACAGTTAAAACAGGAAAGGCAGTTCGGTCATTTTACGGTCAAACTATCCAGAAGAAGAGCTTCAGATTCAGCCTGAAACTTCTACCCCGTGTGATTCATGAAGGAAGTCAGGTGACTTACCAGGTTGTTGGGGTTGGACATCAGTTTGAGCAGAGCGGGGTGATTATAACCTGACAGATGGAGGAGGAGAGAAAACAGAGAGTCAGACATCACACAGTAAAAGAGTTAAAAACAAAGAGACTCATTTTAAATTAACAAAAATAAGAAGAGAGATTGAGATGAGAGACTGACCGATGGGGATGGAGGAGATCTGCGTGTAGACGTCAAGCATGCGGTTTCCGTCCACGTCCACCAGGAAGTTCCCCCGACTCTCCTCGTAGTTACAGAAGAAGTTTATCGCTCCCACGTTCTGAGGACAGACACGTTCAGAGTCGCTGATTTTAACAGACTCACATAAATATAACGAGGTAAAATGAGCTCCGGAGCTTTAAATCCTGAAAACTGTCTCAACTCAACTTTTCCCATTTTGTCTTTTTGCAGGAAAGTGATAAAAACAGACGAAGATGAGGGAAAAATCTCGTATTTATCATTGTCAGAAAATCACCGAAACATGAATCTGTGAATCTGTACGACTCGGTGAACCAAGACAGTCCGGTGTGAGTTTGTGTAACAAGAGTGTCTATGTGGTTGTGTACTAAGATGTGTGTGTGTGCAACAATTACTGCTCAAGGCTTTATTATACTGGTTCACTGCTTTAACACAATTAGATATCCATCTGGTTACACACATGCATGCATGCAATGACAGATGCACACACACACACACACACACACACACAAAGAGAGTTACAATCTGTACCATTAAGACGCAGTTTCAGCTCCAGAGAGTAACTTTAATAAAACGATTTAACAGCGACTCTAACTGTGTTTTTATTCTCTCGGGTCACTTTATATAAAATCTTTAATTCAATATATTTTTATGATGCACAAACATTAATTTTTAACCTTCAACTTTCACAGATTTTGCTCCAACATTCAGAAAAAATCTCATATTTTATCATGACTCCTGTCACACAGCTCACCTGGATCTCTCCCAGCTGTTTGGTCAGCTCCTGCAAAGAGAAATAAAATCATTGCACAAGAAGAAAACTGCAAAACTTTGTGTTTTATTCAGTTAAATAGAGAATTTAATCATTAGCTTGCTGCTCTTCTGTAAATATAAATAAGTAAGACTCTATGAAACCCACATTAAACTCCCGCTCTGTGGAAGAATTGAGTTTGTGATGAAAATATTTGGTGACATGTTTTATAAGTTTCATAATGGAGGAATATGTAGAAGACTTAAGGATGTGCATGTGAATCAAACCTTTGTCTGCGTACTTCGGGCCCCTTGAGGTTTGACGTTCAGGTGTTATAAAATGTGATGCGTGATAATCTGGTTCACCAGCAGGTGGCAGTGTGATTAAAAACACTTTGAACTGAGGCTCCAGCTGGTGAGGGAGGAACTGAGCGGCACACAGAGTTTGGACTGTGATTTATCTCTGAGCCAAATTCAGACCTGATGAACCTCCGCCAACAATCATGACTCTGAGAACTCTGAATCTGAATCTGTTTTTACCTCTAATAAAGAAACAACCTTGAGTGCAGTTTATCCTGAAATGTTGGACTCATAGAGGTCTCTCCTACTTTTTCAGGGGTCTTCATGTTCGCCGTATGTGTGCATGTGTGTTACCTGTGATCTGGGTCCAGGTACGGTGGTTTTCATGGAGGGTCCGTTATAGTCATAGTCCTGCTGAGTCTTTGGTGCTGCTTTGCTGACGTACCTGCAGGCTGACAAAGGTTTTTGACAGCTGTGAATAAAGTTAATGATTTCCTTTTTAAGTTAAACTTCTTTCTGGTTAAAAAACAACTAAAATGTCTCCTGACTGTCTGTGCAGCTCTAAGCGTTTCCTTCCTGGGAGAAAAACAACCCGCTCTCATGGTTAAAAACGTCCTTTACTGTCGTGTGTTTATAGTGCAAGTTAAAGTGCAGTGTTTCAATATTAAAGGACTATTTTGACAGATATTAAAACTGAGACATAATTCATGATTAGTTCGGATGATTGTTATCAGAGACCTAAAAAAGAGGTAAATACGGTGGCCCTGAAGGTCTGCTGCTAAAATACTTCATTAAAGCTCCCATGAGGAGGTTTCTGACATTTATGAAACAGACTGAATTTTGTATTATTGCTTTTTGATGATACACAAAAGAAAAAAAGACCATTCGACTGATGATTCCTGTCTTAAATTTTGATACCTAAAAGCGGTTTGAGGGAGGAGATGCTGAGGTGAACCCTGTTTCTAAATTTTTGATTTTAAATAAAAATAAAATAAACACTTCACAAAAAGCTATTTTAAGTACTCAAATTTAATTCATTTATTTTATTTTGTTTTTTCTGAACATATTCATTATTTGAACTAAGAAATTCAAATAATATGAAAATAAAAAAAGGAAAAAAAACGAAACAAGACAATTTTTAATGAAAATAAAAATAATGTATTATTATGTTTATCACTTTTATTTATTATAACTATAATTATTATGTTTACTTACTTTAAATTTAATTATTTATTGTATTATTAAAAAAATGTATGCCACAAAAGATTTATAAAAAAAATCTATTTTACCAAATATTTTCCTTTTCTTGTTTAAGTTTTTGTTATTCAATAAATTTTCTCAGGTAGAATCTTTTTATATAAAAAATAGTTTTGGATTTCATGAAATTATTCTTGCATTAGTATAAAGTGTTTTTGTGGGTTTCCCTGTTTTTTTTGTGTTTTTGCACTTGATAAAAAGTCCTTTACCGATCATGTTAAGTTCCTGCAGTTGACTCCTTTGGGCCACCGTACATAAATCTCTGTATCAGATGAGTGTGACACAGTTTTAATAATAATGTTTAATTGTTAAAGTTGCAGCATCTGCATTTTGCCCTTGAACTCTGATATATAATGATGGTGATATAATCCAGATTAATGCTGCAGCCTTGAACTGTGTTTTTATTATCTGAGCTCATTAAAACCTGTCACTAAATATCAACGTGAAGAATTAGATTAGATACGACTTGATTTATCCTCAAGGAAGTCAAAAACTGTGTCAAACAAAGAGTTCATTCATTGATCGACTCAAATGAAGTGTAATAAAATACAGCAGAGGTCAAAGGCTGACAGATTAGAGAAATAAAATGTTTTTATCATGAACTCATGAATCAGGAGCAGCCTCGCCACCTCCCTCCCTCTAAACTGGCACTGACGAGCGGCACAGATACCATCGTTTGACTCCACTCTCGCCTCCTCGGCTCTCTGACAGTTTTCATTTTGATCCACATAGACAGCAGCATCTACCTGTTCACTTACTCCGCGCTCGTCTCAAGATTAAAAAGCTTCAGCGAGCGTCACAGACGAGGAAAGCTTTGGGGAGACGAGCAGAGTGACCACTTAGCAACAAAGGAGGACTACGAGCGAATTTGTCCTTTGAATTTTCCTCAAAACGCAGAGAACCTGAGTAGTTTTTTTGGTATGTGAGTCCAATAAAGTCAGTTTGTCTTATTCTGCAGAGTTTCCTTTTAAAATGAGACTTTTTCGTGCCTTTACAGGGAAGACAGAGTGAGAAACAAGGGGAGTGAAATGAGGCAGAGACCGAAGGGGGTGGGAGTTTGAGTTGAAGCACCGCTCTGCAGACTTCGGCCTCGGTACATGAGGCATACAATTTACCACTGAGCCAAACTGTAGCCTTGACAAATCACTTTTGTACTCTGGATCTGCTCCGGTCCGTAAATCTCCTCCTCCTCAAACTCTCGGATATCTGAGCGGGGAACACTGAGAGGATCATAAACCTGAGCAGGTAAGAGCGAGGTAGTAAAGGTGACCGGGTCTGTCGATGATTGACAGGAGAGAGGACCTTTGAGACTCGATAACCAACTCCTGCCGCAGGTCACACAAACATCTATAGTCCTTATGTAAGATTATATAATAATTAATTATATAACGCTGATGGATTCTGAGAAAGCAAGATTTCAACTCAAACCAAATGAGGTGTTTGACAGCAGCCTGGAGTTCACTCATACTAATTATTTTAACTTGTTTTATAGTTTATTTAAAGATGTGAATTCACTACAGTCTGCTCCTAAATGATGGTTTACTGTGTTTGTGTATTTACCTGGAGCGCTGAGCCTCACGTTTCTGTGCAGAGAGAGGGCGAAGTGCCGGCTGATTAGACAGGACGCCATGATGAAGAGTCACAGAGGAGAAGGAGGAGGAGAAGAAGAAGAAGAGAGAGAGAGGCAGCAGCTGCCCTCAGGGTCTCACCTGTGAAGAAAGAGAGAAAAAGCAGGTTGATCAGGGTCGTCTGGGGTTAACAAGGCAGAGCGAGAAAGAAAGAGAGGGAGAGAGATGGACAAGTTTCTCTGTTTGCTTCTTCGTCTTTATCTCTAACTGCTTCTATCACTCAACACGGGCTTTAGATGCTGTTTTCTCGTGTCAATAACACGTCTGTGACTCGGACTTACTTCAGCAGTAACTGTGCATGAGTAAATTAGACCACAGTCTTTATTTGTTTACTTGTTTGACCAAGAAGTGAGTCAATATGGACAAAAGAGAGGAGCTGAGGAGGACGGCAGGTTTCCTCCTCACTCTGTCAGTATCAACTGTTTTATTATTTTTTGGTTCGTTAAAAACAGACTTCCCCTTTAGATTAATGAAGGTGAAGCCTTAGTTTGATCTGTACTTACTGTCCCTCTGCAGGATTACAAATGCAGCTATGTGTAATGGTGCATGCATTGACTAATAGGTTTCTGTGTGCAAATTTACAGACTTTTACACTCGCACCTTTGCAATGATGTGCATTTGTGCATTTGTGTCTGTATCTGTATTGTATTTAACGCTGCATTCCAGTTGTACTTGGAAGTCGGAATTTCCGAGCTCTGAGTCAGAAATTCATCTGGAACGCCCCCCTGAAGTCGGATTTCCGACTCGTAAAATTGGACGATCCTCACAAACCCCGATTTGACGACAATGTCATAATCCAAGATGGCAGCGCAGTGCATCAACAGTAAAGAGTAACAGTGAAAGCTCTCCTAATGTTTTAATGTTTTATCTATTAGCATTTCTGTTTTGTTTTTGTGAAATTAAATAAGTGGTTTATGTTTTACTGCCCAGCGTCTAACTGTGAACACGGTGCTATGGTGTTTGTAGAGTAAAATACTGTGATATGCGTTGTTTACAAGTGGTATAGCTAACAACAACTGACAATTGTTAACAACAGCTGACAGCGGCTGACAGTAGGCAGCCATCTTGGTTTTCCGACTTGTTAACTGGAACGCCGTAAACGCCGTCATTCCCAGCTCCGACATCTGACTTCCGAGGTAACTGGATCACAGCATTAATATGCCGAGACAACAGCATAATGACGTTACATTACCCACATGTCAATCACAGGTAGCCCCGCCCACTTCTCCCCTGGTTTTGTTTTCTATTTGACTAAAAATAGGAACCTTAATCCAGAAAAAAGTAGCATCATTCTGCATTAAAGAAGACTGAAAACTACAAACTGAGATTGTAAATTTATTTGGAAAATCACTGCAGTGAGACTAAATAAACTGTGGAGTCGCCCCCTGCTGGACAGTAGAGAGACCGCAGGTTTACGACTCTTACTTTGGCCTCTTTCTGCAATCTTAGAAGTGAAAACATCAACCTTCTTCTCATGTATATCTATGAATGAAAAAAACTCGTTTGCATCAGATCCTGCAGCATCACGGGTTCGTAGGTCCTTAGAGAGTTTGCTGTCTTCAACACTGATGACACTCAAACACTACTACACACTGTCAGTCAGTCCCAGAGTGGGCTATTGTCTCCTCAGCGCTGACGCTCCACATGTGCTGCAGAGCAGAGAGGTAAACTAAACCAGGCGGTGACACCATTCAGAAAATACAAGTCTGATTTTCACATTTACATATAAATGAAAGCATGCATATACTGATCCGTGCATGATCGGCTCTCGTGTCTGCACACGCTCAGACCCTTATTGTGATTTCCATCAGTGTGTGTTTTTGTTGACAGGTTTTATAAAAGAATAAATGAGCTGTCTGTCTGCTCGCCGCTCTTATGTAACACAGGCAGCAGGAACAGGAAAATTCCAGCTATCTGCTTTCACACAGACGAGGAAACCCTGAACCTCCACACACACTCACACTCACACTCACACACACTCACACAGCCGCACACATGCATGCATGCACACACACACAAGCATGCAGGCGGTTTCTTGGCAACAGCTCTAACTGGATGAAACTGGTTTAGAGAGTGAGAGTTACACAAGACTGCATCTTCATATGGCCAGGAGGGGTGTGAGGGTGGTAGAGTGGGGGGTGGGGGGTCCTCGGTGAAGGGTGGGGGGAGGGGGGTGGTAATGAAGAGATGCAGGTCAGCTGAAGGGGGTCGGTGAGTCTAGATGATCGAGACTCAGCAGAAGTTGTCTCTGATGGAGGAGATTCACCGACTTTCATCAAAGTGAATCAAACATGAGAGAGAAACGCTTTCATAAGCAGGTGAAACCATCAGGACGCTGCAGGAGAGGCTGCTTCTACTAAAAACATTTAAAATATGATTAAATTTGATCTGATCGGCAATATCTCGTTAGCTCTTACATGCTAATTGACTTAATGAGACGTCAATCAATGCAACAACCAATAGGATTCAAGTTCTGCGTTTGAGCCGAACTCTGGATCCTGAAGATCAAAACATCAGGAAACACACGATGATGATGAAGGTCTCATTTCAATTTTCAGCTTCACGGTCGCCGTCTCACTTCCTGCCCCGAGGTCAAAGTTCACGTCGTCACTCTCATTGTAATTCTGTGGAGAACCGAGCTCAGAACCAGTTTAACATGCAGCTTACACCTCCATCCGTCACCATGGGAACGCACAGAACTCAAAGAAAGATGGAGACAAAGCTGAGCGTGTGTGTGTGTGTGTGTGTGTGTCCCAGTTTACACTCAGATCTGCATGAGGCACAATAATGACCTAAAACTGGCCTCTCGTTGGAAGGTGGATGCATGAATGAAATCCTTTAAAGAGCCGCAGAAGTGACGGATTTACTCCACAGATGATCACACGGTGAACTGTCACTTTCTTTCCTGCAGCTTCTTTAGTTTCCTTTAATTAAATCCTGCGCTGACACATGCAGGAGCGTCTCGGTGACACTCTCTCTCTGCGGCCTGCTGTGTTTTAACGTCTCATCTCTCCCGCTCCCTGACATGAAACATCCTGATGTGTAAATAAAGCGTGGCTGGTCTCTGATCCAGTATGGGACGGTTAAATCATCGTCCTGTCCTGCAGCGACCTAAAAGTACATTGACAGAAAGACTGTTGTGTAACCGCGGCTCTAGTTTGTGTAATCGAACTCTGGAGCTGGCAGAGTCCACAGAGCAAGAACTCGGTCTGCAGGCATTTGATCGACATAGAAACAGTCTAAAAGAGACACAGAGAAGGGTGTATCTCGGAGATCTGACTGGAGCATTCAGTGTTTTTTCTCATTTTTGGAGCAAACAGTCGTCCCCGGTGCCAAAGACTAAATATAGAAAGCTCTATCTCACAGAGTCGATGGGAAACAATCAGATATGTGTTGTTTAAGGAGTGATAACCAGCTGAAATCTAAATATGTGGGGATATATTTACAGGAAAAGATGTGGAAGTAGAATATGCAGCACAAGACAGGAGGTGCGGTTCAGTCTGTTGGGTTATCATCTTTCATAGCATGCAGGATGATCATTCTTTATATTTAGAAATTACACTTGGTGATTAATAACACCCATCTGGAGATTTTCTATTTTAAAACCCTGTGCTGTTTGTTTTTATTTCAGCAGGATGAACTCAAGCTGAGGAGACAAACTCACCGTCCTCTACAAGCCAAGGACAAGACTGTTTAATTTCAACATTTACAGCAAACACTTACAGTCTTAATGCCGTGATCATAATGGTATTTTAAGGAGGGGGAACCGCGTCTGGACTTACTGGGTGAACTGGTTCCCTTAAGTCCTTCACCCGATCATAAAAATACACCAATGAAAAAGACATCAGGTCGCTCCTCTGTGTTTTTTAGCTCAATTCAAGCCAATGACACACCCAGAAACCTAATCTAAGATGAGCCCAGGCTTTCCTGCTGCAAACTTTCACGTTACAAGTTCAGTTCACACAGATCCAAATGAACTAGTTCAGTTTTTCAATCATCTGCTCTGAGCGTTTCGTTTTAAATAGGACCTCCTCCTCAGATCCATCACCGGCCCATTATACCACTGCTTCTGAACTCATGAATGACAGTGCAGTGAAACGCAGACTCTCCTCATCTTCCCTCTTCATTCACTCAGATATCTGCACACATAACAAGACGATATCGCAGATTCAGATCCGGCATGACAGGGACTGCTGATGCACATTAAACCTGCAGAGGACTCACACTGAGCCGAAAACCATTAACACAAACCACGGGCTGCAGGAGGGTTCACACACAGGGCAGCGAGAGACGGGACTCTCAGAGTGAAGTTCAAGACATTTGGAGGCCTTTTTGTAACTAACCTAACCCAGACTACAGTGTGATAAAATGAGCAATAAAGAACTTGATAGACTAGATAAGATCTCACATTAGGATATAACAGGGGGAGAGAAATTCAGGGACCATTACTTTTAATTACTGAGACGAAAAAGAAGGGAGAGAAACAGCTTCAGCAGAACTGCTGAGCTGCTGTGTTAATACAAGTCAAAGTTATAAACCAGTACAGACCACCATAAACCAGTACAGACTACCATAAACCAGCAAAGACTGTCATTAACCAGCACAGACTACCATAAACCAGTACAGACTACCATAAACCAGTACAGACTGTCATAAAACCAGTACAGACTGTCATAAACCAGCAAGGACTCCCATAAACCAGCAAAGACTACCATAAACCAACAAAGACTGTCATCAACCAGCAATGACTGTCATAAACCAGCAAAGACTGTCAATAAACAGCAAAGACTGCCATATACCAGCATGGACTACCATAAAGCATTATAGACTGCCATCAACCAGCAAGGACTCCCATAAACCTGCAAAGACTGTCATCAACCAGCAAGGACTACCATAAACTAGTACAGACTATATTTAACCAGCAAGGACTGTCATAAATCAGCACAGACTTTCATAAACCAACAAGGACTACCATAAACCAGTACAGACTGTCATAAACCAGTACAGACTGTCATAAACCAGCTGAAACTTCATAAACTTCAAAGACTTTCATCAGTCAGCAGGGACATAAAGTCTACTACAAACTATCAAGAACAAGCTTAAACCAACACAGACTATAAAAAAGTCCAGGGTCATAACAATCAAACCAGCACAGACTGACCAAAACCAGAACAGACTGTCATTAACTAGCACAGACTGCTGTGAAACAGCACAGACTACTGTAACCCAAAATAGACTATATGACCCTAGCACAGACTTTTATAACTAGCATAATCCGTTGTAAAGAGCAGTAACCATCACAGACCAGCACAGACTGTCATGATCAGCTTAATCTTTAATAAACTTGAACTTTAATACAGACAAATATCTTTAATTTTCAGTCGATGGTCCAATAACAGCTGAACCCACAAAGAAAAATGGACGAATGACGTTTGACCCACTTTGGTCACTTTCATCCTCGTTTTATCTCACGATAATCAAAGTCTGTTGAGAAGTTTTCGTATCAGGAGTTTGTGATAAAGAGTTTTATAGAGAGGTCAGACAGCTCTTCAGATAAACGTTCAATGATAGATTAACAAGAGAGAGGTATTGTGTTAGTTTACTGCATGTGCTCTTTTAACCTCAATCCAGATTACCAAAGGTCATTAACTGGTTTAAAGACATGCAAATGAAAAAAAATCAACCTCTGATTAAAGCTTTACTCACTTGCTGACTTCTGTTTTCCGACCAGAAGTCCCGACTGGATCTGCACAGGGCTCTGAAACACAGAGAGGATAACATTTAACATGAATATTCTTCATTTTAAGGAACATTTACTTCACTGTGGTGGACAATAAATCAGCGAATCTTCCACTCTTCGACTTAAATAAGCTCTAGGTAATAAAGTTTCTGATGAGGATCAGTATTTTCTTCCTGCTTATAGGACAATAAATTAGAAAGTGCATCGCCTGAGTTCTCATTAACAGCTTACAGCTTCAAAGAGAACTTATTTCGCCCTCATCAACATATTACACAACATACACACACTGCAGACCGGAACAAACTGGAGACAACCGGTGAGGTGCAATATCAACTTTACTTTTACGGAAACGAAATTCTTCAATTATAACGATCATCAGGAGAGTTTAAGGATGCATTTGTTACAAACAGCAGAGTTATTTTAATTTTTATGTAAGGTTAAAACTCCTATTTAAAAAGCACTGATGAAACAATAACACAGAAATGATCAGACGCATGAATAATTAATGAATGACTGAAGGTGTGATGGAATAAATCATCAGTGCGGCGCCTGCAGACTGAAACAATCATGATTGCTCGGTGTTATCAGACAGTTAGATTCTTATAATTATTTTGGCAAAGTTGCAGTTAATTTGCATATTATGTAAATCCAGATTGTGTAAGGGAAACTTGTGCTAATGTGTCACTGCTGCAGCTCTGCCTGTGTGTGTCTGCTGCAGAGAGACCAAAGTTTTCTTTGTGCAGAAGCAGGAACACAGATATGAGAATGGGCTCATATGTTCTGATTTAATCATCGGTGAGTTCTGTAACAGTCTGTGCTGCAGACCGGTGAGGTTACATATCAGTCTGCAGGAGGGAAATCACATTTTCTAAGAGCAAAACTGGAAACAGATTGTGTTTAAAAACGCTAGTAAACAGACTGATACATTAGATTTTCTTTTTTTATTCATCTGATTGTCAATCAATGAATTTTGTAACATTTAATCCTCATGCAAATAGACACAAAATGTCAGTCTGCAAATGAAAAAAGTGCTCTTCAACTGCAAGAGGAATTAAACTGATGTGAAAAAAACATCATTTTGATACAAAACTCAAAGTGATGAATAGATGCATTAATCGATTTACTCATCGGTGAGATCTGTAACAGTTGAACTGCAGATTGATACGTAACGCTGCTCAGTCTGCAGTCACACAGCTACACAATCCAGGAAGCAACAAAAGCAGAACGGTTACTTAGAGAGAGTTTAACAGGTTGATTCAACGATGGATGAATTTTATCTTCAATCGAGTAGATCATCGGTGAATTCCGTAACAGTTGCGCTGCAGGTTGATAGGCTATGCAAAAAAGCGCACAATCTGCAAGGCGCAAACTTTATTTAAAGCGCAAAAAATGAAGGAAAGTTGCTAAAAGTTGTTAAAAACAGATCGATGGATTGATAAATGAGTGTAGTCATCGAGGTAATCATCGATGAGATCTGTAACGGTGCACCTCCCTGCAGACAGATATGTAACAGTGCTCAGTCTGAAGGATGGAGCTCGCTGTTTGTTCAGTGTTTCTGCTCTTTGAAGAATCTGGTTCGGGCTGGTTCTGACCGGCTCCCCCCCTCTCAGCTGATCGAACTTCTTTATTGATCAGCTGATTGGTGCTCCTGATCAGCTGGTAACAGGTTCCGTGCGGGTTAAAGCGGATCTTTTGTGGATGCTGAATCCTCCGCTCTGCGCTGCTCCAGCTGCAGACTCACACAGAGACATGACGGAGGTCTGAGCGGAGCCCCCCCGGGTTCAGATCCGGTGAATCAGCGCTGTGAGTCAGAGAGATCACTTACCGAGTACCGGAGTCTGCAGCAGGTTCGATCCCCGCGGCTCAGCAGCACAGCGGACAACCGCTCTGACACAAGACTGAGAGAAGACTGAGACACAAACACAGAGAGAGAGAGAGGGAGAGAGAGAGGGGGAGAGAGGCCTGATTTCTACTGAGGAAGGGGGAGGAGGGGGAGGGAGAGGAGGGGGCGGGGCCTATTCTCTCTGTTTATCTCTGCCTCTCTCTGTTTTTTCAAGTCAAACCTTTATTGGATCCCAGCTCTGGACTTGTGGTTATGAAAACATGCGCAAAAACAACATGTGCATCAGCCAATAACATAAAGAAACTCTATGACTCATAAAGCAAATGTAAATGATCTCCATACAGAAGATGAAGTGAATGAAATTGATTGTAATGTTAAATTAACAATCTGTGATGTTGACATTGAAAGAGTTAATGAGACTACATTTCTTGGGATTGTCATCGATCAAAAGTTAACATGGAAACACACACTGAGGTGCATCAAAGCAAGGACTAACAGACTCAAAAACAGCTTCTTCTCTCGATCCATCATCATCTTAAACCCCCATAAAGCAGCTCCAGCCATCAAGATGAGGTAACAAGTGCAATATTACCAACGTTACTGCTGCTGTGTTGATTATCATACCCTTCACCTGTGCATGAATACATGTCCATATACGTATTAAAACATTTTATATACATATAAATATATATATATATACATATTCAAACACACATATTTATTAATTTTTGATACTTATTTTTAGTATTTATTCTTATACATACATTTTATTTTACTGTTCAGTAGAATTCTTGTCTTGTATATATTGTACCCTCTTTCATACAGCTATTTGTACTTTTACTACCTTATTTTTACTTGTCTTTGCCCTGGAAAAGGAGAAGCTCTCCAATCTCTGTCAATGGTCAACTTACCCCATACATACATGACGTAAGTTGACCATAGGAGACCACTTTTTTTTGCATGCTATATTATCAAAACAGTTCTGTTTACACTCATTCTGTTGGTTTGCAGGGATGCACAACATCTTGAAATATCTGCAGATACACGAGTTAGAGACAAAACTATGATTGACTTGATGTAGTGATCTGAAATAAGAAAAATGGATCATCTTACCCCACTCTCCCCTACATAGGAGTCAAGCAGATTTAAACACATATATTGCAATCAACTGCTAAACATTTGGATAAAAAATAAAATCAAAAAGCATAAATCTGCACCTTTATGTCCATGTTGTTTTGTTTTTGCACAAACTTGTAGCTCGTTCTTAAACTTATTCATTGAGAAACTCAGACACAGCGTGGAAACAAAAGGTGTCAACGTCTAAAGTTAGAGAAGATCTGAGGCTCTCAGAAGTGTGTTTGTTTGAAGCCCTGTTTCTGCAGGGTGCAAGTTAAAAAAGAGTCTGCAGCCCTTCAAAACAAGAGCCTTCAATTAAACACACACCCCTGAGTGCTTCAGATCCTCTGAATTCATTCATGAACCACTTTGCTTTTGTGGCGTCTGTGCAGACTGGGTCACACACTTCTTGCATGTTGCATATCTCTGTGTGGTTGTGCAAAGGCTTAGTTAGGAAGTGGAAATTTAATAGTCATGATGAAGCAACTCACCGAACACTATTTGCATTTAAGTTTGAATATTATTGTTGTAAACAAATGTCTGAATAGAAGAAGAAAGATCACGTGGCATGACTCTGTTCCCTTTTTTTTGTCATGAACGCAACCCTATCAGGACGTCCACCATGTTTTATACTGTCTGTAATGATGTTTGACTCTCTTCTTCAGTCCAGTGTTTGCCACACTCAGTGCAGTCAGACCATAAATCCTTTCACAATAAAGCTCCTTGTTTTTTGTTGGTCGCAGATGCAGTGTTAGAAGGAAACAGCTGCAGCTCTGCTCTCCGAGAGAATAACCTCGACATTACTCACTGAGGATAATGAACTCTGGGTTCTTGATGTTTTCGGGGTCAAGCTGCTTGTTTCCAAACAAAAGTCTAATTGGGACTTCATTCAGAGACGAATCAGACGGATCATGACTTTGACCTAACCCAGTGTTGTTTAATAAAGCACCTCTGCTCTGATTGTTTCGTAACACTAAGACCACAATTTGTTTGTATTATTTGACAAGTTCACCTGAGGAGATGAGTCACCTATTTGATAAAGCCTCAGGGTGTTTTTATGAAATAACACAAAATTCACACTGCATAATAATACAGTAGAAACATACCTCTGCTCCTCCTGCTCTGTGATGTCCTCTTAGTGTTTTTAGCTGCAACTTTTTTAAAGGACAAACTGAGTTATTCTGAACAACAGATTAAAATCAGCCGTGAAGGAAGTCCCAAAAACTGCACGGATGTTAACAAGGACCAGAAAGAGAGAGATCACATTACACTGATTTTAAGCTCTCTGCACTGGCAACCCGTCTCTCTCAGAATAGATTTTAAGGTTGTTTTATTGGTTTTTAAAGCTCTTAATGGCTTTAGCTGTCTTATTTATACGAACTGCTTTTACCTTATGAGCCTGTTAGAGTCCTCAGGTCTTCAGGAAGTTCTCTGTTAACATTATTACCTAAAGTTAAAATTAAGACAAATGGTGAGACATCTTTTTATTACTACGGCCCCCGTCTATCGAACAGCTGACCTGAAGACCTGAGGACTGAAACTAATCTTAATGATTTTAAAAGCAAACTGAAAACAAACCTTTCAGTCTTGCTTTTAACTAAATTTTATATCATTAACTTTAAGTGTTTTAGCATTTATCTCTTTCCAGTTTTAATGACAGGATCGTCTTTTATTGAGCTGTTTTGGTGCTCTTATGTTAGTATCTTTTACTGTTGTTTTTATTTCATTTTATTTATTACTTCTTAAATTTAATTCTATGTTACTTTGTTTTTAGATTTTAAACCTCCAGTGTTTCCTCAGTGCGCACATTCCTGTTTCCACGAAATCAAGCCCTTTTTAAGTTTATGCATTTTAATCCTGTTTCTGGCTGGGGTAGATTTGGGTATTCTTCGTTTCTTTTATTCCTTTTTCTGTGTAAAGAACTTTATGCTACATGGTCGTGTCTGAAAAGTGCTATATAAATAAAAACTGATTGATTGATTGATTGATTCAAAGACTGCACTACCAAGAGTGTCCACTTGAGGCTGTCTCTAAATGTGATACATTCTCTGTAAAGCCTCTTCACCGTGAAATAAGACACTGATAAAGCTGCAGAAAAAGGAGGCTTCATCTGCTCTGATTTGCATAAAAGCAGGCAAATATCCTCCACTAGAGGGCAGCACAAAGCTGTGAAATAACATGCTTAATATTGTGTTGCGATTGGAAAATAATCCAAAATTGACCTGGATTTGACATCTTCTGCAGAGCTGACTTCAAGCAACACTTCACTGCTTTAAATCATGTTACAGACCTGCAGCCAAAGCAAACGTTTAAAGAGACTCAGTTTATATTAAAACTTTATTCAAACTCTAAATCAAACAAACACTCGGCTGACGCTCAGTTTTGAACGTCACGTGTTAGTTCACGCAACAAACTGCAAACAATATATTAATTAAAACTCATTAAATACTTAATTGACCTGCTCAACTATTTCCCTAAACTCAAAGTGTTCCCTGTTTTTATAAAAAAAGAGTTAAATCATTTCACAGCTGATTAAAAACAGGAGCTCTGTGTGCAGAGAGGTCAGTGCAGTCTGTGATCTGTGGGTCAACCTGTGGCCCCCGGATCAGGATGGGAGTCGTTTCAGTCGGTTTTGGACTCAGTCTGAAGATGAAGAGGAGAGGAGGTCACCTTCCACAGCTCCTGCAGACATCAATCACAGATCAATTATTTTATTTATTAGTAAAAACCTTCATAAACTTCTCTGATCATGATCGTTAAGAACACTCATTAAGCTTTTATGTGTCTTTGTGTGTCTGTGTTCATGCCAAGTACTCAGCTGAGTTTACAACCTGAAGCTCAGGGTTTCAGGTTTGTTTAAAGACAAGAAACATAAATGTGAATATATCTGTCTGTGCGTTTCCCACCAGATGCTCGATGCGCTCGTAAATCAGAAACTGAGGGAAGCCGGTCTGAAGCTGAGTGACGGTGAAGCTGCAGCGTCCGTCCTGCAGGTCCTGCAGCTGAGACAGACAGTGTCTGAAGTGGTCGTACGCCTCACAGGAGACATCCAGGTGTCTGAGGGTGAAGTTCATCCTGATGGAAGCAGCAGGAGACACGTGGTTAACTTTTGGTCCTTTATAAGAATCAAACTCGACCTCAGAGACGGAGCACTCAGAGTCAGTCAGCTTTCTGAAGGAGTCTGTTAATCAAAAGTTCTTGTTGTTGCTCTAACAGCAGGATAAAATCTTATCTCACTCTGAAACCGTCTCTACACAAACTCTTTCTGTCAACCTTTGAAATGATTTTCATGATTTTATCCTCGTACCTTTTCTCGATGGAGATGTAGATGATGCAGGGGCGATTAAAGCTGCTGCAGAGTTTATACAGAGTCCTGAAGAGGCCGTCTGTCAGTTCATCATCGTAGCAAACTGAAGACACCCAAAATACACAAGATAGGACTTTATATTTTTGATCTGGAGGGATAAAATCATGGTCATGTATTATGTTCTCGTACCGTCAGCAGCGATGATGAAGCGCGTGTTGTCGAACATGTCCGCCACCTCCTCCTCCGTCCAGCTGAACTCCTCTCCAGCATCTGAAGGGTTAAAGATCACAGAGACAGTCAGAGGTTTTTTTATGGTTTCTGTAGCAGGAAGTAACACACTGAGGATGAGGAGGAGGAGGAAGAGTTCTTCATTTATTAGTGACTTTATTATGATACAGCTTTAACGCAGCTCGGTGATTTAAGAATAAAGTGTGTGTGTGTGTGTGTGTGTGTGTGTGTGTGTGTGTGTGTGTGTGTGTGTGTGTGTGTGTGTGTGTGTGTGTGTGTGTGTGTTACCTGTGCAGAGGTCATGCTGCAGCCAGTCCAACTGTCTCACCTTTACCTCACCACCTAAACGACAGAAGAAAATAAACTTTTTCCATATTAGAGACTCTTTTTTTTAACTCGTTTGTTTGATGAAATATGAAGCAAAGTAAGACAGAAACAATCCAGCGACAATAAGAGCTTCATATTCGGACTGTTTGGATTATATGTAACATAAATGTAATGTGTGAAATATCTGTTTAAAGAGCTCGTACCTGCAGGCTCCATCAGGTGTCTGTTTAGCGTCACATTTTTCTCACACATGCTCAGAAGGTCAAATCCAACATCTGGAAAACAAAAATCAGATATTAGGATCTAAACGTAGAACTTTAATCCTGATATGTGATTAATATTCATATTAGATTTACTGTGTTTAATTCTTTCTTTACGTCGTTACACACCTGTGCATACATGCTTTACTATCTCATTTTAATGCGTCCATTTATTACAGTTCACCGTATAAATTTATCTACATTTGCATTAATTATCATTTTTTCCTTTAGTGTAAAGCGTCAAATACAAACATTTTTAACATAATTCTTTTTTTTGGTCTGACAGATCAAAACATTCACCTGTGCAGTAGACCGTTTTGGCAGCAGTTGCCATGACGATGCTGGTCACACCCGTTCCTGCCCCGAGTTCGAGGACTGTAGCACCGGAGAACATGACGGACTCAGAGAGGATGAAGTCAGCCAGGAGGAAGGCTCCTCTCCACACCTGAGGAGCCAATGGAGAGAAAACGACCACATATTCATGTGTTCATATTAACCATTGAATGACTGAAAGGTTTATCACACCTCCACCTCTCTTCATGCCATGTTTAAATGAGTAAAAGAGGAGAAAGTTTATTTTTAAATTTTAATCTCTGACCTGTTTGCCGACGTCCTCCAGCGGAGTGGCCATCGTGTGCTCTGTGAAAAGACAAGATTAAAGCATAAATCAGTGTTCATTCATTAAATACCGACCTTCATTAACCTCACACTGATCTCTAGATGTCTGAATTCACAAAACATCCTCTGTAACCTGATTCATCTTTACAGCAACACAGTCTGAGATAAAGTGAGTGAGTCAGCACAGAGTTAGTCCAGGCTCTTACCGATCTTTATGACATCTTTGGAGCATTTATCACCTTCATCATCCCCCTCCTCCTCTTCTTCATAATTGAGCGCAGAGTCAGACTGCTGGAGGATGACAGGACAAATAAACTCTCGGCTGATCTCCACAGAGTCTCTCCTCGGTCTGTGGAGTCAAAGGAAGGTGAAAGTACATCCATGAAACTCTGATATTTCTCATGTTAAACTAAAACACAAATGTAAACAGAGACAGGATAAAAACAGCTGTTCATTCATGAGGCTGTAGCTTAGCCTCAACACAACAAGACAAACCAGCTGCACTCCTGATTATGAATATTGATATTGGTATTGGTTTGCTGTAAACATGTTTGATTCTGCTGTAAAATGTCTGTTTTAAAATGGACTCTTGTGTAGTTTCCTGCCTGTGAGGTCGAGTTTTTTTTAACACAGAAGGACACCGTCACGCTGCTTTAGCTGAATGAGGTATCAGGTGGTGAGGTTTCTATCTTTAGATGTTAGGACGGTCTGAGAGTGTGGAGGGAGGAGGGAGGAGGTCAGGGTATTAACTTCTGCTGAACAGAGATTCCTGATCACAGAGACACCACCCTGCTGCTGCTGTAGGAGCCGTTTAACCCATTCCTTCATGATGAGGAAGATTATGTGAATTTTGATCATTAAACACACTAACAGTCACAGAAAAGGTCATCATGTTTTTTACCGGTGTGTAACGTCCAGATCTCCATCTTCATCCAGCAGCGGCTCCACTCCTCCTCCTCCTCCTCCTCCTCCTCCTTCCTCTGTATCTTCTCTCGGTGTGTCATCGTCTTTCCTCCTGTCTTCATATTTCTCTGTCTCCTCCAAACCTCTCACTCCATCGCTGCTGTCCCTCCTCTCAGCGTCCCTCAGGATCTTAAATTTGGAGACAAAGACTGGACGGACCAAAAACAGCAAAAAGAAAACACATTTATACATTTATGTCTGTCTCTTTAACTGGATTTCTTTAAGATCAGAGAAAAGATGTTCTTATACACACACACCTGGCTGTCCAACGTTGTTGAGGCGGGTCATGAGGTGACGTGTGTTCGGCAGCAGCAGGTGGATGTCTGACAGCACGGTGTCATGATGGAAGGTGATCTGATCCATCACTGATCACAGCTGGTGTTCCACAGAGGAATCATCATCTTAGTCACCTGATCTCAGCACCTGAGGAGTGAGAGAGAGAGAGAGAGAGAGAGAGAGAGAGAGAGAGAGAGAGAGAGAGAGAGAGAGCAGAGACACACAGGTGAGGCTGCAAAGGAAACTTTGAGAGCGCGACCTCCTCCTTTAAAAAGTGCAGAAACACCAGAAAAGAAGAATTTATGTGGTTTGGAAATGTTGTCATTATGCGGTTTGACCAGCAGAGGGTGCTCTCACTCATAGCTGACTGTTGCCTTTACAGTATCAGACACAAACACAGACTCAGTGGTGTCACATATTGGTATCTGAAGAGACCTTATGAAGCCCAAAGATTGTCCCTTTATTTAAAATGCTGACTCCAGCTTTCTTTGAATCAATCAGAACCAAAACAAAGTTGCTGCAAGTATACAGCCTCCTCAAAACAGCTACAACCACCCGCCTGTCAGTCAATCAGCCACACCCCTAATTATGCAAATGTCTGTAGAGCTTTGAGCTCAAAATGATCAAATGAGGCGTTTAAAAAAACTCACCTACCCTCTTCCAGCAGCCGCTTGTTTGTAGCGAGACCTCAGGACAGTCCATTACGGACTACAGCAGGGTGACACAGCTCAAGGAAGAACATTTATGATCGTTTCTTTATCATTTCCTTGAAGTAATAATCACCATATTAATCATTTTCTCTGCAGACGTTCTTCTGCCTTACCGTCTCGGTCTGATTGTATTTCCATGAAGAAATGATCATAAATGTTCTTTTTTGGGCTGCGTCACCCCGCTGTAGTCCGTAATGGACTGGCCCGGAGGTCTCGCTACAAACAAGCAGCTGCTGGAAGAGAGAAGAAGTTAAGAAGTTATGTTTATAAACCGAAACTGTGAACTTTTATCAGGCACTTTAGATATGAGATCTGATGGTGATTCCTCAGCTTTCAGAGAGAGCCCCAAGTGGACATTTAAAGAACTGCACTTTTTTTAAAAATACCTTTACATTGGCTTTAATTTCATCACCGGTTGTTGTTGCTCCTGTTGCCAACATAACTATGGTCAAATTGAGTTTTGTTAAATTTAGGAAGGTAAACAGGGACAGACAACCTCTCAAATAAAACTTTATTAATTCACTGCAGCAGTGAAATATTAACCATAAAATTTAACATAATCAGATTATTTTAAGTAACCCAAACACGCTGTTGCCTCTTCTTGAAGGTGACTACAAAAGGCGATAAAAGCTGATCTTATTAAACATAGACAACATGACAGGAGCATGTTATAAACACTCAGACTCTCTCCTGTTAAACCATCATTGAATGAAACATCAACTTAAACCACAGAAGGTCATTATTAACGTTTCTGAGCATCTATGAGAGGATGAAACACCTGCAGGCTGAACTGAGGTCGAAATAACCCACAGAGATGGTAAATCAACCCTTTATTCTACAGACAGACCAAAGACTTTAGTTTATACAGAGACAAACCTGTTGACACGACCAGAGAAGATAATAAACTGTTTTAATTTTAACTTCAGTTTAATCGATTAACTCTCCAACTATCGACAGACTAAAACAGATAATAATACAGACTTAATCATCTGTTTGATAAGACCGCAGATTAACGTTTGTTTAATCAAAAAGCTGCAGAAGTTTCTATTAATAAACTGAAGCTCACCTCCATAACAGCTCCGCCAACACACCCCCGAACCCCATTGGATCCACTGAGGCTCAAACTGTGCATCTCCCTAAACTGTCCGGAATGAAACAGTATGTGTTAAAGTAGTTCCTGTTTAACACAAAAAAAGAGAAAATACAACACAAAAAGAGAAAACAGAACACATAGAGAGAAAACACAATGGTTAATGTCGTTTTGTTTTCTGATTTTCTGTTGTGTGGTTTTTTTTTGTGTGTTGTATTTTGCACCTCAAGGCTTTATTAGTTAATCTGAGAATAAATCTAAGAAGAAGAAAATACATATAAAATATAATGTTTCGTGTGATTCACTCCCCTTACCGCGGCAGAAGTGTTCACTGACGCTCATGCTGTGCTTCTTTCGAAACAGCCTGGACTGAAACAGTGTCTTACTGGTTCCTATGAGACACAAAAAGAGAACACACAACACAAAAAGAGATAAAATAACAACAAATCAGAAAATAAAACACAGTGTAAGAAAACAAAACAAGAAAAAACATAGCACAAAAACAGAAGATACAACAACACAAAAAGAGAAAACAACAGCAATCAAAAAACATAATACAAAAAAAAACATGACAACAAAAAAGAAAAAACATCACACAAAACGAGAAAACACAACACAAAAAGAGATAAAATAACAACAAATCAGAAAAACACAACAAAAAGAGAAAACACAATGATTAATGTCGTTGTGTTTTTTATTTGCCGTTGTGTTTTGCACCTCAATGCTTTAGTTGTAAACCTAAGAATACATTGAAGAAGAAAAAACATAAAATATCGTGAGTCGTATGATACACTTGACTCAACGCGTCAAAAGTGTTCTCTGATGCAAGGTTTCTTTGTTACTTGTGCCTTTTTTTTTTACGCAAAAAGAGAAAACAACGACAAATCAAAAAAAAAGAAAACACAAAAAGAGAAAAAACTATAGTTAATGTTAATAGTTAATGTTTCGCACCTCAAGGCTTTATTAGTAAACTTATAAATTATTTCATGATAAAAAAAATCAAATCAAACATCATGTTCGGTGTGTTACACTCGCCTTACGGCGGCAGAAGTATTAGAAAGTGTTGCGTTGACGTGACAACGTGGCGCTTAACAGCCAATCAGATTGCCAGCATTCTGCTACTTCTCATTGGTTAGAATTTTCCACAGATCGTCAGCGATTAGTTGAATTAACAAGAAGTCCCGCCCTCCAGATGTCGATATTTAAAGGTACAGAGTGCCAACGCGGACTGATCTGCTGTTCACAGGGAGTGGGGAGGTGTCGCGAGACGATAAAAACTGACGGTGAGTTCAGATTTTTGACTTTTAGACTGAAAAAAGTTTAATTAGAGAACAAATAATGAAAGACAGAGTTAATTTAAAGTCTAACTCGGAGTTTGTAGGAGAATTAAGATGCAGGAACCTGTAAGATTTAGAGAATATGGAATGATGGAGGTCAGACAGGCTGCAGGGCTGCAGACTCTCATCACTGCTCCTCATAATCTCTCATTATCTCTCATTAGTAAAGTTTTTATCAGTCTGACAGATAATGAGAGAAAGTATCTGTGAATTAAACTTATATTGAACCTCTGTTTGTTCAGACATGTCAGTGAAGTGCACTGATTGTATCTCAGTTTAAACTTGGTTTTCTCTTATACCTGTTCCTCTAATACTCCGATTATTACAGTGTTTTAACAGTTCATGAGCAGGATTTACTTTGAACTCGTGTTTTAATGTGATATTGACAAAGTGTCCGAGGCCTCCTTCAGCAAACTACTTTTACAAATCATTGCATCATTGGAGTTGAATGTGGTTAACTGAAGAAATTAGTTTGTTCTTTGACTGTGAAAATAATCAGACTTATTTGAACAAAGATTATTAAAGAGGATTTCATCTCCTGAGTTTATTCAGCAGCTTTACAATCAGAGGAAATCAGAGCAGCAGGAGATGAGTTCAAGGAAAGTTTACTGTCAAGAGAAGAGAAATCAGTGTGTAGATACTTCAACTAACAGGTTATTTAAGTTAGGCTAATCATATTAAACTTTGACAAGGTACATAAATGCTACATAAAGTCTCCTAAATTTAGAGTGAAAACTGCTCAAGTTTCACAGATCATACACCGTGCAGCAAATTAAAGTAGATTAAGATAAAATACTTCACTGCCAAAGGGAAAGTGTGTGGACTGAAACTGGTTTGAAATCCATAAATGAGACACCTCACCTCAGAGACTGGAGTCCAGCTGCACTGGGATACCTTTACTCCTCCCAAAACACCAGCAGCATCCTCATCGAACATCTTCATATGTATTTGAGGTCTATATTGGACTCTAGTTTGACACATTTAGATTTAGATCATTTGGGACTATTGTTAGATATTTTCCCAAAGCCGACCATGTAGTTTCCTGTAACTGGAGCCTGTCCCAGATTGAATAATCCCCTCTGGACTTTGAACAAAACTGCAAAAAAGTGAAGAAACAAAAGTGGATCTGATAACAAATAAAACAAATCATAAAAACAATAAACTTTTCTTTTATTTTAACTTTTTATGGTGCTAAACTTAGATTAATATCAGTAAACACAAAAGAGTTAAGTGGTAGTTTAAAACCCACTGGTCCTAAGCTTTGGCCTCCAGGGGGCGCTGTTGTCTGTTATATTCTAAAACTTTTGGTCTTAATCTGATCTCATATAAACTCTCAGTGTGTTAGATTAAAGTTAGTTTTCTGTTATCATGTGTCTCAGAGTTTAATCCGTTTGTTTCTTCTTTCACAGACTGTAAAGATGCTGCTGACCTCGTTAGCGTCCCTCTGCGTCCTGGCCGCTGTGGCCTTCGCCGTACCTGCTCAGGAGAAACGCATCCATCACCAAGCCCAGCTGAGTGACCACGCCCACGACGACAAAGACGGCTACAAGTATGACCACGAGGCCTTCCTGGGGAAAGAAGAGGCCAAGACGTTCGACCAGCTGACCCCCGAGGAGAGCAAGGAGAAGCTTTCGTAGGTTTTACTCTTCCTCACGGTCGTCTTCGTCACTGTGAACCCTGACTGACCCTCAGACGTGATGAATCGGCGTCGTCATACATCTGTCTTTAACCACGTTTTCTCTCCTGCAGGAAGATCGTGGATCGTATCGACACGGACAAAGACGGCTACGTGAGCCACTCCGAGCTGCACTACTGGATCAAACACAGACAGAGGAGATACATCCAGGACAATGTCAACAAACACTGGAGCGACTACGACAAGAACCAAGACGGGAAGATCAGCTGGATGGAGTACAAGAACACCACCTACGGATACTACCTGGGTACGAGTTTACACTCCACATTTAATCCTGATTCCCTCTTTTAGCGATTTAAAGAAAAGTTATTTACAGCTGGAGGTTTTATACAGAGCTGAAACATGAGGGGTTTTTTTTCCAGACGAGGAGTTCGATGATGTCGACGACAAAGCCACCTACAAGGCCATGCTGACCCGAGATGAGAGACGATTCAAGATGGCCGACAGAGACAGAGACGGCATCGCCACACGAGAAGAGTTCACCGCCTTCCTCCACCCAGAGGAGTTTGACTACATGAGAGACGTGGTGGTGCAGGTACAGACCTCTGCTTAAACTCTGAGTCCAGACACACAAGCTCATGATCCTCAGAGGATGAACCCAGCACTTCAGGATCATTAATCCAATTTGTCTTTTTGAAGGAAACGATCGAAGACATCGATAAGAACGGAGACGGAAAGATCAACTTGCATGAATATATCGGTGAGTGTTTTATTCATTCAAATGACTCCGCCTCTTTTTTATCCTCACCTGGTGCCCACCTGTCCTAAGAAGTGTGTTTGCTGCTCCACAGGGGACATGTACACGCCTGAGGATGGGGAGTCTGAGCCTGAGTGGGTCGCGACGGAGAAGAAACACTTCGCAGAGTTCAGAGACACTAACCAGGTGAAAACTGGTTTAAAGCTTCACTGTGAAATAAAAGAAAATCAAACTTAGAGCCTCCAGAGGGCGCCAAAAAAACCCAGAAATAAAGCAAATCTGCTCATTTTTGTATCTACAGGACGGTTACCTGGATGCTAACGAGGTCGCTCAGTGGGTTCTACCTGGAGAGGTGGATCACGCTGATAACGAAGCAAAACATCTGATCCATGAAACCGATATGGACAAGGTACACCTTTAACACACACACTTTGGTTTTACTTTATAAATCCCTCAGATCAACGTTATGAAAAAATGAAGCCGGACAGGTTAGCTGTAGTCGGTCCATCAGCTCTGAGGAATAATCGGAATAATTGTGACTTAATTATTAACTCTCTCCTCTCTGTCTCCTCCTCTTTCTCCTCTTTCTCTTTCTGTCAATCATTCCAATAATCTCTTGATGGATCATCAGGATGAAAAAATAACAAAGAAAGAGATTCTGGCCAACTGGAACATGTTTGTGGGCAGCCAGGCCACCAACTACGGAGAAGACTTGACCAAGAGACACGACGAACTTTGATGAAGCTCCACAGGGTTCAGAGATCTCAAAAACTATGGAGGGGCGGGTTACAGGGGGGTTCGGGGAGGGTGGGCGGGGTTAGGATTGTGGGGCAGGGGGGGTCATGCTCAGTAAAGTCAGTGAAGTCAGGTTTAAACCAGGGCTTTCTAAAAACACAGCTCTTATTGTGGCGGGGTGTGAAGCGGCAGGAAGAGGTGGTGCACACTCTGAACCGGAAAATAAACCCAGGGTTCGATACTTTATGAATATGGACGTGATTTAATCCACCTCTAAAGGTCCATTTATTTCAATCTTATTTATTGGTCCATTGGTCTCAGTGTCAGGTAGTTTTATTCTGAAAATCTGCAGGAAGGTCAGTCCTCGGTTCGAGTTCAGAGTATCGAATATCTCCATAAATAGATGATCACAAACAAACAAAACCACCTCTGTGTGAAGCTCAGATCAGTCTCTCTTGAAGCTGAACACAAAAACTCGATTCTTTAATCAAAACGTGACGATCAAACTCAACGAGAGCCGACAGGAACGCACGACACATCCCTCTGTGATGCTCTGTCGTCATGGAAACTGAGTTTTTAGAGAGTCCTGGTTCTGTGTTTCTTTGTTATCCAGGGAATAAAGTGCCTGCATGATTTCTAATCCACTCCGATCAGGTGTTCACTCACATACTGTGTATGTGAATACAGGTGACACCCATGATCACACACGCACACACACACACACTCCTCTTTCTCTTGTGTTGTGCACATTTCTCTGCATCTCCAGACAAACTGTGGATTAAATCCCTCGTGCACTGACATGCAGCTGAAACAGAAAGTGAAACTTTAATCGTGAAATCAGCCGACAGGAAAAGTGCAGATTTTATAAGTCAGGTAGATGGTCGGGTGCGTCTCAACAAATAAGATGACCATGAAAAAGCTCCGTATTTCTAACCAGCGACATCAGAAAGTGAAGTCTGATAAAGGAGCCCAGACTGAATACTGAGTGTATGAACAAACAGACTTGACAAAAGTTTGTTTTTCTGTATTTCAAATTAACTTCTTAACAATCTCAGGGAGCGTCCGTGTTAATTTAGATACTGGGTCTCTGACTTTCATGAGCTCTGAGCCACAATCATCAAAATTTAAACAAAGTCAATCTTCAAATATTCATATTTTATGTGCCGAACATAGAAAATATTCAAGTTAAAAATTTTTTTAACTTAATTCTGATAAAAAAAAAACCTTTTTCATGGTCTGATTTGTTGAGTTTTGCCTGGATGCTTGTTGAGTGTTTGTTATGTAGCAGGTGAAAGTTGGTCATTGTTTATTTTTCAAACATTTGTGAATGTGTTTGTTTATTTTGGAGGTTTCTGAAAAGTTTTCTGTCACTCAGTCTTGGAGAAGGATCTGCTGAGATGTGTTTCTGACTTTTTGGGTTTGATTCTGAATAAAGTTTTTGTTTTTTTTAAGAGTTTTTGTGTCTGTAAATGTGATCAAATGTGTAACATATAAACTTTACTTGTTAATAGTAAACACATAACACAAGATCATGATGATGTAGGTGTTACACTTCCAAAACACTACTACCCAGCAGGACTCAGGTGTGAACGTCATCCACGTGTCTGTATCTTTGTTTTGAAACTTCCACAGACATTCAGTACAAGATCCATGTGTGTAAAATTTCACTTCATTAGGTTTCTGTTTCCTTCTGTTCTGACCAGGACGGGCGTCTGACTCTCTCTGAGCTGCTCGACAAGATGGACTTCATCAGAATCAGCACCATCACAGACTACGGAGGCATGAAGGTGGAGGAACACGATGAGCTGTGAGGCTGTAGGTTGAAATGTGTGTAAAATTACCTGAATGTTTAGTTTTGTTTTGGCTGAAAATGAGCCTGTTACTGCTACTGGAGGAGAGGAAGAGGAGGAGAGCGGTTGTTGTGGTTTGAAAAATATGTTAATAAAAAGTTGACGAGTGAAAACTCATACATATCAAACATTACAGGAGCTTTTTGTCCTCTAAGGCCACCATCCCTTTATTGACAGGAAGAGTGAGCGAGGGAGTGTTTTAAGATTGTGAGATTTTTCACCTTAAAGCACCAGATTCAGTTAATTTTACCTTCTTAGACTTTAGTGTGTGAAGCCTGTTTAAATATTTACACAGTCTGATGTTTTGTTCTGTACAAAAAACATGACAAACTTTTAAATTAGGTAAAATGTATTTCACAAGTAAAAAAAAAAATCCACAAAACTATTTAAATGAGAAACAATTCCTGCATAAAAGAAACAAAAAGTTGACAAAAAAAGAAAGAAAGAACAGAGGAATTGAACAGGTGAAAGGTGTTACACGTGTCTCACAATTAACCTCTCGGGCTCTGCAGAGGAACGACACAAGTGGACAAAATCAGATCCCGTCAGTCTCAGACCTGCATCACAGGACGAGCCTCTTTAGCTCTGAGGTCGACTCCAGACGCAGCGAAGCCGGTTCCACCCTGCAGAACGAAAAGTTAAACTTTCAAACGTATTTTTAAAGTTTTTATCCAAAGTTATTTTCCTTTAAATCCGTGTCTCATACAAAGGTTTTACTCTGGACTCTTATTGTTGAACAGAAAACTCATCTCATGTCTTTATCACGTACCCTCTGCAGAGGAACGATGTCTCTCTCGGTCAGTGTGTCTCCGCTCACAGGATCCATCATGTCCTTCTTGATCAGCCTCTCCACACACTCCTGTGTCACCACACATCCCCTGAACACACACACACACAGAGCATGGGTTATCACAGCATAAGATTAAACATGAGGACATCTGAGACAGGAGGAGGAGGTCGAGGACACGTCTGTACTCACGAAGGTCTGAGGACAGCACAGGGGACACTGTTACCCAGCACGTCTCTGGTTACTGCGCACACGTACCTGTCCTGAGGAGAGAGAGAGCACACCTGAAACTCAGACAAGGACTCTTGGATTAAAAAAATCAGTCAGGATGTGTCCGCACAGACTGTCACATGACCTTAAAGGTGTCACATGACCTTTAAAAATGGCCATCTGTGAGCGCTGACTCGGACTGACCTGCCGTGTGAGCAGAGCGACTCGATCCAGGCTGGCGTCCAGTGGAGTGAATTTGACTGTAATCAGCTCGTTCATCTTTAAGGGTCGTCCTGACATCGGGCACAGGACCACTTTACTCTGACACAGAGAGAAGAGGGGGGAGGGGGTCAGTTAGAGACAGCCAATCAGAGAGCTCGATGTTTGGATCCAGGGTCAGCCTGTGCACTCTTGAAACTGAGTCAACATCAAACTGAGAGACTGCAGATAATCAGAGAGATGATTTACTGACATCAAACACGGACAACAACTCTGAACGGACAGTGAAATGAGGATTTGACGCCCTCTGCAGGCCGAGAGGAGAATTACAATCATCAGTCAGTTTTAACGTTAGTCTGTGTCCGATAGAAAACTTTGGCACATGTTGATTAAACTTATTCAGAGGTTGAACAGATAATGGACGTCGTTTCTTCAGGTTTAAAACTTTAAATAGTTTACACTGGTGTTCATAGTAAAGGTCACGGTGAGAGTAGTTTTTCAGAGAGGGCACTTACTGGTTTCTTGATCTGGGTGGGTTTGGCTTCTGGAGTCAGAGAGGGGATCCAGAAACTGGGCAGACTGGACGAAGAGCAAGCGGAGGAGGAAGAGGAGGAAGCTGATGAAGACGAGGAGGAGGAGGAGGAGGCAGCAGCAGAGTCTGTCTGGGTCTTCTCACCTCCTGAGGTCTGTCCTGAGAGAGAAACACAGTTTTTAATCAAACTTTTACCGCCATCATCTCCAAGAGAATGTTTTTAATTATGGGAAGAAGCATCAGAGATTTAAAGAGAGTCATTGAACGCAGCACTCTGACGGACTAAAGACTGACTGATTTTAGTGCCGCTATTAAAGGAATAGTTCAACATTTTCCCTCTAAATAACTGATGAGGCACCTGCTCAGTGAGGACAGGTGTGTGTACCTGATGTGAAGGGGTTGATGGGTTTGGACACGATGCTGTTCTCTCTGCTCTTGAACCTCTCCATCCTCTCCCTCTCCTCTGACTTTGACTCCAGCTGACTGCTGCTTTTCTGAGCCTGTTTCTGCTTCTCGTACGCCTGCAGAAGAAAACACAAACAAATACCTGAATTAAATGACGAACTTTAATCTTCTATAGTCGCTCTGTAAACTGTAAACATGCTCACCTTCATCTTTTTGGCAATCTCGGTCTTCTGGTGCAGGATGTACTCCAGGATCGCCTGCTTCTCGTAGAGGAATCCATCCTGACTGAGGCAGAAAACACACACAGTTTATAGAATATGCCGTATTGAAAGTATATTGATTATATGTGAACACCTACGTCACCACGGGGTCTTTGCAGGGCTGCAGGGACAGACAGCAGCAGTCAAAGTCTTTGATGGCGTCTTTTCCCAGCCTGATGCTCTGAGTGCCGTAACCGGACGCCGCTGGAAGAGGAAGAGAAGATGAGAAAAGTCACATATACAGTTGTGGATGTGAGAAGATCAAAATTACTCAAGAAACTTTTATTTTTAGTCAGAAAATCTTTATTATTTAATTGGAGTAACGACAAACCTCACCTGTGTCCTTCTTCTTCTCATGGTAGGTGTAAACAGCTCCAGCTGTGCAGTTTTTTCCATGTCGGGTCATTTTTTAACCAGCTGATCTGAGGATGAAACGACTGTTAGCTCTGATGCTAACAGGCTAAAACAAACCCACGAACACAAACATGAACACACATACACGGTTCAAATGTACAAATGAGGATTAAACCTGGCTTTACATGAAGATTAAACCAATGATAAAGTTATTACCGGCGATATTTAATCTGCAGAAGAGATAAAAGTGTACAAGAACCGGACAACAACTTCTTCTTCTACTGTTTCCGCCTCCTCTTTCTTCTTCTACTATTAATTTTATGGCAGCATTCGAGTTACCGCCGCCTGGTGGTTCTTATCTTATCAGCGCTGTGTCAGTTTGAAGCTTCTTTTCTTAACTCACCTGAACTGGAAATGTAATAGTAATAATCATAGTAACTGTCAGAGTGCTCTGTCAGAACATCAGCACATGGAAATAAAAACAAATAAAAAACAAAAGCTCAGTTAAAAACCTACGAATTGAGGGCAAACTTTATTTGTCATAAGGAATCCAGACAATACAAGAACCCTACGACATAAAATGAGAGACCATGAGGACCAAAATCAAAACATAAAATGGGTAAGAAAAAGAAATGTAATTAAAAGAGGGGTAGAAAACAGGAAAAAGGACAGTAAATACAAAAAGAGGATATAAATAATGATAATAAAATCATAGCAAAATAATGTAATGATAAAATGGAATAACAAAAATTAGTGGGAAAAAACAATCAATCAATTAAAGGCCTAAAACGTAAATAGGAAAAGATTATAAGTAAAACAAAGGTTAAAAGGACAGTAAGTTGAAATAAGATAAAAGAGGTAAAAGAGAAAAGTGGGCATCACGTAAAAGTAGGTCTGTAAAAGTAAGTTTTTAAATTTGACTTAAAAGAAGTGACTGTCTCTGTACGCCTTTAATCTCTTTTTTCCATATCTTGTCAACCATTATGCGCACATTTCAAAAATGCAGGAGTGGTAAGGGTGTAAAAAAAGCAGCAAGAAAAGACTTAGTATTTTATAATCAAGTTTTGAGAATATTTTAATGAATTTAGGCGGATTTTTAAAATACTTTCCAAACCTTTGACAGGACCAACTATTTAAAAATGCCAATAATCAGTCAGCTTGATTGGTCTATCTACATTAAAAGTCCAGTTCAAAGAAACGAGAATATTTGTTGATATCTAACAGTCAGATTCTCCTGCTCACCCCTCCTGTTGTTAAGCAATGGTGGCCTTTTAGGACAAAAAGCTGCTGTGATTACTGACCAGTTTGACCTTTTCATTCATCCCTCTCCTCTTCTTTGACAACTGCAGCATTTTGAACAACCTCATGTAAGTTTTAAACGTAGAGTTACGTCATGTTGCAGGTAGATCAGAAAAGATAAAATGAAGTTTTTAGATTGGACTCAGACTGTCAGACCGCTCTGATGTTAGCACCGTTTATTTCTGTGAGAGCAGCATTTCCTGCCTATGTGACTGTGGATTTCCTGTCAGCAGATCACTACACCCTGCTCTGCACACACAACACACATCTGTGTCTGTAAGAGCTGCACACACTGAACTGGAGCTGGAATAACAGAGACAGCGATCACGAATAATTGAACATTTTTACAGCTGTGAGAGGAGAAAGGCGTTACATGTGCGTCTTTGTTTCCAAGGCTGTATGCATGAAAATATAAATCTAACTTTCTAAAGGTTTAACTGTTAATTCTCCGTCAGTGTCATCAGTGAGAGCTCTGTCATCTATAATCAGGATGATCTGATCTGGGTGGAGACAGGAGAAATCAGGAATCAGGATAATCAGGGAGGAGTCAGATCCTCCTGCTCCGATAAAAACCTCTCTGCAGACCATATAAGGTCAGATATGTCGGGGCCTGTGTGTTACCATGGCGACGCAGTTAGAGTCCGGAGTTAATGATGTGGTCGGAGGGGTGGTGGTGCTGGTGGGCGAAGGATGGTAAGAGGAGATAAAATGTGGGACTGGACCTCCTTTATAAACATCTATCCCCCAAAGACCCCCCGCACCCTTCGTTTATCAGAGCACTCCTCTTCATCCCCCCGTCCCTATCACTCCATCAGCATCAACACACACACACTAACACACACACTGACACACACTCTTTTACCAAACCAGCCCCTTTAGGACCTCCACTGATCGACATCCGGCTGCACGTTGGACTCAATTCAGCTTGAGTGGCATCAAAGTTTAGTTTCTTATTAATGTCCTTTTTTCCTCATCGAAAATTTGACATAAAAATAAAACAAAAATGAAGTTTTTTAAAAAGTTTTTCATCATGCAAATATTTAAATCAAGTTTTCAGCCAGTTTCTGTCTGTGATATTTGTCAGCCGCTCTCTTATTTCTGCTCTGATAACCGTGTGCACGCTCAAGAAATCAAATTGTGACTCCTCTGATCTGACAACGGTGAATTTTCCCTCCTGACATTAAAGCAATGATTTTAGGAGTGATGCATCTTAAGTCAGAATCCTGTGGAGCGTTTTAAATCAGTTTTTAAACAGACTGAATGAACGCCAGTGCTTCTCTGTGACCCCAAACTCTATAAGTTGTCGTTACGAGGAGGCAGATGGCGAATATTAACCATAAGTGACACATCTGACTGTAACCATAAACTTTGATGAAATCTACTTTTCCAGATCCACATCCTCTGTATGCACAGGGCAAGATCAAAAACAAGATCAGATGTATACATTCGTTAACGGCTGCCACCACAATTAGCGCAAACCAAAGGAGCCACCAAGCAGCTTTAAAGGTGCAGTGTGTGGTTTTTGAGAGTATGATATAGTCAGTGAGTTCAGTTTATGACTTTGGCGTCTCTTGATTTTGTCCTTCAGTTATCGAAGTTATTCCTCTCTACTGTAACCTGATAAATGCTGCTAAATGTTTTTGTTACTTCAGATTGAGTCTGGCGTTTTCACATCGGAGCGGGGCCCTGTCTATGAGGGCTGCCATCTTTCACCCACATGTTTGAGTCTTGTGTATTAAAATGTAACTCTGCCGCTTACTTCTCAATGTAAACACATAATCTGTCCACATGACCATGCTTTATTTGTTACTTTAAACTGAGTCTTGTGTTTTCACATCAGAGCGGGTCCCTTTCTACGAAGCCTGCCATCTTGCACCCCCGTTTTTTCCCATGAACTGTTTTTTGTGAAGAGTAACTGTGCAACGCAACAGCTAAGTTTGAGCATACTGCACCTTTAAATCTTTACATCAGCTTCAAAAATAAATCCCTGAATAACCATCAGTGTCAAAGTTTTCTTTATGTCTTTTTGAAATGTTTTGATTAACATCTACGATTTGATTTTTTAACTGTTTGACTGTCTTGATCGGCTTCTTTCATCAGATCCTGCAGAAACTGCGACATGTCGTATTTCTGAGATTTTTTAAGATGTAAATAAAATGCTTAAAATGCAAATCTGCTGCTTCCTTCTCAATGTAAAACACATAATCTGTCCACATGACCGCGCTTTACTTCAGAGTGTTTGTTACCTGCAGACTTCAGGTGTCATCAGTGTGTGTGACGGTGGAGCTGACGGCGAGAGTGTGAGAGTCGATCACCTGAAAAGATCTGAAGCAAACAGACGTTTTTACACACTGACGATAAATATGAAGAGTTTTATTCGACTAACAACAAAATAGAGGCACAAATATTCCAGAATTCAACAAAATCAGGAGTGAGTTTTTGTTTTGACCCCCTCCTGACCTCTTTCTCACATCTGCATCTCTTTACCCCCTCCTCTCATCTCCTCCCCCCCTCCGGTGGTTTCTGGGTGTTTGTTGTTAGTTTCCTGTCACACAGGAAGTGCCTCACCCTGCCGCCTGCCTCCCCATTGGCCCGTGATGAACACTGATTTTATTTTGGAGGGGGGAGACGGAGCTGCGGAGGATAGAAAGAGGGAGCAGAGTGAGGACGGAGGGGGACAAGTGGACGAGACGCAGGAGAGGACGGACGGACGGTTTCAGAGGATGAGCGAGAGAGAGGGAGACGAGTGGGTGAGTGTGAACGCAACAACAACACAAAGAAATACACACTCACACTTTGTCAAGCTGCACGACTTTAGAGTTGAACTTTTTATTTCCTCTTCCTTTTTTAAATTAATCACCAGAAAAACAAACTTGAACGTCACTTTTGCTCTTTTTTCTGCTCTTTGCAAAAACTCTCTGACCTTCACTGCAGTTTGTTTTGACTTTGGCAACATTTCATCTTCAGTTTGTGCAGGATAAGATTTGCCGGGAGCCTCAGTCTATTGTTCCTGCAGTGTAATAATATTTTACTGATATTGTTCTCTTGTCCTCAGTCCATGTTCCTGCCTGTCTGTCTCGGTCCGGTCACTCCCAATCCTTGTACCAGTGTCTGATCCTGAGAGACGCTGTGCAGGGTTGGGGGGGGCTGTGCTGTGCTCTGCTGCTGCTGCTGCTGCTGCTGATATGAGCTCCATTATTTGTGAAAACCTGCGTGCATGCTCAGGAAAACCTCAAATCAAGTATGCAGGAGAAGATTTCTTTCCTCTCTTTGAGATTTCAGATGCAGGATCAGAAACTCAGAGTTTTTAAAGCTGAAGAAAAGTTTTCTGTTTACCTCCTGAAGACTGACAATGATTTCAGAGACTCTTTAACATCGTTTATGTTTCCAGTTTTAACTTTATAAGTTCATGTATTTAAACATGTTTAAACAGAGTCTGAGTGTTGATGATTTTATGTCTTTTACGGCTTTATTTTGGACATTTCCTCTCAGGGTCAATAAAGTTGAAGTGGCGCTGACAGATTCCTCTTTGTTTCTCTTTTTCTTTCTTTATCTGCAAAAAATAGGGTGAAAAAAGGATTAAAGCATTATGAGACATGTCTTTTAGTCAAATTAAAACAATAAAAAGAGTCTGTTAACATTTAAAAGTGTCTTAGTTTAATCGCAGTTTCTCCTGATCCTCAAAAATCACGTCCACTATAATTTCTCGGCTGATCTATATGATTAGATTTGATCAGCTGTGGTTTAACCAAACAGCTGTAATCACATCCGATTTGTACGCTCTGGTGTTTTGCAGCAATACATGATAACATGTTTTTCTTTTTCACAACAAGAAGACGAGCAAAAATATTTGAAATCAGTCTGAGAAAAACAGAAAAGTGGCTTTAATATCGAGCGTAAAGTGATGAATTCCTGCATGATTTAAAGGATGAATCATATGGTGTGTTCGTCTAAATTCAAACACACCAAAAGTAAAGATCTGAACCACTTTCAAAAGGCTCTCTTACACAGTTCTGGTCTGTGTTTTAGTGTTTTAAAGGACCAAACTCTGCATGTACAGACCAAAACTTCAGAGGAAGCCTCGTCTTACATGGTTGATAGCTGAAGATTTCTTTTGTTTTCATCCCAGTTGCAGAGCAGAGATTAAAAACATCACTTTAATGTGTGAGTTCATGATCAGCATGAGGAGGTTTTTCCAAATGCTGATCTTTCTGGCTGTTTCATGAAGGTTGTGCACAGTCATTTTATTTTAAAGAGGTATTTACAGCGTCAGGCAGCAGCCAACAGGGCATGATAGCAGGTTACAGCAGCTGCAGCATCAGAATATAATCCACCCCACAGTGGATGGCTGGGACTGCAGACGACGGTCCTCTATAGGGTTGAAAAAGGTTGAAAAACAATGGAATAAAGAAAATGTCTGGGTCATATCAACAGACTGTGATGTATCTGAGTTGGCTGGAAAGTTGGTTAACATGTGTCGACTCATGCTGCTCTAATCAGATTATAAATATTTCAATCAGCTTCGCCTGTGAGGTTCACTGAAACTTAAGAATTTGGAGGCGTCACTTGAAGCAATATCACAAGATCGGCTACAGTTTTTAAGCTGTAAACTATTAAAATAGCAGAGAGACAACAGTTATCAAATAAACATGGAACAATCAGCTTTATATTGTAGTTGATGAAGCTTCAGTAGGGGAGACCGGGTATGGATGCAACATAGGTAGAATTGCGGCAACATCATTTACCCTAATCAGATCCAACACAGAAGTCATCAGAGTTTATGTCCCATTTGACCAAAAGCAGGCAGGCCTATCCTGCTGCCAACCAGCAGGGGGAGCTCCAGATGTTTTGTCGTCTATTTTCTGGACTACAGCAACGTAGTTATTTGAATATATATTTGTATGTAGTGCTGATTGTGTACAACTGTTCAGAAATGTTGTTTGATGAGTTTACATGAACACACAGCCCTGAGTTAAAGAGAAAGTAAAAGTTAGGGCGGCTGGATACTTCCTTAATTTGACTTCACCTCTTTTTAAAGCCTTTCTCATGGTGTGGCCTCTGTTTATATATACTATTTCTTCAAGCCCCAGCATGTTTCGGGTTTAGCAGCCTGGGATTAAAACCTAAATGATTTAGTTGGGGATTGATTCTCTTTTACACGCTCAATCAAACCTAAAACTAGCTTTAACGTTCTGCACATGCTCTCTTCAGGGACGCATGTAAGTAAACAAACGAATATATAAGGCAAGCGCTAAAATAACTTTCATAGATGTAGCCATCTTGTTTCCGCCAATTTTTGCTTTTTTCTCGACTTAATAACAGAAATGCTGGTAACTCGGGTGTGACATCATTTTCAGCTCCGACATCTGACTTCCAAGGTAACTTGAACGCAGCATAACTCACAAATTCAGGTCAAAATAATCTTAAAATTACTGGTGCAACAGCTATAAGTGTTCCCACCATGCCCGGTCTCCCCTACAGAAAGCATCCTAAAGATTAAAACATAATTTCTGGTCAAAGTCAGACTAAGTTTCGGTGCACCATGGTTACTGACTCTCCGTGTTTGTTTCCACTGACGTCTCTTTGACACCTGTCCTATAAAAGTTTGATATCACAGGTACAAATCAGTGTTACCTTGCAGGGTCATAAACACTTTACTGCTCCTCGTTAGGCTCCGCCCCCTTTCATACAGAGAGCAGCGCGTACACAAAGCGACACACAAACACACACGGGAAGGAGACACGCTCACGAGCTCCTCCGAAACTAAACACAGGTGAGAGGTTTTCATTCACTCAGAGTTTGTCTGCTTGAAGTTAACGAACAGGTTAACGAGTATTGGAGTTCTGACAGCGGTGAGTTTCTGTTAAAGTTCAGTTTGGTGAAGTTTCAGTCTCCGGAGAGTCACCGCAGCTCTCTCATGAACTCTCTCATGGTTCAAAATGAGTTTCTCTGCCGAAAACTAATGTGCTTCTCCGTTTTTAATCGTGTTTATTAAATTTAGTTTCATTTTAACTGTAAAATAATTTCCTGGTTAGTGTTTTAGAAGAATGCTCCTCGTCCTGTCCTGCCGGTGTGGGTTTTCCCCCCTTTCTCCTGTCTCCGCCTTTCTTTTTCTTCTCTCCTCGATCACTGCAGCAGAAATCCTCCATGAGGCGTTTACTGCCATCGCCTGGAGTCAGGAAAACTCCACTTCCTCATTGTTTGATGACCTCAGAGAGTCTGAAACTCTCACCTGAGTTCAGAGGAATCTCTAATCCTGTTGGCGTTTCTGTCTTTTTACCTGAGAGTAAAAAAAAACCCGCTCTGTGGACTGATAACAGGATCTCTCAGGGTGTCATGAGTGTCTTTCTCAGCAGGTGTAAACTCAGGTGAGACATCGAACTTTAATTCCACTAACTTTCGCCGTATCTTTGTCTTTGAATCAGAGATGGCGTCCACTGAGGAGCGCCTCCCCTCCGTCTCCTCCGTCTCCTCCATCTCTCTGTTGGAGATCAAAGCGGACACTCACCTGGTCCTCAAAGCCTTCCTCCATCGAACCCTCACCCTCCCGCTGGAGGAGCGGCCCGGCAGAGTGGGCGGAGCTTACACAGACCACAACAAATACAGGTACAGAAAGAAGCGCTGATTTCATTCCTTACAGGGTCTTTAGTATTGGGTTTATAGACTCGCCATAAGATCAGACACACGCTCTCGTCTCGCTATCAGCTAAAATAAGAAATACCTGCTGCTCTGTTGCTCATCACTCTTTACGTCTTCCTCCCTGACTGCAGCTGTATACCCCGTAAGTCAAAGGACGGCTGGGACTCCCAGGCGGAGGACGTCAGCTCCACGGATGAGAAGAAATCTGGATTAAAAAGTTTTATGAAGCAGCTTCCTCGTAGAAGTTCATGGAGATCAGGGAAGGAGTCTAAAAACTCGCTGGAACGAGACAACAAGATCAAACCGGGACTGAGCAAAGACCAAACGGATGTGAGGATTCTTCATTTTTACTCAGAGCAGAGTCAGACGCATCACTGTGGAGAATGACCTTCAACCCTTCCTCTTTCTTTCTTTCTCCCCCCTCAGGGTGACGTGGCGTCCCCCTCCACGTCCTCAGACGAAGATGACGGTGAAAAGAAGCAGAAGAAGAAGCTGAACCCAAAGAAGATCCGAGAGAGACTGTCCAAGTTGTTCAAAGGGAAGGCGGAGAGAAGGAGAAGGAGAAGGACCGAGACGGGGTCAAACCTCAGAGACCGACCAGCCTGCCCATTAAAGACAAAGAACCGGATGTCCAGCCCGCCGTCGTCTCTCCCAGTAAGAGCGAACGCCACACGCTTACAGTTTGACGCTGAATGAATCTTTGTGTCTCATGTTTTTGTCGTTTTTGTCGCTGCAGCTCATCCTCCCGGGTTTTACGATGAAGTAGCAGAGAGACTGGAACAGATCGCTCAGAAGTCCACGAGTATAAAGAAGAAGCCCAGTCCCATCAGCCAGACTTCACAAAGTAAGAAAACTCAAACAGACGAGACGTGACGAAAATATGACCAATCTGAAGACGTTTGAAGGTGACCTTGTGTCTCTGATTTTGTCTCTCTGTCAGCGCCGACTGATAAACAGGCCGTGGTCAATCAGCTGGTTCAGCTTCTGTCTCAGGAGGGCGACTCGATGAACAACAAGGTGGGTGATTTTCATCAGAACAGGTGTGAAGACGTACAAATCAGGTGTGCCACGTTATCGTCTCTCCTCTTATCGATCTTTAAACGCTCTTCTCCCTCAGATCCAATCAGACCCCTTCCTCCGCTCCAACCTCAATCGCCTCTCTTACCCGTCCTTCGCCAAACTTCTCGACACGTTCAGCAGGAATCAGGTATCTGATGCGCCCACCGTGCCCCCGACCTCCAGCCCAACGCTCAGACGAATGGCGGTGACCATGGAGGTGTCCCGCAGGATCGTCACGGCTACAGGCACTCAGCGCATGCAGGGATACGCCGAGTGCTACATGGAGACCTTTGCTCCGTGGGTGAAGAGTCATGGAGGATGGGTAAGAGTGTGAAAACATCTTCACCTTCATTATCTCGGCAAAGACGGGCTCATATCTTAAATTTTGCTGATCTTTGGTTCATCTTCAGGAGAACATCGTCGATCTGGGAGAGCAGAGTGAAACAGAGTGAAGATCGTTGACGGCAAATCTTTGGATCTGATCTGGAGCCAACAGGAGACTTCACCCTGAGTTTGTGACTGTCCAGGATCAGCCAGCAGGAGGAGCTGGTGAGGCGGCAGAACTATCGACTCTGTGAAGCACAAAGAAGTCTCAGTGACGTCGCCCATCGGTTTCTAAAGAGGCGTTATGAAGCCCAACGAAGGCAGACAGCTGGATCTGTGGTGGACTCGAGGCCTCCTCACCTGTCAGTCAGTGCGCCCTCGCCTTAATGATGCAAATGTAGGCGTAGCTCTCAGCCTAAAGGTTCAATCTGTTTATTGTCGATCATGGAGGAACTCTAAACCAGAATGTAACTCTGAAACCAACTATCCAAACTTTAACTTCTGTTTCACTGGTTTGACTTGAACGTCATCGTTGTCGGTTTTACAGCTAACATTATCACGCTGCTGACACGACTGTAATCTGTGATACCGACCTCAGAGCAGTGAGGATTTTTTACTTTTCAAGATTTATTTTTTGGCTTTTTTTTTTACTGTAGGTACAGCAAGAAATAGGAAAAATGGCAAGAAGTGACATGCAAGAAAAGAAGGCACATCTGAAGGTTGCAGAAAATTCCAGAAAATAGGTGCAACACTGAAGGCATACCGGGTTTACCAATAGTCGATATGTTTACTTAAAGGAATAAAAAGATCAAAATCTCGCTCTTACTTTGGACCTCCTGTTCCAGCAGGAGGGAGAGGGAGACCACCAGACTGTAAACAGGTTTTATCGTTAATTTGAATGTAAAGTTCAGTCAATTTCTAACAGAATTCACTGGTTAATTGTTACCGAAGCTAATGTCCTTATAGACTGACAGTTAATGGGCCTGCCTTGAGTGGGCACTCGAGGAACTGCAGTTTTTATGCACTCCCCTGTGACTTCAGTTGAACTGAAACATGATTTCTTTGACCATTTTTTAAAGGGCCAGTCTGCTTTTTAATGCTCTGAAACAGAAACCTAACTATTTATACGACCTCAGCAGCAGGTCCCCTATCACTGACAGTTTACTTATTTATTGTTTACAATATTTATGAAGGAAAAAAAAACAGATTTATTTAAAGGAAACAGAAAGGTGACTTTGATTTTAATGTCATATTCTGCTTTTTGGAAACTTTTTGTTTCATAAAAATGTGTTTTTATGTGTGAGATGTGATGGATAGGAGTAGAAACGACCTTGCAGAGCTGCATTACACTATGAGATGAAATGTGAAACCTTCTTTGAATGTTTTATTTGATTGTTTTGAACTGACTGTTTCACTTTAACATGAAGAAAAGAGAAGAAAGCATCAATCTATCATGTAACATCTGTTTATTTACAGCATCTGAGAAACAGGATATACTGTTGATTTTAGTGTCTGTACATGCAGGTTTACTGTATTTACATTTTATTTACTACAACAAAGAATCAGCTGAGACTCTGAGCACTGAACAGGGATCGTCGTCATTACTCTCAGAAAACGTGACGTCTGCAGAAGTTTGCATGTTTTACAGACTCGTTGTAAATATGTGGTTTTATAAACATCCTGAAAAAATGACCTGATCTGACTCGTCTTTTCACGTAAAAGCTCAACCTGCCGGAGATGATACCTGCAGATGTGTATTTAGTGAAATGTTTGCTGTGTTTGTTGTGCGGGTTCAGGTAAGGCTTCGTTGTGTCCTGCTGCGAGGTGAAGTGTGACGGAAATGAACTTTACTAATCACAACAGACAACAAACAGCTTTACCTGATGTTTGATACGAGACTCAAGGTGTGATATTTACACACACATGTTTGGATGTTTTAGAGGTGTCGTTCTCTCCACACAACAAGCGCAAGTAAAATCATTCGCGTGAATGAATTACATGTTAAGTCAATGCAAAGATGCGATTAGACGTTTGTACTACTCTAGCGGCGCGATTGATGCAAACTGGGCGTGTGCTGAAAATGTCTGAATTTGAACAGATATTCACGTCATGATAATGAATCAGCACGAAGGTTGTCAGGTGACATATGGAAACAGATGGTTGTTCACTGGTACCTAAAATAGAGGATAAACTGATCGCGTCGATGTGTGGGTGCCCCGAATCATGATACCTTTTCTTTAAATTACTGAAAGTAAGTGAGTGAGGAGGTCAGATTATCTGGTAAATTGTAAAAAACCTTTTTTCCATCACTTGATCCCGCCAGTTGAATTAGCAGGAATTACTGTTGAAATTGGCATAAATTAATATAAACAGCATGAATGAAGCAAGTAAATAATATTCATTCACACATCTAGATTCGCGCGAATTAAGCGAGTAAATACTATTCATTTACGCGTCTAGTTTTGCAGGAATTAAGCGAGTAAATACTATTCATTCACACAGCTAGATTCGCGCGAATTGAGCGAGTGGATGATTTTACTCGCGCTTGGTGTGAGCGCCCCATTACAGAAATGTGGTCACTAGGACACTGATATTACGCCGTATCAGGATTATTATCAAAATTAAAAGGCGTGATGATGATTGAGACACCTGTATCAGCAAAATAAAACTGCAACTAATTTCTGCAGGCCAAAATAAAAGCCCTAAAATAAAGTGTAAACCACAATTAAAGCAGGAAGGTCTATTTACAAGAGAAACATTTGACTATGTAGCTCAACTAACATGGAGATAAATCAGAAATGAATCAGAGATCTGTAAACTCTAATATGTTCATATAATAAAGAAAAATACAAGCCTTAGAATCACTTTATACCATTTGTAAACTGCACACTATTTTCTTCTTTTTTACGCTCTAACTGAACCGGCCTCTTTAACTTTTCTGAGGGGGGATGAATCCTGCAAAGACACAAGGCTCGTATGCAGAAGTATAGATGATGTAGAGGATGGCACTTTGTCTACAGGGGGCGCCAAAGAATTCCCCACAGGGGCTCCTCGGTCATTTGGAAGCTAATCAATAACAGTATCAGATCAGATTATTCACAGAGATCCTCGCTGATTAAAGATTCACCTTTTCAGGCGACTTGAGAAACTTAGGATAATTTTCTTCCACATTTTAGACGACATTGGAGTCTCAGCTCACCCTGCAGGAGTGAGTCAGTGAGCTCCTCTGATTTGTCTCATCGCTGTTCGATCACATCTCACTCATGTTCAAATAGGATTCATTTACTCGTCTTATTCTCTTCTTCTGGTCCTGACTTTGTGGTGCAGTCCTCATACTTCAGGCCGTTGAACACGAACTGTTTCAGAGGCTGAAATACAGAAATGTGTGAATCCAGAGAGACTCAGTCTGGATCAGGTAAAATGTTGATTTTAGATCCCAGAGAGGAGAGGAGTTTGTGATGAGACAGATCAGCTGGTTTAAAGTCAGTCCAGGTGTTTCTCTGCGCACATGATCTGACAGTACATCATCATGGAGAAGACCAGGGCCAGGATCTGAGGAGGAAAAGGAGGACAAAAGAACTTTACCACACCTGTAAAATAACAGTTTTTTCTTAACTTAGAGATGCGAATAAGTCAGAGCACAAACAATGTTGTTGTTTTTTCTAAATGAAGGTGTCCTTGTCTGATCCGTCACGTGAAAACACTCGTTTGGTTTTATTTCTGCAGAGTTTGGTGCAGACGTATTCAGATGAAGATGCAACTTTTAACACATGAAAATCCATCTCCTCTTAATCCTTGCATTGTGACTTTTGGGGATCATATATCGAGAGTTTAGCCATGAAAATTTGGGTCTGTTTGCAAAGTCACTGCAGTGATTTTGTGCATGCAGATATCAACATGTTTTCAGGCCAAAAATGCACAACAGCAAGAAAATGTCATGATGTGAAGGGTTAAACGAAGAAAAAGACCCAAATGTAAATGTTAATTATTTTATAGCTTAGTTGTATTCACCGAAGAGCTGCGGGACACAACATCTCAAAAAGGAGGTAAACGGCTCCATCTACAGCAGCATGAACCAGGCTTCACTCTGATGGTCTCTTAAAGATGCAGAGCTGACCAGCAGCTCTTATACAGTGGACTTAACTATGGACGACTTTCCCAGACAACTCCACAGAAAAAAGGGAACTATCCCTTTAAAATGACTGAAAAATGAATCTCTGAACTGATGAGGTGAGAGTACCTGCACAACACCGATACACACTCCAAACACCAGGACTGACGGGATGTTATCCAACAACCACTGACGGGCCTTCTGATAACACGGCTGCAGACAGAGAGAGAGAGAGAGAGAGAGAAAACACCAACATGAAACAGAAACAGACAGAAATATAAAACTAAACTGTCAAAATCTGCAAAATCTTTAAGTCTGAACTTAGAGAAACGGAAACTCCACTTTCAGTCTGTTTGACCTAAATCCTGCAAACATACAAAATACTTAATCTGCCCCGTTCTCCTCATGAATCTAAATGCTTTCCAGATGTGTGCGCGTCTGTGTGTGTGTGTGTGTGAGTGTATGTGTGCGTGTGTGTGTGTGTGAGTGAGAGTGTTACACACAGAGAATGTCAGGAATGTGAGTACAGTACTTTAAACTTCAGCGTTTGTCTGAAGCGTTTCTTCAGATCTGAACACAAGGACGATAAATTAGAAAAACTCTCTTTTCTCCTCATGCTGCAGTTTTTCCAACTTCTTTGTCTGCAGCTCAAACAAAGTCACTGGATGCAGTTCTGCTTTCAAAAGTTGCATCTGTGCATCCCTCGTTTTTTTTAAACTTTCAGCTCTATGAAATTGATCTGCTCGAAGCACTGATGGAGCAACTGCAGCAAGATATCATCCAAGAAACTGGAGATCCACTGATTCAGATCCAGCATGCATCATCTCACGACCACCTGATGGATATAATCTCCAAATTTGGCAATCTGTTAAAGCTGCAAGAGTTCATAATGCACAGATGCACAGACTCCAAACATGATGTTCTGCAAATGCAAAAGCACATTTAAAAACAATACAAACATGCATTTCCTGCCTGAGTTGAGACCTGCACTGAGTTCTGCGTGTCTGAAACACACCGATACTCTGCTGCATCTGGAACACATCTACATTTAAGAACCAACAAATGCAGCTCTGTAATTTCACCCTGCAGGCTCTGACATCACAATTTACATCCAGCCGTGAAACCCACCTCATCCCAGCCGTCTGTACACTGATCGGTCCCCACGGAGCAGCAGGACGAGGGCAGCGTCCCGTTCAGAACGTCAAACCAGTCTGTTTTATTGGTCACTCCACAGCATTTAAACTGGGAGAAGAGGAGACAGAGAGAGGACCGTCAAATCATGGAGATACAACCTGACATCTGTGGGGGAAACATCTGGCAGTAAAATCATGAAGAAGACGATTACAGTATCGAGTAAAAGGACTTACAGATGTCGGAGATAAACTGAATGATGCAGCTCTGTCTACATGTTTGCTTTTGTCTGCTCACCATTTTCTGAACGTTGTCCCAGGATTTCTTCAGCCCAGGTTCTGTTTCGTAAATCTTCATTCCTTCCTTCAGATCGTCTTGTGCTTTGGCGTCCAGCTGACACAGAAACAGACAGAGAGAGAGAGAGAGAGAGAGAGAGAGAGAGAGAGAGAGAGAGGAGAAAACCATCTAAGGTGATGTTTGAAGTTACAGTCAGATTCCTGCAGATATTAAATCTAAAACGTTCCTGTGACCTCTCTGTTTACATGCGAGAGATTCTTTATGTTCAGGTCCAAATCCAGGAGAGGAATGTGAAGCTGCAGCATTCCTGCTCTATCTCAGAAAGGTATCTGCACAGCAGGAGTCCTCACAGAGACAATCACACCTTCCTTTAACGCTGCTGCAGGGTTTCATTGTCGTCGGACATCAGTAGAACAAATAAACATGTAACTTCTGCCCACAGCTTCCTCAAAACCTCTTTTAACATGAAAACTCACAAAAGATGTGCACAAGACATCAAAATAGAAGGTGATACTCAAGTGTCCTTAAACAGAGAGAAGTAGGATAAATATTTCCAAGTTTTTTGTTTGCAAATCCAGAAGTTTTTAACTCTGTTGAGAATAATCTGAAGTCAGGCATATCAGCATTTCAACTCTGCAGCATTGACTGCAACAAACACATTTGAAAGCACAACTGTAGCCTAACTTTCAAAAAATTTACTTTATCACTCATGAATTTATTTTATAGCTTCCATGAGAAATTTTTCCCTGGTAGTGAAACTGACTATAATTAATTCTTACACCTCTACATGACCTCTGAAAGCACAGTTTGCACATTTGCCTGGTAAAAAAAAGTGAAATAACTCTTTCTGACTTGTTTATATGGGGAACCAAATTCAACATAACTTCAAAGATCCTCACAGGAGCTTTAAATAACCAAAACTCTGTAGACTCGAGCGGATGTTGAATCTTCAGTTTTGGTTTCACTCTTTTGTTTTATTCCTAATCCATTGAATAATAATGAATAATATATAATATCATGCATACGATTTTACTATCTGTGTTGTTTGTAATGTAAATACTTGTATATTATCTCTATATTTTTAATTATTTTTACTTATTTTATCTATTATTTATCTCCTCTTTTTACTGTATTTGCACTGGAGTTACTGTAACAAAAGTAATTTCCCCCTGGGTATTATTAAAGTATTTCTGATTCTGAATGAATTCCTTCATGTATTGAGATCCAGGTGAGCTCACCTTGTCATGAAACACGTGTATGACCAGCACCAGAGTGACCTCCGTGATGACGAGCAGCAGGAGGATCACGAAGAACTGGGAAACACACGAGAGCAGATTTTAACCTTCAGTGTGACGACGGCGAGTTAAACTACTCCAGCTTCAACCGTGTGACCTCTCACCATGACCAGCAGGCAGCGCTGCTCCTTCAAGGCCCCCAGACACCCCAGGAAGCCCGTTACCATGGTGATGCCCCCAGCGACCAGCAGCAGGTTGGCGGCGGAGAGAGACGGGAAGGACAGAGGAAGAGAGGAGAACTCGGCCTGCGTGAAGGAGAGCCACACGCCGACGCCGAAGAGACCGCATCCTCCCAGCTGATCAGGAAACACAGTGAGGGAGATGACGGGGAGGAGGGGTCAAAGGTCAGAGAAGTGATCAGATCATTTCGGAGCTTTCAGACGTCACAGATGTTTTCATACGGATGAGGCTGATTCTGATTTGAAAATCAATTTAACTTATTTTAAGTTAATTTGATCCAGGTTCAGATATTTAAACATGACCAAATCTGGAATATGTGCGCTCCATGTAAGGCCACATCTTACCAAGTTTGTCCACAGGGGGCGCCAAAATCCACATAAACTGATGGCCCCTCACATTTGTAAGTCATGTGGTTTGTTTTCTGTTTATGTTTTCTGTTTGTTTAATGATGTGTGTTTTCTTCGTTGTTTGAATACTGACCCAGAAGATGAGGTTAAAGACAAACATCAGATATTTCACGCAGCACAGACACTTCCGAGACGCCGACATCCTGCAACACAGAGAGAGAGAAAGAGGAGGGTTGGTTTTAAATGAAGGTTATCCCAGCCTATCACAGAGCAAGCACACGGTCAGCTGACCAGACCTCTGATTTAATTTCAGTCTTTTTACAACCGTCTGAAAACTCCCCACTGGAGCTTTAATGCAATTGCTCTTAAATATAAAAACCTTGAGTCTGTTTGATCTAAAGACCATAATGTGTTCATGCAGACTCTATTCTCCGCAGAGCTGTCGTCTGATTTGTCCTCACACCGACTGCTGACCTCACACAGGAAGTTAGCCTGCTGACAGGAAGGAAGTTTCCTCCCTCCTTAGTGGACCTAATTATACCGCCAAAGGCATTTCCCATGATTCACAGCAAAAGAGCTTTGAGCATGGATCTGTTATCAATAAATCCCATTTTAAAAAATCATAAAAAGTTAACCACCGTTTTTTAGGCCTTACAAGCAGAGGTCAGAGGTCATGGGACGTTAGCTTTAAACACTTACTCCATGTAAGATAAATGTCGACTAATGTAATCAGAGGAGGCTAGATTATTTACCCTCACACTGCTCTTCATTAAAATAAAATACAACGAATGAAATACAATAGACTGAAATACTTGACCATATATCAAATTATGGTTCACTAACATAGGCTACAATAAAATACAGGACAATTTGAAATATGAAATATAATGACAAACAATAAGAAAAAACACATTTTGATATCATAGGATGAGGAATAATATCATGAGAAATAATATGATATGATTAGGTATGAGGAAGTATGATAATTTACCTGATTGTATTGATCAATGATTTTCTCATTGATCAATGAGAAAAAAAACATGATTTAATTTAACGTGATGTGATCCCAAAACAATAACACAATAAGATACCAAACCATAAGAAACAATAAATACAGTATGATACGCAGCCATATGATATATATTATATGATACAATATAGGAGATACGATATGATATGATATATGATATGATATGATATATGATATGATATGATATATGATATATGATATGATGCGATACAATATGATGCAATAAGATACAATACAATACAATGCCATATGATAGGATGCGATACGATGCAATATGATACGATACAATGCGATACGATGTGATGTGATACAATACGATGCGATAAGATATAATACAATGTGATACGATACGATACAATGCAATATGATACGATATGATACCATGCGATAGAATACGATGTGATACAATACAATTTGATTTGATTCGATACGATTCTAAACTGTAAACTCTGAGAAAATAAGATATCACATTATACAACCCAATATGAGTTTAAATGATACATTTTAATATGATAAACGATATTGGATATATTCAGGCAATTGTTCTGCACTCATGCATTACCTAAATTTCATACTGACCTCATTAACATTTTTACTTTTAAATGTTTAATACAAATAACAGTCCACCTGCACTACACACGCTTATACAGGGTAAATCGACCAGGCAATCTCTATTGAAATTAAAATCTTATGTATGAGAGTATTTTAGCCAAGATCAGTTCAAACAAATGTTCTAATATACAACTCAGAATTTAAAATCAGTAATTTCTTAATGCATCATGAAAGAGGAAGATAAGAAAACCATGCAGCTGCTGCATAAACCTTACAGTGTTGAGATCCATTATCAGGTTTTATAGAGGCGGGCCTGAGTCTGAAAGGTTTACATGTGGAGGGCTGCTGTGAGTGTAGGATGAGAGGAGGGTCAGACTATACTATCATCACATGCCTAAGTAAAGACTGCTCAATAACTGGCTGTCAGACCTCCCTATAGACTAAAAGGCAGTCTGAAATCAGTAGGAGGCTGACTCAGGGTCCAGCACCATATGAAATTAACATCACAACACTGAGAGAAAAATGATGAGGGATCTGAGTGTTTGTGCAGCAGGCCCTAAAAGTTATAATTCAACCAAAATATCATCTAAAAATCCAATTAGACATGACATTGTTTTATCACAGGACAGAGACAGAGGAGCACAAACAAATAACTTCCTCTTTCCAGATGTTTTAAATAGATTTTAGTCTGGGTTTAATGACACCCTCTGTGTATGTTCAGTTTGAATTCATCCATATTAAAAGCAGACTAATCTGCTGTAACAGTATTTTACTGTTGAGATTTCATGTCTTTTAAATCAGTCTGTATCATAGTTTTTAAGCAGTCTTGTACGTATAAACTTCATTATTACTCAGACACAGAAACAGCTTCAAAAGTTGATTTTTTTTTCTTCTTTTCAGTCTGTGGCGTTAAAGCTCTAAATCAAAGTTTACCTCACGTCTTGTCTTGGTCTCACTCCTCAGTCTCTGTAAGTCTCGGCTCCTTCAGCTCCTGGTTTTGATGGTTACTCAGTTTTTCCAGACCTCAGATCTCCTTTGGATCTCTTCCTCGATCTGCTTTGGTCTGGTTTTTTTTCTCCTCCTCTCGCTCCGTTTTGCTCCTGACTAGTTAACCCTCCTTCCTCCACAAATCCCTCGTCCTTTCCTCACAGTCTAAACTTTATCTCTGATTCATGTAATTTTCCGTGCAGGAGGTTTTACCCTGCAAACTCTGAACCGTGTCCCACCCTCTCTCTCTCTCTGTTTTTCAATGGTTTCCAGATGTGTGTGTGTGTGTGTGTGTGTGTGTGTGTGTGTGTGTGTGTTGTTGTACGTCCCTCCTCCTCCTCCGCTTGTCTCTCTCCTCTTTGTCCCACTCCTCTGTTTCCTCTGTTTCCTCTCTCCTGTGTGTGTGTTACGTTTTTTAACAGCTCCACACACACACACTTCCTGCCCTGACCTTGTGTTCCTGCTGACCGTTTCCACATTCAGGATTCACTGCTGTGATTTACACTTTTTAAAAGTTGCTCTGTTTTCTTTTCCAAGCAGAGATTCAACCATGCACATGTAATCTTAAACTAGTGCTGTTTTTCATTTTCACTGACGCAAAGAGTCGGATAATTTTTAAAACCTGCAGAGTCTGCAGAGCGAAGGCCGATGTCATGAAGGTATCTGAGTCTGTTTTCATGCACAAAACTCTGACTCTTTTTAAAGCTGCTCTGGAAGAATTAAAATCTCATGACAAATAACCAGGAAGAGGCCCGATGACACAGATGAACACAACTCCTTCGTTAGTCACCCATGAGTTTCACCTGTGTCTCGTCTGCCTCACCTGTTGCTAGTTTCTCAGTGTGCAGTGTCTCCTTAGTCTGCATTTTTGGGTCCTTTTCCTTTGTTTAACCCTGGCTTCATGACACAAATATTTACATTAAACTTTAAAATATACCAGCATCAACATTTGATATGTACTACTATTAATTAAATAAGAGTTTGGAATGATTTGTAAACCACCAAAATTGGTTTTATAAAAGTTTCAGCATTACAACTTTTTGATATTTAAGCTGTAAATCATCTTTCTTATCAAACTAAGACCAAAATGTTTTTTATACCTAAAACACTAAAAGGTATCTTGATCAAACAAAGCTCTTTATAATGCACTCTTGTTCTGAGTAATGAGGATAAAGCTGAACCAAGCATGAGCTCACATCCTTACATGAGTGGAAGGGGCCGCTGGGAAAAAAAAGGTCTAAAATAATTTTGTTTTTATTATTATTCTAAAAAAGTCGTATTCTGATTTTTTTCTAAGAATTCTGACTTTAATCACAGAATAATAATTTATAAAAATTATATTAGATTTTATATAATTTAATATTGTATAAAATGTTATTAGATTTTATTCACAATTTTATTAGATTTTTTTATTATTATTCTGAGACAAAATGTCAGAATTCTGACTTTTTCTCAGAATTAAAAAAATATATATATCTGACCTTTTTTTCTCCCCATTGGCCGTAATCTCCTTCCGTACATCCTCCTCCACTCATCAAATAGAACTGAAATAAGTCGATCAGACTGGGTTGGTTTTTATTATCACATTTGTCCTTTGAACAGTTTTATTTCATTATGTCAAATACAGGAATTTCATGTACAGAAGAGCAACGGGGGACTAGAGAATGAAATAACTGTACAGTATTTACACGTCAAAGAAATCTCCTCTGAGAGGTCGAATAATCGCAAATATCATCAACAGCTAACAGATAAAAATGACATTAACACTGACATGGATGCTTTCAGGTCGTCTCTCCTCTCCTCACTTCCTCTCAGAAAGTGGAGCTTTATTATTATTATTATTATTTTTTCTCTCTCTGTCTCTCATGGTCTTCAGAAGAACAAACAGAAAGAACACAGTTTAGTTTAAATACATGTGAGCTCCTCTTACCTGCTGCAGACTGAGGCGGAAACACAAACTATCACATAGTCTGTGTCGTTTGGACCTCTGTCTGATAGAAGAAAAGTCTGCAGGGTTGCATTTCATGAACACTGCTTTAAATAAAATAAGAGCAAAGAACCAGTTTGAGGACGGTCCTCTTTAGAAACGTCCCCGTATATAAATTATACAAACCAGAGTTTATTACATACTTATAGACAGCCTCTGAGTGTCTGTCAGTGTCTGTGGTCCCTTTCTTTGTCTTTGTCACATTCACGTAGTTTCACAACGCCCCCCGTCTCTCGGTTTGTTCAGCTCCTTTAAAACGGACTCAGTAATAAAACAAATACTTTAAATGTTAAATGTCCAGAAAAGAACCGGCTGAGAATTTCTCTCTGCAGGTGTCTGATCTTTAATCTGAAGCCTCTCGGTAAGGTCTAGGTGACCCTGCAGCTGGATGTGTGTCTGTTACCCGGGTCAGTCTTCAGGCCTTCGCGCTGAGGCTCAGCAGCTCCATGAAGGAGTTAAACAGACTCTCCAACCAGCTCTGGTTCGCCATGCACTGCTGCACCACCTCCTCCTGACCCGGGTCCTCCGCCGCCTGCTCGATACTGTCCGTCTGCAGAGGATACAACCACAATAACTCACTAAAACTCGATTCTATGTTTACAAAATTCAGTAAAATGAAGTACACCCATAACTATGACTGAGTATTAAAGCTGCTGTGAGGAACTTTAAGTTTGAGTTGACACTGGCGCCCCCTGTGGTCAAAGTGATAAAAGAACAAATTGACCAAAAAATCTGACATTTTCCTACTTATTCTACACAACCTTTATAGTTCTAGTAGGTGGTGCTTTATGGCAGATTTCAGGAGCAGAACCACACCTCACCCACGCCTCCTCTTGTACTTCTATAAATTCAAACCCACCACTCTCCTCTCCTTTATTCTCTCATTCTGACTTTCTCCCTCTTCATCTGTAGGGCCGTACGGTGGTTCGTTATGCCTGAGAAGCTATACCGCAGCTTCCCAAAACTGCCAGTGGATGAAAAACTGTTTAAAATGTTGATTAAAAATATGTCGATGGTCTGCAAATCCTTTAAACTTAACATTCTTAACTGTAAAAGATGACATATCAAACATCAAAACTGAAAACTTTAGCTGAAATCCTATTTTAAACAAGAGTAGGACTACTTTCACCTTACAAACCCCAGAAACTGGTCCTCTTGGTTTCCTAACAGGGTACTCTTTAAGAAGAGGGCTTACATGAGTTACAAACCACCAGATTCTGCTTTTTAGAATCATCTTTTACAGCGTATTTCACTCACAATCTGATCGTATTTGAATAAAAAATATCCGATTTCATATGTAGATGTGTTTAAACCACCTTAACTGCTATTACTGAACTTTTTTGACATTTATGTGGGGTCTTTGTTGGACATACATTTGAGGTGTTTAACTCTAAACTTTTAAAGCAGAAGCTCCTCTGAATGTGAAGTGAAACATCAACACTAAACCTGATTTAAGAGCCTCTGCGAAATGAAGATAACCTGACTTCTCTTGAATTTCCTTTAGCATCAGTAACGCCAATCTCCTCTGATTGTATCTAATCTTCAACATCTAGAGAAAGTCATGATTAATACCTGATGGAGCAGACAGATCAAATCAGATAAAAACGTAAGACTTGAGTTTACCTCCTTCTTGCAGTGCAGGAAGGTGTGATACTTGTAGTGATGGAGGGAGTGATACAGACTGTAGATCCGGCAGGTTTCTATGGACAGTTTCAGATCCTGGAAATGTTGATGAGAAAAGTCAGACTAAATTTGTATTCCTCCTCAAACAGAGTCAGGTACATGCAAAGATAACTACAAACTTTTTTCATTGTAGAGCAGGTGACAGATCAAATATCTGAGTATCCTGATTTATATTCAAAGATAATTCATCTGAAAAACGAATTATCTGTAGAGACCACTTTACTCTTTCCTACCTGTTGTTTGGGAATGCTCTTCTTGACCCTGTTGAGGGTTTTACGGTTGTAAAACTCCCCACCCAGGTGAACTTTGACCCCTCCAGATTCCAGAGGGTCTGCAGTCATTTTGGGGAAGATATGAAGAGACTCCTGGAGAGATGAGGAAGAAGTTCTGTTTTACTTTTCTACCGCAGTATGTATTAGAAACAATCACCTTCATACAGACTGTAATTTAAAGTGTGTTTAAGCAGAAGGATGAACAGGTTCACCTGGTGCTGAGCGCTCATGTTGACCCTCCTCAGCAGCCTCTTCTTCTGCTCGCTGAGCAGGCTGTCAATCTTCCTCATGGGTGGGAGGTACAGCTCATCTGAGGAGGTGGACAAAAAAGAAAAATATATTTTTATCTTACTTTTGAATCACCACATTTTAGTCACTTTTTGGTTTTTGGTTGGTTACACAGTTTTAGTGGAGTGTGCACCAATGAGGTAGTCTTGTACATTCACAATTACTCTCATGTTACATATGTGAAAGCAAGAACATCTCCAGCTCATGCATACTGACTCACATTTGAAACCAGCCTCTAGAGGACGCTAAAGGAGCTGCAGTTTTTGGCATTTTTCCACCTGTTCTCTGATGCTGAATTAAACCAGCCAGTGTGATAATCTGAAGGGAAACGATGCTCACCGTCAGTGTCCTGCAGCGCCTGGATCATGTCAGGGTCGAGCGCCGTGCTGACCAACATCTCCACGTAGCTCCTGAACATCTCACGCATGGCTCGGCTGTTAATTCCCCCCCTCGGAGGACCTGCAGTACACAGAGGAGCTAAAACTCGACACCTGAACACACCAGCACACGCACATTCAATCATATATGAACACACACACACACAGAGGAAGAGGAGCTGACCTTCGTCCTCACTCGGAGGGGAGGAGTCTGACTCTGAGGAGGAGGATGGCACCTCCTTCAGCCACTTTTTCCTCTTCTTTGGAGGAGGCTCCGCCTTGTCCTTTGACGTCTTAGCCTGAGACTGGCGCTCCATCCTCTTATCTTCTCCTCTTTTCTCCTCCTTCAACCTTGATAGCTCCACTCCTCCATCTCTCCTCTCTCTCTCCCTCCTCTCCCTCTCTCTTTCCCGCTCCTTTCGCTCTCTGTCTCTCTGCTCCCACTCCTTCTCCCTCCACTCCCTCTCCTGTTTCTCCTTATCTCTCCGCTCCCTCTCTCTCTTTTCCCTTTCCTTCTCTCTCCTCTCCCTCTCCCGTTGCTCTCTCTCCTGCCTCTCTCTCTCCGTTTGCTCCCTCTCCTTTCTCTCTTTTTCTTTCTGCTCCCTCTCCTGCCTCTCCCTGTCTCTCTGCTCCCTCTCTTTGCGCTCCCTCTCCCTCTGTTTCTGCTCCCTCTCTTGTCGTTCTCTCTGCTTTTGTTCTCTCTCCTGTCTCTCCCTTTCTTTACGGTCTCTCTCCTGTTTCTCTTTCTGCTCCCTGCTCCTTCTATCCCTCTCTTTTTGCTCCCTCTCTCGTACCTCCCTCTCGTACTCCCGTCTCTCCCTTTCCCTCTGCTCTTTTTCTCTCCTCTCCCTCTCCTTCTCTCTCTCCAGTTCCTTCTCCCTTTCTCTGTACTCTCTCTCCTTTCGTTCTCTGTCCTCTTTCTCCCTCCTCTCCCTCTTTTCTCTCTCCTCTTTCTCCCTCTCTCTCCTCTCCCTCTCTTTTTGCTCCCTCTCCTCTTTCTCCCTCCGCTCCCTCTCCGCTTTTTCCTTCTCTTTTTGCTCCCTCTCCTCTTTCTCCCTCTTATCCTTCTCTCTCCTTTCCCTCTCCTCTTTCTCCCTCCGCTCCCTCTCTCTTCTCTCCCTCTCCTCTTTGTCCCTCCGCTCCCTTTCTCTCTGCTCCCTCTCCTCTTTCTCCTTCCTCTCCTTCTCCCTCTCTCTCTGCTCCCGTTCCTCTTTCTCCCACCTCTCCCTCTCCTCTTTCTCTTTTCTCTCCTTCTCTCTCTGCTCCCTCTCCTCTTTCTCCTTCCTCTCTCTTTGCTCCTTCTCCTCTTTTTCCCTCCTTTCTTTCTCCTTATTCTCTTTCTCCACTTTCTCCCGGTGCTCCCTCTCTCTTTGTTCCTTCTCTCTGTCTCTCTGCTCCTTCAGCTCCCTCTCTTTCTGCCTCTCCTTGTCTCTGTCGTCTCTCTCCAGTCGAGGAGGGGTCTGGCTGTGGATGGTGGGCAGCTGTTTGGGCAGAGACTGTCGCCTGTTCATCAGGAAATTACCAAACAAAGAGAAAGAGTGAATTAAACGTGTGCGCATGGACAGGAAGTTGTTTGAAAATGATTTGGCTGATTTTACTGCGTGTGTTTTGGCTTGCCATGCGCACACACACCGCTGCTCCAAAACAGAAATAAATCAACCTTACCTCAGGGTGAGACCGGCTCTGTGCCAGGGCTTTCGGGAACACACCCTCACATAATCCTTCTTGTTGACGTTCTCCAAGAACTTCACATACAGGCGCTGGTAACGCATCTTTGCATCACCAAAGTAGCCCAGATACTGAGGGGAGACATGGAGAAGGACATAAAAATATAGGTAAAGTTTAAATATAAGGACACATAAAAATCTACAGCAGGGTTAAGGTCGATTCCTCGGCTGAAGGTGTGTCTGCTGTTACACTCACATTACTGGTCGCACAGAACTGCCTCTGACCATCTTTAATCTCCGGGCTGAACTTCTGGAGTAAGGCCTTCTGCACCCTCCAGATGGGTGGGGGCTCCCGGCCTGTCTGCAAGGCCATCTGTTGGCACACAAAAACAGTGTAAGTCACAAAGGGGAATATTTTTATTCACCTCACATACCTGTGTTGACGTACTTACCTTTAGAGTCCCAATGTCCTCCGTTCGAACCACGAACTCGTCACGTTCACGGAAGATCCCTTCACCTCCGCTCTCGCTATCCTCCTCCTCGCTCTCCCCAGCGATGGCAGCATCCGCCTGCTTCTTTGCCAGGTGTAAGGAGGTGAGGCGCTGGGATGCAGGGGCCTCCTCTGGGGTAGGGGGTGAGGGTGGTGGTGAGGATGATGAAGAAGGTGAAGAGGAGGCGGAGGGTGAGGAGGGGGAAAGCTGTCCAGCTTCAGGCTCCTGATCCTGATCAGAGGATGAAGGGGGAGGTGTGGTAGATGGAGGGGGGACAGACTGAGCCAAGGGGAGGTTGGAGAGGGGTGAGGATAGAGTGGCTGGAGGGGAGGTGGAAGGTGGAGGGGAGGTGCCTGCAGTTGGAGCTGGTTGGTAGGAGGACTGCTGCAGCCTCTGCTGCTCGGAGGGCGGGTGTGTTTGGTTCACCTCCTCCTCTTCCTGCTGGATCGGCAGAGGGGAGGGTACAGAGTGACACATGGGAGGGAGGGGTGAGGGTGAGGAGTAGGTGGGAGGTGAGGGGGAGATGGACGGAGATGGGGATGGAGGTGCCGGGACTGGGGCAGGTTCTGATGGAGACTCTGAAAGACAAAGAGAGAAGGAAAAAACCATGAATAAAGGGGGAAAAAAAACTGAAATAACATCTCCACTCCTCCTCCATCAAATAAGCTGTGATCCCTTAAGATCCACCAAAGACTTACTCAAGACACATAATTATCTTAACCAGTTTTCCTAAACAGACCAAAAGAAATAAAGAGTGTACACCTGTTGACCTTTATCGCTGCTAAACGTAAGGAGTTACAGCTAAAGTTATTGTAATGATATGAGTAGAGCCAGAATCTACCTGGAGACACTGTTAGACGGTGTGTTTGCTTAGCTAACAAGCTGATAACTAGCTAAAAGGCTATTTCCTCAATTCATTTGCCGCTTTTGCTCCTAAAGTGACTGTGTAATTATGAATGAGTGGAAGTTAATGTCTTATGGGGGAGGCTTTTTTCGTCAATTACTGAGATTAACTCTTGCTGCGGCTCGTTTTGTTGCTAACGTTTATCAAACTCTGCTGTAGGCCCGTAGGTGTGCTAAACTGACATTTGCTAGCTTAGCTCCTTGAAGTGCTACAGAACCTCTAATTTCACAATACCGCCTTGGAATCTGTGAAACTGGATTCTACGGTCTCCGCCATTTTTAAAAAACTTAACCGGAAATGCTAAAACCGATTAATTCATAAACTTTCAGGAATTTTCTCCGAGCTTTGAGGGAAATCTGAAGGTATCGATAGTTATTGGAAAAAATATAAACATTAGTGTCATAATAATCGCCTCTAATATGAATAAGCAGGCCCGTTCTTCTCGTCTAACGTCAATTGTTCTGTTAAAAGAGTATTTATACGAGCATGCTAATGTTTTAGCCTGACCGTTAGTTCAGATGTTTACTAGTTGATGTTCGTTTGTGGTGCAATTAGGCTTAAATCCGTGACCATGGTACTGTTACTTTGGCATCAGAGGAAGTTCAGGATCCTGTCTTATCCGTTTAAAAAGATACCTCCTAATATATAGGGGAGAGTGGGGTAAGTTGAGCCACCCCCTGTTGCTTGGAAACGGTAAAAGAAATTGATAATGTGACCAAATATTTAGGAGATGGGCATCAATTCATGGAGTCTGTGAAGGTTAGAAGCACATGGGTGAAGGGGTTAGACATTTTTTCACTTTTGAAAGTGAATTTAGTTTTATTAGAATTGTGTTCAGACCAAAAAAGATTATTTTAAATTTGTTTTACACATCAATTGTGGTGTCTATCAGCTACAACATGAGGTCGACTTACCCCCATTATTATCAAAACAGTTATGTTTACACTCATTCTGTTGGTTTGCAGGGATGAACAACATCATGAAATATCTGCAGATACACTCGTTAGAGACAAAACTGTGATTGCCTTGATGTAGTTATCCGAAATATGAAAAATGTCTCATCTTACCCCACTCTCCCCTTTCCTCAAACATCTGGTCTGTAACCTGTTTTTTTTTCATACCTTACACAGACATCAGAATCTGTAAATACCCCCCTTCATGAACATGACCAATAATGACAGGCTGGCAAAAACAAACATGCATTTACCTTGAACCCTGGGAACCTCCTCAATCTGTGGTTCAGAGGACCTCTCCTCCTCCTCTTCCTCCTCCTCTTCCTCTCCTTCAAGCTCCTGTTCCTCTGGAGATCCCTCCTGCAGAGTCCGTTCATCCCTCAGGCTTTCCTCATCATTAGCTATCTTTACTCCTTCCTCCTCCTCTTCCACCTCTGCTTCTTCTTCTTCTTCTTCCTCTTCTCTCTGTACAACCCTACCCTCCTCTTCTTCTCTCTCCAGCTGCAGGGGGGAGTCCTTTTGCTCCTCCTTGTCCTGGGGATGCTCCTGAGAGTATGTCAGGGCCTCCTCTTTCTCCTCACCATCACCCTCCATGCTGGGGATGAGAGGGGGCAGGGCAGGGAGAGGGGTGTTGAGGGGTTGCTCCTGTGGGGTGGGTGGGGATGGTGTTGGCGGAGCTTTAGCCATGGCAGATGCCATGGCAGCAGCGAGTGAGTGTGGCGTGTCGTAGAGAGCAGAGATGGCGGAGGAGATGCTCTTCTGAAGGTCTTGGTTCTTACTGACTGAGTCCTCCTCATCAGAGGAGAAGGACGGCAGCGTCTCCAGGTTCCTCTTCAGCTCCTCATCCAGAGGCTTGCAGGGACTTGGGCAGCCACTGAGGTTCAGGTCCGACCCTTCGCCCTGCGCCCCCTCGCTGTATGATGGAGGCTGCTGAGGAGGAGAAGGTGAGAGGGCAGGAGGAGGCGGGGGTAAGGGTCTGAGGGAGGAGCTCTTCAAAGAGGAGCAGGGGTTCAGGTCCTCCTCCTCAGGACCTCCATCAGGTCCAAGGTCAAGTCCAGACTGTTTCTTCCCGGTTTTCAGGAAGTCCAGAAAAGACGCCATGAAGCCGGGTTTGAAGTCAAAGGATTTATCATCAGCCTGGAAGAGAGCAGGAGCGTATTACTGAAGTGCAGTGAAATAATTGTGGAGAGTTCTTAGGAGTCATTTTTACATTTTTAATAATTCATAATAATTCATTTAGAGTTACTCTACTAGATTAATATTATTTTAGATGGACTATTGAATAAGGGTGCCTTCAGCATATTAGAGTAAGGTGAAATAAACAAGTATTGCAAAATTGTGATTAGGAGAAAAAAGGCATTAATAGAAAAAATGCTGTAAAAGATGATTAAGTCCGATATTGGAGCAGTCAATTTCAGACAAAATCAGTTAAAGCATTATCATTTTTATTTGCTCATTTAAAAGGAGAAAATTGATGTGTCTATCAAATCCATAAGCCTCTTAAATATTAAAACTCTTTACACTAATTTAAATCTATCTATAAACTGAACTCAGGCAGTGAATCGATTAAAAAACAGATCCTGGATGCTGCATTCTTAGTGTAATACTCAAAATCTGGCGGCAGGTGGCAGCACTGGTCCTGCTCTGAAAAAATGTAGTAACCGTGGCAACAGCTGCCCTGGTAACAGCCATCTCTCTCCTCTCTCTTTTGTCAGTCAGAAAGAGCTGGCTGTCAGTCAACTATAACCTCCTTTCTCCAAACCTCAAATCACAAAAACACCAGTGAAATGTGCAATTTTTGTTTCTGTTTGACGTCAGACGGATCAGTCACTTTACATTTATCATTAAATCTGAACAGACAACAGGTAAAACACCACCTTTCACGCAGGTATATTGGCAGGAGTGTATACAGGCAGCTGAGGTGTGAAGAAGGTGGAGGATGTGTTGCTCTCTCCACCACAGGCTGCAGTTTGAATGGATGAGGAATGAATTATATATGAAGCTCCTGGCTTTGCTGGTTTTTTGTACCAACTTACCGAACTGGAGAGTTTCTGCACAGCAGCCCAGTCTTCAGGATTCAGAGGGTCGTCTATTTCTTTTTTCCACGTCATCTGTGCGAACATCAGAGAAAAAAATATTCGGTAAAATCAAACTTTATAGAGAGACAGTGAGGCATAAAGTTTGTTTCAGATTTACATCAATTATCGTGTTTTCTCCTTCAAAATGTTCACTGAGGCCGGTCGCCTTGGAGATAAAATCAGGAACATATGTACCCGCCTGAATTGTATACAGTATATTAGAGAAAGCATATGCATATAAAACCATTTCAACATGAGGCAGGAGCCAAAAAATGCACATTTTAGTAGCATTGAGGTTGGTATTCACGCCTTTTTTGTGTCCTTTCTTATTAAATTTTCAAAATGAAAATTTTGAGGAGCAATCGCCAACCTCCCCTTGGCTCAGTAGGACAGTATCAGAGCTCTTCTTACATTTTAAGAAACAAAAAGTACAGCTAAGGTAACATAAACTGGGAGATGATCATCTCGTGTGAAGTAGCAGATCCTTTCCACCCACAGACCACAGCAGATTCTCAGGGAGAGCTCGGTCTAGTCTGACATGTCTGGTTCTCCACACATCCACAGCCACACTCGACCAACAAATCCTTTCCCTGCTCCAAGGGTCACTGCCCTGCTGCATTGTTCTAAATTGCAGTTATACAAAAGGCTGAGTCGTACAGATGTGAACACCATCCAACATCCTAACAGCTGAATCAGCACTTTAACATCAGTCCCAGCTTAATGAAGAAGACAATGTGCGGCATAAAGAGAGAACACCTGGCTGAGGATGATTTGAGAAGCTTCACAGTGAGATATGAAACACAGAGGTCGTTTGTGTCTCCAGTTGCTATCGTGCACTGTATTTCTGATTGTTCATTACTATTTAGAATCCACATTTTCATTAAACCACAAAGGTTAATCATTCCTGTATATGTGTATTCTTGTATTATATGAGAAAACTACATTTTTTTATTTTTAAATTGGAGCAGAGGGTGTGGTCAACACAAACAATAAGACTGATGGGAAATTCCAGGGGAAAATGAGAAGTGCTGAAATGTATCAGTTATATAGCAGCATCGCCCTTTCTGTCTCCTCTATACAATTGATCCAAAATGTGATTAGAGCTGCCTGTGTGAGCCATAAATATCTCAGCCAAACTGTATTTTGTTGTAGCATTAATTTGCCACCAGGTGGCAGCCCCTTTATTTTAAGTTTTAAGGTCCTTTATTAAACAACTACTCTAAATCACTTGTTGTTGTAAATCACTGATCACTTGTTATCTTAAATTTAGGAACCTTCTAAACAAAGCAGTATATTTTACTTAAGGATGTGTACTGGATGTCCCTATATTCCTAAGTCGGCACAGAATTTATTGCCTGTTACATTAACTATTATTATAATCTTAATCGTAGCACTAAAATGCCATTCATATGTTGTTTGTATGTTGCAGTGCAGTCACTCAACACTAGCTGGGGCAGCTCTAGTGCATGGAAACTGTTGTGATGCCATAATACTCTACTACCCTGATGCAAACAATTACAAAAGGCAGATAGTGTACTGTTGGCTGGTGCAGTTTGTCAGGGTTTTGATGTAAAGTCTGGGTAAAGGGACATTTTTCACAGTACATCCATTCATTCTGAAAGGTTTACATTTAAGCTCATCAAACAGAGCAGGCTAAAAGTGAACGACTGTTTCTTTCTTCTCCAAATGAAGACCTGAAAATTTGCTTTACAGTATGTTGTTTATATGCCAAAATGATCCATGCCTCTCTAAGGTGGTTATCATTTACAAAGGCTTAGGTCTTATTGCATTTGGGATTAATAACTCAACTCTACAGATAACTTGACTTTGACCAAGGATCTCTGCTCTCTGATATTTGTCATTTTGCCCTCCCTCCCTGTAAAAAAGCAACTCCCCCTCAAGCTGTTGTGTATAATGTGACTGTGAAGATGAGAAAACTCTCAGCTTTGGTCGCACATCCCACAGTGCCAGTCCATTCAAGTCTTCAGGGTAAATCTGCAAGAATCCAAAGAAGGTGCTCGCCAACCTTTCAAACTTTCAAACCTTTGAAGTAATGTCAAATAAATCCTCGGTGGAAATCGGTTTAACAAACTCAGGAATTGTCAGGAAGAAACCTCTTAAAGGGTCTTTGTCGGTACAGCCAATGAGCAGACAGAGCTGAACAGAAATCGCTTCATAAATACCAACTCTTGTGTCTTACCTCTCCAGCTTTCTGCTGAAGCTTCATCATCTTGTCTTGAGTTTGATTCAGATCAGTTCTGCTTATGTCCATGGCTGTGCTGGGCCCAGGACTGAGACCCAGAGTTGGTGCGGATCCCACTGATCCATCAGACAGAACTGGATCTGTGCTGGACAGTGAGTCCGTCCTTAATAAGGACTCTGATGGAAGTATGGAGGGCAGTTTGATCTGAGAGAGGACAGAGACAGTGGATGCATTAAGACATTGAGCATAAAAAAAACAAAAATGCACAAGTTACTGACTCTCAAAGTCACTGATGCTCTTTGTATTAAACCCCCTCAGGCTCAGGGGTAGTTTTGCAGAGATTTATTACAGCGGTCCACAATGCTAAGCATGAATATTTGGTTCAGTTTTGCTCTGAGACTGATCTAATTTGTGGTCACGCCAGAGCTGGCAGAGAGAAATGTATCTCACACTGTGGCCACAAACATCGAGACGCAGCGTGGGCAGACTCCTAAGCATTAGCAGCAGGAGTCCTTACACATACACACATATACTGTATAGAAATATGACACATTTGGGTCTATGTTGCTGTGTGCAACATTAAATTAATAAAAGACAAGACCAACAGCAATACCACAAAACTACTGACTGTAGATACTGTTCGTAGAGTCTGTGGAGTAAGTCTTAACTTAAATTTTTGGAGGCAATCCAGAATAACATATTTCCTATTTCTGCACAGGTTTGAAACACAACTCTGTCTTGGTGGCATGTGTATCCTGCAGCCAGTATTAGTTAATCATTATTTAAAAGAAGAACTAGAAGATTACGTTAATTTTCACACCATGTAGTACTCTAACTGCACAATCTACTGATGTGTGGCACAAAAACAAAGAACCTCTGCATCACCCTGCTCTAATCCAATTTTCTTTAAGGGTGTATAAAAGTTGTTACTCTTGTAACTCAAAAGGATTTAACTATCATGTAATATGCCATAAGTAAAATATTTTAGGTGCTTTATATAAATCCCTCAGAGAAAATGTAATATGGAGAGAATAGGAAAGGATCCTGGCAGCCAATAAGAGGTCCCGGTATGCCCAAACCTAGAACAGGTGTAACTTCATCCTGGATCAGTATCAGCCAACAAACAAAATCAATATTTCGTCCAGGCGAAAGTCAATATTTCAAAATACCAATGAATCATTCTGTACTACAAGATGTCATCCGTCATCTGTGCCTGTTTACATCTGGGTGGTGGAGCAGGCTAGCACCTTAGTACAACACAAGGACCAGTGCTAATGAGGGTTGTGATGTTTAACCATTTAGTAAACTAAACACGCTCATTTCTCATTATTATTTCGACCTTTTCACTATGACTCTATAATTCTTAGTAAGAGATTCTGGAACTTTCGTCCACCATTACCTTGATCGGACGGATTGGGTCTTGTTGCAGCTGCTGGGATGGCTGCTGTTGCTCTTGTTGTTGAAGATGGTGTGGTTGATGTTGCTGCTGTTGATGAAGCGGTTGGTGCTGAGCACACGAAACATGCTGCTGTTGATGGTGCAGGTGGTGCTGCTGTGGGGCTGCTTGGTGGTGGTCAGCCTGCAGTCTGTGTTGTTGGTGTGGATGCTGTTGGAGATGCTGCTGTTGGCTCAGCTGTTGATTCTGTTGATGATGATGGTATGGAAGGCTTTGTGCTTTATTTATATCTTGATGCATTTCCACAAGTCCTTCATCCCTCCTGCCTCGCCCGCGGCCCCGCCCACGACCCCTTCTACTTTCACCAGGCACTGATCCCATCAGCCCCCTGCAGTAAGGCGGCTCTGGGAGGGGACGTATTCGTGGTCTACCTCGTGGTCGAGGAGGGCCTTCACGTTTTGGTTTGGTTGGTTTTCTGCCTCTTTTCTTTGGGCCATCAATGGGAGGATGTTGTGGTGGATGTCCAAAGGAAGAGTATCCAGGCTGGCAGAAGTCCATGTCACCCATTAGTGGGCTGAGCCCACTTACTCCCATTGCCCCACCACCCTTCCTACAACTAGACACCAAGTCTGGGAGCAGATCAGGAAGGCGGCGACTATTGAGACGAATGTCAGCTGGAACATCAGCTTTATCCTCATCGTCCTCAAATTCGTACTCCTGGGCATAGTTCTTCTTTGTCTGTGGCTGCGGCTCTCGACGCTGTTTGAGCAGGTGAAATGAGCTCGTCTTCAGCAGCTTCTTGGGTCGAGAGGAACAAAATATTGGTGACGTCAGTCCTGGGGTGCTTGAACCTCCACCTACTCCCACAGCTCCCATCATCTTGTTGACTGAACCATCCCCTTGAACTGCTGAGGTCATACCCATACTGGGAGTTTGGGATTGGATGAGACCTAGCTGGTCTGTATTCACAGTAGATGGAAGCTCATGGGTCTTCATAGAGTCCAGATCTAAGTGCATATTTCCATTTCCTGTTCCTGTAAGGCCATGGCAGTACTGTCCATAGCCTTGATCACTGTGATGTCCTACCATATCATAGCTTTCTCCAGCACCTCCTCTTTTTAAGACCTCCAGGCCCTCTTGCCCCGGTCCATGACCTTGGGCAAGACCTTCCTGAGCACCTTGTCCTGCCCCAGAGTCCCCAGCACAGCTTGACTTGTAATCAGCTGAACAAAACATGTCATCCATCTCGGGAAAGAAAGAGCGGTCTTCGTCATGTAAGAGAGACTCTGGAAAGCAGATTGATGAAAGAGGGGCAAACCTTTGCTGTTGTTGCTGTTGCTGTTGTTGCTGCTGTTGCTGAGCTTGATTCTGCCCCAGTTTACCCACTGGACTCATGGTGTCAAACTGGGGCTGCTTGAGCTGGTCTAGCTGGGAGTGCGACAGCTGAGTTTCAGGCTCTCTCTGTTGGGGCTGCTGCTGTTGTTGGGGTGTTCCCATATCTGCTGCCATCTGGTGGGAGTGTTGGTGGGCTAATTGAGAGTGTGACATCTGATGGTGAGGGTGTGCTTGCTGTTGGTGGTGGGCATGAGGGTGGGCATGAGCCTGGGGTTGGCTTAAGTGCTGCATGTGTGAGGGAGTGGATAAGCCCAGATCTGGTTCAGAGAGGAAGTCATGGAGGTCCGAGGCTGTTTGTTGGTGGTGAGGTGTAAGTCTGTGCTGCTGTCTTTGTCTGTCTCCTCCACCGGTTTCCCCTCCAGTTACATTCACCCCAACTCCTATTCTGTCGAGAGTTCCTCCACTGTCTCTGCTGTTTGCCCGGTTAATAGATTGCTCAAGCAAGTCTAACGGGGACACCGAGTTTTGACTTGGACGGGTTTGGTCCCTTTGCTGGGCTCCAAGGCTGTAGTGTGTATCTAAGCCCTGGGAGTGGAGCTGGAGTTGCAACTGTGAGGACTGGCTCTGTGGGTTGGAATCCACTCCACCAGGCCCTGCTCCTCCTGCTGAACCCATCATGGCCTGCTGACTCAAAGAGAGCTGCTGTTGTTGCTGCTGTTGCTGCTGTTGTGGATGGGGTAGCTGAGGGTCCATTTTGGGGCGGGTGGTATGGGAAAGGACAGAATGCAGCATGTGAGCTTGCTGGGTAGGATCTGGTGGTGAATCCATCAGGGACAAAGGGACCCGGCTTTGAGAAGCCTGTTGCACATCAGGTGTGTTACACAAGTAGGTGTTGTCATTTGCATCTGAGGGCTTCTTCAGGTCTATATGGGGGTGGCTATGTGAGTGGGAATGGGGGAGGCTGTGTTGGGAATGTTGAGGGAGCTGCGTGTGTTGAGCAGACTGAGAGTGCCGGGAGATTTGGGAGTGCTGAGAGTGTGAGGACAGATGTGAGCTGTGATGGGAATGTTGGGAGTGCGGGAGTTGCGTGTAGGGGTCCCCTCTTTCATAGTGGACCACAGAGCCCAGGGAGTCATGCTGTTGTTGATGGGAATGAGAGAAAGAGTCGGTGACTCCTCCAAGCCCTCCAGCCGTAGACTTTGATATGGTTAACTCTGACTTCTGCTGATTTTTCTTTGATATTTCCAAATGACTGTTCAAGCCACTTGTTGAATCACCAATTGCAGGACCTGAACTACTGTTGGCATTATTGGTGCGAATAACACTATGAAGGTGGTAGCGTTCCTCTGAGATCTTGTTCATATCGTAGGCCAAACCCTTTCCTTCTCCATCCCTAGTCTGTGAAAGGGGTTGGGGTAGCTGCTGAGGAGGCTGGTGATGCTGTGTTGAATGGGAAGCTGTGCTCTGGGTGTGTAGTAAGTGATTGATAAGGAAATCATCCTCATCTTCTTCTGCATCCTGGGGTCGTTCAACTCCAAGCATGTTGGCCTCTGTTTTAGACTTGGGTGGTGTTGAGTGGTAGGACTGGCTCTGTGTTTGCCTTGTATCAGGGAATCCTTGAGGTGAGGACATGAAAGCAGGGGAGAGAATGGAGGGAAAGTATTTGTTGGCCCCTGAGCCCCCAGGGGACTGTGCAGGGCGAGCAGAAGCAGGGGAATGCAATCCAGGGCGACTGATATTGGAACCAATAGAGGGTGAGGGACTTGACTCAGGCAGGTGATAAGAGCTGCTGCCTCCAGTACCACTACTTGAAGCCCCACTCCCCAGTCCTGATGATCCAACTCCACTTCCAAGACCTGAAATGGGTCCGCTTACGGTTGATCCTCCTGCATTTCCGTAACCTAAGGGGGGACTACCAGCTCTTCTTGAACTATAGCTTGAGTCCCCAAAGACTATCTCTGCTGAAAATGAGCGCCCCCCTGAGCCAATACCAGAGAAGCTCTTCCCTGTATTGGCCCCTGCTCCACTGCTCAAGTCCTGGGCATGAGGTGAGCTGAAACCTCCATATGACTGCGCCATGTGTGCAGGTGGAGGCTGGTTTGGCGAGCAGGACTGGGTGTGTTGCTGTGGAGAGGTGTGGTCTGGTAGGTTAGATTTGGCCACTGACGGAGAGCCGTAAGAAGAGAGGCATTGTTCGGGGGCTGGCTGTTGAGCAAGATTGGATGACACCACTTGTAGAGGGGCACGAGTCGGTGCTGGCTGAGGTGGAGGCTGTTGGCGAGAGGGAGCAGACATTGAGCCAGAGCTTGTCTTGGAGCTAGAGGAGGATGAAGAGGATGCTGAGGAGGCTGATGGTGGAGTGTGAGGGGTTCGGGAAGAGGATGACGCTGACCCAGAAGAGGAGTAGCCACTACTGGAGCTGGAACACTTGGATCCTTTCGTACCAGCTGAAGAGGAGGCTGTGGAGCTGGAGGATGAGGATGTGTAGGGAGTTTGGATAATAGGTCGATATGCTTTGGGCTCCATCCGTGGTGAGGGCTTAGGGTCAGAGGATGGGCTTTGCTCCCCGAGGGGACTGCAGGACAATCCAGGATGCCGGTGGTGGCTTGCTATCTGCTGGTAGCCCGTTGGCCCACCACAGCTGACATATTGCTGTAGGGGAAGTGTTGTGGACTGGGCTGGGGATGTTCGCTGGTAATGCTTTATCACGCTGTCCTGCCGGGAAACTGCCCTCTCTGGGGGAGGCTGGCTTGAAGGTGGAGCTGTGGGTGTCAAGGCTGGTGTGGAGGAAAACATTGAGGCATTATAGAGCTGGGACTGGTTGTGAAGCTGGGATGACAGCAGATTGAACTGAGGAGGGGGCAGATGGCAACTAGTGGAGGTGGGAGGAGCTTGGGTCGGGGCAGTGGGCTCCTGAGAGCCTCGGTAAGCGGAGCTCTGAGCGGACAGCAAACGGTCAAAGCCCAAGCTGGGCTGAGAGGGTGTTTTGATGTGCAGCAGAGGGTCATGGGGGGAAAGTAAACCATTGGAGGTGGGGCTAAATGTGGGCGTGTCCTGCAGGGATAGTGAAGGGGTGAAAGACCGTCCAGAGAAGGAACCAGGATGCTGGTATGCAGAAAGGGCTGAGGAGGAGGGGAAGGAGCTGGAACCCGGAAGTGCTCCTGATATAAAGAGCTCCGCCGGGCCCGGAGTGTGCATTGCTATGGGACACAACATTACACAGACAGTGTTGGTCAGTGTAAGTCAAGGAAAAATTTAACATTTTACCATTTTTCATAGTGTTAGACTAACAAAATAAGTTTCTGGATATTTTTCAAATGAAATCAATCCAAATTGTCAGCCATTTAAAAACTAAAAGTATAAAATCATGCTAATGGGGCTTGTTTTGTTTCTGTTTTAGCAGTAGCATTGCGCTAACAGGCTGACACTTACCAGTCTGCCAAGAGGGAGTGCGAAACTGCGAGAGAAGGGAAGAAGCAGAGGGTGGGGGCTGTGGACCTCGGGACTCCAGGGCTGAAATCAGATTCATGACGGAGGGGTCAGGACCCGAGGGGCTGGCATGGTGGAGGCTGGCATCAAACAGCCCCGACAGGCCTGGCGACAAAACACAGACTTCATCTAATACATACTTCAGCCTTAAATTTATGTCACCATGCTCTTTCATTCTGCCTCTTTAGGACATCCAGACAGTAATATTGAAATCTTTTGGATCATCATGACTGCGCAGATTTCAATAATATTAGTACTATGATCATAATTTTATCTGCAGGTGATGAAGAGTCAAAATTGTGCTGTTTTACAATAATCTCACGCCTGGATTTTCAATATACATAATCATCTCAAATCAAAGCTCTCATCGAGTGAATCTTACCCAGCGTGCGCCCAGGTGTGCCCCAGGCTCCGCCCTGTCTACTGCTTCCTGGATGGTGATTGGTTGCATAGCCCTGGAGGGGATGTGGGGTGCCATACGCCTGCCGGTGGAGCAGCTCTGAGTCTGGGTGGGACGACCTGGTGCTTCCATACATGAGGCTGAGGAACACAGAGAGGTACGTTAAGACTTCTGCAGAGGCCCTCACCCTGATGACAACGCTCTTCACAGTATTCAAACTACAACCACAGCTCCCAAATCATCTCCATTTTAATATTTAAAACTTTGATGGACTCATAGCTTCGTACTTCTATAGAATTGAAATCCAGTTGTAAGCATCTCTGTTCACTGACATCCTCTGTAACTTTAGCAATTTATAAATAGAAAATGCAAAATAAGATTAGACTGTGAAATAATTCAATTACACAGCCTCTGTGCAGCGAATATAATTTACTGTTCACTTTTTTTTCTGCTCACACATATCTTCAACTTGTGCAAAATGTAGCAGCAATCCTATTAACTCCAACCAATGCAAATCCAACATTACACCAATTGTAGCTTCACTACACCGGCTGCCAATTGAATTTAGAGATGATTACAAAAACTTTTAATTACTTTCAAAGCATTATATGTTTTAGCCACAGCTTGTATTTCGGAGCTTTTAACCACAGCATGACCTTGTTGGTCATGTGACCTTCACCTCCTGGTTAGACCAACCTTTCAGAATAAATAGGACGGCATATTTGCGGTTCCCTGGACTCTGGAATTCACTCTCCCTGCAATTAGATTAGCTGAATCCACTGACTGCTTAAAAAAACCTTGGTTACCCCCCTCCAAGACATACACCTTCAAATATATCTTTTATATAACACTATAACAGCCTGCCTATTAATTTTGTTTTTATGATTTTATTTTATTTATCTCATCATTATTGTTGTTGTTAATAAGACCCAATGCAGCAGCTGTAAAGATTTCCTCCTGGTTGCTTGTCTGAAACTACATTACTGCAGAAATATTGAGGCATAAACGTTGTAGTAAGACTGTTTGATGGTTTATGCATTTTGCAGATATTTCCTTTGAAATAATTTGGTTTAATTGTTCAGATTTGTGACAGTCTGAGGGAGCTTGGGTGTAGACGCTCTGCAGGCTGAGACTTACAGGAGTAGAAGCTTCTCCATCAGGGAGTGTGTGTTCAGCCTTACACCACATTCATCGCTTGTCTTTAGATGATAAATTCTATATGTGAGAAACTTAAACGGTATTCTCCTACGATTTTCACCCAACAAATTATTTCCACGGTCTGCCGTCTGAGGATCACACTCAGAGATCTGTGAATATGTCAAACAAGAACTTGTTGTTCGTTCAGACAATCAAAATAAATCTGACAGTGTGATTATCACAGGGAGTTCACAATATGAGAAGCCAGATGGACGTTTTTGAAGAATTGAAGCGCTCTTGTAAAAGGACCGAATACAACAAATTGTAGAAAACATCAATACATCAAGTCAGCGTTTCTGACCAGGAGCACCATGGAGCTGTCAAGAAGAAAGACACAAAGAAAACTACAAAAACAAACATTTTTCTACGCTTTATAAAAATTAAATAAAGAAAACAGCATCTTCAGCACTTAAAAAAAAGATTCTGATTGAAAATAACTGACTCTGATTGGCTGGCACTTTCTATTAGTTTCTGGTGGCAGATAATTGTACGAGATAACTCACATCGGCTGCTGTTAATCTAATATCATAAATGCAATAAAATACCTCCATATGTGTTTAAAATGAGAGCTTTAAGTAAAATAAAAATATGTTTTCTGGATTTCCTGAAGGAGATTTTTCTTTTACTCTAAAATACATGTAGTATGCTGTTTTTTAAATGATTTTTGTATGAGAGTGCATTGTTGTTAAAATATTATAGTGCTATTTAAGCAAAAATATTCCACTACCAACTTAAACCAGGTCTTGGAACCAGCGTTGGGATATAGCAGTGCAAAAAGCTATGCAACATTTACTTTCTATTGATATGAATATGAATTTTATGGCTGTTACATTTATTCTAAGTTTATCCTTGAAACAGAGTCATAAAAACGACAATCTCCTCCCTCTGCGTACCTTCATACCACAAATATATATTTGATTTATGGTTAGGGCTTTACAAATTCATGTGAAAAAAACAAGTCATTTGCAAGTCGGTGATGAACGTCGCTACAGCAGCACTCCACTGCTACTCATAAGAACCATTTCTGTAGGATTCATATTAGGTTACATCGGCTAAATTGACTTTTCTTACTATTTCAGAGCATTCTTTCTTCAGTAATTAAAAACTAAAATTAACTAGCAGTGTTCAGATGTAATTTTAGACTTGCAGCTACTCTAACCGGTAGGCATTTCTCTTATGTTCAGTATTTGCTGCTGCAAAAACCCAGAGTACATGAAGGTTTCTTTCAAAATAACAGAATTTATTACATTTTTATATTTCTACAAGAACTATGACAGTACTAAATAACTGGTAGCTAATATTTTCCAAAACTTTTCTGCTTTCCTACGGTTTCCTCACCTTGCTTTCCAGAAATCAATGTCCCTCATGTTGGTCCTGAACCAGTAAAGACTGTCTTCAAACATTAATGGGAAATAACTTGATATAGCTTGTTTTATTCCGTAACATTAAACCTCTCAAATAAAACTTTACTCTCCTATTTAACGGCTCCTGCAGGGATGTTATCACCTGTTACACGCTTCAGTAAAGTCTTACATCAGTTACTGAGATCACCTGACCAATACACCTACCTCTGCATGTTCCTACAAAAGCTTTGTTATTATAACCAGTTACCTAATAACAATATTCTTCATTTATCTATGTTATGTTTGTTCCTAACATACAGTTTAACTTTCCTTCTCTCATTCATGTCACTCTCTTGTCGTTCAGCTTCTCTCACTCTCTTTCCTCTGATCTTCAGTCCTACTACGGCTCTGTCAGCCTCATCCATTCATTTCCTGCTGCAGGCAGCATTCAGTGTGTCATCTCCTGCAGCTCAACTCTTCTCTTATAGAGGCAGAGACAACAGGAAACATCACACAACATCCACCTACTCCAACAGATAACAGGAGATTATAGATATACCATATACTGTTTGTATGGTCAACAGTTGCATGTAAGCTCCACTCATAAATACTGACTGAAAAGAAGCATAAAAGATCCCCTAAAGCTCAACAGGAAAGCTTAGGGCTGGATGTTTCAATCAACCAATGTGAAAAATATCACAGGCAGTCCTTATGTTATGCAACCTGTTTTCATTTTTTCAGATAACTGTCATATTCACTTTTAATTTCAAAAGGAATAACTGGAACATTTTGTTTACGTTGACTAAGAAATGGATTTGTAAATCATTTAAACACTATATTTGATTAAAAAGGCACAGAGACAACATATCAAAAATGTTAAAATGGAAAAATCTTATTAGATTTAAATTAATTTAATTTGATGTCAGAGGCACATGAAAAACAGGCAAGTTTAATAAAAAGAAAATATATAGTGCCCAAAAAAAACCCATCATCTCCTCACTAAACAGGTCAATATACAACAGGTTAGTAACATGATTGGGTTTTAAAAGAGCATCCAGACTGTCGGAAATACAGACGAGACGATGTTGTGAGAGACTGTGTGGGCAGATAGTGATTATATGATAATGTTTCTCTGCATAAAAAACACAAAGAATGGATCATCTACTTTATTATATCACAAAATTCAGAGAATCTGGAAAAATCTCTGTAGGCTACTGAAGGAACGGGGCTGATAACTGATACTGGATGGCTGAGATCTTCAAACATCCAGACATGAGTCTATAGTGGAGGTCACTGCATGGGTTTAAAAACACGTCCAAGTCATTGTAGGACTGTACTTGTCTTTCTCTGGGCTTGAAACTATTTATGCTGGACTGAGGTGAAGTGGTAATCTGGTAAATCAAAATCTGACATCTTTTTGGAATTCATGGACACAGTGTCCTCCCTCTAAAGAGAAGAAAGACCTGCTGGCTTAGCTGGAAAGGCCTTCAGCTCTGATGTGTTTTCTTTGCAGCATTTCCATTTAACTTGAAGTGATTTGCAAACCATCAAATTCTGTTTTATTTACATTTTAAACAGTGTTAAAACCTGATCGTAATCTGTTTGTGATTGTGATTTCTCTTTTTCAAGCTCTTAGTGTATTTCTGTAATTTTAGCTGCATTTTTTGTATGAATTTTTCTCATTATCACAATCAAATATAATCACTGCAGCTGTGTATTATCATTAATCACCAAAATAATCTTCACAAACCAACAGGATTGAATTCGTTTGCTTTTGTTCTGATTTGGCCCGTTTTTGTACTTAATTTTATGGTGCTGATCGGTCTGCTAATTATAAATGTGATAAGGTTTAACGTTAATCTGGGTGAGACACAATAGTATTTTGTTATATTTTGTGATTCATACGGCGTGATGCGGAAAAAAGATAATTGCTGGTGTAAAGACACGAATAATCCGCACAGCTCGGTTAGCATGAAGAAATAAAATAATCCTCGTATGTTTGTGGATTTTATTTCTCTTTATTATCCTGATTAGTGTTTCTTATGTCGGAGGAGTTTGGGTACACGGAGGTCTGTGGAGTCTGGCGGAAGACTGATGTGGTTGTCAAGGCGACCGCTAACGTACAGCAAAGCTAACGGGTTAGCCAGTTAGCTTTTAGCGTGAACGTCTGGAGGCCTCGTTTCATTCCAGCACACAGCACAGACATGTTGGTTGTGTCGTGTTTGACACAGAGACAGCTCGGACACACTCACACTCACGCACAGTGGTGTTATGAGCGCGTTAACACTAAACACAGAGGCAGCGCGAACGGTGCGAGACGATAATTAGCCCGTTAGCTGAGGCTAGTCTGACAGGGATGCTAACGGAGGTTCTGATGGAGGCTGCTGCGGCGTTCACGGACACGCAGGTAAATACTACCGTAACCTGCCTGGACTAGAAAAGAAAGAGTAATTACTGCTGTTAACTCAGCGGGGGGAAGTAAAGTTACACACTTAAATTAGCTGCCAGTCACGTGACATGATTGTAAAGTAGTGTTTACCAATAATATGGCAGGATGTCATCAGATTTACACACATAAACTGAGCAGAGTGAATTCATATTATCAACCTAGAAAATCCAGAGTAATCTTAAACATCTCCCTGATATTATGTATATGTATTTCTATATGTGTGTATAGCAGTGTTGGTCCACAGCTGTGTGTGTGTGTTTGTGCGTGTGTATGTGCGTGTGTGTGCATCACTCGGCTTTGATTTGAGGCTCCAGCCAATTAGCAGAGTACCAATCAGGAGCTGCTGTCATCCTGTGTGAAGTCCGGAGCAGACAAAGCTGCAGCGAGACAATGCAGATCCAGATCATACATGTGATCTGACATTTTCTTTTTTTTTTAATAAAACACACTGTGCTTTCACTAACCCATCCCCCCCTCCTCCCCTCCTCTCCTCTTGCTCTGTCTCACAATCACTCTTAACCTTCCATCGCATTCCGTGCATTTTGGAGACAGCCCCCCTCCCCTCCACTCCCCTCCCCCTGGATGACAATACGGCTGGCTGTACCTGAGCCCGGTGTCCGTGCAGCCCCCGTGCAGCCCCGGCTGAATGCAGAGGCAGATCTGAGGCATTGTTAGGGAGCTCCTGCACACCGAGTCTTACCTTGCTTTGGCCGATCTGTCGTACGTCCATCCCGTCCCAGCCCCCAGGTCTCCGAACCCTGCAGCGGGATAATTCCTCTCCATGAAAGAAAGGGCTGGATGAAGATGGACAGATAGCGAGGAGGGGGAGGGGAGGGAGGAACGTCTTCTCTTCTCTGCGCTCGCTCCTGTTTATTTCTGCGCCTGACGAGCCTGTAGACTGGGAGGAATGGAGGGAGGAGAGGAGGAGGAGGGGGAGGAGGAGGAGGAGGAGGGGAGGGGGTCACAGCAGCCAGGAGCACCTCCTCCCTCCTCTCCGCTCCCCATATATTTCACTGTCTATTGTCTCGTGCGTTAAGCTGCGGGGCTGTACAACAGATGCTCCGTGTTCTCCCGCACGGCCGTCCTCAGTGATCACCGCTGCTGCTGCTGCTGCTGCTGCTCCCCACTCTCAACATATTCCTCTCATTTTGTTACCAAGACGCCATTTTTAAGAGGAATGACTGGGCTGGCGTTCATCCTCTCCTTCCCTCCCTCACACACACACACACATACACACACACACACACACACACACACACTCACACACACAGGATTTGTCATGCACAGCAGCAGCATGCACAGCAGCAGCAGCAGCGCAGTGTGCAGACACTGTACACAGTAAAACAGAAACAGTGGTGACAGAGCTCAGCTGGAACAAACACAACTTGCAACATGCACACACCACCAGGGCTGCAGCTGTCGATTTTAATTTCATAACTGACTGATCTGTACATTATTTTTTAAGATTATCAGCCTATAAAATGTAAGAAAGTTTAGAAAAACAGCCCAGAGAAATACTCATCTTTCTTCTGTAGGCAAAGCAACAGTTCAAAAGCAAAGAGTTTCCCTCATATTTAAGAAGTTAACCTTTACATTTCATATATATGTATTTAATGAATTCTTAAAATCTATAAAATAATGATTCTACATGGCTCTGTTATTGATCAGCTGACTTCTACATGTTTTTCTGCTCTTGCGTTGACAGTGAAATGACTACAGTATTGGCTTTTTGTGGTTTATTATAACAAACAACACAATTTACTGTACAGTGCAATCACAAACACCCCCCCTCCCCTCCATCCCCCCTCAATCCCCCCCATCTGCAGCCCGTTTAAAGCATGGTCAGACCCCTGCAGGACCACCAGCAGAGTCCCCTCTGTGTCACTCATAAATACAGTCAATAAAAACCAACGCGTAACCTTCAAAGTTCACTCCAACACCAGAGCCCATCACACACAGAACCAGGAGGCTGAGCAGACCTCTCAGTTGTTCTCCACTGGCTCAGCGATCACGGAGGGCGCCCCCCTGTGGTCAGAGAGAGAGAGAGAGCGGAGAGATCTTTGTGAGAATTTTTCCACACAGTCTGTTTGTTTCAGGTTGAGCAGCAACACTGAGAGATGACGCTGCACACAACAAGAGGACACCGGATAATAATCTACAGTTTGAACAATCACACAAATATCAGCGTGATGGTGGTTTGTTGTCATGACGACTCACCCCAACAGGTGAAATCAATGATTGGTAATCAGGAACACCTGGTCTAAGGTGTTCAAAGACCTCAGAGCTGCTGATGTAATACATGAAGGTTGAGTTTTGCATTAATGGAGCCTTTATAGATGTGTAACCTACCCTTACCATGGGCACTGATGCATCTCTAAACCACCATGGTTCTGTCTTTTCAAACATACTATAATCAAGCCAAAAACAGTTCTCTGCTTTGTCTCAGTCTATATTAAATGATTACAAGCTCTTCCTCCACTTTCATGGGCTCAGTTTTAACCTGCATTTGTGGGTCCAGAGACTACGGTGGCCGAGAACCGCCACTGCTGCAAATAAAAAAGAATGCAAAAAAAGAAGGAAACCACAACGGAAGTTAATGACACAAAAAAAGTGGCAATGCAAAAAAAAAAATCTGCAAAAATAAAAGGATTCAAATAAAAAAAGCCACAACAGAAGTGAGCTGGTTGGTTTTCTGAGGCCCTTCTTCGCGATCATCTACCATTTAGGATCCAGATGTTAGGCTCAATCAAAGCTTACTTTAAGGGGCTAACTCAGGCTTGGACCAGCTCTAGTTCAGCTGCTATAAGACCGTGTTTTTAGTCCTTCTTAAATTAATTTGGGGTCAAGGAAATGCCTTGTTAGAATCTGCACAAGCTGTCCAATCCTCCTCTCACCCTGAGTACGGAGGTGGAGGAGCGTCATGCTGCCCACTGTGGTGCAGAGCCTCATTGTAGCTGGGCAGACCGGGGGCGATGATGGCAGACAGCGGCACAGTCTCAGGAGCTGGACGCCCATCTGCTGCCATTCTCACCGGAACCCTGCAGAACAAAAAAAACACATTTAGGGGAGTTACACACGATTACTCACAACATGGGAGACTTTGAAATATCCTCAAACTGCTGACGTGTTGTACCTAAAAATTCCCCGTCTCTTGATCCCCGACTCTTTGTAGCCCCCTGCATCTTGTTTAATTGAATTATTTAATGAGAAAGTGAGTTTTTGTTCTGGTTTTGGGGTTTTCCTCTGAAATTAAAGGGGTCTCTAATTCAAGTCCTGAAGCAGAGGTCCCAGTTCACCTCCAGAGCAAGACGCTGAAGCCTGAATTGCTTGGATTGTTTGTGAGCAACATCCTCACACAGACATCTCTACATTAGTGCAAGTTATTAGGATCCTGTCTGTGCATGTGTGTAATGTGTGTGTGTGTGTGTGTGTGTGTGTCCCCTCAGGGATGAATGAAGTATGAAAAACAAGGAGTTTGTTGTCTCTTCTTGCAGCTTAAATGTCTTCACACTCTGAAAGATCAGATTTCAGTTCAGTGAGGAAAGGCTCACGTAGATGATTACTTATAGAGAGGAGGTTGTAGAGAGTGTTTTTAATCAGTTATAGAAGTGAAAATAAGACAAGATCAGGTGAAAGAGTTTACATCTATAATTCATCCTCAGGGTGGTGAACTTTTGTAGCAGATTTCATGTATTTTTTACGATAACTTTGTTCTGGGAGACCTTAGCTGAAAGAAACTTTTCGGAGTCATGGCGTCGACCAAAAGTGTTTTTTCAGATTATTGGTATTTAAAGGGAATCATAATAATCGAATATTGCAAACTCCAGAACAAAACAGTTGGAGAGGTAAGAGTTTTCTATAATTAATTGGACGTCTACAAAATAAAAGTCTGATCCAAACAACCGTCCAAAGCATCAGCCTCATTGATCAAATATCGGTCAGGTCACTACAGCTGTAACTTCAGGACCATAAACTGCAGATTCATCAGTGTATGAATGTTGTGATGAAGTCCTGTATGTCCGTTTGTCTGTGTCTGAGTGGACTCACTGGGCCGATCTCTGCCTCCCCTTTTGCTTGGCTTTATAGCAGTAGATTCCCACCACGGTGGCGATGACCGCAGACACTAACAGCGCCATGATCCCCGCCACCAGCCCTGACACGTCCACTCTGGGGGTGCTCTCTGCGCACACGCACACACACACACAGAAACATCACTGTCATCAAACAGCTGACTCCTCAGCAGGTCGTTTGTCAGTAAAAATGTGGCTTTAATTCAGACTTAAAAACGACCTCAGGTGAACTCTGAATCAAACAAGCTTGAACACGACAGGTGGGTTTAACTCAGGTTCAACGATACCAGTCAACTCAACACCAGAGACAAATATTTTAAATACTTTAAAGCATTACCGTGACTGTTGACATATTTCTCCCAAAATACTTTCTGGAAAAAAAAAGGAAAATAGGAGATTTGATTAGAAAGCTAAAAAAAAAAAAGCAAAAGAAACATTAAAGGGATAGTCCGGCGTAAAATTAATTGAGAGTCAAACACACTGAAGCGCTGAGTTTGACACCCCGTCGGGAGATGAATGTTGCCGAACGCTTGCTTCTCTAGTTATACCAACTTTAGTAGCAATAAAGAGAGCCACGCGCTCAACCAAAACGTCACTCTATAGCCACAAATAATGTTCAGAACAGCACCTAACTTCATCAACAGGACATATAGGGTCACAGACATAGTACTAGACACCAAACATCTTTTTAACTTTGACTCATTTCTTTAGCAAAGAGACTAAACACAACTCACCTACTCTCTTCCAGCAGTCATTTGCTTGTAGCAAGACCTCAGACCAGTCCATCATGACTACAGCGGGGTGACGCAGCTCAAGAAAGAACATTTATGATCATTTCTTTATCATTTCCTTGAAGTAATAATCACCATATTAATCATTTTGCTCTGCAGACGCGGTAGTTCTTCTGTCTTAGCGTCTCAGTTTGATTGTATTTCCATGAAGAAATGATCATAAATGTTCTTCCTTGAGCTGCGTAACCCCGCTGTAGTCCGTGAGGGATTGGACCGAGGTGGCTAATGCTATGTCTGTGACCCTATATGTCCTGTTGATGAAGTTAGGTGCTGTTCTGAGCATTATTTGTGGCTATAGAGTGACGTTTTGGTTGAGCGTGTGGCTCTCTGTATTACTATCCTGCGGTCGTTACTAAAGTTGGTATAACTAGAGAAGTAAGCGGTCGGCAACATTCATCTGTGTGTTTGACCCTAAGTTAATTTTACGCCAGAATATCCCTTTAAACAGCCAATAAAAAACATATGGTTTCTGTGTCACTGATCAACATTTTAATAAATTATTTGAAGTTTTTTGAAGGAAGTGAAACATCTGGAGAGGACAGAAAGAAGACAGTCTGACTCTAAACCTCCTTCCTTGTTCAAAATGTCTGTTATTATTATAATCAGAGATCAACAGCAGAAGTTTACCGTGTTCGCGTCGTCCTCAAACACCTCTCTGGCTTCCTCATAACTGCACATCTCCTCCATACACTCCCTCTCCAGACTGTCAGCCACCACCAGCTCAAAGTCCCAGCTGTTATAGAGCAGAGACCTGGACAGGAAGGAGGAGGCCGACCGCCCGTCCAACTGCATTTGACCTCCTGCAGACACACACAACACACACATACCCACTGTCCTACAAACCCAGAGGAACACACTCTCACTGAAACTTGTGTCAGAAGCAGACAGGACAGGTGTGTGTTTACCTGGATGGAGTCTGAAGGTGACAGAGTAGTGGATCAGCTGCAGCAGAGACAGCACAGGAATCCACAGAGCTGCCATTTTTCACACCAAACTACACAGAAACCACGAAGGAGAGACGTCCTGAGTGAGAGGAAGATGAGTCTCTACCTCTCACCTGTCCAGCTCAGGTGAGTCCTTCTACCTGTCTGAAAGCTCCCCAGTCCTCCTGGAGGGAAAAGTCCTTTTATTCCTGCAGTTTGAGGCTCATGAAGGCACCAGAATCCACTCAGATTATCCTTCAGTATTCCCAGCTTCTGTGAAAACCGTGAGAGGAGAAGAGTGGAGCAGTTTTCCCATAAAGAGCTCAAACCTGTCAGACGACATACCTGCAGGAGGGAGGAACCACCACAAACCTGTCTGCCTGTCTGTCTGTCTCACTGACTGATCTGCTCACACACTCTGTTTACTCTGTGTGTGTGAGACAGAGAGTGTGTGACACAGTCAGAGGAGAGTTTTCTACTTCAAATCATGAAATATTCAACTTTCAAAAAACAAAAACCCCGACAAACGAAGAAAAGGAACCGGACTTTTGGAGGGAAAGAGGAGGAAAGATTAGGAGGACTTTAGTTGACACTGGAGACCTGTAGGGGGCAGCAGCGGGGAGCTGGGTGGAGCTGTGAGCAACACTGACACCTAGTGGTACTTTAGAAGAACTATATCAGAACGTGCAGAAGATTTATGATAAGCTACCAAACCAGTTTAGTCTTGACCAGGTTACATAAACTTTGATTTATCCCGCCCATTTTTTGTTACTCCATTTTATCATCATTATTACCACCATTACTATTTTATATCATTATTAAAAATCGTCTGTTTATATTTACTATCCTGTTTCCTGCTTTCAAACCCCCTTTTTATTACATTTCTTCTTCTTACCTATTTTATGGTTTTATTCTGGTCCTCATGGTCTCAGTTTATGTTGTAGGGTTCTTGTCTTGTCTGGGTTTCTTATGACAAATGAAACTGACCTTCAATTCAGAGGTCTTGTTTTTAACTTTTAACTTTTGTTTTTTATTTGTTTTTATTTCCATGCGCTGATTTTCTGTGCTTTACGACTGTTTGTCAAAGCACTTTGTGAACTTCTGTTTTTAAAAGTGTGACAAAAATAAAGTTATTATTTTTTAGAGAAAGCTTCAAACTTGTGCAAAGAGACGTGATATAAATATGTGTTATCTCATCTCTCCAGGATTATGATCTGTTTAACTACTTTGGACTTGTTTCCTGCTTTGACGATGAATTTCTCTAAATCAGCTGCTGCATCAAGAGTCCAAATCATTTCAGGGTTTGCATGAAAAACTGAAGCTCTCAGGTCTTTTAAGAATTTAGTGCAGGATGTTTATAATAAATAATGACCCAGGTGAAAAACCTGACCGAGCCAAATTCTGCTTTGACCAAACATGGGAGACCTGAACATTGATGTGCTGCAAAAACTCAGATTTTTGCAAGAATTTCTTTTTTCTAATTAGGTTTCATTTGAGCTGCTTTTACAAAAATGTCTAATTTCATGGTATCACATGTCAAACTACCACTCTACCTCCAGAAAGTGCAATATTACTCACCATGCTGCTATTTTACCCTTACTGTTTATTGTTTTTATTGTTTCTGTATATTAAATTAAACACCATCATGTTATGATATGGAAGCCAAGCAATAGCAAATCACTGCTGTGTTTTATTCTGTGTAATGACAAATAAAGAAAGTCGAAGTTTAAATTAAAATGTGCAAAAAAAGGCAGAAAAGTTCACCAGTCAAGACGTCATTTTCTGTCTCTTTTTGCAAGAAACTTTTTATTCTATTTGCTGATTTTTTTTTTACTCATTACAAGCAAAACAGATCTTATTTTTGGCAGGTAATATCTTAAAATAATCTCCCTCTGCTGCATCTGTGCAGGTTAATCTGTTTGCTCATTTAATACAAACAAGAAAACTTGTGTCAAATAAAAAGTTATGACCAGGATTTCAGGAGAGCCATATGTTGTCTCATAAGAAGCATCAACATGAGCGCACCTTCAGTCTGTTTTATAAGCGGCTAAACTCTCCTCAGAGACGCTTTAAAGACACACCCGCTCATAAAAGTCAGATTTAGTGAAGGTAGACGTGTCACCAAACAAACTCCAAATATGAACATGTCAAAGTCGCTCTGTGTCCGAGTCATTAAAGAGACAAAAGGAGATGTTTGTTTCAAAGTTTTAATGAATTATAAAAGTGATTTGATCTTTAATTCACTATAAAACTGATGTGAAATGTAGTTTTTAAAGTAGATATAAATACGATAGAAAGGAAGTTTGGTGCAGATACAGAGACAAACCATGAACTCTGACCCTGACCGTTTGGTGTCGTAATCCCACCCCCAAAACCACCACCACCTTTTCTGTCTTTAGTTAGAATAAAAGGAAAAAACTAAAACGATAAGAAGTGTAAATAAAGTGAAACCAAAATGCCTGAAGCCTCACAGGACGCAGGTTCAGTATGAGGGTGGATGTTTCTATACGTGCTACATGAATGAGCGTCTGATAATGACACTTCTATGGAGGCTCTGCAGAGAATGAGGCGAAATACCAAAAACAAAAACCTCCTCTGAGAGTATTTGTTTTGGTTTTTCTGTATTTTTGGTTCATGTTTGGAGTCGAACTCTGGAGGTGCTGCATGCTTATTATTCAGAAATGTTTACGGCTGTTTTTACAGGTCTTTATCAGGTAACTGCATCACGCATTCTCACCACTAGAGGTCACAAGTGAGTCCTCCGACCTGCTGAAATTGTGCAGCTGGACTCGGGGCGTTATTATTCTGTTAGCATGCTGTATGGTGCACTAAGAATTTATTAAAACTAAGCTGTGTTTGTGATTAAAAATACAAAAAATATATAAAAACATAGATATCGTTTTAGGCTGCAAAAGTACCAGGATGCATTTTAATACATAAACATCAGTGTTGGTGTCTGCGTGTCAAAATTCACCTTTGTTACATTTATCATGTTTATCTGTCGAGGCTCCTCCTCATTCAGCTGCAGGTTTCAGATCAGACTCCCACACAGACAGACAGACAGACGTCGCCGAAGTATTTTGAAAACCCTGTCCCTGATGTTTAACTGGAGATAAAACTACAGCTCTGTTCTGGAGTCTGCTGCCCCCTGCAGGAGGAACACAACACGAGCCTAACTCTGCCTGGTGTTTCTGGGCGTGCCACACGCTGAAATATCACAGACGCACTTTTATAATAAAGTAAAATGTTGTAAATAAATTGTGATTGTCATCATTCACAGCGACGACACGAGATTACACTGATTTAAAGGAATAAAAAGTGCAAATGAAATAAAATGATGCACCTCATCTCTCTCTCACACACACACATACACATGCGCACACACCCACATTCAAACACACTCCTCTTTGGACGAGCTGCTGTTGGACCAGACTGCGGTCTCCATGGTAACAGTCCTTAGAGGAGGACACAGGGACAGCCACCCCTCTTTTGTTTGCCCGTGTGATGAGTCGGAGGAGGAGGACTCTCCAGCTCCTGAAACCGTCTGAGGAGGAAACAGAAACACGGAGGAAGAAGAAAAAACGGTTTTTTAAAGTGGAACACTTCAGATCCGGACACAGAATCAGCTGATTCAGCCGAGCCGCACTTTTTAAAGACTGTTTAGTTTTACAGATGCTGCTCTGTTTGCTCTATCTGCCACTTTGTTCTCCTGTTTTGGCTTTTTTAGCAGCACAATATCCAAACCTCGTGTTAATGCATCATGATTATCTCTGTGAGTGTGTTCATTCATCGATAAGAAACTTGACTTTGACTGAACTAGTGATAGAAAAAAACGGATGCGGTTAAAATACTCTTGTGTGTCCATTATTGGACAATTTTTACTTTGGATTTTTCTCCTGCTTCAGGGTCAAATTTCTTAAAATCCACAGCTGCACCGAAAGTCCTGATTGTGTTAAAGTTTGCATGAAAAACTGCAATAAAATGAGACGTCTCTGCTGCTCAGACCAGATAGGTAAGCCCCTCGTCGCTGATCTGTCGCAAAAACTTGAATCTTTTAAAGTGTTTTTGTCTTATTTCTGTTTAAATGTTTTATTAGGCTTCATTTAAGCCTCATTCACCCATCAAAACCAGAAAAATGTCTTATTTCGAGGTATTAAACCCCAAAAAACAGGGTCCGACGTTCTTCTTGTCAAGTTTTCTTCTTAAACTTAACTCCGGTCTTATTTTAGATGAGTAATATTTTGAATTGTGACATTTTTTCTGGACCTGTCAGGTGAATTTTAAGAAGCGTGATCCAAACCTGATGATCTGGACCAGCTCCAGGAAGGCCTCGTCCACGTTGTAGCGGTTTTTGGCCGAAGCCTCCATGTAGTGGATCCTGTTTTCTGCCGCGAACGCCTGAGCGTCCTCCCTCGAGATCTGCGCACGAAAAAAAACACACAGTCAGCACCTTTCTGGATTTATTCACATTAAACGGTGAACCCGACTCTGTGAGCAGAACCTCACCACTCTCTGCTGATCCAGGTCGGCTTTGTTCCCCACCAGAACCATGGGGAAGTCGTCTCTGTCCTTCACCCTCAGGATCTGAGTGTGAAACTTCTGCACCTCGTGGTAGCTGTTCGCAGGACAAAGTTTAATATCATCAGAGAATTTAAGTCGAAGCAGTAGAAACCACACATACAGACACACACAGACCGAGTCCAGATCAGACAGGACTCACCGTTCTGCTGTGGTGCGGTATTGTGTATTTCTGATCATGTATTTCTGTGTGTGTGAGGTTGTGTTACCTGCCACGGTCGTTTAGAGCGAACACGAGTAAGAATCCTTCTCCTGATCTCATGTACTGCTCCCTCATCGCTCCAAACTCCTCCTGACCTGCCGTGTCCAAGACTGACACACAAACACACACACAAACACACACAAAAAAAACACAAAAACACAAAACATGTTAAAAACCAAACTTCACCTCTGCACCTGTCAGACAGAGCTGAGGGTTAAAATAACACAGTTTGTGGTTTGAGGTTTCCTATGAGAGAATAAAGTCAAACTTGATCGTTAATCCTGTCAGATCTGCTGTGAACATGTTAGATGTAAATGATGTAGATGTTGTTTCTCTTAGATGAACAAAAATAAAATCAAAACTGAGACCAAAACAGTTTCTGCTGTGAAAATATTCATCTTAATATGAGCTCTAATGGGGATTCATTCACTTTTAGAGCCAGCCTCTAGTGGACACCAGAGGAACTGCAGGGAAGTCAGAGAGGAGTTTCTACAGAGGAGAAGGAGGCGAGTTTACAGAGTAAAGAAAGGGTGTAAAAGAGGAGGAGTAAGGAGGTTTTAGGGGGGAGTTAACAGGAAAAACTAGGGGTGTAAAAGAGGAGGTGAAGGGAGAGTAAAGGGTGGTTTAAAGAGGAAAAAGAGGGGAGTAAAAAAGGGGAATAAGAAGAAAAGTTGGGATGTAAGAGGAAAGTTTAAATGAAGATGGACGTGGAATAAGAGGTCGATTAAAAAGAGGGGTGAAAGGGGTGAATGAGGAGAGAACAAGGGAAGAAATGTGTGTAAGAAGGGAATGGAAAAGGTGAAAGAGGAGGTGTACAAAGGGGGGTTAACAGGTGTGTGTGACAGGAGTTCAAAGTGGAGTTAACAGGAGAGTAAGAGGGGAGTATGAAGGGAGTCAAAGGGGGTGAAAATGAGTAAAAAGAGGAGATGAGAGAGAAGGAAGAGGGAACTAAAGAGGGGAGTTAGACTGAGAGTTAAAGAGAGTTAATGGAGGGATAGCAGGGGAGTTTATAAAGGAGGGGAGAGACTGATGGATGGACTGTTGTGAGGAGATAAAGGAAAGAAAGCGGAGAGTTAAAAACTTATTTAAGAGTCAACAGTGTTGGAGGAACTGTACAAAGTTTTTGTCCAGACTGAGTTAAACCCTCTGACTCAGATGTAAAGCTTTAGGAGACACAAGCTGATCCTCATTGAGTCCTGATTGGCTCCAAGTCCAGACCCACCCTGTACTCCCCCACAACACACACACACTCATACACACACACACACACACACTGTAACTAACATCTGTACATATAATACACACCCACACAGACAGCTGCAGTACGACTGAATATTAACCAGAAGCAGATCCATGTTTTAATATCAGGGATTGTTCAGACAATGATTCACGAGTGTGTGTGTGTGTGTGTGTGTGTGTGTGTGTGTGTGTGTGTGTGTGTGTGTGTGTGTGTGTGCTGAAACATCAGTGTGACCCAACAGTCTGCAGCCAAACACACACGTAACAAGTCCTAACAGGGCAAACACACACACGCACACACACACAAACACACACTGCTGGGTCACATCATTGAGAAACACACCCTCTGTTTCCAAATGCACCCTCTGACTCAGACCCAGAGGAAAGAGTGTGTGTGAGTGCATGTGTGTGAGTGAGTGAGTGAGTGTAAGTGTGTAAATGTGTGTGTGCAGAGACTCACTGTCCAGCCTCGTATCTTTTCCATCCACAGAGCAGATCTTGGTGTAGGAGTCCTCGATGGTGGGGTCATAGTCCGACACGAAGTACGACTGATGAAGAAAAACAGATAAAGAAAGAAACTGTTCACACTGCAGGAGCTTAAAGGCACGTTTACACCACAGGAACTTTTTCCAGGGACGAGGAACTTTTCCACCACAACAGTCAGGGGGTTAACTTTAGCCGAGACACACCAGATTAGCTCTGACTAAATCTGCAGCGTGAATCACAGGGTTTGGTTTTTGTTTGCATCGTTTGGACACAGCACTGACACCGTTTACTGAGCAGCGGGAACTTCTTAGGTCATTCTTCAAGACACTAAAAAGTCCCTCCAGCCGTTTCCACTAAGGTTCAAAAACTTATCAGTTTTGTAAGACCTTGTTCTTATCTTAGGGACCTTTAGATGTGCATATAATGTTGCTTGCATGCATCCAAAACTCCAGGAGGAAATCTGTGCAGAGTCGGCTGCATGTGTGAATGCAAATAGCAGCAACGCATGGGAACGCAGCAAAAAGAAGCCGCAGTGGGTGAGAAGGAGGCAGAGAGAGATCTATATCATACAACCTGTGGGCAACCAGAGTGATCTCTGTGCATGCAGTCAACCAGCTTTGCACTCTGTTCTCCTCAGTGAGGATGCTTTTTTTCTGCATGTAGGGTTGATATATGTGCAAACAATGTCATCATAGTTTCAGGCCCCTGCATTTCCTGTCATGTCCCGCCTCCTGAGACCCTAACACATGCCCTACTTTTAGGAAGACATGTATGTGTGTGCAACTTTAGAAAATTAAAAGCTAAGGTGTTAAGCCAACAAAAAAAAATCTGCGTTCACACTAAAAAAAGGAAAAAAAGAGGTCTGCATGCAAACTGAAGACAGAGGCATGACTGTACAGCACACACCTGTGCAAGAATCAGGCTGCAAACTCGACTGTTTTTTTGGCTTCTGCAGTCTGAACGATGCTCACCACTAGTGTTGTGTCGTTCGCTGATGATTTGTTTAAAAGAACCGAATCGACGACCATTTTGAAACCGAATATTCAAATACACGAAAATTAATGAACTCCTAGAAAATAGCCCAAATTGAGCAAATGTCGATCTATATGGCCAGATATCATCTGAAATAAATGTTAAGAGTACATGAAAGCCATGCCTATAATATTGAAATATGTTACAGAATCTTATTTTAGCGCTTGACAATGACATAAAGTACGTGAAAGATCAATTAGCTTGTTTAATGCACACTTTTATTAAGACATGACAGTAAACACGTAATAAAAAAAGCTTTTTTTTCCGCTTTCTTCACCCTTTCTTTTTTGTATTTTATAGAATAATTAAATATAATTTACTAACCAGATCGTAAGGACACCCTGTTTACATGAATATCCGAATAACCGCACACATCCCTACTTTTAAGTGAACGTACTGAACCGAATCACTTCCTCAAGAGATTCATTCGTTTCTCACTTCAGTTGAGCTGTCAGCAGGGTAGATGCTATAACACGCAGCACTGCCAGGCGAGCATTTCAGGAGGTTCAGGAGGTCGGAGTCGCAGGCGTCTCCCGCCAGGCACTGAATGATTTGGTGATTCTATGAACGAATCTTTTGAACGAATCTTTTTAGTTAACTGATTCTAGTGATTCAGTATATCTAAAAAGAAGTGCCGTGCCCATCACTACCCACCACTCTGTTTCATCTGCTCTGCCTCTACACTGCCCCCTGATGGTTATCCACATACTGCACCAAACCAGCTCTGGGGTCATCATGTTTTTCAGCTCATGTAGTTTATCTGCAGCTAACAAACTCAGAGTTTTTAGGAGTGTATGTGAGAAGGTTTCAGATCCTTTCTCAGGTCCTCAGTTATGAAAGTTTAGGTAGTGAAAACACAGAGCTGACTATTTCATGAACAGAAATAAAAACACCATCAGGGTTACATATACTTATATTAAAACACCGCTTTTATTCCAAGTTAGATTTTGGACACTAAAAGTCACTTTTGCTCCATGAATTTCATTATTTATTTTGCATGGAAATCAGGAAGTGTGTATTTTTGGTGTTTTCCTTTCCTTATTTCTCACTACCTCTTAAAAGCCTCTGAGCAGGTGAAATGTGGAAATATTACGGCACCGATGTTTTATTTGTAAGTTTTAGAAACTTTTTGTGTCTGAATCTGTCGTTTGACTTTGACTGAAGCTGCTGTAACAAATACATTTCTTGTAAAAGTTTGATCAAGTTTATTTCTAATGACACCTATCCCTCTTTTTTCAGTCTGTGTCCAAACAAGAGCATTCTTCAGCGGGCGTAATTGTCTAATCCTCACAAATCTGACAACATCCAACAGCAGGAAACTTTTAATCCTTTCAAAAGTAGCTCCTCAGAGACAAAGTTTCAGTATTTAAAGATGGAAATGTGGCACTTTTGGCTTGTTTCACTGTAATTCCAACTCTTAGCTGCAGCTCATACATTCAGCTGTTTAACATGTGTGTTCCTGTTCGCTGTGTCACAGCATGACTCGGTACATTCACCCAAAAACTACAATTCTGCGCTCTAAGTCGGAGAATTTGCAATAGAAACACCGAAGATTACTCATTTTCCACTCACAAGTCCGTACAGAAGTCTTAAACCAGCTCAGATGTCTTTTCCTCCCGTTCTGCAACGTGTGAACGCTCACTCATGTTAGAATCACCACAGACGCTGAACAGTTAGTCAACAGTCTTTGAGGCAATAACCACAATCGAGCATGAGGTCAGCCGGAGCATAAAGTGTGAGATCTGAAGAAAAAACAGTGAAAGGCTCCTTTAAAAAAAAGAGCCGTTAAAAAGTGACGGTACACGGTGTGATGAAGTCTGTCTGTTAATGAAATCATGAAAAGCCGAACACAGAACAGATGATGCTGGATGTTTGATGTGCTCGCGGCGTTCAGAGCTCAGATGTGGTCGTCATGTGTAACATATCAGAGAGAGAAAGGAAGGCTGTCGTGGACAAAGCTCCTTTTTTATCCTTTTTTTTCTCTCAGTTAAAAGTGAAATTTCTGCAAAAAGTCTGAAAATATTCAGTTTAAAGTTTAGAGGGTGAAGAGTTTGGAGTGTCGCTTGAGCTGGCGGGGTGACTGTGGTCACTGTGGCGCACTGTAAGAATGCAGGATGTTATCTTCAGTATGTTTATTAATAAACGTTGGTTTACATCTTGGAGTCGAGTGTGTGTGCGGTTGGGTTTTTGAATGCACCCATGCACCGACGACGTATAGATATCTATCTACAGTGTAAAGACTCGTCTCCTTATAGCTGTTTCTGTAAGACAGGACAGCTGACGCATTCGGGTGTTTGTGGGTAGGACAACACTGAAGAGAGGGGCTGCAGCCTGACAGATCAAACTAAAACAAACCTGAGGTTGAAGGAGAAAAGCAGTAAAGATGTCTGCACACCCGTCAGTTTGCATGTAATATTAATATACCTGCAAAAACTGCATGATGTAGATCTGTGCTGCTTGTAATACCTCCTATTTTCAGTCTGCAACAGTGAACACACATACTTGTGCCTTTGTACTTTAAAACTGATCATGAAATGGCATAAAACTAGTGAGTTTGTATTGCATTTAAGCGATACAAAAGTCTGACATGCACACACACAGAGCTGTCCCGCCCTGCCTGCTCCACTGGCTCACAACTGGACTTCTGTTGGAGTAGCATGCCTGGATAACACAGTTGGGGTCTTAGTCGGACTAAAACTGGTCTAAAAGTTGTCCTACAGTTTGCACACCGAGCTTTGACCCCTGAGTTGGGTAGTGAACAGATCGTTGGTGTTTTCATCAGTCAAGGTGTACACATCATGGAGGCAGTCATGCATCCGTCAATATCTAATTCTTCTGCTGACGAAAACAGTGAAACAGTCCAGTGAAATCGCCTAATCGAGCTTTATCTGAACCGGGCATGTAAGTACTGAGTGATCCGACCTCGCCTCTGTAACATCTCTTTTACCACCTCTGAAGACTTGCCTCCGCCATCACGCCTCTGTGACATTCATACTGAAAGTGAGACATTAAAGCAGCGAAAATAGCAGCTGCGGCTTTTATAGCCTGATTTCGATGTGATGTTACGCCTTAAAGGACTCAGTTCCTCCCTCCTGCCCTCCACCCTCCCTATCCAATACAGAAGACTTCACACTGAAGGGGACATGTGTGAACGAACAACTACAGGACATTTTCAAGGCTCGTGAAAATTTCTGGACTATTTCAGGAGAGTATAAAAGAGGCCAAAGACAGAGGAGTACCTGAACTGTATTTACCTAGTTTATGTTTTAAGAATCTGGCAGCAGAGCTCATATCTCATCTGGGAGTAAAGTTTGAGTTGAGTGCACTTTTCAGGTATGCACTCCTGAAAGTTTCTGGAAAATCTGGCAGGACACGACATTAAAAAAAAATGCGAAAGCCACAGTGACCTGAGCCACGGTGGCAGCTTTGGCGTGAATCAGTGCTCTACATTTGAACCGACAAATGTGCCAAAAGCTTCACTGTTCTTTACCTAAAAATTGTTTTCCTTTGCTCCAGTCGCATGCATCTTCCTGAGTTTTACCAGCATGTCTTATAAATGGCTTTACATTAAAACATGCATCTCAACCTGGATAATTCTGGAAATTTTTCTGGGAATTTTCATCGCTGCACTTCTTTCACCAATACGACTAAAAGGTTGTTGGGGAACAAAATCAGGAAAAGTCAGGGTGGAGATTTGTCAGTGTTTGCATACATCGTGTACAGCTTAACGTAAACTCTTCTGGAAATTTTCAGGAGTTTTGTGCGTGTATGAATTCAGCCAACTGGTTATATCTTAGGTTACTCCCATAAAAATCCCAGATGCGCTCACAGCAGTCGCATGAATTTTCCTGACTTTTACCAGCATGTCTTGCCTATAAATGGCTTTACATTCAATACATGCATCTCAACCTGGATTTTTCTGGAAATTTTCAGGAGGATTTTTCATTGCCGCACTTATTTCATCAATATGACTAAAGATAATTGTCAGGAAAAATCAGGAAAAAGTCAGGGTGGAGAATTGTCACTGTTTGCATGCATCGTGAGCAGCTTAACGTAAAATTTTCTGGAAATTTTCTGGAGTTTTGTGCATGTATGAATTCAGCTTACTTACTTTCATAAAAATCCCAGATGCGCTCACACCGGTTCCATGAATTTTCCTGACTTTTACTTTCAGGTTGTGTTCATAAACAGTTGACATGCCACACTTTTTCACAAATTTTACAGAATGGTTGGCAGGAAAAAATCAGGACAAAGTCAGGGCAGAAAGTTTTTGCTGTTTGTTTTCAGCACATGCAGCTTTACCTGAAATTTTCCGGAGTTTTTAGGAAGTATTTCACAGTAACATCAATATATTCTGCCCTTTTTATGGCTCTTTAATGTCACTTCCCTATTTGTATGAAGTTGTGAAACTTTATAGTTGACTCCTGTGAGTCTGATATGACTCATAAGTGAAAGAGGTGTGTGTAGATAGAAAATGATAACCAGCAGCAGGTCAACCAAGGCTCAATAAGTTACCATGGCCTGTAATTCAGGCTGCAGATCATGTAGATAGAAGTGTGTGTGTGTGTGTGTGTGTGTGTGTGTGTGTGTGTGTGTGTGTGTGTGTGTGTGTGTGTGTGTGTGTGTGTGTGTGTGTACCTGGATGAACTGGATGGTCAGCGCGCTCTTGCCAACCCCTCCTCCTCCCACCACCACCAGTTTGTATCTCTCCTCGTCTCCGCTCATCCTGACCGATCGATCCGGGATTTATCCGGATCAATAACCGTCCGGGACCTGATGAGACCAGCAGCAGAGGCCCAGACCCGATCCAGACCCGCCTGTGAGGGGAACAGTTGGCTCTTGTTTGTAGAAACTCCTTCACTTGGACTTCATTCTGTAGCAAACACACACAGAGACCAGCGGAGATCAGATCCAGAGTCCGGAGCTTCTCGGTCCACAGCGGGACCTCTCACAGATGTACACCGAGGACAGCAGCCTGTGTGCGGGTCAGTTGGAGTCCTCTCTCCGGCCTGTGTGGATCCTTCTCTCCGAGCTTTTCTCCTCCTCCTCCTCCTGCAGGGCTGATCTGAGGGCGGAACTGCTTCCTCTTTTCTCTTTCTCAACAAACTCCACTAACACACACTCATGCACACACACACTCATGCACAAACTCCCTCACACACACACTAACACACACACACTCTCAGTGGGTCGTGGCTGCAGGTTGTGTGTCGCAGCAGTGGTTGTAAAGTTGTGTTGAATCGTGTTTTGATCGGTTCTGTTCCGATCATTAAAAGTGAAATCCGAGTTGAACACATTCCTCGCGCGTGTGTCACTTTCCTTATTTGGTCATTTGGAGGATCCGTGACGTCGCCGCAGACTTCTTCGGAACAGGATGTAAAAAAGAGGCGCGAGCGCAGATCGGTCTGCGACATCTGGGTCCAAAACATTTGGATCGGAACCCCATACCGAACTACATTAGGGCAATCAGTGTGAGTGAGTGAGTGTGATTGCGGTGGAGAAGGGAGTGACTGTCAGGATCTTTGCCCTGAGGCTCCACATACCTCACCTTTACCTGAGCACTGAGCACGAGGGCTCACCTGCAGCCACCAGGGGGCGCCCAAAGAGACAAAAGGTGACCTGTGGCTGTGGTGAAGCTCTTAAATGTATATAACATGTAAAAATGTAAAATTCTTGAGAGATTTTAAAAGTTGAATTTATCCTGAAAAAAGGGGCAAAAGATTTCACAGAAAGACATTTTTTTACACATTTACAGCTAAAAAAAGAAAGAATAATGACCAGGAGGACTGTTAATATTACAGGCTTAAAAGGGTTAAAAATACGGTGGCCCTGGAGGTCATTGTCTTAAATAGTTTGAACATATTTTAGTAAAAAAAAGTATGGTGAAACAAAGAAAGAATGCCATTAAAATATTATTAAAAGACACTGAAAATGTGTTTAGATGAGGATAAAGAGAAAATGTTCGAAAAAATAAAACTTTTTAATAAAATATGAAGAAAGTTTAAAAACATAAAATTATATAAATAATTAGATTTTGGAAAAAATATATTAAAAAATAATAATATCAAAATAATCTAAAATATTTAAGAAAAAAAAAAACAAATAAATCCTGAAAAATACAAAAAGTTAAGAAAACATGAATTTGCTTTAGAAACACTTACACTTCACTAGAAATAATAGATAACAAAAACATGAGAATTTTACTTCTAGTTTTCAAAACTATTTGAGATATTTGTGTCTTCATGATATTTTTGTTTAAAAATATTTTTGTCTTGATTTCTAAAATACTCTATGTGTTCATGTGTAATATTTCCTTGAAAGTAGACTGTATTCAGGTTTTAAAACCTTTTCTTTTTGTCTTCCTTAAATATCATTTCCATTGACCTTTAGGACCCCCGTACACAACCCATCTCCTTCATGTTAAGGAGTTTTGTGTCATTATGAAATAATTAAAATTTATATTGACGCTTTCTCGAGGACATACCAAAGTAAATAAGCCCATAAATGACTTCTTACACAACCATAAAGGTCGCCTCCTGCTGGACATGAGTGTAAATGCAGGTTGAAGATTGTTATTTTTTGAATTGTAGACAGAAAAAGACAGAAAAAGCCACGGAGACAAGTTTAAAATTCAGCTTTAATCATCATTTTGACATTTAAAAGTCCTTAAAATAATCTGAGCAGATATAAATATGATGTGTGGAGGTTTGCAGTCTCTGTCATAAATATTTAATCAATAAATAAAGCTGCTGTCTGTACAAACGTCACACAGTCCTTTAACAAACATGCACAGACACAGACTCCGCCCACTCTATCGGCATCCTGCACACCTGCGGCCCCCCCCTCCTCAGCACCTGTACGGCAGGGCGGGCTGTCCCATCTTCACAGGGGGGACAAACAGACCCCCCAGCAGCAGCCTCTCCCCCCAATCCAGCAGCTTGTTCAGACTGAAACCAAAGGGGGACAGCAGACTTGGCTCCTTCGGCCTCCTGTGGGGGGCGCTGTGCTCCCTGTGGGGCTCCTGCGTACTGTCTCTGAGGGGCCTCTCCTCCTGCGTAGATGTAAGGGCGCCTCCTGCTGGTGAGGCAGGATTGACTCCCAGTGGGGTGAGAGAGAGGGTGAGGCTTTTGCGTTTTTCCTGTAGGGATGAAGAGGATGCTGGGAGTTGTAGTTGTAGTGTGGTGGGTTTTTGTGCCGGTTTAAAAGAAACAGGGGTCTGATGCTCTCTCTGCTGCGGGGTCACAGTCTCATGAACATGTTGGACTCTCTGATCCTGATGTTTGAGTCTCTGCTGGACTCTGTCTGTCAGCGCTGAGTCCTCCTGACAGTCCTGAGTCAGGTCTCTGCTGTGGGTCTGATGATCCGTCTTCTCTTCGCTCTGGGGGAGGTGACCGTCAAACTGAGGGGGGGTCACTTCTCCTGCGGTCGTCTTCAGGCTCAGCGTGCTCTGGAAATGCTGCAGCTGACCCAGGAAGTTGAAGTTTGGAGAGATGGAGGGACGGCGCTCCTTCACGAACCTGTTAGAGGGACACACAGGACCAGGGTCAGGACTGCAGGACCTCGTACAGAACCTAATTCTAAATCAAACAAACTTGAAACTGTAATTGTTAATTTTTTTTTTTTCTAAATAAATAATAAACTGACCTGAAAACTCTAAAATTAAGGCAGGTCAGTGTCAAAACTTTGACTCTCTCTGTCGCCCTCTAGTGGACAAAACAGAGACGGGTCCAAAAACCCATCCACATTGAGTCATTATTTAATCCTGGATCTGTTTATGTGTTAATGCTCCAAACAGGGACGCCTGATCTCTGCTGCAGGAGGAAACTCAACAGCCAATCAGAATCATCCTCAGCCCTGCAGGCAGCCAACAGCGTGACCCAGAGAGAGCGAGAGAGAGAGGGAGCAGCTTTTTTTCTTTCATTTCAAACAATGTAAACATTCATTTACATAAAGAAAACCTGTCTGAGAGTTCATATAGCAGGGTGCAGATCTACCTGTAAGCCTGGTCCAGGTCCAGACCCATTCTGTACATGATGTAGGCCACAGCCAGAGCTGGAGACCGAGAGATCCCTGCTGCACAGTGAACCAGAACCGAGGCCCCTGAGGACATGGCTCCATCTAAAACATGTACATAGAAACACACACTCTTAGACACATTATGATTTAAATGAGATGCATGTGAATCTGTGTATGTAACCGGTTCTGACCGATAAAGCTGAGGGCCTGAGGAATCCAGGGCAGGAGGTCATCCCACAGAGAGTCGTCGATGGGGATCCGGAGGTAACGAGAGCGCGGCAGGAAGGAGGGCTGAGGGCTGCAGCGACTCACGCTGAGAACGTAGGAGATCCCGAGAGACGCCAGACAATCCTGCAGACGAACACAAAACACAAAGACAGATTTATTATCAAATACTCATGTTTTCTGTTATTGCATGAAATGTAGTGCAGCATGATCACATCACTCAGGGTCTCTGTGTTTACAGTGAGCTTATGTCTCTGCATGATGTCACTCCGACTCTCGACCTGCACACACACACACACACACACCTGACAGGCTGCAGATTCAAAACAATGCAAATATACGTGATCAGGGAGGTGGATGCACATACATAAGAGGGTTCAGATCTCATTAATCCCTGGTGCGATTCATTTACTGAATTAGGAATCAGGCTTTTGCACTCTTTATTGCATTTTTGCACTTTCTCACAGTTTCCTGAGGCAGTTAATCTCTCCAGTTTTTGCATTAGCTCTGGACTGAACATCATGTTTTAGTGATCCTGCGTCTTTTATTGTGTTGTTTTTATCATGACTGTATGTCACTGTGTACCCTGTCTTTGTGCTCCGGCTGCAAAACTAATATCCCTTTTTGGGACAATAAAGAGATTCTGATTCTGATCTGCAAAAACTAAACTAATAAACTGCTGCAACAATAATCCAACAGCATCATAATCTGCATTATTGTAGAAATACTCTCGTAAAAGAGAACAAATGCAGCTTTAAAACAACATTTAAAGACAAAATATTTATTAAGGAAGTTTAAAGTATAAAATAGTAGAATAATAATAAATAAATGATTTAACTGCAGTTTTCTGACACCTATCTGACATAACCGTGCTCCCTGCCTGTCTGCAGCTGCTGCTCAGACCCACCTGCGTCACGTCGCTCTCGGCTCCCAGGTAAAGTCTCGGCAGGATCGCGGAGAGTGGAGGTCTCTCCGAGTCTCTGTCCCGGGTCCACAGCATGTCTAAGACAGGAGACATAAAGTGAGAAACACCTGCAGGGACTCTTTTTTTGTCCTTATTTAGTGTGTGCACAGCATGCAGGTCTGACAGGAGCGGCTCCCCTGCAGCTTTTCCTCCTCACAGCGCAAATACTAGAGCAGGTGAACATGCAGGAGACAGAGAGAGGAGGTTTATCTTTAATTCTACTCACTGTGAGAGAGTCTAAGGTCCTGTGTTTGCAGCAGCAGCAGCAGTCCTCTCCTGTGTCAGCCTCTTTGTGTGTCTGCAGCAGGTCTGTACTCCGTGCTCAGCTCCTCTAAACTATGAGCTCATCCTCTGTCCAACAATAGATCAGCGCGGAATGATGTCATCTGCAGCCAATCAGAGCCCGGCAGACCGCGCAGGCGCAGAGCAGCTGCTGTATCAGCGCCTCAGTAATAGACATGACTCCTCTGACACACCTCAGAATTCATGCAAATAAAAATAAACAAGCAAAGATATTTTTTTGATCAAAATGACGCTTCAGGTTCATTTAATGCAGCCCACACAGTCTGAGCATGCGCAGTTTGCACAGGGTTGCATATTTAGTCATATTTCTGCACCTGAGGACATCCTGTTACACCCCCCCCACGGCTCTTCATCTGACCCACTTCCTTCAGAGTCACAGCAGCCATCAGAGGGGGAGAAAACAGCTGCTTGATTCCCTGAGGTCATTCTGCTCATCAGCACATTATGAATGGATGTGCGCAGAACTAACACCCCCATCCTCCTCCTCCTCAGTAGAGACTCTAAAACTGTGTCATTCAGACCTCTTATATAAAGCCTCCTGCAGCCTGCTCCCTGCTCCTCTGCTGCATGCTGGGGTTAAACTCAGGCTGGGTAAACAGAGGAGGATGGAGCCTCTTGTTTTGAAGTGAGGTCACTGCAGAAATGCCTGAACCTGCATTGTTTCTAATCTCCAGCAGGGGGCGACTCTTGTGGTTGTTATTGCCGTGCATTTCTGGTGGTTTTTGAGAGGTCAACGAAAGCTTCAGTAAAGGTCAATGATGCAGCTGCAAGAGACTGAACACAATACAGAAATACACAAAATACAGACAGACTGTTTCTGTATATCAGAGATGAGAGTTAATGTGGAAGTTTGTTTTCATCAGATTTAAATCGAACCTTCAACACCGATGAAGCAGAAATGACACATTATCAACATCAAGTTTCTTCTGTTCGTTTACTGAAAATCCTGGGGTTAAAGGGATATTCCTGCGTAAAACTAATTCAGGGTCAAACTCACTGTAACACCGAGTTAGACACCCCCTCCAGAGATGGATGTTGCTGTCCGCTTACTTCTCTAGTTATACCAACTTTAGTAACGACCGCAGGATAGCAATACACAGCGTAGGTGTCTAACTCGGTGTTACGGTGTGTTTGACTCTAAATTAATTTTTAATTTTAATCAAAATATCCCTTTGATGCGCTTTTTTTTTTTTTGCAAGTTTGTTGAGCATCTTTCTTTGTTTTGTCTACATGTGGAGTATGACTTGTTTGTTCACTTGTCTTTACCAGGAAATCCAACATATTTCCATATTTAAACCACTGTACCTGGGAGAGTTTCAGTCGTCTATTCAAAGTGAAACCATCACGCTCTCTCTGAGTCTGTTTCTTCTTTTAGCATATTAATCATCTGGTCGAACACCAACCCTCTCACAGCGGTTTCAGGCATCAAAAACTGCATCTGACTCATTTCCAGAGTTGTTGGTGATCTTAAAAAGGCGTCAGCTTCATTCTGTTTCTCAACCAGTTAAAACTCCTCAAAGTGCCTTTAACTTGTGGCCTCCTTAGTTTTGGAGGTTTAAAATCCACACAGCACAAGCTGGTCCAGAATTTTCTGTTTGCATCTCATTTCAACCTGACATCAAATAAACCAGACTTCTTTGGGCTGATTGAAATGGTTATAGTCCCCCCCCCCCGCGGAGTCCTGGTATGCTGTTGATAAATAACAGACTGTTGCTATGGAGTTTCGACCAATCAGAATCAAGTATCAAACACATATGTGTTATAAATTATGCAGCATTCAAGTTTCCTCCAAAGTCAGAAGTTAGGACTGAAAGTGAGGTCACACGCGAGTTCCAAGCGTGTCATTCACCAAGTCAGAAAAAAAGCAAAATCGAAGGCAGAAACAAGATGGCTACACCTACGAAAGTTATTTTAGAACTTGCCTTGTCCGAATATAAGGCAAGCGCCAAAATAACTTTCGTTGATGTAACCATCTTGTTTCAGGCCTCCAATTTTGCTTTTTTTCCGACTTGGTAACTGAAAATCTTGGAACTCGGGTGAGATGCCATTTTCAGCTCCGACATCTGAGGAACCTCAAACGCAGCGTTAGACCTGCTCTTACAAAGTGCGTCAAAGGAGGAAACACAACAGATAGTTAACACATAATTTACGCATAATGCAAATGTTGTATCTGAATATTAGTTCAAACTTTATACTTTTAAAAATACCCTGAAATTAAATATTATTTTAGAATAAATGAGTCCGGAGTCGTGAGTTTTGGATATATGGCATATTTTTACTTTCACATTTCTTCATTACAGAGTAAATCTTATTCTAACACAGGTATTGGACAGGTCTTTAACACCGATACATGAGGCTGCAACAGCTAGTGGATACTGCATAGACACGCACACACACATACACACACACTCACATACACACACACGCACAGAATGACTACACTACAAAGTTCAACTTCCTGTCAGAATGTCATGTGACCATGGGTTAGAAATGTCTTTAGGCTTCATTTTTTATTATTACCTGCTTACAGCCACACTCGCACATCCACACACACACACACATTTACACACATGCACACGCACACACACACACAGAGTCCCCTGTAGTTGTAATGGACATGTGGGTGTCTGGCATCCTGCCCCCCCCTCCTCCATCACAGTCATCAGAGTCACACAGCGGCCATTTTTCTCAGACGACATTGTGACAGCGTTTAAGTGCTGCTCGTGTTTCACTAACTCTGGATTTCCCAGCGTCAAAAACACGACTGTGAACTTCACAACATTTCATATTTCCTGTTTGTGTCAGGCAGCAGCTAACTTCCGCTCCTCCTGGCTGATATTTCAGTTTGGTAGTGTTAACAGGTTCATTAGGAGGTGTACGCCCCTAACTCGTGGTAGTGTTCGCTAGGAAGAGTCTAAAAGTTGGACTTTTAGCCGACTTTCGCAATTTCAATCCGGATTATGACCTTCTGGTTTGACTGATAGATCTGAAATGAAAATAACTCATCAGACTTCCTTCAATCTGAGACCTTCAAACCTTGAAACACACAAGTATGAGATTAAAAAGTGTAGATGAAGGGAAGATGGCTGCCGTGTGAGAGACGCTGAGGAAGAAGAAGAGGAGGGGAGGGAAACACGCAGCGCTCTGCTCGAGTTTGGTCTCTTCTACGAACCCTCAGCTGGAGGAGCAGGACTGAGATCTCTGAGTCCAGACCCACACGTACGGAGCCACTTTAAGCTGTTTAAGTATTTGGGTATTTCTATTTGTGCTAAAGCGGCGGACGTCTTCAGAGACCACAGACTCTGAACCAGCTTCCCGTGGAGCCATGGGACCAGGGACTTTTTAGGAGGAACTCGAGAGAGTACGCAGGATATTTTTGTACTCCCGAAAGGTTCTCGCTTTGTGAAACTACGCAGACTTGTTGGTGGAGATGCAGTGCAGAAAATTCCTGATCTGGTGAAAACCCTGACAGAAATGAGGTGGAGGAATCTTTCAAAGTTTGATGGAAATGTGCGACAAAAATGACAACAATCGAGCTGCAGCGTCACCGCTGAAGTGACGATAAATGTGAGAAACTTCCTCCGACAGCTGCGCAGAAGTGACACTAATGTTCCAGTTTAACAGGAAGAACATGTGAGAAGAAGTGAACCCCCCCAAATACAACAAAGACCCCCCTGAGCTAACCCGGCGCCCGTCCTCACACAGTGTCTGCTGTGCGTAGTCGTTTAAAACCAGCATGATGGGAATGTCTCAGAAAACAAAACAGGAACACACTGCACATATTTACACACATCAAAAACACACACACACACACACACACGTGTGGATCAGATCAGGGGTTTGAGGGGTGAGGGTGTCACAACAGGGACGAGGAGGAAATGTAGGGTTGGGGGGCAGAGGGTCTGAGACCATCCCAACACCTGCAGCGACCTGTTACTGGGAATGTTTGAGGGAAAACCCCGGGAATATCGAGTGTCGTTTGTGTGTGTGTGTGCGTTTGCAGGTGTGTTCAATAACCAGCGTCACACTTAAAGGAATGTTTATCAAATGAAATGTCTCTCACACACACACACACACATACACACAGGTGTGTGTGTATTTATCCATGATTAGCACTACAGAGCAGTCAGGATGCAGCAGAATGGGACCCCAGCACAACCAAGGGACACACACACACACATTCTCACACTCACTCACACTCACTCACACTCGCACGCGCTCAGAGTGGTGGCCAGCAGCTACACAGGTAAACACCAACAGAAACAAGAACGAAGCATCATGTTAATAAACGAGAAGAAGATGATCTGGGATCAGAAGAATGACAGAATATTGACACTGCTGCTAGCAGTGGCTGCTTTCCCTTATGTAGGTTACAACTTGTTTTTACTCAAAGACTCTTTGTTTGGGGGAGGAGGAGGAGGAGGAGGAGGAGGAGGGAGGAGAGGAGGAGGAGGAAGAGGGGGAGGGCTCCGGGGACAGCTGGCTGGTGGGGATGGTGGGAGTTCTGGTCTGGTTCTGGTCGCGACTCTAGAACTGTTCGGCGAGCAGCTCACAGAGGCGCTTGGAGACAGAGTCCTTGCTGCAGCGCAGAGTCAGACGGTACATCTGCACACACAAACACACACACAGACACACAGAGAAGAAACACAATCAGGAGAGAGAGTCTACACAAGTGGTTCTCAACTGGTGGGTCCTGACCCAAAAGTGGGTCGTGGACACATTCTGGACGGGTCGCAAACAGCTGGTCGAAAAAGTAAATATTTAATTCAGATCTGATGTTTGACATGTCTTTTATTTTGAAAGGTGTGTGTTATATTGTGATCCTAATCAGTTCCTTATTAATGTGGCCTGAATGCTGTAAAAATACATGATTTTTTTCCTTTTGGTTTTTATTTTGTGCAATTTGATATTTGATATTTTCCGTATCACCAACTTTAGCAGTTGTCGTCTTCAGTTCTTGTGCTCTGAAATGTACTTTACTTAATAAAATGGGTGTATTTATGTTAAAGATTTGAGTCTTTAAGGTTTTTTTAATATAGAAATTAAATTAAACTCGGTTTGAATGCTATAGATTTAGGTCACGACTTAAGGACCATGGCAAAATGTGGGTCCCAGAGTACAACCAGTTGAGAACCGCTGGTCTAGACTCAACTTGACACACTAAAACATGTGGACATAGTCTGGGTGCTTATTTTTGTAAGTCGTCTGCATGCATGTGTGTGCGTGTGTGTGTGTTTGTGTGTGTGTGTGTGTGTGTGTGTGTTAGTGCGCGCGTGTGTACCTGTACCTGTGCCTGTGCGTTGGGCTCCAGTCTCAGCAGACAGCCCACCTGCTGGCCCTTGGTCTGGATCACTCCAGCACACACGTAGTTCTCTGGGTTTGGATCGACGTTGTCTAGCAGGGCTGTTCCCAGTCCCAGCAGCTGAACACACACACACACAGACACACACACACACACACACACACACACACACACACACACACACACACACACACACACACACAGACACACACACACACACAGTCACACACATTATCTTTAAGAGCTTTAAAACATCAGAAAAGTGCCGTTAAAGTTCTGCAGAGGTGTGGTCTATACACTGACAGGTGTGAAGATCACCTGCAGCTGGAGAAGCAGACAGGTGAGTGAGCGTTACCTTCGCCTTCAGGACTTCAGTGTCCATGCTGTGATTGGCTTTGAAGATCTTCTGTGCTTCTTGTTGAGGCCTGACAGGAGTTTAAACAGGAGACGTCAGCTTTTAACGCACAAATACACACTCACTAACACACAATCATAAACACACACACACACGGAGTGAGAGACTCACTGGCTGAGCTGTTTCCAGCGCTGGAAGAAGTCCTGTGAGGCCATCTCAGTGGGCTGGAAGAACTTGTTAATGGTGACGGGCAGCTTCAGGGTCAGGTTCTGCAGAGCTCCACCGTATCTGAACACACACACACACACACACACACAGATATGTACACACACGTGAACACACAGCAGTCTACATGGTCTCTATGGTGACATTTCAGAGAGTTAAACTTCTCCTCCTGGATCTTTATATTTAGACTAGAGATTTTTGAGAACACAGGATCAGAGTCCGACCGTAGCAGCTCACCTGAACTTGATGTTGAGCAGCGGAGCTTCAGAGAAGTCGGTCAGACACTCGATGTTTAGGACCTGTTGGATCTGAGCTCCGCCCTCCACCAGCGGCTCCACAGGTTTGGTCTGAACGTTGAGCTGTGGACGGCTGTCAAGGACCCAAAACTTGTTGCAAATGAACCTCATCAGTTAGGAAGCGTTACAAAAGTTCTGGAGTGTTTGAAACTTTATTTGGATGTGTCGCTGGAATGAAGATGAGCATATATAGTCGTTAAAGAGTTAAAAGTCTGTGAAAGGATATGAGACTGCAGCTCTCCAGGACAGCTGACTGTGGTGGTGAAGCTGGCGAACTGCACTGACGTCTTGTTACCGTAGAATAAGTACATCCTCCCTGAGAGACGCACACACATATTCGGGGTCATTTACACATGTGGGTTTTGCTTCATAGAGGAGACATGAAACAAACGTCAAATAAACGTGGCCACGCCCCCGACAGCACCTGCAGCTCCACTCACCCAGATTCTGACGATACTCTGACTTGATGCCGATCTGTAGCAGCTGATTCTCAAACAAAACTCCGTTGTTCTTGCACACAAACCTGCAGGTTGAACAAACTCGCAGAGTTAGGCACCGATAACATGTTGATCTGACTTTTACAGCTGCTGCAGGAGACCCAGTATCAGGTTCTCTGTTTCTATCTTCTGGTTCCTGGTCCTCGGCTTCATTAGTCATTCAAACTGGTTTATTCCTTTAGTGTCATTATCGGTGTATAAACAGGAAAGAGGCTGCAGCTTTCTAATAACCGGTAATGAGATTATTACAGAAGCTCAACAACATGTCAGGGACTCTCTCTGTCTCTCTCTGTGGTTTGTTTTCATGTGTGGTCCAAATAAGATCAAATAAATATGGATTTGTTGAAGTTTACTTCTTTAGTACAAGATTAACGATAAATTCAGTTAAAATAAATTCAGTTGATTTTTGTCAGGTAAACATATTAAAGGTGGGGTAGACAGGAATCTGTTAAAGAAGCACCTTTTTATGGTGTGTTTACAAAAAAGTGTCTGTTTGTGGGCGGGGCTTGAGGGGAGAGGAGGAGCTGAGGGGTCGAGTTTACATTCAAGATTTCTCCTAAAAACTGGAACTTCCTCAGATCATGACTACAACACCTTTAAAAGAATTTTAGTCACATCAAAGTATTAAAATCATCAAATTAAAAGGATTAAATTCAGTTTTTAACCAGATCACAATCATCACATTTAATCAGATTTAACACACGAGGATAAATATTTCATTATTTCATTCAGGATGGCTGACAGATTAAGTGATCAATTCAGCAACAGGAACCCACCAGCCAATCAGAACAGATCAATTAATCACCAAAGATCATCATGCATGCTTTATCGTTCTTAGTATCATAATGAATCCACCCCCCCACCCCTACAGACGACATGCAGAGCTGCAGCCCAGCAGACACACGGAGAGAAAGCTTACTTGTTGAGGAGGTCATCTGCCTCAGGCAGAGGAGCAGCAGGATCCTCAGAGGGAGGAGCAGAGCTGAGAGACCACAGGACAGAGGAGGAGGAGGAGGAGGAGGAGGAGGAGGATGAGCCCAGGTGAGGAAGGGTACAGAGAGACCACAGGGTGAATGAGTGAAGGGATGACAAATCATCCGCAGAGCGACAGAGAGATCAGAGCGGTTAGAGAGAAACACCAGATCAGAAGAGAGAAGGAGAGAAGAGAAAAGGCAGAGGTTAGTAAAAGCAGTTTATACAAAAACAACAAAATCTTTACAGTGACAGATTATTTCTGCTGAACACTGAAATACTCAGAGTTAGACTAGCTCCTCTGTTTTCACTCGAGCACACGGGATAAGAAATGAAACAGCAGCATAATAAAAGGAGTTTACCTGTTACAAAAGAATAAATAAAGTAAATAATCTTCCTCTCATATAAGGGAGGAGTATTGATTATGATGCTGAGAGTTTGAACGGACTGGACCCACTGGATTTTAATTTATATTATTGTTTGGGCTAATTCTGATTAATCACAGAGTTTCAATATTAAATCCCAGTTAATCCAACTGTAGTGGTGAATCTAAAACTCTGTTAAAACATGTGGAAGGACATGATGAAAATGCTCAGTCAGTGTTGAAATGGTTTTTCTAAGATAGCTTTGATAACTCACTGACCTCCAGTGATCCCTGGTTAGTTCATCTAACAGCAGCTGCAGTTTTCAGGAGTTCCAGTTTATCTTTATATTTATCATCATATATTTCTTTCAGTTTTTTCTTTCCTCTAGTTTCATCTACAGCTCAGCGGCGACTCAAACGGGAGATCTGGTGACTTTAGTGTCGCTGACGTCTGGTGTGAAACAGACTTCTGGTGAAACTAAGTTTATATTTCTTTTGGCTTTTTCGACTGAGTTGCAGCTAAAGGACGCTCCAGTGGTTCAACATTAGTGTTCAAATATTGAAAAATGATGTTAATTTCAGATCTTAATGACCCTTATGAGTTAACACTGACAGCCCTAATAAGTGTAAGTCATTAGGATGAAAACTCTGCTTAAACTGCTGCTCTGGACTTCACCTGCTGGAACTACACAGTGTGTATGTTAATAATGATGCAGATGGAGCAGCAGCAGTAATAACTTCATTTTACCACCACACTGTTCGGAGGGTTGACCTTTGTAGAAACGGTCGAATCAGCAGATGTTTTATTCGGGATCCTGTGTGCTCGAGTCAAAGAGGAAATGATTCACAAACTACATCCTACTGTTCACATGTTAAGAAACACAAAAATACAGTCTACACATTCAGCTTGATGCCATGAACATTTCGACTTTGTGTTTGTTTACTTCACTTTTAACCGGCTGCAGTTCATCACAGTTTTATTTAGAGGTTTGGAGTCTACAGTTTCACTCCTTCAATGGTAGCAGGGTTGTTTAGATGTGCTTACATACAGTAAATACATCAGGTTTAACGACTAGTCGGTTTTTCCATCCATGTCTTTTTATGTTATGTTGTGTTTTTATGTGGCTTTGTGGCTCATGTGCATCAAGCTCCCCTTTCATCACTGCGTTTATATTCCCAACATCATGTTCACTTTAAAGACAAACAGCCTGTCCTACAAACACAGAGCAGAGCCGCCATGTTTGTAGTCTTCTATCTAACTCTGTACTTCACTACAGGCCCTTACTCCGAGTCACCAGAACCCTCCACCAATAGGGAGTCAGAGGTCTCGGTGGGCTGTTCCAGATCTCTGTCAGTGTCCAATCACAGAGGAGGACGGGAGACGGACACACATTCAAATCAAAACACACGCGCACACACAGGCGCCCACACACACACACACACACACACACACAGGAAAATGGAGAGAAGGGAAGAAGAGAAAAAAAGACGAAAGACAGTCACATACACAGCAAGATTAAAGAACAGACAAGTGTAGCGGACCTGCCGACCGTGGAGACACAAAAACAAGAAAATACTCAAAATCCTTCGACTAGATTCAATTTTACCGTAATATTTGGAGTAGAAGAAATGCTTTGGGTGCCTGTTTAGTCATCTAAAAGGTGAGCTGCTCCCTGAACATCTCAATATGATATAATGAGATTTTCAAACCTCAAACGCTGAGATTAAAATCTAGTCATGTGACATGCAGGTGAGTGTAAACCAGATTGCTAATAGAGGGAAAAACAACTGAGCATGCTCCACTCTGACCAAACCTAACCTGGAACTGAGGAAACTAAAACATCGGAGAGGAGCATTCGACAAGGGCCGCTGTTTGAAATGACCGGAAGTCCATATGACTCCTTATGAAAGATGCTTTCCCTCCTCAGTGGGTCGTAATCATACATTAACCGTAGTCCATTACGGACTACAGCGGGGTGTCGCAGCTCAAGGAAGAACATTTACGATCATTTCTTCATGGAAATACAATCAGACCGAGACGCTAAGACAGAAGAACTACCGTGTCTGCAGAGCAAAATGATTAATATGATGATTATTACTTCAAGGAAATGATAAAGAAATGATCATAAATGTTCTTCCTTGAGCTGCGGCACCCCGCTGTAGTCTGTAATGGACTGGAAGAGAGTAGGTGAGTTGTGTTTAGTCTCTTTGTTAAAGAAATTAGTTAAAAAAAAGTTAAAAAGATGTTTGGTGTCTAGTACTATGTCTGTGACCCTATATGTACTGTTGATGAAGTTAGGTGCTGTTCTGAGCATTATTTGTGGCTATAGAGTGGCGTTTTAGTTGAGCGTGTTGCTCTGTGTATTTCTATCCTGCGGTCGTTACTAAAGTTGGTCAAACTAGAGAAGCAAGCGGTCGGCAACATTCATCTCTCAAGGGGGTGTCTAACTCATTGTTATGGTGTGTTTGACCCTAAATTAATTTTACACTGGAATATCCCTCTGAGTGGCTCCACATGTGCAGTTAATCCATCATACTTCACATCTGAGCTTTACCGCTGTATGTGTAGCTCACGGAATAGCATTACAAAGATGCAAATGCTGCTGAACACATGATATTAATTCTGACACTACGAGAAAAGAACTTTAGGATAACGTGTGAATTCAAACGTCTCCAGGTGGGCAGGTCCATATTAGACAAAGATAGAGCAAAGAAAGAAAGAGCAGACACGGTACAGTTAGCTGCATAGAGTTAAAACAGCACAAACACACCACAAACAACACAATATAACAATACACCGTTTCAGACAGGAAACATTCAAATGTAAGGGGCCTCAAAGCTAAGACCGGGTCTGCCCAGTCCAGTATCAGGGAGTCAGAATCCGCCTGTGGATCTAGATGAACTCAAACTGACAGTCTGTAAAAGTCATCAAACTATCTAAGTCATCTGGAGATCAGGTTTAAGGTCTGACTTAAGACCCTCAGGGGTCAATTTGGTCCAGATGGATTAGATATATATTAGGTAACTAGAAGTACTGGGTCAGACTTAGTATCTATGGAAACCTGAAGAAAAAAGAACTTCCTTAGTTAGTTAAAAAAAAGTGTTTAACTAGTTAATAAAGACAAAACTTCATGTTTAATTACTAGATAAACTCCTAACCTCTCCTCATGTCATCGAGTTCATCACTTTGGTTTATGTAGAGCTCGATCAAGCAGACAGATAAAGAGAGCTCACCTGAGGAAGCCGTCATCGTTCACAGCAGCAGAGGGTGCAGCAGGCCCCGCCTCAGAGAACACATCGACCAATAGGCTGCCGGCGCTGGCTGGAGCAGCACCAACAGGAGCTGCAGAACGAATCCCCAGGAGGTCTGCAGATGGGGAGGGGGTGGACTGTCGGGCAGAGGAGACGGATTAGTGTCACAGCAGCTGAGAGTTCAGGTAAGTGTTTGTTTCTGAGGACGGAGGGTGGACTCACAGCGTTAGAGGCGGCCATAGCAGATGTGTCGGGTCCCCGGTCGCTTCCACCGTTGAGCTCCCCGCCCTCCCTCTTGTTGTCTTCCAGCTCTGTCACAGAAACGGCGCCAGGCCCCTTCTTCTTCTTCAGCTTAGCCAGGATGGACGACTCCCTTTCTGGGAACGGAGGCATCTCCTCCAGGACGGTGGCCTGAGGAGACACGGTGGAGAACAACTCACATCCTGTGCAGCGAGAGCAGAGCTGCTGCTGATTGGTAGATAAGCAGAAGATTCAGGTTCTGATCAGATTCGCTTGTCAGAACTTACCAGGACGTCGGTACTGGCGATGGAGGACAGCTTTAGATACTCGACAGCTCTCTGCTGCAGCTCCACATCTGAGTTACGGATCTGGCTGTCGCAGCGCAGCACCTCCTGGATGGTGGCCTTGGTCTCTGGGAACAGGTTGATAAACTTGATGTAGGCGGACAGCAGCAAGGCGCGGGTCGGCACCGAGCACAGGTGGAACTTGGAGTGAAGAAGGTTAAACTGGACCAGAGGGCTGAAAGAAAGGACAGCCGGGGTTAGTGATGATGATGATTTAGGCTGCTGGTCTGGTGCTGAAGCTGCTGAAACAAACGTACCTGGATCGAGGGTCACCAGCAATAAGATTTCCAAACTCTCCCAGGATGTAGCCTCCGACCTTCACCATGTTCTCATGGCAGGCAGGAGCCTGCAAGGCCTGCAGGAGACAACCACAGATGAGACTGTGTCAGAGCTCAGCAGCTGTTAGGACTTCCTGATCAGTCTGGATCCGATTTAAATCAAAGACCATCAACAGAAAATCAACCTTCAGATTAAAAGTTTCAATTCAACCAAAGCACACGGCCTGACTCAGTTCTCACGCTGTGGTACCTCAAAGACCGTCTTGGCGGCGTAGCCCTGCACATCATCTCTGTTGATGACGATCTGGATGACACGGTACCAGACCTCCTCACTGACGTAGTCTCCAGCAATGCGGATGAGGTTCAGGATGGTGTCCACGTACCAGGAATAATCGACAGCATACTTCTCTGCGAGGATGGCCACCTTCAGCACCTGACGGAGGGAGACAGAGCCGGTTACAGCTCCTCCTGTCGAGGAAAACTCTCAAAAACACGACAGCGTGTCCCGCTCTGTCACACTCACCATCTCCTCTCGGATGGAGTAGTCCGCCGTCTCCAGGTAGCTCAGCATCTCGGCTACGATCTGCTTGGCGTTGCTGCGGTCACACATGGCGTACAGCAGATCGGCCGCTCTCTGTCGAACACTCACATCCCTCTCAGTCTGCAGAGAAACACGAGGAGGACAAATCATGAGAACTTGACGTAAAGAAGGAAACTTCATTTCAAAGTTTGAAGAAGACCGATGAGTGTTAAGTGTCTGTCTTTGGTGTGCGGCGCCACCTTGAGGGCGTTGATGACGGTCTCGATGTGCGTCTTGACGGCTTCGTGAGAGAACTCGGAGCTGGCCAGAGTGCACATGCTCTCCAGAGCCAGGTAACGCAGGTTAGTCTCTCTGTGCTGCAGGAACTGGCCCAGCTGGTTACAGGCTCGCACCAGCAGGTTCGGCTCACTGACAAACGGGAAGAGGAGAATTTAAAAGGATCACGTTTCCATGGAGACTGAGAGTTTTAAAAGTCCTCTTTAAACAGAAGATGATGAATGAGTGGTGTTTCTGCTCACCTGTCGTAGTGGATGATGAGCGAGATGGCCTCAAACAGGATGGCGTTCTTGGCGTTGGAGTGCTGAACCTTCTTGGACTTGGGGGGCTCCTGGGCCTTGTTGAGGATGGTCTCCAGACACTCGACCAGGCGGCCTTTGACAGCGCCATCCTCTGGGGGAGGGTAGCACTGCAGCAGGCGCAGCAGCTTGCAGGAGAGCCACGGCGCAGGGACAAAGTAGTATGTGTAGTCCTGCAGGTCGGTGGAGGCCGACGACACGATCTGCAGAGCGAACACGGAGGCGGTGATCAGACATGAAATAGATAAAGAGGCAGAGCTGCTGTTTCTGCAGAGAGCTGTTCACAGAGAATACAAGAGGAGTCAGATCAGATTCTGCAGACTCAGGAGGTTTTAGACGAGAAGGTGCTTTTTTAAAACCGTCTGCACAGTCAAAGTTCTGCAAATATCTGAATATCTAAAGTCAACTGAGAAGGGAAGAAAAAAATTTTCATTACAGAAACCTAATACAAAGAATAACACGCGAAAAATTTATCTGTATTTCAAAAATCTGAAAATAAAGATAAAAATATTGTAACTTTTTTTGAACGAGTCTCTGCTTAGACCATAAACAGAAACTCACTTCTGTGCTGAATCGGAGCTGTTACTCTTAAAAAAAACCTTCCCGCTCAGAGCTGCGTCTCTTTAAAGACGTCAGAATTAATATTTCTGCTCTGCTGCTTTTTGCCTCTTTAAATGTTACAGACGACACGGTTTAATCAGCAGTCAGAGCTGCAAGAAACAAACAAAACCGAACAAAACTGATCACAAAACTTCAGATCACATGCATTCATTTCCGGCTTTTCGTGCTCTTAATTCCACGGTTGTTCTCGCTCACTCACCCTGCTGAGTCGGGACACGGCTAGAGACACGCAGGTCTTAAACTCGTCTGGATTCTTCTGGCTCAGACAGGTGATGAGGGAGATAGCTGCTGTTACCACGCCCTGAAACACACACACAAACTCGTCACCATCATCATCAGTTATTAATTATAAATAATGTCATGAAAGGAGACAAACATCAACACTCTCACCATGTGCTGGTCATTCAGCAGGTGAACCACTCGAGACGTCCACTCCCCCATCAGCACCAGGTCAGGTGAGGTCTTATAGAGCCTCAGCAGACACAGAGCAGCTGACTGTTTTACGCTGTCCATCGTATCTCTGCGGGTCACATGACCAGAAGATCAGTCATTGATGATTTAGATTCAAGAAACAAAATCTGAATTATCTTAATCCGCCCGCACTCACCCAGCCACCAGGATCCGGGGGATCTCACTAGCGAAGGCCTCGGCCATCTCGCGGCTCCCCACGTTGGCGATGCAGTGAAGGGCCAGGCACATGAAGGTGGGGTTACGGCTGGACAGGTCGTTCTTGATGGCATTATTAATCAGACGGATCAGCTCACTGTTGCTGTTGACTAGGACTGAGATGAAGAGGTAACCCTGCAGAGACACACAGGAGAGATTTTATTACATCCATCAGAGAGAAAGTGTGCGGCCAGTTCTCCACTTGGACGCTGTGGTGGAGCAGTAAATCCTCGGGGCTGACTTTCATTCCAAACAGGTGTGGATTCAAACTGCATCATGGGATTAAACTGTAGAGACCTTCATAAAGCCGTGAGTCTGTCCAACATCACATTTTCCAGAACCCACCCAGCTGCAGCAGAAACACAACATGAGCGTCAGAGCGTCAGAGTGAGGAGTCATTCTGCTTTCATACCAGCAGGTGGCACTAAACTAAGACCCGGGTTTGTCAGAATGATTCTTTATAGAGTTTAATATCATATTTATGTTTCTGCAACAATCTGACTCCTTTAACCTTTGACCTTTGAATCAGGAGCCAAACAGCTCAAGATGAATCTTCTTAATCTGGGCGCAGTGTGATCTACAAATCCAAGACTGTGTGTGTAGTCAACATGATGAATGAATGTCCTTCCTCATAAATCAATCACATTATTGATCTTTCCTAAAAGTTTGAAGCCTGTGGTGTTAACATGGCGGTTAGCTGGATCATTGTGGTCAAAGTCACACAAATACGGTTCAAGCCTGTGAACAAACAACGAAAAGACTGACAGCATTCAGAAAAATAAACTCTTTTGTAGTTTAAATCCTGCAAATAAAATATGTTTTATTCATTTCCACTGAAAGGAAAACTGTTGGCTTTTTCTCAGATGTCTTATTTTGAGTTTATATAAAACTAAAGGTGTCCTGCCTCACAACACGAGGAGCCCTCAGTCTAAATACATGGTTTGGAGTTACAATAAGGGTGATTTAAAGGATTATGCGCCTTTTTAATGAATGTTTATTTTCTATAAAAAGAGACTCTTCAGATTGACAGTCCTGTGTTTGCAAAATTTAGCCTTACAAGGCTAAGTTTTTATCTGCAGTCCCTGGTCTATAAAAATAATAACACCTAATATGATTGCGTTCAATGACACTGCAGCTGCAGCATCCTCCTCTGATGGTTGAACTCCAGCAGGGACAGACACTAACTTAAACACACAGACACACACACACACACACACACACACACACACACACACACACAGCTTTGGTTCTTTATCTCTGAGCTCTGATGAACATGTGAGGTGACAGATAGCAGCTCCTTTTGGTCGTTAGCATCTGCTCTCTATCTCCCGTCCAGCCCGTCTTAAAATGGGCAGGACTAAACAAACCCTTTTCACTGGGTGGGTTATGAAAGCAGGGGGTCATCCTGTCAGACATCTCTCGCTGCGGTTGGTACATTTGGTTCATGGTTTCTATCCTCAGGCCAAACTACATGTTAGTGTCCTCACTGAGAGGGTTAGACAATAGGAACTTCAGTCTGAGGTAATTCTGCTGAAAACCAGCTGCTCCAAAGATCCTGACTTGATTTTATTCTGCTGAGCAAACACTTCCTGTTCCTGAGAAAACCGTCAACCGCACAATCTGGAAGCTGTTTCAGTCTCTGAGCTTTCTGTTCTGCTTTAACGTCGACACCGTTTGTCCATCTCACTAATGCTTTGAAAAAGGAGAACTTCAGGCAGATATCAGATCGAACCTTCAGATTCCTCCTGATTCAGGTGTGACGGGACCTCCGGGAGAAAAACACAATGGCGCAGTCTTTTATCTGAACCTCTCAGGAATGACTCTGTCTGAGTGGGCTCTTGCATGACAGCAGTCCCAGCTGCATTTTATCACACGGCTGCGAATGTGACGAAAAAAAGCATCAAATTTTCTACATTTGCCTGTTTTCTTTGAGTGTGATTATCACCTCACAAGGAAGAAAAGGGTTTTAAGATGACAGTGCTAGATCGACTCTGCCTCTCTGTGTATCCAGCATGCATTGCACACTGAAGCAGTCTCTTGCACCTCTCTGCAGTTTTATAGGTTAATAGGTGCTGGATCGGGGAAGCCATCTTTTTAGAGAACAATGAGGTCTCACTTCAACCGACTGGACGGCAGGTTTGTACTGTTTCCATCAGAACTTGCAGATCAGAGGTAATATGTGAAAAACGTTCAGCTGTGACTAAAGGTTCACAGCTGTACCGTTCAAAAAAGAGCAGTACGAGTTAAACACAATGTTGGCTATCAGGAACACACACTTCTTATTTCTGCAGTTTTCCAAGTTGTTAAAATTCACAGATATTGTGGAATATCAAACAGCTCAAATTATGTTAAAAGTTAAAAATAACCATCTACCAATAAATATACAGAAATTATTCAGTATGTATGAGGAAAGTCATAATTTAAGGGGAAAAATACACTTTAATTCGGACAAGGAGGAGTTTTTTGGGAGTTCATAAGTTGTTCTTCTTCTCACTCCTTTTTTAATATGTATTTCTAAGTTTTATGTTTAAATGTTTTGCCTTACTTTTATATATTTTTGGTTTGCTTATTTGAAATACATAAACATAAATACATCAACATAAACCTGACCCTAAATGGTAGTCTAGATCCGGGGACCCAATGTGGGTTAGACAAACTCTGAAACAGCACCGTCTACCAGCTGATAGTGAGCATGATTTATGAGGTAGCAGCAGTATAAGGGTAATAACACGCTGGTCACTGACTCTGACAGACTTCAACCCCTGATCACATGTGCCAGAGCAGACAGGGTTTAAATGATCTAAAACTCAGTGTGATCAATAACACCTGCTAAACAAAGCGAGGCCAACATCGATCGATGAATATTCAGATTCTCCGATTCTTGTATTGACTCCGTTTACCGGTCGAGCTGAGGGCTTCTGAGAACGGCTCGGCGGGCCAAATATTCCATAATGATTCAGTTCAGACTTGAGTTCCTGCCAACTTTGAATTGATTTCTCAGGCCGACTTATCATGACAACACACATCAATGTTAGTGCGTGTAAGACAGACTTATTAGAGGTGCTCATGACGCTGATATTTCTAATTAAAGAGGAGGGTCACAGGTTTAAGAATCACACATTTTTAACAGAAGGGGTCATGTTAGGTCCTGAAGGTACAACTCTTGATACGTCCGCTCTGATTGGTTAGATCATTGCAGTATTAGTCATAAATGTAGATCAGATGCAAAGTATCTAAAATAAGGCAAAGCTGTAAACATATATGAGGATGGGGATATGACAAAGGTGGAGATAAGACTCGGAGCTCTGCGAACTCCATGAACCACACACACATTGTGACACTTACAATCTGCTTCTCTGTGTATTTGTTGGAGCTCAGCAGGTTGACGGCCTCCATATGACCGAAGTCGATGTCATGTCCGAGCAGAAAGATGAAGAGGAGCTTGCAGACATATTTCTTCTTGCTGTATCCGTCTAGAGCTTTGTCCCCTTTGAACTTGGAGCGGATGTTGGCCAACTCTTTATTGATGCGTTTGATCTCGGCCTCCTTGCTCTTACCTAAGAGGACAGGTAAGACAGTAACACAGTGTGTCACCTTCACAAATGGAGGGAACAGCTGCAACATTCAAAAAGGAAAACATCTGAGGAGCCTGAGTATACAGGTTGAGAAATAACTTCAGTTAGTATCATGGAAAATCACTTGTTTTTCCCCACATAGAAGCACAGTAAAAATGCAAATTTGGAGCCAGGAACCAGGGATTAAAATAAGCACCTGCCACCTGTCAGGTACAGGTAAATGTGGTCTGTGACGGGTGAAAATCCAGGTCAGTGTGGCAGATGGATTAGGATGGAAATACCCCAGGATAAAGAGCAAGGACCGAAAATTTGAGAAAGTACTACTGACTCAAATTTGACAGAGCACCAGTTTTCTTTATAAATTTTACAAGTGATGGACAGACAGACAGAGTGGACCACAGACATGTTCAGTGACCTGCAAACAGTGATAGAGGAGCAAAAACATATTTTCAGCGCCTGTTTGAGACAATCTAAGAATTATTCTTTGATATATGTTGAGTGACAAAAAGACTTGTTTCTTTCCCAGCATGTAATTTGCATTATTACACCAATCTATCATATTAACAAACACTTATTATTCTCACTCAAGGATTTCTTTGCTCTCTGTGTAGAAATGTTTCATATCTGTGCAGAAAAACTTGGTGTTTACGACTTTAATTAAACGGTTTGAGGAGCCAAAACCACCACATGAGAGGCTGTTAGAGTCCAGCTCTCATCAGACAGGATGCTCGCCCTCAGCGCCGTTCACGACAAACAACACAGAGTTTCCATCTGTGGAGACCAGCTCACTGTTTCAACAGTCTTTAAAACCACACATTTACTGAACACCTGTGCAAAAGTCTGCTTCAGTTTCTCAAACACAATGAGAGATGACAGAATAAAACGGGAAATCTCTTTAAGCTCCTCTGAATTAGCGTAGAGGGGCTGCGGTCCAGCGGTTACTGCCAAGACACTGCACAGATGCATTTTAAAGACCTATTTGACAAGTATAAAGGATACACTGTCAGTTTGTGGTCAAAACAGTTCATAAAGATGGAAGTGGCTCTGAGTGAACAACTGGGACGTACAACCCAGAGGAATAATTACTGATACATGTCGGCTGACTGAGACACAGCGTGCCCCTCTGATTAACATTAACTACCTCTCAGTTAGTAATAGTTACAAAGCCTGCAGGTACACACGGTGCACACACTCACTGCTGACCCTGACACCTGTCTGTGTGAGCGACAGGCCCCAATGTTAGCAGTGATTAAAGAAGCTTTCTTAATAACTCACAACTCCAGGATCTTCACAAATAGATGTTTTGTTGTTATGCTCTCAAAACTCTGAAATGATCCAACGCTCAAATACAATAACAACGACAAAATACTGTTTCCAGACACAGTTGGGTATGAGCTTAAAAGTGACAGTTGTGTGTGTGACAGCTTGAGGGATCAGAGTTAAATGTCCAATAAACAGTGTGACTGTATTTATGAAAGATGAGCCTGTTTACACAAAGACAGCTCACATCTAATTACTGTTTGAGACACCTGTGCAACGAGGATGGCAAAGTGAAATGACTCTGCAGGAAAACATCAATTCAGCTATTTAACCATTTGTTCTCATGAGGTATTTGAGAAATAAAGTATAAACTAAGTGAGCGTATCAGCTGATTGAACGGCAACTTAAGTAGAAAGAAACTACTGATACCCGATCAATCATTTATTTATAATAGGTCCAAACATTTAACTACAATCGAAAGTTGAGATCAATATCACAATCAATATCAACATATATTTTAATTACTGTTGACAGTGGCCCAGTTTAACCTTATCATTGATCTTTGCATGTTATAGTCAGTAGGAGGTCACGTAGAGGTTATTATTATTTGCACAGCCAATACATGTATTCATGACAGTCAGGCTGTACACAGGAGATGATCCCTCTCATACACTTCTCTTAATAATTAAATTTTTGTCTGTTTGTTCGTTTTTTTTGTTTAGTTTAGTCCCATAACATGATTGAAATGCAAAGGAAGATACTAGCAGCACATGTGAGATACCATCAGTTCTAAAATAAAGATTGTTGTTCAGTTTGTGGCTTCGCTCCTAATTGAGTGTCAGGATATTAACATGTTATATGATAATTTTCAGATGCATGTTCATGACAGCTGTCCCTGTTAACCAGGACTCTAGACTGCAGCCCACATCACGCATTGACTGACAGTGACAGACATCATAGAAGAGCACAAAAATTTCTCGAGTGAACATCTCATTTTAGTTTCCCATCCTCACTTTTGTCCTCTTTGACTCTTGCATTTATTCGTTCTCCTTCCTCGACAGCTTGACAGTATATTCACAATACTGAGCATCATGCATGTCATCAAAAAGCACCACATGTTGAAAAATATGTATCAATAACAGATAGATAAGAAGATTGGGAAATTTGATGGGTTTCTATAGAACATACATGCCAACATTTGGGATAAAAAAATCAGGGAGATATTTGCTTGGCGCACCGGGCAGTTTTGGGGTTACCTTGTATGATGGATATGAGCTCATTATGAGAGTATTTGTAGTTAAATTGCTCATCCAAATAAGTATAAGTGAAGCTGCACACTTTTTTTGTTTTGTGTTAACAATACCAAATGGTAATATAAAAATAATAGTTATGATATTCCTTGAACTTATTTAGTACACGAATATTAGTGTTACAGTCCTCGCATGTTTTACATGCTCTCCCATATGAGGCTCTCTGAACATCTGTGTGTGCAATACAGCACTCTTTTATCTGAGGCTGCCCTGAACGCATCACTCCGAGACAGTACAAGACTATCAATGTAAGTGTTATATCTCATGTTTGTTTCCCTTTCACTGAAGTTCTCATTTTGCAAAACAGGAGTGTTGGCAAGTATGCTATAGTATCTTTTCTACATACAACCCTGCTTGGTGCCCTGACATAGAGGCCCCGCTCTATAAATGAGTCTCTAAGGTAGTTGACTTTAACAGAAGTTTCTTACCCTGACAACTTAAAGGGATATTCCGGCATAAAACTAATTTAGAGTCAAACACACAGTAACACCGAGTTAGACACCCCCTCAAGAGATGAATGTTGATGACCGCTTACTTCTCTAGTTATACCAACTTAAGCAACGACCGCATGATAGCAATACACAGCGGTTTGAGGAGCCATAAACAAACCTCAACCAAAACAACCATTACTTTATCATTTCCTTGAGGTAATACTCATTATATTAATCATTTTGCACTGCTGACGCCGTAGTTCCTCTGCCTTAGCGTTCCGGTCTGATTGCATTTCCATGATATGATCATAAATGTTCTTCCTTGAGCTGCGTCACCCCGCTGTAGTCCATAAGGGATTGGACTGAGGTGGCTAATGCTATGGCTGGGACCCTATATGTTGATGAAGTTAGGTGCTGTTCTGAGCATTATTTGTGGCTATAGAGTGGCGTTTTGGTTGAGCGCGTGGCTCTCTGTATTGCTATACTGCGGTCGTTACTAAAGTTGCTTTAACTAGAGAAGTAAGCAGTGGGCAACATTCATCTCTGGAGGGGGTGTCTAACTCAGTGTTATGGTGTGTTTGACCCTAAATTAATTTTACGCCGGAACATCCCTTTAATTAGCCAATCACTGTTTGGGATTTTGAAGGTGGCACTTGGGGTGGCCAATCAGACTGCAAGGTGGGCTCGAGCCACCACTTCGTACGCGCCCCTGCTCCTACCGTTAGTGACAGCAGTAATAACAGAGGGAGGTCAAGGATGGCTGCAGTGCTCTTATATGGTACATGTTTGCAGTAAAAAAATGAGACTCACAGTTTCGGATGTCCGAGATGAAAACCGCCAATCCGCGCATTCCATCTCCCTTCGACACAGCCGGCATGTTTGCGGGTTCGGGTCTTCTCTCCGGTCGGATCCGTTAAACCAAACTGACGGTCAGCTTCTCTCCCGGGTCCGAACAGGGCCAACCTGACGTCTATAAAGCAGCTCTGTGAATGACCGCAAGCTACCAGCTCACTGAGACGGTATGACTGTAGGTGGCTAGCGCGGTTAGCATGAGCTAGATTAGCTGGATGTCGGTGGTTAACCCGGGATAAGTTATCCCGGTGAACTGACTCGTTTCCGCTGCCTCTGTCAAGCTAACGTTATTTCATTCAATCCTGATCGGGCTAGGATTAGCAGCTACACGCCAACACATGCAGAAAAGACTGACTTCGGGCAGAAATATACTCTGTATGGATGTTTCCAGAAGGAATGTAGTCAGATGCGTTAATGAAAATAACGTCCGTCACTATAACGTTAAGTTACTTCGAGTCACGCACCGTAAAGCTAGCTCAACAGCTAGCTAGCTAGCTGGCTAGCGATATCATTCAAATGGTGGAATACATCACCGACTAACCGGACACACTCAGCGGACAGAGTTACCTGCCGATCATCGATCTGAGATTAATCGCCTGCTCTATTAAACGTGTTAAATGAGATGTCCTGTGTTACTGATGTCCGCTAGAATTCTCCAGCCTCCACTCCGCGACTCGGATAAGGCTCGTGACACAAGAACCGACAGCGGGACCGCGCGCCACGTATCCGGGGGCGCGCACGCTCCTTCCCATCGGCGGAGAGCAGCCCGGTGACGATTGGTCGACCTGGAATTAAACCGTTATCTCTCCGATATAATTAACTGAGCGCTGGGCCATGACGCACCCTTTTCAGATTTTTATCGATAAAACAGAAAGAAGACAGAGTTCATGTCTAATAAAAACAAACAGACTGTCAAATCTGGAAGGCTGTTTTTGTTGACTTAGTCTTGTTGGTGTGAACTTTGCCTCAAATAACTGCTGTGTACTTAAATCAAAGACTGAAACTACAGTGATAGATGAAATCAGAACAGTTTGGGTCAGAATAATTAGATCCGTGAATACTTATTACATAAACCATGAGCTCAAAAATAATACAAACCTTGTGTTTACCATCAACAATCTGACAAACGAAATGACAACAAAAGCTACATTTAGAAAGCAGAAAAAACTAAATGTTTGTTGGGTCTGATTCACAAATAAATTAAAAAGTTTATGAAACTGCTTAGCATTCTTATAGAAACTAATTTTTGTCTGCTGTAATAAATTAGTTTTCCGATAGTGGGATCAGTAATATTACATCTTGCATTTGATCATCATCCAGGACACTTCACACCCCAGTGCCCAGCTGTTTGACCTGCTGCCCTCTGGAAGGCGTTACAGGTGCATCAAGGCAAGGACAAAGAGACTGAAAAACAGTTTCCTCACAAGAGCCATCACCACCTTGAACTCCCATAGAAAAACAACCCCAGCCTTCAATATGAGTAACAAGTGCACTATACTTACAACTGCCACTGCTGCTATGTTTGAATATAAATAGTGCAATATATGCCCCTGCTGCTAAGTAAATCCTACCTCAATCTATATATATATACAGACATATATATATTATTCTTAATCTTTATCTCCTTTCCTATTCTTGTATAAAGTTTCTTTTTTTATTGCACTGCCTATGCTGCACTAGGGGATTTTATCTTGTGTACAGTCTGTACCTTATTTTTATTATTATTACAACTATTTTTGTACTTTTAATTCAGTCTGTTTTCTTTTTTTGTATCTATTGCACTGAAAATGGAGAAGCTCTCCAATCATGTTGCACCTTTTGTATAATTAAAATATAGGGCATTCTGATTCTTCTTCAACCTGTTGGCATCCCATGTTATACAGCATTATTTTCTGTTCATCCAAATTTAAGAGTAGGTTTTTGTAAATCAAATTATATTTTGTCACGTAAATGAAGTGTAAAGCTAATAATAATACCTTTATTTTTATTGCACTTATAAAAACAGAAGTTCACAAAGTGCTTTGACAAACAGTGGTAAAGCACAGAACATCAGCACATGGAAATAAAAACAAATAAAAACAAAAGTTAAAAGTTAAAAACAAGGCCTCCGAATTGAAGGTCAATTTTATTTGTCATAAGGAACCCAGACAACACAAGAACCCTACAACATAAAATAAGCGCATGAGGACCAAAATAAAAACATGAAATAGGTAAGAAGAAGAAATTTAATTAAAGGGGGTTGAAAGCAGGGAACAGGATAGTTAGTATAAAAAGACGATATTGGTAATGATTAAAAAAAATCATAACAAAATAATAATGATGGTAATAATAATAAAAAAAAATGAGCAGGAAAAAACAATGAAATCAATAACGGGCTTAAAAGGTTAAATAGGAAAAGAAATGAATAAAACAAAAGCTTCAAAGACAGTGAAATTGAAATAAGATAGAGGTAAGAGGGATAAAAGAAATAAAGGGAAAAAGGTTCTTTACGGATATACCATTAATAACTTTAAAAAGATTTTCTCTTCAATATAAATTTAAAACATTTATCTCTTTAAATTATCCCTGATCCATCAAGACAAGTCATTATATTTTATTTATTTATCTATTTTTAAAATTATTTTATTTTTATTCTTCATCAAGACAAGTTTTTTTATTTTATTTTATTTATTTATTTGTTTTTTAAATATTATTTTATTTATAATTAAACATAATTTTATTATTATTATATATTTTTTTTTCATCAAGACAAACTGGCAGCAAACATTTAAATTTGAAGAAAATGACTAAGCAGGGTGGGCGGTGCCTTTAATTGGTTAATCCAATCAGAAATTAGAAGTTGCTGTCGTGGGCGGAGCCGGGTAGAATCTTTGAAGCTCACGAGCCTCACGCAGTCAGGCAGGAGATCGAAATGGCGGCGCCAGCAGAGAGAATGGAGGTAAGGTCTTACAATAGGAGACACAATGAACATCTTCTTTTTCTCTTTTCAGCCTGTAAACGCCTTTATTACATTCATTTGAAACTCAAGTGATAATTTTAAACCGTCTGTACTGTTAGTTTGATGTAATTACGTCCTCAGCAGGTTGTGATGCATCCATTTTAACTTTGCTGTAGTGGGATGCCTCTGCCGCTCATTCATTTCTAACACAAACGGCACAGATTTACCCTAAACTCTCCGACCGTTAACGTGTTTAGTCGTCTTCGTGATGACCCTTTCTTTTCGGAGTTATCACTTTTCAAGGTGAACGTATCACAGACAGGTTGTGTTAGCTGGAGGGAAAAGGCGGCCGGCTGTAGGGACCGCATGGGGACTAACGTGTTAGCATGTTTAGCCCGTCATGCTAACGTGGTGCTGCCTCATCCTCCTCTGTTTCAGCTCCGTTAGCCCAAGTTAGCCGGTGATGCTACCATCATGGTCACATCTGGCCTCACCGTGGATGGATTTATTAGCAGTATAAATAAACCATCCCTTAGTTTTTTTGGTATGATTTATAAAGGATTAGCTGCTCAACACGTGGAGTCACACGGCTTTAAAGTGACTTAATCTCACTCCTGTTTAGTTCTTGGTTTGGGACTTGATGGGCCTTGATAAACGTGGACCTGGCGTGGACAGGTGCGCACCCAAAGGGGTGGTCGTGGACGGGCATGGACTCCCCATAAAATATGATGGCTCTCACTAAAATCCGCACATTTTAAAGGGATATTCCAGCATATAATTATTTAAGGGTCAAATTCCCCTTAACACCAAGTTAACCCCCTCCAGAGATGAATTTTGCCGACCGCTTGCTTTTCTAGTTATACCAACTTTAGTAATGACCACAAATAGCAATACAGAGAGCCATGCGCTCAACAAAAACGCCACTCTATAGCCACAGATAATGCTCAGAACAGCACCTAACTACATCAACAGTACATATAGGGTCCCAGCCATAGTACTAGACACCAAACATCTTTTTAACTTTGCCAAATTTCTTTAGCAAAGAGACTAAACACAACTCACCTACTCTCTTACAGCAGCCACTCGTTGTGGGGGAGCCCTGATTAGTGCAGCTGAGTTTCGCAGCTCAAGGAAGATCATTTTTATCAATTTTATGCCTGAATATCCCTTTTAAGGCCAGTCTGCCTTGTCCAAAGTAGGGCTCTAGTCCATATCAGCTCTCTGGACTGTGTTCATATAGTTACTTTCCTTAACATTGAAATGTGGCACTTTGTTCCTGCTGTGTCACCCTTGTGTGCTCTCTCTCACAGGTGTGACAAGTTACACTTTATTCTCAGCATGCGAACTGTGGAGCGTGTGTTCAATTTCTAGGCCACTTTGCGACCAGTTTAGGTGCACATACACAAGAAAAAATAGATCCCCAACCACATAATCTAAATATTCTGGTCCAGATTTTAGATATTCAACTATGTGGAACATGCTGGCATTTTCCTTAGAGAGGAAACTCTGAAGATCCTCCTGCTGTCAGGTCTTAAACTGGGGATTAACGGTAACTTCTTTACGAGTCTGAAGGTGACTCTGTGAGGCCAGACTCACATCACTTTGAGGTTTAACTACCATGTGCCCCCACCTTTCGTGCTGCACCAACACTAACAGATATAAGAGTTCTGTTTATTAGAGTAGGTCAGTTGAAAATATGCAGAGGATTCCCTCCATCCGCGTGGTATATCACAGCTGCTCAGGATGTGATGGCGACCTTTCTGCCCTCTGCAGTATTTTCCAGCAGTGAAGATTTCGTCTTCTGACTCTGACCAGTTTGAAATGTTCTGGATCCTGTCACGGGTTATTTTTAGGGACACACATGCTGTTTTGGATTGCAGTGATTATAAGAATTTCTTGGCTACCCTGTGCAGTTGTGGAGCTGTGATATCAGCGTGCAGTTCGATGGTGGTTGTAGAGTTTCGAGCTAAAGGCGTGTGTTTGTCTTTGTTGAGGTTTCTCAGGGGGAGAGCTCAGCCAAGCCTGCAGCGGAGGACATGACGTCAAAGGATTACTACTTTGACTCATACGCCCACTTTGGCATCCATGAGGTAATATATCCAAACCTAAACTTCACCTCCATTTTCAAACACAAAGTTTTACCCCTATATGTGTTATTAACCCTTTGTTGTTGGGTTCTTGTTTCTGTAGGAGATGCTCAAGGATGAGGTCCGCACGCTGACGTACCGCAACTCCATGTTCCACAACAAGCACCTCTTCAAAGATAAGGTGGTGCTGGACGTGGGCAGCGGGACGGGGATCCTCTGCATGTTTGCTGCTAAAGCCGGAGCCAAGAAGGTTATCGGGGTACGTCCCACGAGTCACATGACCCAAAACACACCTGTAGGTAAAAGTCTTTTGTGGCGACATGTTCTGAGATTCTCTTCGTCTTTTGCAGATCGAGTGCAGCAGCATCTCAGACTACGCTGTGAAGATCGTGAAGGCCAACAAGCTGGATGATGGTGAGTGAGCAGATCTCGTCCTGTGGTTTAAAATGTGGACGTCAGGATGAGTGAGTGGAGTCTGAGACCTCCTTGTTTGTGTCCCCAGTTGTGACCATCATTAAGGGGAAGGTGGAGGAGGTGGAGCTGCCTGTGGAGGGAGTAGACATCATCATCTCGGAGTGGATGGGTTACTGCCTGTTTTACGAGTCCATGCTCAACACAGTCATCTACGCCAGGGACAAGTGGCTGGTATGTCTGACTCTGAGAAATCTGTGAAAATGAGTGTCAAGAAGGAAACTTAAGGATGTGTTTAATAACTTCATGAATCTGGTCCCACTAACAGAAACCAGACGGACTCATCTTCCCAGACAGGGCGACTCTGTACGTCACTGCCATCGAGGACAGGCAGTACAAGGACTACAAAATCCACTGTGAGTAACCAGCCACAGTTTATTATCGACCACTAGAGGCTCCTAATGAACATTACATCGATGAAAAGTTACTTTAGTTTAGTCCTTCAGTCCAAACTCGTCTATAAAGCAGCTTTAAAGTGTTTTTTAATGGACTTCCACAACCAGAGCAGAAAAAATCCTTGATAAATTCAGGTCTGAGTGGGTCATATATAACGAACGAAACCGTACAACAAAAATTCTGGAACTTTTCTGTGTCTGTAATCCGCTTTAATCCTATTAGAGTATCACCTTGTTACCCACGTGTGCTTCGATTCTTGTATTTGAAACTTTTCTACCAAACTCGACCCGGAGTCCCTAATCCTGCTCCGGAAACCCGTGTGTGTGTGTTTTTCTACCAAACTTTACCAGGTCTGTGGTTTCAGGTCCCAGCCCGGTAATGTTCCCACACTCTGTACTTACTCAGGTGTTCGTTCAGGTCCTGTTTGCCTTTAAACACTGAGTCACTGTGACCTCTCGCAGCAGTCTCTGCTAATCCGGGGTGATTACGGCAGATTGCTCTCCAAGTCCTCCACGACTTTGTGCCAGGACTCTCTCCTCCTGGCAGAAAGTCCCAAAGGTAAACTTTGTGGCACCTGTCAGTCGTAGTAAACCAGGATCAGGCGGTTCTCTCTGGGACTGTCTGTGTGGACCTCGCATGTCTGTCCCGTTTTGGTGTGTGTGGACTCCTGTGGTCCTAATCCATGAAACAGCAGCTGTGAGTGTGTTAATCTGAGCTGCCAGCCGGGCTCAGGACTGTCTGGCACACTTTCTCTAGTCCACATGTGTTCTGACTGTCCTCTGTGTGTGTTTCAGGGTGGGAGAACGTGTACGGGTTCGACATGTCATGCATCAAGGAGGTGGCGATAAAGGAGCCCCTGGTGGACGTGGTTGACCCCAAACAGCTGGTCAGCAGCGCCTGTCTCATCAAGGTGGGTGCAGATGATCGATTCCCTGTTTCTGTGCGAGCGTCTTCTCCGTTCTTTGTGTTTTGAACCGGCGCCTCTGCGTTTCAGGAAGTGGATATCTACACGGTGAAGGCGGACGACCTCACCTTCACCTCGCCGTTCTGCCTGCAGGTGAAGAGGAACGACTACATCCACGCTCTGGTCACGTACTTCAACATCGAGTTCACCCGCTGCCACAAGAGGACCGGATTCTCCACCAGTCAGTGAACGCACCGTCACACCCAACACACACACTCACCTGTTCATAACTCCTCAACCTGTCAGACACGCAGTGAAACAAAAACACGAGGAAATGATGTGACCAGCAGTCCTCACCCTCTACTTTTGAATGTGGACCTACTCAAACGAACGTAACACGAGTCTGTGAGCCGCCTGAGCTCTGACTCTGCCCAGGTTCTCACTGTAGCCTCATATACCTGCTTATTTAACAATGGACCACAGTGAACTGCTATAGTACTTTGAATTAGTTGAATTAGAGATGGCAAAGTTCTATCTGTTATTTCTGCACATAATTAACTTTCATTCGTTTCTCTATAGAATTGTCCTCAAACAGTTTCAGCTCCTCTGGTGTCTCAGAAGCTCTTCTCTTACAGCGTCTGTTTTGTGTCTCCGTCAGGTCCAGAGTCTCCGTACACTCACTGGAAGCAGACGGTCTTCTACCTTGACGATTACCTGACTGTGAAGACCGGAGAGGAGATCTTTGGCACCATCAGCATGAAGCCAAACGTCAAGAACAATGTGAGATGATTTCTTGTAATGCTTTTAAGAGAACCAGCAAACGTTTATTCTGATATTTTTAGTCGTGTCAGATTTTTATTTGTGCTTCTGAAATCTAAAGCTCCTCATTGTCAGGTTAGAACATGCACAGACAAAGCACCATGACACTGATCCAGTTAAAGCTCCTGAGAAGAACCTATAAGGGTTGAATATTGTTCCTTTTGCAGTAAAAGAAGGACTCAGATTTAGAGAACAACAGGTTCAGGGACAGGAGCCTTGTCCTGTTTTTATAAAGTGGAGCTGAACAGACAAATGCAAATATTTCACCCGTGAGGCATGTATTTGGTTACTTCACGGGTGCAATTGATCCCTAATTCAGGGTTCGATTGAACACCTGGAGCCCACAGTTACGTAAAAACAGGATAGTTCATAATCAGGGGATGAGGTCATGTTTCGCACCCAGCATAAAAACTTCATTTTTGTCTGTTCAGCCTCATTTTTAAGCATCTTGATGAGTTGTGGGATATTTACTTAAAGTGCAGCTCAGCAGCTGTCAACCTGCAGAGTTTGTCAAACCTGATTCAAATTAATCTTCAGTAAAATGTTTTTTAAAAAAAAAAGGGAATTTGGGGAAAAAAGTTTCACTGGGGTCAAAGAGTTTATCCTTGTGCTGAACGGCGTCTCCATGTGTGTCCACAGAGAGACCTGGACTTCACCGTGGACATTGACTTCAAGGGTCAGCTGTGTGAGATGTCCAAGACGTCAGAGTACCGGATGCGTTAGTTCCCCGCCCCCCCGGTCTGGCGCCCCTCTGCAGCAACATTTTAAAGACTCTTTTTCTTTTTTTGTCATTTTCTCGTTCAAACAGTATTTAAAGGTTTTCTCACCCTCGGGGTCAAAGTGCGTTGCCGTGGTGATTCATTGTGCCGTAGCCGCTCAGCAGAGTGTGTGCCTGCTGTTTGAGTCTTCTTCTTCTTCTTGGGTTTGTTTTGTTGGTTCTCGTCCTCTGCATGTGTCAGACCCACGTAGACATAAACACAGCGGCCCTGTTCACACGCCTGCAGAGTGTTACCGTTCACTCACTGTGCGCCCTCGTCCCCCGTAACGCGTCACGCGGTCTGCTCTCATGTCCCATCCGTTAAAGCTGTAGGTGTGAGTCTTCAGAGATTCATGTTTTTCTTAAGATCCTGCGTCCTCCACATACGTACAGTTCATAGGAACGCGTGACGTCGACCTGTTCGGACCAGAACCAGCCAAGCGTTGGTGTGTATGTTGTGTAGATATGTGTAAAGATATCACAGCGGCTTATTTCCTGAGTTACAGGACAGACAGAGAAACGTGACGCACCGGGAACTTCGTCTTCTTTAAGCCCCGCCCCTTTAAGTGACAGTGTAGGTTTAATTTGTACCTCTTACTGCCGCTCAAACTAACATTTGAAGAGAAACCGCGACAGTATAGAGACTAACGAGAGCAGGAGTTTATTTTCAGAGAATTCAGAGTTAGTGATTTTACTGAATTTATCCATTTGTTTGTTTTTTTACGAACTTAATTGTAGTAAAAAAGGTGCATGCACTGTGTCCTGAAACTGCACACCGATCCGACACCTGAAACAAAACATCTTTTCACTGTAAAACAAGACACACATTTTAAACCTGCAGCCAGTTACACTCGATGAACTGCTTTTTCCGGAGATTTTACACTTTTTTCGGGACACAGTGCCGCAGAGAGTCCGCACATGCTCTGTTCATCTTAGAGGTGTTTTTGTGTTGTGTGTGTGTGTGTGTGACGCCACGGCTGCACAAACTATCCCTCCATATCAGACTGTGATCTAGCCACCTCCTCCAGTTAGTGCTGGACCTTTAGAAAAGATTGATTTCAGGGGGGCGGGGACCAGGTCTAGAGTTTTGGTTCCAGTCGACTCCTCCCCCCTGTGTGCGTGCGTATGTGTTAAAAGTGTACAGATGCAGTGTGTGTCTGTGTCTGAACAGTTGTAACCGTGTTGGTCCCTCTGCAGAGTCAGCTCCGTCTCACCACATTTTGATTATTTTTCTCTTTTGTATTTTGTTTGCCGCTGCTGCATTTATTTTTCTTTTTTTAAAATAAAACTAATAAACTGTAAATTGAACTTTTTCCTGTTTTTCTTGTTGTGACTCTGAAATCAGTCCAGAGCCAACATGTCAAGCTGACACCCTCCAGTCTGAACAGATATTAACATGCACAGTCTGAGGCCTGAACATACATGTGAGAAGAAAACACCCCTGACACTTTACAATCAGTCAATACAGTGATTACGCTCAACTCAAATGAATGATCACTGAGAGCGTTGAACCAGCAGAGGGCAGCAGATGTCCTGATCCACCTTGGTCCAATCTGACATTAATAAAATGACTTGCTGAAGAGCCACTCAAGTGAGGCAGACTGTTAAATTTACATCAAACTCTTTAAAAGAAATGCACAACACAAAATGTAATAAAAAAAAAAAAAACTTCTACGACAGATCCCTTTTGTCCCAGGACTTGTTGATCCGCCTACAAGTGCTCGAGGATATGATACTGCAGAAGATGAGCAAGTTGACAATTAAATTTACATTTATTACAATTTTCAAAAACAAAGAAACAGTAGTCACGTTAAGATGGGAAAAATTGGAGGGATTGGATAATCTGAATCCACTGTCTATATGGGTGCAAAATCAGATGATCTGATCATAATGTGCGTATACATGCACCGATCTTTATTCAGATTAAAAAAAGGCAAAACAGAAGTGAATGCAAAAAAAACATTCTTACTGTGAAAATGAAAGGATGCAAATAAAAAAAGCCACAACAAAAGTGAGCTGCCAGGGACCGACATTAACGATGCACCGGTGTTTTATGATCTAGGCACAGAGGATGACGGCAAGAAGACGACAAAGAAGTAAGTGGAGAGGTTATTGTTTAATTTTTCTTCATTTGTTTTTGAACGTGTCATTTGGGTTGGCCATGTTGCGCCTGAGTTGATATGAAGTTAAACTGGAGGATAATGGTGTAGCGTTAGCTTCAGTTTTTTTGTGTCGTTAACTTCCGTGATGTTTTTTTTTCAGTTGCACAGTTTCATTTTGTATTTGCAGCGGGCTTCGGTTTATTTTTTTATTGCATGGGTAACTTCCGTTTTTTTTTGCATTCTTTTTTTTATTTGCAGCAGTGGCAGTTCTCGGCCACCGTATGTACAGGTGCTGGCCAGTAAATTAGAATACCATCAAAAACTTGATTTATCTCAGTAATTCCATTCAAAAAGTGAAACTTGTACATTATATTCATGCAATGCACACAGACCGATGTATTTCCAATGTTTATTTCTTTTAATTTTGATATTTATAAGTGACAACTAATGAAAACTCCAAATTTGGTATCTCAAAAAATTAGAATATTGAAAAGGCCAATGAAAAAAAATGTTTTTTTTGAAATGTTGGCCAACTGAAAAGAATGAACATGAAAAGAATGCCCATGCATAGCACTCAATACTTAGTGGGGGCTCCTTTTGCCTCAATCACTGCATTAATGCGGCGTGGCATGGACTCGATTAGTCTGTGGCACTGCTCAGGTGTTATGAGAGCCCAGGTCGCTCTGATAGTCGTCTTCAGCTCCTCTACATTGTTGGGTCTAGCGTATTGCATCTTCCGCTTCACAATACCCCATAGATTTTCTATGGGGTTAAGGTCAGGCGAGTTTGCTGGCCAATCAAGGACAGGGATACCATGGTCCTTGAACCAGGTACTGGTGGTTTTGGCACTGTGTGCAGGTGCCAAGTCCTGTTGAAAAGTGAAATCTGCATCTCCATAAAGTTGGTCAGCAGCAGGAAGCATGAAGTGCTCTAAAACTTCCTGGTAGACGGCTGCATTGACCTTGGACCTCAGGAAACAGAGTGGGCCAACACCGGCAGATGACATGGCACCCCACACCATCACTGACAGTGGAAACTTTACACTGGACCTCATGCAACGTGGATTCTGTGCTTCTCCGCTCTTCCTCCAGACTCTGGGTCCTTGAATTCCAAAGGAAATGCAACATTTGCTTTCATCAGAAGACATAACTTTGGACCACTCAGCAGCAGTCCAGTCCTTTTTGTCCTTGGCCCAGGCGAGACGCTTCTTACGCTGTTTCTTGTTCAAGAGTGGCTTGACACACGGAATGCGACAGCTGAATCCCATGTCTTTCATGCGTCTCTTCGTGGTGGTTCTTGAAGCGCTGACTCCAGCTGCAGTCCACTCTTTGTGGATCTCCCCCACATTTTTGAATGGGTTTGTCGTCACAATTCTCTGCAGGGTGCGGTTATCCCTAGAGCTTGTACACTTTTTTCTACCACATTTTTTCCGTCCCTTCGCCTGTCTGTTAATGTGCTTGGACACAGAGCTCTGCGGACAGCCAGCTTCTGTAGCAATCACCTTTTGTGTCTTGCCCTCCTTGTACAAGGTGTCAATGGTCGTCTTTTGGACAACTGTTAAGTCAGAAGTCTTCCCCATGATTGTGGAGCCTTCAGAACAAGACTGAGGGACCTTTTAAAGGCCTTTGCAGGTGTTTTGAGTTAATCAGCTGATTAGTGTGGCACCAGGTGTCTTCTATATTGAGCCTTTTCAGAATATTCTAATTTTCTGAGATACTGAATTTGGTGTTTTCATTAGCTGTCAGTTGTAATAATAAAAATGAAAATTAATAAACACTTGAAATATATCACTATGTGTGGAAGGAAAGTATACAGTATACAAGTTTCACGTTTTGAATGGAATTACTGAAATAATTCAACTTTTTGATGATATTCTAATTTACTGGCCAGCACCTGTATGTGCGCCTTGTTATGTTACCTGAGGTGCAGACGCGGTACTTGCGGTTGTGTCTTATGCTAATGTTAATGTGTGTTAATAATGAAACCTGTTTGTACTGACCTCAATATATAACCAAAGACTGAACAGTGCAGACAGAGTCACGTAAGAGAGTCACGATCGGAATAAGTGTTTACATGGCGCATTTTGGAATAACGATCGGCATAAACCACCCCTCTCGATCAGAATACAATTTCTTTCCGGTTGAGCCGAACTGGATCAAAATCTTCCAATCGAGGTGTTTAAATGGCGCATTTGTATTCCGATCGGGCATTTATTCCGATTATTTGTGCCCATGTAAACGCAGCTACTGGACGCTTAAAAAAACCTTCAGATGAACATGAAGGCGGTGAAAACAGCTGATCCAAAACCACAAAAAGAATTTAAGTTGACACACTGCGGTTGTAATAACGGCGACTCTTTCAGTTGAGACTATTATCTTAGCCGGAGAAAAAATGGTTTTAACAGCTGAAGTGGTTTTCTTATCAAATTACAGACTGATGTCCAACATGATCACACCAAAGTTTCCACATGTGAGAGAATGCTGTGAGAGATGGAGAGCCAAGACGTCTCAAAGATCTGGATGTCCTAATTTTAGAGGTGAGGATGTGCATGTTTACTTGACTTAACACCAGAATAACCAGTTTATAAACCAGATGTTATCATTTTTACCTTTGGGCTTCTGAAATGAAAGATAAATTTGCCAAGCATACCCGAGGCGTTTCCTTTGAGGCAGAAGAAGTCATGGTTAAAGCTTTTATTATAAAGTAAATCAAGAAGGACCAAGAATAGACCCCTGTGGAACACCTGCGCTAATGTTAAAGGGACCATAAGGACTGGTATTTGAGTTCTACCTGACAAAAGTAAAGAGGTTTCAGCTAAAGTGACTTCATGTGTTGTTTCACCATCAGTTTGAATGTTTTCATGTTTAGTCTCACAGTTTTCAGAGCTTCAGGGTTTCAGCGAGAACTTCTTGTCTGGTTCAAAAGTTTTAAACTCATGACTTGTTGATTTCTGAGACGGTGACAAACAAACTGCCGCCTGCGGTCACATGACCCCAGAGAGCTCCTTTTGTCATTACAAGAAGAAATGACAGGAAACAGGTTTCCTGAGTTATCCAGCTACAGCTTCCTGTGCTGTCTCTTTAATCTGACACTGTTGTCTCAGACACACACGCACACACACACACACACACACACACACACACACACGCACACACGGGTTTGGAGGGGTTGAAAACAGTAAACAACATTATCGTCTCTGAAGGAAGACACAATAAAACTGAACTGCAAGGACGAGGAGAGAGTCCAGAAAGTCTCTCATATTCTGTGGTTTTACCATGAGGAGAATCTCAGTCTTATATGTCAGCAGTATGGACTTGTGGGGGGGGGGGGGGCACGGTCGCAGTATTGCTGACTCATTAACTTTTAGTAATTCCACCTTTAAAAACAAATCACAAGACTTAGTTGGTAAAAGTTTGTCTGTGATCCCTGAGTCTTTGTGTCCAAGGCTGTGATGAGCTGTGGACCGGTGTGACGACACTTTAAGATATCCTGTCAAACCTGCTCATGCTGTACACTGGGAGGGGGTCAAAGGTCATGGTGTTGGGCTCTAGAAAGATAGAAATGGACACTATCAAAGGGATATTCCAGTGTAAAATTAAGTTAGGGTCAAACACAGGGGAACACCAAGTTAGACACCCCCTCGAGAGATGAATGTTGCCGACCGCTTGCTTCTCTAGCTATCCCAACTTTAGTAACGACCGCAGGGTAGCAATACAGAGAGCCACGCACTCAACCAAAACGCCACTCTATAGCCACAAATAATGCTCAGAACAGCACCTAACTTCACCAACAGGACATATAGGGTCCCAGCCATAGAACTAGACACCAAACATCTTTTTAACTTTGACTCATTTCTTTAGCAAAGAGACTAAACACAACTCACCTACTCTCTTCCAGCAGCTGCTTGTTTGTAGTGAGACCTCAGGCCAGTTCATTACTGACTACAGCGGGGTTACGCAGCTCAAGGAAGAACATTTATGATCATTTCTTTATCATTTCCTTAAAGTAATAATCATCATATTAATCATTTCACACTGCAGACACGGTAGTTCTTCTGCCTTAGCGTCTCAGTCTGATTGTATTTCCATGAAGAAATGATCATAAATGTTCTTCCTTGAGCTGCGACACCCCGCTGTAGTCAGTAATGGACTGGCCTGAGGTCTCACTACAAACAAGCGGCTGCTTTTTCATGGTGTGTTTGACCCTAAATTAATTTTACGCCAGAATATCCCTTTAACCCTGTTGTTTGGTGACCATATCTAGGTCATGTGGTCCTACCTGAGCAGGTTCACTCTGCTGAATGAAAACAATCATCGCAAACTTTAACCTTTGAGTTCATAAAATCGTCTCCGCCCTGACGCTGCGGTAAAATCTGGAATCTTATTTCCCTGCTTTTCTGGATCAGTCGTCATGAACGTGAGGAGTCCTGAGCTCAAGAATGTGTTTTTTCTGACTTCCTAGTGTTGAGGAAATGACTCGAGGGGTGGGGGGACTGTCGTGCTCTGGGATCAGACTGTCTCCTTTGAGCCTCCTGATGTGGATTTTGCCTTTTTTTATAGCTAGTCTTCGATAAACTTAATTTTTAACCTGCTGAAACTAGAAAACTTGTTGAAGCATAGAGATGATTGTCAAAAATACCAACATGAAGTGAAGAAACAGCTGATTTAATTGAACTTTTACTCACTTGTTGTATTTAATGATACAGCACCTACACCTGTAATCGTATATTTTTGCTTTTTTCCACTTTAACACCAAACAGACAGGCAGAGAATGTGAGGAATGAACATTGTGGAGAAGAAGTGGAGTTGGTGGGCGAGGCTGCAGCCCCTCCACCTCTTTCCTCCAGGCTCTGTGGGCGGGGCATAGATGAAGCTGTGGGTGGAGCTACAGGATGAACAGCTGACCCACATCACTGTTAACAGAGTACAGCTGCAGCGGAGCAGGATGAAGGAGCTAGGGAAGGAGAAGGAGAAGGACGGAGGAGGAGGAGGAGGAGGAGTGTGTAAGGCCGGGAGCAGGAAGGAGAAGGATCAGGTATGTGTGTCACCTGCAGAAATAAGAGTTACAGGTGTGTGGATGTGAAACTCTGACCAGTTTGCAGGTGGATGTGTGAGCACAGAGTGTGTTTATCAGACAACTCCAGACTTGAAGAGTCAGATCAGAGTGGAATAAATGCAAAGAAGCCGTATGTGTGGGTTTTCAGGTGCTGCAGAGCCAGTTCAGACATGAACATGTGAAACGCCTCAGGCTGTTTTTGAAAGATATTGCTATCAGTTTCCCAACCAAACAGGGAAAAACTCCAAATCAGTCTTCGCAGGCATGTCGAAAAACTTTCAGTTTCTCTTAAAGTGGACTGAAATATCAAACCTAGATCTGATCCACCGTGTTCACGTTTGTGATGTTGAGTTTTCTTCTCGTCTGTTTACATCAGAAATGTTTTCTGTGTTTAGCCGACACGCTGAGTTTGGGGACAACATGTTGGTGTCTTCTGATGTCCATCAAAGTGTCCTCTGTGTGTCTTATTGTGGAAACAGACGAAAAGAGCAAAGAGAGCCCACAGGCCAAACTTTCTGCTGCCGCTAAAACAGCGTGTAAAGCTGCTCAACAGATGTGCTCTGCTGAGATACGAGGGTGAAGGTGAAGTCGTACTAATACAGGCTGGAAAGTGAGGATTTTAATCCAACACACCCTCAGACAAGAAAACACTTTAAACTTTAAATGGTGAAAAACATCTCTGACATGCTGTCCACTTTGAGGAGCTCCTACAGTTTGAACTTTAGGTCACATGTCTGACATGTGCTTCATACTTCTCATAAAAGGTGGTGGTGGTGCACTGGTATGCACTTCACTGAATCTAGTTATCATAACGAGCAAAATATTAGGAGCTGCTGTACTGGGTTGCATCAGTTTGCACATGTAGTTTAAATGTCAGTGTAAAGGTGCGTCATGTTGCTCCAGTGAATCCTTTATAACAACAGCGCAGCAGCTACAGTGAGTGTATGCACACAAGTTTGTGCAGCACTCCATCTCTTATAATAATAATAAAAGTGTCTATGAAACGCTCATCACTAAAAACACCTCATTAACATTTCTTTACTCCAATAAATGCAGGAGAAATCTGAAACTTTTTCGACTTTTTCCTCCTGATTAAATCACAAACAACATCTGTAAAGCATTAACACGCTGTAAATGTGATATCACAACATCTGTTTCCAGGTTTCTGTCGTAATTACACCGTGCGGCTTCATTCGGCGCCACAGCTCAGGCAGTAACACTTAAAGTACAGGAAATAAACTGGATGTTGGTCCTTAAAGTCTGCAGAGATTCTCGGTTCAGAAGAAAAGATCAAAAACAGCATCTGTAAACTCCCTCTGCTGTGTAAAGTCTTGTTGTTTTTGAGCGTGAGTTAATTTGAACTGAATGAATAAATAATGTAAGAACAGCTCTGTAAACGGAGAAGATAAACAAGAGGGATGATGGGAACTCTCAGGTGTGACTCCTCTGCCGCCGCTGTTGTCGTTATTGTTGCCAGGTGGGCTCACCTTCACCTTATCACAACAGGAGTGTGAGACAGTAGTCAACAACATGCACTCATTCACAGATACGTTGAAACGTGAGCACATGAGGGTTTCTCTTTAATCTCATGTTAACAGTTCGTATCCTGTTACAGAGACAGAAGGAAACTTGAAGGGGACTCATAAATCTGTCTTCACGTCATGTCAGTCTTTGGCACAGCGTGTACTCAAAGTTTAACTCAAAACTACAACGACAACAAAAAGAAACTTGACAAAAGGAGGATCAGCCACCATGGCTTCAACAACCGTCCTCCTGTATCTTCTCACTGTAGCTTTAAAACCAGGTCCTCAGAGACATGTTGCTCTTGGGTTGCAAATATCATTTGATATTATAACATTTTTCTGCACATCTGCTCTTCATGCATTTGCTCCCATTTTAACATGACTCGGACCGTCTGTCTGATTCGCCACCCGAAAATCCCCAATAATGATTTTAACTTTCTTTATCGGATCCAGGACATGTGATATTTCTAACTTTCCAAAATTCAGTCGGCCATCTCAGTATGAAACATTTGGACCCACCTCGTTTGCACAGCTCCCGGATCGACTTTTATCTCTTTTCTCTTATTTCAGCTTCACTGTCTTTTTAGCTTCTCTTATACTTTTACTCTTTTCTTATTTAACCTTTTAGGCCTTTTATTGTTTTATCTTTCGCTCATTTCTGTTGCTCTATTTTATCATTACGATTATCAGTATTATCTATTATTATTTCATTATCATTGTTGATATTGCCTTTTATATTTACTATCCTGTTTCTGCTTTCGACCCTCCTTTTAATTGCATTTTCTTTTTAACTATTGAAAATGACCTTAAATTCCATTTTAACTGAGCTTTTTGTTTTTATTTGTCTTTTTCCATGTGCTCTACGACTACATGTCAAAGCACTTTGTAAACATCTGTTTTTTTAAAAGTGGGATACAAATAAAGTTGTTTATTATTATTATTATTATTAGTAGTAGTAGTAGTAGTATTAATTTATTTTATATATATTATTATTATTATTTATTATTAATTTTTTATATATTATTATTACTATTATTTATTTTTTTTTTGAAATTTTATTATTATTATTATTATTATTATTATTATTATTATTCCTCTTCAAGAAAAGCTTCTGGCCGTTTTCAACATGTTCTCGACCAAAAGGACTGAACGCACGTTTTATTTTGCATACAGATGATGTGAACTTCTGTCACTACACAAACGGCTACTGGATGTTCTCATAACACGCCCGCGTCATGGATTAATTCTGGTGACTAGATCTGGCGTGGCACCGTCGTATCACGCCAAAATCAACATTAAGAAAGACCTTTTGCTGTGTAACCTGTTTCTCTTTCTCACACCGGCTCGACTCCAAAGAGTTGCGGCTTTGCCAATAAATTTGGACAACCTCCAATGTGGTTAAAGTTTACTGGAAGGAATGATGATTATCGTGATTCACTTGAGAAACCGAAAGTCAGATCTTCACCGTGTAACAAATTCATTTCTTGAATTTCATCGACCGGCAGCCCGTCCCTCTGTCCTCTGTGGACACTGCACAGGGTGGACAAACTGTCCATACAAAATCAACACCGTTAGATAAATCTTGAGTCTTGGATAATTGCAGTGTGGGAATGTAGGAGCCAATCAGAAATGGAGAGGATCGGTGTTAACGCTTCAGTGCAAACAGTCTGATGGTGCTCTCCATGCAGACAGGTCGAACCAGTCCTCCCCTGCAGAGCTGGAACTTTAACTCTCTGCTCACTCCTTGTTTGTGTGATGTTACACACACACACACACAAACTTTTGTTTAGCTGCAATAATCACAGAGCGAGACCCTCGGTTTCCTCTGCAGAGCTGGATCTCCATCATCATCGTCGTCGTGCCTCGACATGAAACCTTCTCTGCTCATTCCTCACATTTCTCTCATTCTGCTCTCAGCTTTCATCTCACGTCTGCTGAACCCCGGACCTTCATATCCCTGCTTTGTTTCTGTGTCCTGCTGCTTTAATCTTCTGTGTGTGATCTCATGATCTCAGAGTGCATTCCTAACCTTCATGTAAACCTGCACACATGCTTACTCACAGTTAACGCTCTGCATGTGACATAAACACCTGATCTGACTCTAGAGGACAGAGGCGGATTTTTAAGTCTTATTGCTCCTCTTTTCTGCACTTGCTGCATAGATTCCTTCCAAAGTGACTTCACTGGAAACTATGAAGCTGTTCCACGTGAAAAGCTGCAGCTAAGTGGGGCAAAAGGAACTTGGTCTTAATCTGTGATCTGGTATTTGCATGCAGGTAATTGGCGATCAGCTGAAGGAATAACCTCTCTGTCAAATCTTGAGACTGGAACAAATCTGATCACTGAGTCTCCACTGTAGGACTCAGGAGGAGCTGCAGGAGTAACTTCAAACTCTTAACTTCACGTCTCAGTGAAGATCCTCCAGTATTTATGACTCAAGTTTGAAGGTATTTATTAGGAGCTCTCCTCCTCTTCAGAACAAACAGACCCTGTAATAAAAGGCAGGGTTGAAATCTGATCCCTCACCTTTACCTTTTAGCACTAAAGGTGTTTTCCAGGCTCCTGCTGCGCCTGATTGTTCCTGTTAGCCGTCTCCTTGTGTTCTTGTGTTCTCAGCCCCTCTCTTCGCCCCTCTTTCACTAACACAAAGCAGAAATTGGGCCTCCTTAGGGGGAAAGGGCGCAACTACAAACATGATATGCCATGCAATCTGTTGTATGTAACCACATCCAGCCTTCAGTCATACATGATCTGCACATGTTCTGAACAACAACAACCTCTGGAGTCGTGACTCTTGAGCAGTTTATAAGAACAGTGAAGATACAGAAGCTTAAAAACAGTTCATTTTTTATTTAAGCTCAGTCTAACAAATCATTTAGTCTTTTTCAAGCTTGTGTCAAAGTTTTTCTTTCACTTTTTCACTCAGCTGTCGTCAGCAGGTTAGTGCTCCTGCATTTTTCTCTCTCTTCATGCTCATCCTGTCCCTTTGCTTTTCAGGCGCACATGGATATCTGCTTATGAGAGTTGATTGATGGGAGCTGTAATCGTTCGGTCTCGATGATCTTACTTTTACGATCTTTTGGAGGACGTAAACGTAATTAAAAACGATAAATCCCCTATTAATAAAGCTCGGAATCTATTGGCTTACAGAGATTGGAGGGGAGATCTGATCACAATGAATCTGCGAAATGTGATCGGCTCTTCTAGGAGGCATGTTCCCACCTGGTCTGAATAACTGCAGAGTGCCAGTGTCGGTACCAGATGTGTTCGATTGTGATTTTTAGATAGTTTTAATTGTATGTGTTAACTTTTCTAAAGGAAAAAGAAAAAAACATGTTCTCAGGATCTCCGTTTATCAATAGATAGTTTTTCTTTTACTCCACGTTTCCTTTGGCGACATGAAAGAGGCGGCAATCCGGCTGTGGTTAGTCCCCTTTCATAAGTAATGATGGATTTCTTAGTAAAATTCATCCATGTTTTCTCCAAAGAACTAAAATCCCATGAAATCTAATCTAGCATAAACTGCTTTGGTAATGTCCGGACCAACCACAATCTTCTACGTCATCCCAACCAACTTCTGGCCAATCATAGAGCGTGATGTCATCAATATGTACATCTGGTACCCACATCTGTTATATCACGAGACATTAAAGTGGTTACAGGTGCTTGAATAAACAAAGAGGTCCAGAAAATACTTCAAACTGCTGAGATGCTGCACCTGAATTGTCAAAGTTGCCAGTTAAACTCTCAGTCCAAGAATTTCCTTCACATCCTGCTCCAACAATATAAAATATAAATGGATTTCCAACACTCAATTTCTTTGCCAAAAACACACACACACCCTTTGTCCAATATACATCCTTCTCCACCATTCCTGTTCAACACTGAGCGATAATCTCTTTCTATAAGTGCACAATATTTTCTGCTTCCATGCACGACTCTGACCTCATGTTTGCTGTGAAACAGTTGACGGTTAAATGAGTTTGTAGATTCCCCACAAAGTTGATGTTCTAATATAGATATGTATATATATAAGATCTCAAACCTGCAGAGTCAGCAGGAGAAGAGGACTGGTTCCCTGAAATGAAAGTTTAAAGTTAATTCACTGTGACTCTGCAGAGTCTCTTTGTTTGTGTGAAATCACAGTTTTCTTGTTTCTTCTTCTAGAGCTGGATCCCAAAGATCATCAAGAAGCGAATTTGCTCCACATTTGTCGAAGACTCTTTCAGGTAATCTGTCTCTCAAAATAACAGGTCATTTTATTGGGTCAAAGTCAAAAAGACTTTTAGTTCTGCCACTTTATAATATAATGTTTTTTCTGATGTTGGAAATATCTGTTTTTGTTAAAATTTATGCTTTTTAGAGATTTTGTGGAGAGTTAAAAATTCAGTCAAGACTGAAAAGACTGAAAACTGAAGGAGATTATGAATGTGAGTGTGTCTCTATGTCGTTGTCCATCAGTAATGGGGCGCTGTGTCAGTGCGGGGGCGTGCGGGAGCAGCACGACTCGGTGGCCACGGGAGATTTCTTCGGAGCGGCGATCGTCACTCAGTGGGACAGTAAGCAGCACTCCTCAGAGTGTCCCACAGACGCCTACGGAGAGCTGGAGTTCGCCGGAGCCGGACGCAGACACAGTCTTGTGAGTGATTGTCTGATCTTACAAAAGTCAAGTCTTTGTGATAAACAAAAATCAACTGCAAAATCTTGTGAGCCTGGTCGATTCGATTGCACAGAGTCTGTGCAGAAGAAGTGGACCTAGACTCGTATTTATCAAAATGAAACCCATGTACAAGTATCTTAAACTTGCATCCTTTCAGTGTCCAGCAGGGGGCGACCCCGCTCTATCGCTCTCTGCAAAAAGAAGTGAACAAACCTTTTCCTGATGTGGACAGGGTGATTGTCAAAGATTCATACATTTGTCTCCCCGTCCTCAGACCGTATCTTTGCTTCCATCCCTCTAGTTTCTGCGTCTGTCCTGCGACACCCCACCTCAGATCATCTACACCCTGATGACGGCTCACTGGGGCCTCCCCTCTCCTAACCTGGTGGTGTCTGTGGTCGGGGGTGAAGGGCGGGAGAAGGTCAAACCTTGGGTGAGAGACATACTGAGGAATGGGCTAGTGAGAGCCGCTCAGAGCACAGGTGAGAGGACACACAGGTGACACGAGATAAAAAGTGTGAGAGTCAGGTTATTAAGGATGCACTCATGGATTGGTTTGGCTCCTCCTTCCTTTCTTCCCTGTTGTTCCCAGGAGCCTGGATCCTGACGGGGGGTCTGAGGGAGGGCGTGGCCCGCTGTGTGGGTGAGGCGGTGAGGGATCACGGGGCGGCGGCTCCAAATCTCTGCCAGAAGAAAGTGATTGCGGTGGGTTTGGCTCCCTGGGGGCTGGTACACAACAGACAGCAGCTCGTCAACCCTCAGGTACTAAAATTAGTTCTTATGAAATCCACCATGATAAACAATAACATGAAACTTTAGTCTACAGTTTGAGAAATCAATCACAAAAGTCAGATGTTTGAACCCTCTGATGTCCCACTTCCTGTTTCCTGTCTTCAGGGCAGTTTTCCTGCTCGCTACTACGTCCAGAACACGTCGCGTGACTCCTGCTGCCTCGATAACAACTGCCAGGCTTTCCTCCTGGTGGATGATGGGAGTGCGGGTCGTCGAGGAGGAGAGACCGGCTTCAGGGCGAGTCTGGAGGACTACATTTCCCATCAGCGCACTGGCATCTGGGGTGAGATGAAGATACTTGGTTTTCACTGCACAGAAAAGGATGAAAAACTGTCATTTTGACTTTATTTCATTTGTGGCAGGAAGTTAAAGGGTCATTTCAAAATAAAAGCTGTTTAAAGGGGGAAAAGCAACACAGACTTGAGGCGGTAGAAGACGTATTTTAAAGCTTAAACTTAACTGAGTTTCTTAGTCTTAACTGCATTTATATGCATATGTAAAGTCAGCATATGTAAAAAAGTTAAATTTCTATATGCAGCTGATTTGGGAATCATGACACAACACTGTTTTTTCAAGGTATAATTCACAATTTATGCCATATTAATTTTTCTGTCTCTTTTCTTTGTTTACTAAAACCAGGGAGTGGAAGCATCGAGATCCCGGTGTTGTGTTTGCTGATCTCAGGAGATGCCAACATGCTGGAGGTGAGAATAATCTGCATACAAACTGTCAGTTTAGGAGATTTAAAGCAAAAAAAATCCAGGTAAAAATTCCAAAAAAGAATAGCCAGTAAACAGCAGCTCCTCATGTCAGATTAGCGTCCAAATCGAACTTGTAAATATTCTCTCACTGACTACATCTTCTCCGTCTCAGAGGTTAGAAATCTCCCTGTGGAAAGAGACCCCCTGGCTGGTCTTGGCTGGTTCTGGTCCGGCTGCAGACTTCATCAGTGAGCTGCACACCGACGTCTCCCCCGTCCCCCTCAGTCCCACCACCCCTCCTTCAGAGGGAGATGCTGCAGACGGCCTCAACACGGAGCACCGCGACAAAGTCCGAGAAAAGCTGCGGAAACACTTTCCGACCGAGACGGAGCCGGAGAGACTGGAGAGACTGGTGGACAGTGTGAGTCTGTCTGTCTGTGTGTGTTTGTGTTTTTAAGGGGTTACATGAATCTTTGTGTGTCTGAACGATGACACTGTTTTCATCCTCTGTCTGCAGGCTCTGAGGATTTATCAGAACACAGAGCTCATCACCGTGTTTCATGGGGAACAGGAGGGTTCAGACGACTTTGACACAGTTCTGCTCAAAGCTTTAGTAAGAGGTGAGTAGAGTAAATATATATAAGAAAAAAACAACTCTAACCACATCAGAATTTCACCTGTCCGGCCTAGAGGCACAATCTTGGCGTCTATGGAAAGGTGATATCTTGTAAAATCCAGATCATGTGAAAGATTGGCTGTGACTTTCATAATTCTACAATGGTGTCAGACAAACTACAGGAAAAAAATGTAAATTTTACCTCCGTCTAGAAAAAAACTTTTAATTTTACTGTTAAAATGTAAGCAGACAGAAGATGTACTGGATCTGCTCTGTAACATCTGAGCTGCAATCCCTCCAAGTTTGTTGGAGGGAAGCCCAGACGGCCCTCACCCCCGCCACTTCCACCAGCTCCTCCGGGGGGATTCCCAGGCGTTCCCAGGTCAGGCGGGAGATATAATCCCTCCACCTGGTCCTGGGCCGGCCACGAGGTCTCCTCCCGGTGGAACATGTCTGGAACACCTCTAACGGGAGGCGTCCAGAAGGCGTCCTAACCAGATGCCCGAGCCACCTCAGCTGACTCCTCTCGACGTGGAGGAGCAGCGGTTCTCCTCTGAGCGCCTCCCGAGTGTCCGAGCTCCTTACTCTAAGGCTGAGCCCGGACACCCTGAGGAGGAAACCCATTTCGGCCACTTGTATCTGCGATCTTGTTCTTTCGGTCATTACCCAAAGTTCATGACCATAGGTGAGGATCGGCACGTAGATCGACCGGTAAATCGAGAGTTTCGCCTTACGGCTCAGCTCTTTCTTCACCACGACTGATCGGTTAAGCGTCCGTATCACTGCTGACGCCACTCCGATCCACCTGTCGATCTCCTTTTCCATCCTACCCTCACTTGTGAACAAGATCCTGAGATACTTGAACTCCTCCACTTGATCTCATAGAAATGATTTTACTCAAATTTTAGTCAGAAAAGTCTCATTTGGAGAGCTTTTGCGCCAAATCGCCATTTTGGTTATTTTGGTGGTTATTTCTTTCCCACAAGGACGACCTCGAATTATGCTGCATTTCCAAAACACCACCCTGTGTGCAGCATAAAAAGCAGAGACAGCCAAACTCCATGTCTTTACTTCAAGAATGTATTTTATTAAAAACTTCTCAAATGTTTGAACTGGTTAGAAAAACACATGAAACAAACTCCAACTATAAAACAGTGAAAAAGGACGACAGACAGTGTAAAATAAGGGTCTAGTGTGCGTGTGTCGTGTGATACAGTTTGAAGCAGTTCCTCGTCCGGACTAAACAGAGAAACACTCCACAGCGCTCACACAGTATTTGTGTGTCTTTCTTACACACCACACACTGCCTCCTCCTCGGTTTTCCTGAGGCCTTCACTTCCTCAAAGACTTCAGGCATGCAGGCGGAGGTCGCTTTTGAAGGGGGCGTTACAAACGAAGCACAACCTGTCGCCTCGGCAATCAGCTCTCTCACCAGTTCCTCCCTGAACGCCTTCTGTCTCATGGGGGTCTGGTCTTTGGCCTTCATCGCCTCCTTGTACAGGATGAATGAGTTTACGATGGCGATGTCGAGAAAATGGTAAAAAAACCTCTTGTACCAGCGCATTGTTTTGCTAAGTACTGAGTAATACTGAATGAGGGCGTCAGATAGGTCAACACCACCCATGTACCGGTTGTAGTCCTTGATAGGATCAGGGATTGGGACGGGGATCTTGGACCAGCCGCCAGCCTCCTTCACTCTACGCATCACTGAGTTCCCACTGTAAGCCTTGTGTATCGTGCTGCACATCATCACCTCTCTTGTGTCTTTCCACTTGACGAAAAGAACGCCATCTCTCCTCAGCCATCGCACATCACCTCGTCTGGCGTTCTCCGGGAAGTCGTTTTCTGCCGTTTTCGGGCAGCCGGTCGTCATCTGCCGAATCGTCCCACAGGCGCCGAAGTTCTTCTCTGCTAGGACCTTGTACAGACGAGGGCTGGTGTAGAAGTTATCAGTATAGAGATGATATCCTCCACCCAGTAAAGCGAAGTCTAACAGTTTCATCACTGATGCGTAACTAAGACCCCTATAAGACGAGAGAGCACCTTTCCCCCCATACACAAAAAAATTCCAGGTGTACCCCGAGATCGAATCAGCGAGCACAAACAGTCTATAGCCGGATTTGGAAGGTTTGTTCTTCATGCACTGCCTGCAGGAAATCTTCGCTCTGCTAGCGACCATCCTTTCATCGATGCTGATTTGTCTCCCGGGCTGATAATGCGACTTGCACGCCATCACCAAGTCGTCATGAAGCGGCCTAATTTTGAACAAACGGTCAAATTCAGCCTTGCCTCTTTTCTTCTCATTCTTTTCATCCTCGTCGATGTCGGACAAGTGGAGACACCAGAAAATGGACTCGAATCTTTCTCTGCTCATGTGGCAGCGAGGGAACGGGAGACCGTAGGGGAAAGATGTCCTCCACAAGTCCGGCCTCTCGTGAACGCCGATCAGTCCGTTAAAAACAACCACTGCCAAAAAAATGAGAAACTCCTTATACGTGAGCGCGGACCACTTGAATTTCTTTCCCAGTGTTTTTCGTTTCTTCGCCTGTTTGTTCGTGTTTCTGACGAGGGTTGTGATGACCGACGGGGAAAAAAAAAGCTTGAACAGACCTAACGGGGTCCAGGATTGTAGAATATCTATTTGAGGACCTGGTTGCCGTTTTGGCTCAAACTTGAACTGAGCGGGCTCCTCGTCTTGCTCCTCTTTTAAGCACCACCTCTCACTCACTCCGTTAGATGAGGGACCTGCCTCTCTCTCCTGCGAGGCTGCAGCTACCTTCTCTCTAGCAGGGATGAAGTCTGGATCCTCCTCGTCCGCCTCCTCCTCGCTGTGATGGATACACAATCAGATCATTCATTGTTCATCTCTCTGTCATTTGTAACAGCTGACAGGTACAGGACACATTTCAGCTTACCTTAAGTGAAGGTCTGAAAGCAAGAATCGACGATGAGTGGACTGTCTCCTGCTTCTTCGCAAACTCGGAGGAGTTTGTGGGGTTACGGCGGTTGAGCGGTCTGCCTGTGAGATAGCGGGGGTCACAGCTGAAGGGGTCGCCTCAGCTCCTCTGTTTGAAAAAGTGTAATCCACGATAAAGAAGTCATATGATATGATCTGCTGTTATAAAAATGTTAGCAAGGTTAACATACCTTGAACAAGGGGGAGTTGGCTCCGCTGTGCGCCTGCGTTTCACACCTGTCTCTGGCTGCTCTTCCTCATCATCCGGGCCAAACTGTTGACTAGAAACATATCATTCAAATTAATGGTGACCAGACAAAAATAATCCTAAATATATACCAGATAATGTTGAAATACAGGGAATGAAATCTGGAGTAAAGAGCAGGTGCCTTACATATAGTACTATTGACAATAATTGATATTGTTAATTTATTTCAGTCTATCATGTCTTGTTTCTATGAGATTGAAATAATTCATAAAATTACATTCTTGAATATATAGGACAAAACAATACATTACACATAGATCGGATCGATCAGCCGACATATGCAGCGATACTCACCCAAAGACTGGGCCAATGCCTTCAAGAAATGAATCTCCTTCGTCGCTGCTGTCCACAGAATCGCTTATTTCCACGTCACTTAACCCGGCCATCTCCTCCAATGCGTCAAGAAAATTTCGCCTCTTTACTAAGTATTTTTTCGCCATGTCGTTGTTGTTGTTGTTAGCACTCTGCTCAACTTGCTGCTCCGTGCCTTCCATGTGAAACTTGACCTCAGGCCGCAGTGGTACGCACACTAAAAAGAATGAATCTTTTTAGTGAACTGATTCCAGTGATTCAGTACATCTAAAAGAACTGCCATGTCCATCACTAACTGATACAAACTACTGCAATGATAGGATTCTGTGGGTTTAATGCACTTTTTGATACATGTCCTGTTGTATGCACGTTGTTGTCTTGGCAATTTAGCAGTAAAAAAAAAAAAAAGGTAGTTTTGTCAGACAAAAGTGATTCCAGAGAGTGGAGTTCAATGCGTGATTCGTTCACCAGGTGATTCAGGCGTCGGTGCATATGGTTCCTCATTCGTCAGCTGCTGGTCTGGCGATGCTGTTTCTCACTTCAGCTCAACTAAAGTGAGAAACAAACAAATTACTTTAAGTGATTTGGTTCAGTACGTTCATGTACAAGATTCGGTTCTTTTGAACGGATCGTTCGCGAACGACACAACAACACTATCGACACAAACATGTCCGGCTTCACGTGGGGCACTGTGTACACGAGCCGATGCAGGTTGCGATCTAAGGATGCTCGTAAGGGACTAAGTTTACTTCTGCAGTGGGTCGCCGAGACCGTTAATATGGGAACTGTATTGTAGCTTACCTGTCGAATTAAAGTCTAGATCTGACAGTAGTCCGGCCCTGAAGTATTGTAGCGTTAAAAACGAGTGAAAAGAAGGACTTAAATAGAGATACTAAAGACTAAACCTCCGCTTTGTTGCAGAACTTATACCGTAACCACATGAAAACAACAGCCTACCTGACTGACTGACTGCTCTCTCGATTCTTCAGCTCCTCAGTCACACACACAGTCCAAACACTCACCCCGCCCACTCGATTTTTCATCCAATCACAGACGTGCTCCAGCCTGATGCCTTCACCGGGTTGGCCAGACTGAACTGTCTGTCAGTTTGAGAGGCAGTTTGAGATTCAATGAGACATTTTCGCTGTTTGTTTCTCGGGGTAAGAGGAGGATGTGTTTACGGTCTTAAAATGATTGAAATACGTCGGTGAAATATCCAAACTCAGCTTTTTATGCTCTAATCTCCATGTAGTAAAATAAGACAAAAAATCTGTTGTTTTATCCCTTGATTATGAAGTTAGAGCTGAAAAGAGAGGAAGAGAAACGGCCATATCCGCACATGTACGGGCACCGGGCGAAAGTGATTCTCATTGGGAAGCTCTTGCACCCTCTTGTGGGCATGACAAAATAATCATGGGGGATTGTGGTCAGTCTGTCTTTAAAGTCATGGGGTCACAATCAACGAGAAATGTTCAATTATCTTCTCTCTGTAAAGATCTGAAGAGAGGAAGCACAATCAGAGGAGATGTTGAGTGGGAGCATGAATGTCAAACATCAAGTATGATGGAGATTTCAGAGGAATAGCCAATAAAATACACAATTTTTAGTGTATATTGTTAAAAACAGTTTTATTTTTTCTGATCTTTAATCTTCATATATAGACACACTTTTTCTTGTAAGGGCCTGTGCACACTAACAGGGGTTAGGGATTAGGGATTAATTTCGGACACAGCCTTTGTCGATAACAAATGTGGCGGTCCAGACAGAGCAGAAACTGACCATGCTTTTTCTTTTTTTGGAAGTCCGGTTCTTAGATCTGCCACCACACAATTTCTGTTGTTTTTACATTTTCTTCGACTGAAATCCTTAAAATACAATCCAATAAAAGCAAACATGAATTTAGAGCTTTAACTTGAGGCTGTAGGTGCCGCCACCACCTGTCAGTGGAAACAGGCCCTAAGATTTTCTTGTCCAGTTTTCTGTTAACCCTTTTTCTGTGTGTTTGTGTTTAGCCAGTAAACGTGTGTCCAGTGACGCCAGCGAGTACATTGAGGAGCTCAAACTGGCGGTTGCGTGGAACAGAGTCGACATCGCCAAGGCGGAGCTGTTTAACGGAGACATTCAGTGGAAGGTCAGAGGTCAATCTGTCTGATTCATCTCATAAATAGAAGTCTTAAATACATGTCAGTTCACTGAATTAAGAGTCCTTCTTTACTGTCTCCAACACGACAGAGAAATGATTCTGTCAAGAGTATGAATGCAGTATATACTCCTGTTTTCTTCAGTCTCAAAGTAACTCTGATGATGTTTCTTTTATTTTCAGTACGATGACCTCGAGGACTCGATGACAGACGCTCTCATAAACGACAAACCTCAGTTTGTGCGTCTGTTCTGTGAGAACGGTCTGAACATCCTGGACTACCTGACGTACCGCCGTCTGGAGAGTCTGTACCGCTCTCTGTCCGACAGCTCGCTCGCCTACATCCTGCTGCAGAAACGTCTGAGCGAGCGACAGTGCCTGGCCGGGTCCCTGACTCAGCTGGATTATGGGACGTCGCCGCTGAAGAGCCCAAAAAACGAGCTGAGCGGGGTCGCCTCCGCCATGGAGCTCAACTTGTATGAGGTGAGAAGGAGGTGACAACCTCTGGGCTAGGATTGTTTTTGTTTCATATTTAATCTTCACATATGATGGTTTTTTAGACTCTATAAAAGTGTAAATCTTTAAATTTAAACTTCAGGTCTCTCGACTGCTCTGGGATCTGATGGGTGATGTCTGTCAGCCTTTCTATTACGGACCTCTGGGTCTGGATCACAGCACCAGCACCAGGAGAGCTCTGAAGGTGAGAGAGTGATCAGCTAAATCCATCAGTCTTATCATTGCTGGTCCTGTTGAGTGTGCCCTGGTGACCCTGTTTTCTTCCTCTCTTGTGCAGCATGTGAATAAGATGCTGATGGGGGAATGTCTGTACCGAGATCAGCGGTGTCTCTCCCCCTGGGCCGCCCTCTTCATCTGGGCCGTCCTGCAGAACCGCAGCGAGATGGCGATATATTTCTGGGAGATGGTGAGATTCACCTGAGGCACTATTGTAACATCTTACCATCATTCGGCGTGTTTGTGGACAGTGTCGGAATAATACACTGTTTTAAGTGTCTATCTTTGTGTGTGTCTGAGGCGGGGGAGTCTGTGCTGAGCGCTCTGGGAGGATGTAAGATGCTGAGGGAGCTCTCAAAGCTGGAGAGCGAGACGGAGAGCAAACTGGCCATGAAGGAGCTCGCTCAGAAGTTTGAGGACCTCGCTCTTGGTGAGGTTCCTCAAAAAAACACACTGCTGCTCTTCACCTTCATTCATTGGATCCAAACTAATAAACTCTGTGTGTGTTCAGACGTATTTGCAGAGTGTTACCAGAGCAGTGAGAGTCGCTCCTTCACTCTCCTTATAAGGAAGTCGCATGTGTGGGGCGGAGCTACCTGTTTACAGATGGCCACTGCTGCTGATGCCCGTCTGTTCTTCAGTCATGATGGAGTTCAGGTACAGATGAGTCCAATACAGTCAGACTCAAGTAGTTTTAGATCCTGAAGCAGGTGGTGTGGATGTAAACCTCGGACTCTCTCCTGCTTCAGGCCCTCCTGTCTCAGATCTGGTGGGGCGACATGGAGAGGTTCACCGAAGTCTGGAAACTTCTCCTCACCTTTTTTGTGCCTCCTCTGCTCTATACCAACATCATCCACTTCAGGTCAGTGTGGGTTATTGTTGAGGTATTACTGTGGGACCTGAAATCATGTGGTTTTATCTTGTTTTAAGGACCCTCTAATCACAGTTTGTGTCTCTTGAAAAATCAGACATTGCACAAAAACCACATCTGAAGTTATACTCTTTGATATTATCGGTCCTCTCTTACCAATTTCAGAAGTCGTCTGAAAGAAAGCAAATTATAATAAATGAAATATTAGCATGAATCAGGAAATTAGAAATAGGTATCCATCAAACATTTATCTTATTCTTTTCCTGCTGGTTGAATGAGACAGTAAAACTTTGGAGGTGGTGTTTGTGTGTGGTTCAGGGAGCAGGAGGAGGAGGTGAAGTCTGTGGAGCCTACAACCTACAGGGACACCGACAGTCTGGATGGGAACGACGGCACTGTTTTCTCCCTCGCAGACATCATTCAGAAGTAAAACCTTTTAAATATTAATGAGACTGACTTTGATTTTTAACATTATCCTTGTTCTTCGATTAACTGGAGTTTGTGATTTTCTGTCCTGGTCTCAGTGAGGAGGACGCTGAAGAGTACAGAACTCTGAAAGAAAACCTGGAAAGTGAGTTTGGACCTTCATTCTGTCATCGTTTTCTGACTGGTTATTAACATCTTTCATCAATCGGCTATTTTTCCTCTCTTGATTTCAGACCCCTCACCCTCAAACTCAAAGAGACCCTTCCTCGTTTCCCGGTGGAGACAGTTCTGGTTCGCCCCCGTCACCTCCTTCCTGGGAAATGTCCTGATGTATTTCCTCTTCCTCTGCCTGTTTGCGTACGTTCTGCTGGTGGACTTCAAGCCTCAGCCCCCTGAAGGCCCGTCCTCCCTGGAGTTTGTGCTCTACTTCTGGGTCTTTACCTTAGTGTGTGAGGAGATCCGACAGGTGGGTGTCTAATATGGGTGTGCACAAAAATGTGAATTAAGTTCTGTATACTGTATTTATATGTATATGTGGTTAACAGACATTCTTCGTGGGGAGCAACTTTGTGATCCAGAGGATGAAGAACTACATCCAGGACGTGTGGAACAAGTGCGACCTCACCGCCATCTCGCTCTTCATGCTGGCGGTCTGCTGCAGGTGACTCCTCACAAACTCTGACAGCGGGACCTCAGGCTACCAAAGAAACTGGTCTTAGCAGACCCTTAGGACAGACACTGTCTTTTCTGTCTGTAGATGAATTTAGTGCATGAATTATGACCGCTGTTGTGGTTCCAGAATGTTCCCCTGGTCGTATGACTTCGGTCGGGCTGTGATGGCCATAGATTATATGGTCTTTACTCTTCGTCTGATCCACATCTTTGCAATCCACAAACAACTCGGACCAAAGATCATCATATTGGGCAAGATGGTGAGACGACACACAAAAAAGATAAAACAGAAAATGGAGGCTGTAATAGTAATGCTTATCCATCCTCCCTCAGATGAAGGACGTCTTTTTCTTCCTCTTCTTCCTGGCCGTGTGGCTCATGGCGTACGGAGTAGCCAATCAGGCCCTCCTTTACTCGTATGATCCTCGTCCCAACTGGATATTTCGCAGAGTCTTTTATCGACCCTACCTGCATATTTTTGGACAGATACCCATACATGAAATGGACGGTGAGTCGCTGAGTCCCTGAATGTAATCTCTGATAAATCCCGGGTGAGTCAATCATTATTGTGAAGCAGGGTTGATCCTGGACAGGGTCTTTATCATCCAACATTAACTCTCATTATCCCTCAAATTACGAGGCCAGCTTGAGACAGACACTAGTATTTTTGAGATCTTCTCACATTGTCTTGATCTGTTTGTTGCACTCAGCTGATAAACTGGAGGTGGATAAATGTACAAACAACCACACACTGATCGAAGCTGGACATGAGCCGTGCATGAGCACGTATGCCAACTGGCTGGTCGTCATCCTCCTCGTCATCTACCTGCTCTTCACCAACATTGTGCTGGTCAACCTGCTCATCGCCATGTTCAGGTGTGGAAAAGACCTTTTTATTTGTTTTTGTGTCTTTTTAATAAGAAAGAACTTTAATGACATTTTCACTTCCTGCTTGCAGCTACACCTTCTCCAAAGTCCAGGAGCGTAGTGACACCTACTGGAAGTTTCAGCGCTACAACCTGATCGTGGAGTACCACTCAAGGCCCTGCTTGGCCCCGCCTTTTATCATCATCTCACACCTCAATTTATTAATCAAGAGATACGTGCGACAAATTCCCTCCGTCAAGAACAAACACTTTGGTGGGAGGTTTAAAAAATATAAACAATACAAATAACCGGGGTTGTCTGTGTCCACTGGTTCTGAGTCCAGTCCCTGTTTGTTCTTGTTTCAGTTCTGGAGATGCGGGGCAGGAAGGCCAGTCGGCTCAACACATGGGAGGCGATCCAGAAAGAAAACCTGCTCTCAGCTCAGAACAAAAAACTGAGGGACAGTGACACGGCCAGACTCAAAAGTACCTCTGTCAAGTAAGTTTGCTCTGCCATGTGGTGACATCAGTAAAATATAGAAATGGAGCATAATATTTATATTTAAATTTGGGTAAATTTGCCTGAAAGTTCACACCAATATGTTTTAAACCTTAATTAATTATATCTCAGGGGACCATGTTTTTACAAAAGAACAGCAAAACTAATAAGGCTGGGAGAAAAAATCGATACAGCACAGTATCGCAATATTTTGTCTGGTGATAAATCGTATCGTCTGATTTATCAAGTATCGATTTTTTTCCAAATTACTTGCTAATATGGAGTCAAATCTATAATAATGGAAAAATAAACTGGTGATTCCCCCCCTACAAGCTAGTAACAGCCATACCCATTTCTTGTATTTAGTGAGTGGCTGTTTAAAATGCACTGGTTTGAAGATGATGACAAAGAATGATTCAAAGATTGATGATACTGATGGTAAAAAAAAAATAATCCATTGCTCTGTTTCTTTTAGATATCCTTGTTTTTTTCCAGCTGTCACAAGTGGTAAATATGTTTCAGTGTATTCACAGCTAGAGGGCGCCAGATGAGCAAAATCAGTTTGCTTTGCTACCAGGGAGTTTAATCATTTTTCCCTCTATCTAATTTGAATTATGGATGATTTCCCAATGATCAAGTCTAGACATGATCAAGAGTTGACCCTGTGAAATTTTGACTGTTTGGGTTCAGCAAATGACAACTGTGGACACTTCTCCTGTGAGGCAGTTTTTCCCCTCATGTTTCTGCAGCACCAATTTTAGAAAATCTTTACTTAGATTACTTTACTTTTAAGGTCAGCTATTTAATGTATGTGTTTGTGTGTGTTTCTGCAGAGTGGACGGTGTGTTGAAGCAGATGACAGAGATCCGTGACCACGACCGAAGGCTGAGGCTGCTGGAGTCAGAGGTCAGCAACACTTGCACACACAAGCAGGATCTACTTGACCTCACCAGTGCCTGTCATTGTCAGTCAGGGCCAGAGAGCGTGGTCAATTTCTCTTCTGCGAGATATTGACCAAGTATCATGTCATTATTAATCCAATTCAACTTAATAAGAGCCTAGAAATAATTTGTGTTTGATCCCGTCACTCACAGGCAGGTTGATGTCAGCCTTTTGGTATCGATGTACAGAGAGTGTACAGTGTGTATGCAGTGTGCGAGTTGTGTGTACTTGGTGTGTCTGGTTTCTCTGCAGCTGTCATCTCTGCTTGCTCAGCACTCATCCATCTCTGTCTGTACATATCCCTCTCAGCTGGAGTACTGCTGCAGCGCTCTCTCCTGGATGACAGAGGCTCTGTCTCAGAGCGATCTGATAAAAACAGATCGTCCTGCCCCACTTCTGAGAGGTGAGTAAAACACAAGTCTAACTGCGATGCTTTGTTGGAGAGGAAGTGTCCGAAGCCTTTGCAGACCTCTGTGAGGTTTAATAAGTGTTAGAGTGTCAGATCCTCCCAGAGTTTAACAATCATTTTTCTTCTGTTTGCAGATCTCACTCCTCTGTCTCCAAGCTGAGTCCCAGATCACACACACTCACTCACAGTTTACTCAGGGCCGTTTGTTGAGGAACCCTGTTTCCCACTCTATTCAGTATTTCATATGCATATTTCACAGTTTGATGATTTATGATGTTTGTTCTATGAGGTAAAAGCAGAGGGCAGGGGATAAAAACAAAGATGCAGACCACTGACACAGAGCTGGAACCATAGACTGTATATACTTATGGACAACTTGGCTCCGCCCTCCGTCATTACATGTATTTGAAGCCAAAAAGCTCTCTGTATTTCCAGGATTTTTTCAACTTTCTGGAACCACCGCTTGCACAGTAGCATTGTACGCATTCGGCGGGAGGGTTGTTGTGATGACGCTCGGCTCAAACATTGTATCCTCCGGGTGAGCTACTCGATCTTCGTACGCCCATAGGCTGTATCAGCTGTCAATCAAAGAAAACATGAACACTCTAATAGCTTTTAAAAATGGAGCTGCACAGAAAAAAAGAGGACTTCCACGCAAACCAGTCTAACAGTAACTACATGTCAACATTGCAACTGGGTGGAGAAAAATTTACATTCTGTCTAATAAATTTCTAAAGTTCGTTCACAGCTCCATAGGAATTGCTGGAAGAGGCAGGATTTATGACCTATACTGCAGCCTGTCACCAGAGGGTGCTGTCTTTGTGGCGGCTTCACCCAGCGAGGAGGCAGATGGCGTCCATTCTATATACAGTCTGTGTTTGGAACTGTTCATTCAATTTTATTTGCAAAGGTACAGAAGACTCACAGGATAGCAGGGTAGAAAACGGTCCGAACTAGAAAAGAGAAGACAAATAATTTGAGGAAAATCCAACAATCATAAAAAAGAGAGGTCCAAAAATACTCCAAGCAACACTCAAAGTTAAATCTGGGGAATAGTGGGACACTCTAAACATATTAAACCTGAAACCAGACCTTGAAGAAGTGGTGACAGACTTTACCTGCATTTATGTGATGTCTGAACAATCTGAAAATTAAGTTCTTAATGAGGAACAGTTGTGTACATAACCCTGGACAAGAACTCTAAAAGAGAAAAGAGATGTCCTCTTAGCATTTTTATGATAGAAACTTTTTAAAACTAAAGTGAAACATTTCCTCTTTTATCTCATAAAATTTACAACATGGTACAACGACTGGCATCAGAGTGACCAAAACACATTTCATAGTCTTATGAAGTCTAGAGAACATCTCCCAAACTCAGGAAATGGGACTATCTGAGGAGCTCATGAATGTAGGGTAAATACACTGGGGGAGATAAGGCTAATTAAGAAGAGGTGAAAACAATCAGGAAATTGAAACTGTAAGTTTGCAGTAGCACAGAGATGCAGCGTAGTTTGCTTAAGTGCCTTTCACATGACTAGTACAGTCAAGGCCAAAGTCTGACATTCTCAGATCTGCACTTGCTAAAGCTGCTATAATTTACAACTATTGTCTGAAATGTCCATAATGTGAAAGATGCACCTTACCGTAATGATCACATAAACAAACCTGCAGTTGCCCTCAGTTCTTCAGAGCTTTGGAGCCTCTTTTGGTTTGTTGTTTTGGTTTATTATGTTTCCATAACATCACATTTATTTCCAGGAGAGCATTGACAGGAGAGCTGTTTTAGTGGACTCTTGATGACCTCAGGTGCTCCACCAGTGATTGGCAGGCAGACTTTGTGAACATAGTGGAGCCTTTAGCCAAGATTAGACAAGATAGACCCCATCGTAGGAGGTCCAGAGCAAAAACACTGAGAATATTGGACCTGAAGTCATCTAATAAAGTTATCATCCTGTTTTCCCCTTGAATAAAAAAAGGTAATACAACTAAATATGTACCTTACGCTGTTGTTGTGGTGGTGGTGGTGGTGGTGGTGGTTAAGGTGGGGTTGTGGCTTTTGGATAAACTTATGTTACTGCTTAAATGTGATTGTAAATATCTTTTCACTTTTTAGAGATGTGCTTTTCTTTCTCGGCAAACCAATATGTACTGTACCTCTGTTTTTTTGTGACACTGTGACCAAATCTAAGTGTGTATGTTCAACGATAAGCACTCTAAAGATCTATGAATTTTTTTTCATTAAAAAGTCAAAATAAAGAGATTTTTATGTATCAAGATTCATTTACCAATCTATAATGCAGGGCTGTGCAACATACAATCAACCAAAACACAACTTAGACATTGCTGCAGTATGGGCTGTACTTTGAGAGAAACGAAATACACTCATTCACCACAGGAGTGTCAGGGTAGGGCTTTGAGTCCGACAGTCTGTTCATGTTACCACCAGACACCATCCCCTCTGGAAGTCACTGTCCCGAGACCACTGCTATCACACAGCTTGGGCAAACTCCCACTTAAGGTACCTGGAATGGAGGCTGGCCTTCTTGGGCAGACCCATTCACAGGTGCAATCTAAGCGTGTCAGACAAGACCGCCCAACAATGTCCAAAGCCGTAAGGGATACAAAAGATTTTCATCCACTGTCAGCATCTTGTCTGCTATGGAGCTTCCAGACTACCTTAACAACTGCTACCAGTGATATTGGTGTAACCCTGCAGGATCTGGATTTTCAAAAAATGTGTTGGTCCGGTCCAGCTGTGCCTCAAAGCTCAATGAATCCAGTTCAAAACACCACTTCTCTTCCACTGCTGATTCTTTAGTCCACTTTTCTTCCTCCACTTTGTGCAGTCCTGCTCTACACCCTCCTTGAACCTCTCAATCAGAGGATTTTTGCTTCAGTGACTGCCCATAGCCTTTGCCTCCAAGGCTTTTACCCGTTCAGTGAAAGCTGGGTCAATCAAGTCCAAAGTACAAAGGAGTCCTTCTGAAGGGTCTGAATGTATTTGATGTCCATTGACTCATTGAGGTTTCTCCCAGGGATGAGATTTACAGATCTGAAGGGCCCTTTACAAGATGTTGTCAGTTTGCTTACGAACAAATTAAATGTGT